GGGGGGGGGATACGTATACCCGCAGCCATCTTTGACAGCAGCTTGTTGTGCTCATCCTCGTCTAGGCATGATATGTCGTTGTTCCTGGACGTTTTGAAGCGCATTTCGTCGTAGCAGTTCAATCGTCGGTAACCACTCCGCATGCCGAGCATACGCCTCATGAGCCTCAGATCATCATTAAGGAGGTCGTTGGGAGCGGTTCGCGCGAGAGAGCCTTTTAATCTCGTAAAGTCCAAGTCCACGCTCTCAACTTTTCGAGTTGGACCATGATCTATCTAGAAAGCCCAGTCTCTTTTGACTCATGGTCGGGAAGGTGGGTTCTATGGTCAGGAGAATGCCCACCATATTTCTTTGTGACTTTGAAGAACTCAAGATCTCCCCGAGAACCGGTCACAGTCTATAGAAGCCACAATCTGGACACTGCCGCTAGAGGCGGATTCTAAAGCGCCGGAGGCACCCATACTGTCTCGCTGTTGCGTAGACTCGGAATAGCACAAGGGTCACGAAGACGGCAACTAGAAAAGCCCGAGCAGGATGCTGGTCCCAGTGATCGTACGATGCATGTGAGAACAGAGAATGCCGAGTTAGATCCGAGACCATACCGGCTGATGTTGGGAAAAATCAACGAACAAAAAAGTTACCGACAATATTGGAGTATACAGTTTGTAAGTTCGACTGACGAATGAAAAGATGGGGAGCTACCAAACCACCGAGGAGAGTTTATCATTTGTTGCCTCAATAGACGCGGGGTAGAGCATCTCTCACAGTGATTTGACCGGGGAGATTACTGATGCTTCTTTTCGGCAATCTGTCCATTGCCCATGGTGTGAGAAAGAATGTGTCGTGATGCGGTCGTGAAAGCGGTGGAGAATCTGGAGAATCCGACGATGCATCCTTGTGGTCCAGAACATTTCTTATCTACTGCGTTCCCGAGGAGATGCACATGTGAGGTTACTAATCAACGATGCGGTATGAACACCCAGCCTGTTCCATTGGCCCGCCGAGGAAATCTGATATGCATCTACTTTTTGGTTCCTACATGCTAGCAGCGGGTTGTACACAGTCTTTGCTACTTGCCTTTCTGTATGGAGCGGGTATCACCACAAGGGTCCTTAGCAATCGATTTGCTTGCCGTTTGAAATCCCTTGTATAAGTTGGGGAAATCTGAGGGCGGTCTCCACGTTGGAAGACGACCTTCAGCACGATATGAATCAATGTTAGTGTCTGCAATCAAGCCGACACCGTAAAGCCTTGCTAAGTTACAATTCTCTATGGATGAACTCAGCTCGAATTTACTGAACTGCCCAATGAAGCAGCGAATGCTCCCAATACAATAAAAGACAAACCGTCGCCAGCGTTCCTTTATTGAAGACATTACGCTTAGAAAGCATACAATGACCAGACCCGGTATCAATATCTTGTATTCTGAAATGCAAGATGGAAATCCCCTTCTGCCGGCGTCAAGCGATGATACAAGACAATCAATCCAAAATGAACGCTACCAAGGGATAGCGGTACTCCGCCACAGAATAGTGAGTACTAAACATATAGAGGGATATAGGGATGCAGGGATACATACACGTTGACACTCATAGAAAGAGAGGGATAAAGCAAGGTCCGAAGAGACAGACCAGGATTTCTGGGAATACAGCACCACTCAGCCAGACTTTTGCAGATAGCAGATACGGGGCATAATTTCTTGATGCGCAGTCCTAAAGGACGTTTCTGCCCGGCCGCTAAGAAAGTCGCTCACGGACGGAGCGGCCCCACACCGCCACCAAGCCAAACGGACGGCGTGCACTTCATGACGCCAGGTTTCGGACGTTGCACTATACGACTTTAAACGATCTCTCTCCATGATTCAAAGGCTATATTTCTAAAGGCGACCTAAAGACGAGGGCATCAAAGGGACGTGGTTGCGTAGCTCCCGTCAGCTAGTGGTCCGGGAGCATCCCCGCAGCCCCGAGGCTTGCGAACAGAACCGGCGCTGCCAGCCCATCTCACCTCCGTCCCAATTCTGACTGCAGCCGGTGTTGCGTCTCATTATTCCCTTCCCCGAAACCTTGTGCGGGCATACCGACGTTGAATCGACGAATCGGAACTTCACACCAGAGTCCCCGTCCCCTTCCAAATCGTCCCAAGTCTCTCTTCAAGTCGTGCTCTAACCGCGACCAGAATCGGAGTATACTTTAACGCGGCTGGCTGCGGTCCTACGGGCAGCACGTTTCGTTTTTATTGACATTCAACCCTTTCCCACCATTCGCACACGACCTGTTGCGGACCTGGGGAGTCGGACATCGATTGCGTTTGATTCAGGAACGCTGTACGCAGTCAAGTGGTGCTTTCAGTCCACAACAAATGCAAATGTCTCAACAAAACCTATCAGCCATGCACCATAATCCCAAATCCACCCTGCGCGTCTAGTCGCCAAGGTTAAAGTAGCACGGGCTTACAGTAATTTTTTGGCTCATGTACGAGTTTCTATCGGAAATTCATGCTGCTCCAGAAGAGAGAGCAGTATGGTTTGGTGAATGCAATATCTTGTCTTAAAGCGCCATAGAACGGCAAGACATGCCGAGGAGATAACTCGTTTGCGATAAGGAATTCTGCTATGCAGAATGCCGAACCAGCAATTGTTCCAGGCCTCACATTGAGGCCACCACTTGGTTGAAGTTTAACACGAGCAGTGTTCACGTCGATCTGATATGAGTCTGAGATGAGCAGAAACACAGGACAGGGCCTAAGCTGGATTGCTGGCAGCAAGGAGGGCAGAACCGAGCTCATAAATTGTTGCATGCCAGAGGTAGTCCAGTTTTTGACGAAGACTTTCGGACGCAGCATTGGAGGTTAGATGAAGAGCTGAGGACATATTCCCTAAGTGAGACATTCCTGCAAGGCGGGGTCGAATAAGGAGCTTGGGCGCGGCGAAGTGTGCTTGGTGGAAACGCGGGGAACGGGAGTCTAAAGCGTGGGCGTTAGCTACCCGTCGCGGATAGCTGAATATTAAAATTTGATGACGACCAAAAACAAACCACAGGTTGTGAAGCCGCCAATCATGAAGTGATATATCTGTGCAGACCGCTTTTGACTGCAAGTCTCATGTCCGAGGGTGGCATGGCGGCGCCGGATGGGCACTGAGCCGCGGCCACAGCAGTCACTCTCCGCCAGTCAGTGACCAGAGATGGAGGCGTAGGTGCACACCGCAACTCGGTCTGGCAAAAGTGAGCTCCTAGTGGTCAGGTTTGCTGCATTGAGGACGGCAAGATGCAACAGGAGTGTGGTGAGGATTTCGTACTTTGGACGTCAATTCCTCGTCCAAGCGTCCATGGCGGAAGAGTGGGCCGAGGCCGGCAGGCTAAACCATACCATTCCCATCGAAGCGCGTAGACGGCCGGTAACACAAACACGCTGGACAAGCAGAGACGGTCGTCTGTGGCACCCTTGTCGCGCCGGCTTGAGTTCCCCGAGGGAGGTGGCGGCAGGACGACAGTCCAGCCCTGACAACTGGCATGGGAAGTGGAATGAGGCCTTGATGGACGGATATGGCGGTTTCTGTTCAAGTGTAAGCGGCGCCGTGACGCTAATGGCCTTGGATTTATGCGTCGAGGTCGGGGGGCGGTAATGGGTGTGCCAGTTATGGGGTGCAGCAGAAACGCCGCCGAAGTTTGGGAAACTCGTTCGACAGCTGGAGGCAACGTGACAGAAAGAATCGAGGTTGCGCCGGGGGATTGTGGACCGTGAGTCAGGACGCAAGACCTAAGTCGAGGCGAAGGAGGATATCTACGTTGTTTGCGGGAAGCTTGATACGAAGGGTTTGCTTGATTGCACGACGTGGGCTTGCTGACAATCCGCTGCAGGATACGTGTAAGTGGTAGGACGCCAAGCTCCGACCCTCGCTGATTATCAATGAGGTACGCCTTGTCTTCGGTCTCCACGCAGGATAGCACGGGGGACTTGGAGTATAGGTAGTTAGGTACCTTGGTTCCTTACATATGCTCGTTGATGCGCTCCTGTCTCGCAAGACCAAGACGAGTGTCGCGTTGGGGTTCACCCAAGGTTGCCGTCCCAGGACGGGAAGGTGAGGTGTGTGCGCTCGTAGCATGTCGTTCCCAGGCCCAATCCGCCTGGCCGAAATGCGTTTGGGGGGACGAGGTGGTGTGCTGCGAGCCTGCGTAGGGGAACCTGGCATGCCTGAAAGGCTGGAGGTCCCCTCCCGGCCGTGACTTCCACTTCTCCCCGGAGTTTGGGGAACGCTGGAAGTTGGGGGTTCCTTACGAATACGGATAGTTTGGCGGGCTTCTCCGCAAAATGCAAGAGAGACCCCACACTCTCCTTACGTACCTGATGAGTGGAGTCTGGCTACCTACCTATTCATCTCCGACCCACGCAACCTTTGGGAAGGACGGAAGTTCCTTCCAGGAGGTGAAAAAAAAGAGCAGGCATTCAATGCATCCCAACAAGATCGGATTTCACAAAGGACGGACGTGGAGAGCCCGCGTGAGGAGGCATGGCGATCCGGCCCACGACCCGAATGTCAGATAGAAAGCAGATTGTATTGTGTGACCCATGAATGATAAATGCACATGGCGTCCCCCCCACACCGGCAGGCGTTTCTTCCAGGAGTAAGGGCGGACTCTGTGACAATTCGAGGATTTTTTTATTTCGTCCTGTTCTCTCTGCAACCAGAATTCCCAGATAGGGGTGGCTGAAACTACCTAGCCCGAGTTGTTTTGTCACTTCGGCTAGGGGGTGAGCTTCCAAGCTTGCCACCGAGATAAGGTCGCTCACTCCCCCCGTCCCATCTTTGGTGATGACAAGAGAAAAGGGTAAGACGGGCGGCGTCTGGTCACTTTGTGTGGGAAGAAGCATTCAAAGACGGAATACCGGTATGCAAGCTGCAGCTCCGTAGCCGTCCAGATCGTGGGAAAGGCAAGCGGGACCTCGGAGGTACCAAGATACCTCACCCCACCGTAAAGTAACAACTTCAAGAGGAGTGAGTTGCAAGGCTGAACTTGCCGTACGATTTCCGTCCAATACGTTGAGAAAAAGAAGGCACAACTTCCGACTTCCGGCGGATGGGACGACCTTGATCAGAACTGGAGACCGGACGAAGCCCTCTCCTCGCGCCTTATTTCATCCATTCGATCCGTTTGGCCCGCAAGTCCCCCAAGGGCGAGGCGCAATGTCCCAGGCTGCCGTGGGGTTGTTCTCGCACCCGCATGAGCAACAAAATCCGGGGCCTTGAAAGGACGATGTATACCAACACCTACCGTACCACCTTGCCGAGAGAGAAAGAAAATCCAACGACGGGATAAGACAGCTGGGATGATCCAAAGGCGAATGGCGGTAGAACCCACGGAAGCTACCAGCACAGGAACAGCCCTGTTCTGGTCAATCCCAGCTTGCCCTGACTTAGGGCGGCATTCTTGCTCTGTTTCCCCGAATTGGCCGTCTCTTTATCTGAGGAGGTCTGCCGGCTCCATTATCCGCCGGGCAGTATTCGCAGTTCTTGGGTCCATGTTTGAGCCATGCTCCATACCCAAAGAACGGATGATAGGCAGGGAGGACGAAGGCGGAGACAGCTCTGCCTCGGCAGAAAGACGTCTTCAACCCCTTTGGCTTCTAATGACTGTCCTCCTCGTGTCTCTAGGCACCTTACCTGTATCCGTATTTGCCACCATTTTCCCGGTACTGCCCCTCTTATACCGAACACCCGAACGGTCAGGGTCAGCCCATCCGGCCCCATCGCCGAGCTCTCTCAAAGGGGCAATCAGCCCTGATCCTGGTAGAGGAACATCAACATCCACATGGAACATTCCTCCCCTTCCAGAGCTCCCCGTGAAAGCCGGGGATAGTCTTTGGACTCTGGAGACCTAGGTGCTGGTTTGGGGCTAGCCAGCACAACAAACAGACGGCAGCACGACAGAAAATTAGACTGCACGACATGTTGCTTTTTGGCTGACAAACCTGAATTCAGAGGCAGCGCAATGTACCTTGGCTTGCTGTTTTAATAGGGACGCAAAGTATCGACTAACTTTTTAATTTGCGGGTATGTGAAGAAGTGTTCACTCGAGCTACCCCGAATGCCCAAGGTAATCAAAAATAAAGTACGGCCAGTCCGCTGAGACATGATATTGCCCATTCGTCATGACCCAAGCCCAGGTGCTTCATCGTCTTATACTTTGCCTCATTAGATTACGACATCGCAAATCGCACGCCTCGCATACCAGCTCCGCGATTTTCGTTGTGTACCTGTCCATACCTCCTCTCTCCCCTTATCATCCTGTCTCAATTCTACGTCCGTTCAACATCGGTTACTCTGCCTTTCTGTTTCTGCCTGTCTTGGAGCCCGTGAGCTGTCAAAGAGCAAACTCTCGTCCATCTCAACTTTTTGCCGTACTCGCCGTATCTGACCCTCTTCTTCTTCCCTCCTCTCACGCCCTCTCCCCCCTCGTCTTGCTCATCTCCCCTTCATCGCTGCAAACCCCTGACTTTCTTCCCCACGCTTCTGTTGAACTCTCCCGGCAACTGCAACCTCACTCGTGCCTCCGTCGATTTGCTCTGCCCATAACCCACACTTCCGACCGTTCTGTTGGGTCCTTTTTGCTCCAGGCATTCCACCACCCTTGTCGTGTTTGCGCACCGACTTGACCAGCCCCGGGGGGTGGTCTATGATACAAGGAAGGAATTGTGAAATCTCTGTTACGGATCGCGCACAAACGCCCGGTCGCACCCTTTTCTCTCTGCCTCTGCCCTTTCTCTGTCCTACGTCCGCCAGCCGATTCTGGCTTGGGTTCTCAGCTTTAAATATTCTGTCGTCTGCACTTTCACCACGCCCGCTGCCTCCACCTCGTCTTCTACGCCTTCACCATCTCAAAGAATATCACTCCACTCTACTTTGCCTCGGCACCAGTTCTAGGCTTGAAAAAGCCTCTCAACAAGCAACCACATCCACAGCTGGCTTTATAGCTCCCGTTTCTCCCCATATTCTTCCGTACAGATCCGTCATCATCGGGACGTGGAGCTTGTCGACAACGCGGCATCATTCATACTCTTCGTCAAACATCGTGTGATAGCTCTTCACCGTTTTTTCGGCACACAAAATTCACAATGCCTGCCAGCCAGATCGCCTCACCTCTTCCCATTCCTCCTCAGCGGAGAAATCTGCGCCTGATGACGGGCCAAGATCTATACACGAGTTTAAACGCGACTCTCGCCTCAACCACCCACCGACCAGTGACGCCTGTACACATGATTCAAGAGAATGACTACAGCGTTCCCGCTCCTCCCCCACCAAGCCCCGTATCATTCGCCTCGGACCACTGGCAGTCATCGATCCGCCGATGAAAGTCTCTTATTCAGAGCTACGACCAATTTCTATCTGCCCACTGCTCGACACGGGGGCACGTCTTTACTTGTACAATCGGCATACGGACAAATCATGGGAGTACGGAGCGAAACGGGCGCGGAGCAAACAGTCTTTCGAATTTGAGAATGGAATATACACCAAAAGGGAGGGCTGGCACATATTATGGGGTTTCTTCTTCTCGTTAGTATGCGTATTGGTTATCGGCAGTAAGTAGCCGCAAAAAACGGTGATGGTTGGGAACAGCGAGCGTTCTACACATCATTCAGAATGCGCACTCATTTCCGTGCGTATCGAGTAGATTGGCCTCTCTAGCTACGATTTGATATTGTTAACAATTGTCTCTTGGCAACTGACTTCGCCTACATCTGCTGCGTTTTGAAAGACCCGGGGAGTGTGAATCGCTCTACGAGTGATTTGCCCGTCGACAGGGGGGGAAGGGCCGTCCCATCTTTGCATTGGGACCGTTCGAACAGCCTAATCCCCGGGTTAATTGACAGAAATGAGGCGAGCAGGGACAAGCAAGGAATCCCAAAACAGTGGTTGCAATACTTTTCCCAAAATTAAACGTAGTTTTAAAAGTCGGATAGAATATCGGTCTGGTCCGACTCCCTCTTCTTTTTCCTGTTTTTCGTCTTTTCCCCCTTATTTTCTTTTATTTTTCCTTTTTTTTGAGGATGCTTTCGCTGCCCAGTCTTCGTGTCCATTCCCGTTGGGAAGGTGAAGGATGTTGCCGAGGTTTCGCCTGTTGCGGGAGCACGGGCCATCAACACCAACGCGCCCCACCACTTAACGCGACCTCCACATCGTGTGCTCCTTTCGAAAAACGCGTCTGTCGCGGTCGGTGGTCCGCGAACCCCTAACCCGGCGTGTTGCTGCCATTGTTGCTCCATCATTTCCGCTCCCCACTCTCCTTCCAATGTACAAAACCTCTTCACTTTCTTCGCGGCTTCCCAGTATGTCAACTCGTAACTTCTACACGATTTGAGATTTTAATTGCGCTTGCCAATCCTCTCATCTTCACCTTACAGCTTTCACCTGTACGCTGCATCGCTCTCGACCGCTTACATTCTTCCATCGCCTAGACGACTAGCACTTGCACTTCTCGACGCAATGGCTCGTGCAGCGTCCCGTCGGCAGGTCAAGCCTGTTGCCACGCCAGCGACCAACCTCATCAGCAAGTATGGCCGAGTCTCCAAGACCCATCCTACTCTTGTAGACGACTCATCGAAGAAGGTCTTCTTCATTGGACTGCCTACGTCTCTTTCGGTCGCCAAGCCGGTAGTCAAGACCGAGATCAAGCTCGAGTCTAGCCTGGAGAGAGCCCTCCCCCCTCAGCCTGCAGCGACCCCCTCGAAGAAACGCAAGGCAAGATCGATCGACGAAGACAACGCGAGAAGCGACATCCCAGCACGCGAGTCTATGAAGCGCCAGCGAGTCTTCAGGAATAGCGGCAAGGACGAGCCTGTCCCCATCAAGATCGAGACAGTCCCCAAAGTCGGAACCACCACCGCCACTTCTACACACAAGAGCGCACCATCTCCAGTCGCCGACAGTCGCCGAAAGACTCACAAGTCAGACATCATCTCCCAAGCAAAGAACGAAGTCCGCAAAGCCAACCAAAAGGTCAAACGAACAAAGAAGCACAATGCCACAAAGTCGGAGATCAACAACAGAGTAGTCAAGAAGCAATTGCCTGCCGAGCTGCTGGAGCTCCTGGACTTGCAACGCGCCATCTTAAAGACTGTTTCTCTTCAACTTGTGCATCAAAACAATAACGCCCCGCTTGATATCAGCTCCATCACACCTCACGTCGCCCGCACGTGGGGAAAGAGGAAAGTCACAGTCGACGACATCCGGAGATGCATTGCCATTCAAGACACAAAGCCTGCCTGCCAAGAGGATGGGTTCCTCGGCTCGCCCTTTATCGTCACCGACTACGGCCGCGGCAAGCTCTGCCTCGAGATGGATCTCATCAAGAACTCTAGCCGCATCGATGAGGACAAGCTGTGCCAGCAATTCGAGGAGAACCTCCAAATCATGTGCTCCCAGCGCGCCATGGACGAGATGTCGGATCTCGATATCTGCTTCGAGAACCTCAGCTTCAACGATCTGCCAAAGTCCGACATTACTATTCGTCACACGACGATCTCGCAAAACCCCATGTTCGCCAAAGGCCAACGCGCCTTGACTGGGATCAAGAACGACATCCTTTCAAAGAAGCAGGAGAAGGAGGCACAAGTCCAAGCGGCCAAGTTCCCGACACTCAACCCCAATGGCACCAAGATGACCCTCCTTGACAGACTGCGAGCCAAGGAAGAAGCCAACGCCAACATCCAGCTACCCACTGGCCCAGAGCTTGCTAGAAAGAGGGCGCTGCAGCGTGTCGGAGATATTTCCGCCATCATTTCCATGCTCGTGTCGTCGTCGAATTCGGCCGGACAATTGGTCATGCCTTTTACCATGACCGTTCTGCAGCAGAAGCTGAAGGATTCAATGCGTGTCCCCATGCCCATGGAGGAAGGCGTTGATGCGGTTCGACTCATTGCCAAAGAGGTCGCACCGGAATGGTTGAAAGTTGCCACCGTTGGCGGCAAGGAGCACGTTGTCATCCAGACGAGACGCAAACCGTACGAGGCGGAGCTCGCCGCGCGAGTAAACCGACTTCTTGCATAGATGGATACATCTGAGTGGAGTTTATCAGTTATCGATGGAAGATTATTATCGAGGCTGGATGAATGCATGGCATAGCGTGTTTTCTGCATACGGAGTTTGGAAGATACCATGGAAAGAGAGACGAAAGTAATGGTGATGCGGGCGCTTGATTCACCTGCGAGAGTCGGATTTAGATATGACCAAATAAGACAGCAAGCCACATATATAGACTGCAAGAGATGCAGATAATAGAATCAGTGTAATCGTCAGCTCTGGAGTTGCCAACTCATCTATTGCGCTGTTAAAACGTCTAGGAACCGTAACCTTCGTAAAGAGCCAGCCTCTCAAGACATTTTTGAGTCTTTAGTCTTGTTCATGCTATGCAAACCAGCCGGGTCATTTGTTTTTTTCAATATGACCATTTTCCGCCCTTCCAATGACTATATTCCCAGCGCAAGGTGTGTGGGCTGCGAGCGCTCTTTATTTCGCGCAGGCTGAGTCCCACCTAACATTGTGACGATTTCACCATTGGCCGTGGAAACTCTAAAAAAAAAGAATAAGTGTGAGGAAGATTCCCGCTCACTTCTTCTTGGCGAAGCGCGGCTCGCCAATGTTGGCGCCGCGCAGCTTGATGTTGAGGACGCGCTCCATGGCGGAGAGAATCTTCTGATCAGGCGCCGCGCTGCCGCGCTCAAAGTCGGCGACGATGGACTGGGTGGTGTTGCACTTTGTGGCGAGGTCCTTTTGGGTCATCTTGGGCTCCATCTTCTGGCGCGTCTGGGAGATGGCGTCGCCGACCTCCTTGCCGACCGTGTTGGGCTTGATGATGTCGTCGGAGCGGTCGACCTTTGTCAGGCGCTGGCCTTCAACGCCGGGCTTGGTGGCCTGAAAATGGGTAGAAACAAATGTCAGTCAGCGGCTTTTGATCCCGAGGTGCTTCTCTGGGCAGGGTGTCTCGAGGTAAGGTGTTTTCTCTCTCTCGCTCTCTGTCGCTCTCTCTCTCTCGCTCCTTCATCCGTTACGAATTGAGGAATAGTGGAGAATGGAGGGGTGAGGAAGGGCCAGGTCCATGATGTCAAGCGTGAATTAAAAAAAAAAAAAAGGGTGTCGTCGCAAGCAAGCTGAGTGGGAAATGGAGGGTCATCAAAACGTACAGCATTGCCAGCAGCGTACTTCTTCTCAGTTCCAATGACGGAACCACTGCGCTGGGCGGCGTTGAGGGCGCTCTTTCCCTTGATGACGGTCTCTCTCTGCACACCTCCGCCGCGGGCCTTGGAGCCGATCTTGGTGGCGGTGTCCCAGTCATCCATTGTGGGCGATTGTTGATGTGTGAAGTGTTGTGAGTGTAGGTAGGTAGGGGTTTGTTGATTATGGTGGTCGCAGGGAATTATGTGTTTCCCTTATTCGTTGGGTCGATGATGTGGTCTCGTGAGGATCGTTGGTTTGGTTGGTGGAGGAAAGTGGGAGGTTGATACAAGAGGGCTTTGCTGCGTCAGTTTTGGGGGAGAGTTAAAGAGAGAGAGGGTCCCTGAGATACGGTCGGTGCCTCTGTGGCTGGTGCGTGGGATGGATTGGTAGGTCGGTTGGCAAATAACAGGTATGGAAGTCGATGGACAGGCATAGATGGCAAAAACCGGTGGGGGGAGGGGCGAGGGGCATCGAGGGAACTGAGCGAACTGAGCGAACTGAGTCAACCGGCGGAGGTAAGAGGGGCGGCTATCCCTGCATGTGCCTAACGCCGCGCCGACTGTCAGACTGGGCTGGAAATGGCGGGGGTGATCAGCCTGAAGAGCCTCCCGTCGCTGAGAGCTGTCCCCCGGTGGCTATCCCCCGGTGGCTGTCCGGTCTCTATGTTTGCCTGACTGCGCCACACATCAGACTGAATTCGAGGATATCAAGGTCGTCGTCGTCGTTTACCATCAGTCAGCCCGCTAAAATCCGGGAGAGCGGCCTCCTGGAAGCAGGTATTGATTCCAGTGTCATTCGCTGCTGTACAGGATAGTCGTCGACTCATCCTCGGTTTTTGCGCCGCCATGGTGCGACCCCGGCTGTATGGCAACCGCTGCCGTCATTGCATTCTGCATTTCGTGTTGCATGTTCTACGCTCATTGTTCTCACAATTCAATACCATGTCTGGCGTCAAAGGAGTACGGATTCTGAGAAGCCGTCCCGGCCGATTCAACGCCAAAATCTTGACACCTGGCAACAATCGCATTTCAGTGATGACTAATCTCATACGTCCTTGGAAGGCACAGGCAGTGACAGGGTACGGCTCAGACATGTTCACCGTGAGTCTTGATCTCATCGAACATGCGTATCGGCCCACAACCCGCCCCGTCCTCCACCCAAGGACCCCGATTTGGCAATCGCATATTAGTAGCCAAGCTTTCGTGATCCATGACGGGAGAGAAAGCCACTTGTAAACGAGAACGTTCAGATACTCGTCAACCACACCAACTTCCTACCATGGTGGTGGTATAGAGCTACCTCACCATAATACAGCTGAGAAATTTCACCAACCGGCCGGCAATCCTTCAACGCCGCACGCCGATCCCTATCCGTGTGACACCGGCCGGCTCTTCCCCTACATCTCAACGGCCGCCGCACAAGCCGGGACCGAGAAAGCATAATCAACCATGCGCACCGCCGCCGCCGACCCGGGCCTCCGGCCATTCACCCTGCTAGCAGGCTTCGCATACTACTCCCTCCTCGGAAGCTGGCTCGACACGGCCCTCCTCCTCCTCTTCACCGCATATCGCAACAAGCACGCCCTCGCCAGCCTCATCGCAGACTACACGGACCCGCAGGCCCTGCGTAACCAGCTCCTCCTCCTCCCAGGGTTCCTGCTAGGCTTCGTGTTCCTCCAAATCTGCCGCTTCTTCCTAGGCCTGACCGAGACGACGGGAACGGGGACGAGGTGGACGACGCCCGTGAGGCCGCTCTTGATCCCCTGCACGACGACGCACAGGAGGACATTTCCCCAGAAGCACGCTTTCGTGTACTCGTACCTCGTCGTCGGTATCCCCGTCGGCTGGAAGGGGACCTACGCCGGCATGGTCTCGTGCGACGTCGAGAAAGGCGGAGGCTGGCTTTCGTGGTTCTCACTGGCGCCGCGGCAGCCCGGGCGAGGATGGTTTCACGTGGATCCTGCGGATTATCTAGAACGGGGCAACGGGCACCTCGGGCTGAGGGGGAAGCTTGATGCGTATCTCACATCTCAGGTACGGTCCCCCAACGGCATTTCGTTCAACAAAATCGTGATGAAAAAACACGGCGATGAAAATGAGCTCACACGGCGTACAGGGCGCGGATCCAGCGCAATATCCCAACGCATATCTCGTTACCGCCGCCAGGTTCCTGGGATACCACTTCAACCCAGTCTCCTTTTGGTACCTCTACTCTAAAGACAAGGAGCTGACGGCCATGGTCCTCGAGGTGAACAACACCTTTGACGAGCGCAGGATGTACTTTCTCACCGCGGACGCCGTCCCCTCTGACCAGCGTCTCGATGACGGGACACACATCGACATTGCAGAGTCAGCCTCACAGGAAGCAAACGTAGAATCGGCCGCCAGAAGAGCGCCGGTCAGGATGATAAAGACCTGGCCAAAGGACTTCCACGTCTCCCCCTTCAACTCCCGCAAGGGCTCCTACTCCCTCTCGGCAACAGACTTCTTCGCGGGAGGAACCGACTACACCCTCGACAGCACAATCACCCTAAGCTCCTCCAAAGACCACCCCAAAATCGTCGCCCGCCTCTTCAACTCGGCGCCCGCCATCGACCCGGGCACCATGATCGCTCTGCAAAAGTTTACTTTCTTGTGCCGCTGGTGGTGGGTCGGCTTCGTGACCTTCCCGCGCATCGTCAAGGAGGCCGCTGTCCTCTCCCTCCGCAAAGGTCTGCACGTGTGGTTCCGCCCGGAGCCCCTCAAAGAGAGCATCGGAAGGAAGGCAGACGCGACGGAGGGTCGACTGGAGCCCGTCTTCCGGGCCTACCTGCAGCAATTGGTCGCGCAGTCCACGGCCGCAATCGCCGTCAGATACATTCCCGGCGGGACGTCTGCCGCAGCCGGCACCGGAATCGAGACGATGCTCTCGCCGGCGGCCAAAAAGAACCCAAAACGCACCGAGCATCTCGACTTCAAGGTCCTCACGCCCGTCTTCTACACCCGCTTCGTGCGCTATGCCCACGACCTAGAGGCCGTCTGCTGCGAGTTCCAAGACAACGGCACGCTCTGGATCTCCCAACCGGAGCTTCTACCGAAACTCATCCTCAAGACACCCGCGCCACCCCTCAAGACGACTAACATCCTGGACTTTGTCTACTTCATGGCCATACGCGCCCTGCGGCAGAGGCCGGAGCGCATCGAGCGGCCGCTGACCTCAGCCGCGAAGAATACGGGCAAAGACGGACGAGGAGGGGACGGTAACGGCGCCGGCGTGCAAAAGGTCGATATCCGTGACTTCCGCATCTCTTCCATGGACGGCTTCGTCCTCGCACAGACGAACAGGCAGACGAGGAGCACTTACAGGTCGCTCGTCCTACGGTCGTTTCTCGCTGACCGCTTAGCGCTGGGGAGCGTGGAGCTCCTGGATTTGCAACACTTGGTCCTGCGCGCGGGCGTGGCTTGGATCTTGTCGTCGACCGTTGCTCCGCTTGTGAGGTTGTGAGAATTTGAGATTCATAGTCCTTAGTAAGCGCCATGCATGCGGCTCATATTTGTGTTCCTAAAACTAGACAACGGGCGGTCAACGCCTAGTAGAAAGCATAGAGAGAGAGGGAGGGAAAGAAGAGCTAAGATGCAACAAGCAGGAGAAACCACTCTCCACCCTGCTCCAGATAGATGACGATTCTCTCTGGCTAGACCAGTCCATCTCAGCCTTCAATGTATGTCGCCGATGATCAAACATGTTAGCCAACTGCTCATTGTCTGCATCGCCCAGCTGGTCCCCCTCCTCGTATGCGCCGAGTTGTCTTCCGTGGCTCACTGTTATTGGGGGAGATGCTTCGTCTCAGATAAGGCCGAGGAGATAAAGTTGGTTGCTTACCTACATTTCATCATTTACTTGCTGCAGTGCAGCGTATCATGAGCAACACCGCACAAGGAGATCACACGCCAGCACACGGAGCTGCGTGGTGATGGATACTTTCAGATCCCCCAGCTGTGGATCTTGGTGTGCGATCTGAAGCAGTCCAATGGTTATAGCTAGTATTTGAAATACTTGTCTCTTTTCCGTGCTCCCCCAACCAAAAAGCAGATTTGGCAGGTAATCTGATTAGGTCCATGTAGGGGCGGGCGGGCAGTGAACGCCGATTTGCATCTCTTTGCATATGGTACCTTACCTGGGTGAGGGGTTCCCTTACCTCATGTCCGTTAGCTTGCATGGACCAAGTAAGGGGACGCTATCCTAGAATTGAGCACGCGGCATACGTTCGCGCCCTTACTCAGCATGCCATCTTATGTGCAGGGTAAGTAGCGTTCGTGGAAGAGAAGAAAAAAAAAATATGTCAAATCAATTAGTTCGTTTGACGAGCGTAACGGGTAAAAGTCGTCTCATGTTTCAATCGTTGATTCAATGTTTTGTCAATGGCATCTGGAATACCTACCTACGCGAATATGGTTCAGAATATTGCCCGTGAGGTGGCGCACTCTTCCCCGCCCGTGTTTGGATCCCCGCCCGATTTCCGAGAGGCCGGGGGAAGCTGGTTGTGGAGGGGGCTGGAGGTCCTCAAGAGTGGACTCAGCGGAGGGCCGGGGTCACGTCACACTCTCCAAACATAGCTCGCCCTCGGGCGCCTTGCACCGCATTTGGTGGTTGCCATTACTCGATTCGCATTGATTTGCAAGAGAATGCTTGCTGAACCACTCTACTAGGCATGCGGCCGACAAGTAGTTATGCACGTATGCCACAGTGGGTGGGGTCGACGTGGACATATTTCACCCAGCCAGGACTCTCGAAGCCGAGGACTCGAAGTGCCGCAGAGGAGAACGAGAGTGTGTCGTGCTAAGGCGCCGGCCAGCTGCTGCTGCTGCACTAACGCGGGTCCGGTCCAGCATCAAAAATTCCAAATCGTCCAGTCCAGGGCGGGTGGCGGGGGGCTGCGTTCGAGAAAATCGTACAGTGTTTCTCGAAGCAATGATCCTGGCATCTCGTCAGCAAACCGCAGCTTCGATCCAACGAGCTCTTATCACAGACGTACCTTTTGTCGTGGAGAGGGGGTTCTAATGACAAATTGAGATGGTGAAAAGACAATTTATCCAAGGGACCCGAACGCCCGTGGCTGGCGCAAAACCGAACACTGGTTTGATCTTCGCCTGCTCTGAGCCCCCTCCGTGCCCCTCCGCGGGGTCGAACTGTTCGAGTTCGAGACATAAACATCCAAAGCTCGCTTGAATATCAGGATACCGTCGTGCTACAGCGTATACTGAAAAGCGCTCGCCGTACCCCGGCAATCTCTAGGCCTGTGCTGTACTGTACTTCGTGGTATATGAATCGAATTTGGGAGCAAGGATGTCATTCAGGCTCTTGCCGATATAGCGTGCAACCAGGATAAGCTGCCCGCCGGTCGAATAGGAACGCCAAGGAACTCAGGATCGCCGTGGCCTGCAGCGCTGACAGAACCGTTTCTCGAATTGGTGGACCCTTTCTCCTCATTGCCTTCCAAAGTTGTCCAAGGTCTTGTTTCCAGGGTTGGGTCGTGTTCGATGTTCCGGTTCCGATCGAGGTCAGGTCTACAACCACGAAAGGGGTGATGTCTCGCAGCTTTGTGGAGGACTCGTCGGATGTATAAAACGAAGTAGTTTTCCCTCGTGAATTCTGTGGTTCTTTTGCTCTGCCAGGAAAAAAGCACAAGTGCCAATCTTTGGAAAGTCTTTCTTTCTTTGACGTCTCAATAATCGTAACTTGAGTCGTGGTCGCAGCCATCCACCATCGGAAATTCCCATTCCACGGTTTCGGACGCTTCTCCCCGCTCATCCGGTTTGGCTCCAGGACAGGTACCTCAATAAGGTAAGTGACGTCGTCGGAAATATGTCAGCGCCTCAAGTGGTGTTCGGAGGTCGCCAGCTAAAACTTGATGCGCCACCAGATACCCCGCCCCCTCCATCGCCAGAAACAAAAAGGCTTGTTCCCGTCCATTGCTTCTTCGTTCAGAGGCTTTGCTTCACTGCACTTTTCTCCAACCACTTAGAACCAGCTGTTCTCGAAGAACCCAAAAACTTTTGCAACGTACCTTTCCGACTTTGATTCATATATCCAACATGCCTCTTACGGGACACTGCCTCTGCAAGGCCGTCACTTATAAGGTGGACGTCGATGAGCCACTCCTCACCGGCTATGACCACTGCGATGATTGCCAGCGCCAGAGCGGTTCAACGTACTGTACGTGTGATTGGCCTGCACTCTTTTCTTGAAATATCGATATCGTAGCCTGAAGTGGCTTGCTCGAATCCGCAGCTGATATCCCGAGGGTGTACTGATGACTGACCCTGATTAGCCCTCGTCGCCGTTGTTCCCAAGGATAAGCTAACCATCAACGGCCCCACGAAGAGCTGGGCTGGTAAGGGCTCGTCAGGCAAAGATGTTCACCGCATCTTCTGCTCTGAGTGTGGCTCGCCAATTGCTCACGACCCTGACGCAGCCCCAGAGATCATCGCTATCAAGGCGGGCACCCTCGATACTGAGATCAAGAAGAACCTGAAGCCGGTCAGTCGAGCAACTGTCCCCATTGTCGATCGAAAACACCCCTCAATTGCCGTGGTCTCGGTCCGGGCAAGTGCCATAGACGAATGTTGGGGCTAACGATTCATCTCCAGGACACCGAGATCTGGACTGTCGGCAAGCTGCCATTCTGCCAGGAGAACTTGGCAAAGCCGTTCAAGCACATGCCCGAGTAATTCCGGTCGTACGAAGTAGTGAACAGAATTGGAATGCATGTGGGATGAGATATACCCCTAGGCTCTAGGAAGGAGGGTCTGAGTTCCAACTTATACGCCGCGCCGGAGCGACAAGGACAGCATGGACAGGTGTGGGGAGTTTGTGGGTGTGGTGGATTGGCGTGAGAACCTGGATGGTTATGTTGGCATCGGGCTCAACTCGACATCCCATCGACCCACGTTCGTCGTGACCCAAGTGCACCCAGCCATCACCTCAACTCGGACAAAATCTTCAGAAGGAATCTCTCGAAATTGAATACAAGGCAATTGCTCTAAGAAGAAACAATCGCTTCTGGCCCAGCCAGCGTCGATTAACAGCTTCGCCCAAACAGTTGGCGTTGCCGTTACTCCCGCATCAGCTGTCATAAGCCAGGCGCAGTTGGAGAAATCCAATTCTGGGCTTGGCCGTCTCAGTTCGTGATACGTTTCAAGCTTGACATGGTCATGATCACGGTTCCGCCAAGTGGAATGGTTGAAGTTCACTCATTCAATGCTCATGAATACTTGATTGAATCATGAACGAGTAGCAAGCGTGACCATTACTTCTATCATTAGGTAGACCTTCCTACACGGCCACCACTTTCTCCTGCGTCAAACTCCATGCTGCGAATTCTCAAAAAGCTCTTACAATCCTGCAAACACTGCGAAACCAGCAGCCCCCATCAAGAATCCACCTGCAGCGTAGGCTGGCATCGCACCACTGCCAGCGGTTGTGGTCGTGGCCGCAGCACCCGAAGCTGTACCGGTGGTGGCAGTTGAAGCACGAGTAGGGGAACTGCCGCTTCCTCCCGAAGCTGAGCCGGTTGCAGTTGCAGAAGGGCTCGTCGTCGTGGGACTAGCAACAGCAGTAGCACTCGCAGCTGCGCCGGTGATGGTGCCGGGTCCTTGAGGGCCGGTAGCCGTATAGTAGAGAGAAATAGCTGTGTTGCTAGGAGCTTGATCGCTTGTGGCCGTTGCGCCAGTCGTCACAGGAGTGGCCGCAGCCTCAATGACGGAATAAATGCTGGCGAAAACTGCAGTAGGAGTGCCAGTGCAGAGAGAATTGGAGGCAGATGAAAGGACGCCGCTGTAAAAAGCTAGGGACCGCTGGCTGCGAAGGCCGTGAATAGTGAGGCATCGCTCGCAGGCCAGTTTCTCGGCGAAGAAGCTACCTCCACAGATGCATTGAGCGTGTGCCTCGTAGTCGATGGGGTTGGTGCCATTAGGAGTGCAGGCAAGCTCAATATTCTCAATCTGGACGCAAGGGGGAAGCTGGGCGCCAGGGCCTGTCTGAGGCTTACAGACAACGTCTTGGTACGGACTGCTGCTCTGGCGGGTGTCGAGAAGGGCTGGGACAGACCAAGCCTGGGCGGTAGAGGGAAGCATGGCTGTGAGGCCAGCGATGATAACTGTCTGTCTCATGTTGGTGTATTTGGAGCTCTGGCGAGCCGGTCAAAGTGGCGTAGCGGTAAGATGAAGATGGATGACGAAGAAACTATTGAAGAGAATAGATGCAATGGCAATTGATGTGGGAATTCCAAAAGGAATTAGCTTGCTGGTTTAAGTGTTGAAGGCAGCTATGGAAGAGTTTGGTGATGTGTGCAATGTAGTTGGATGGGAGAAGAAGAGATGGGTAGGGGAGAGGATTGAGCGGATGAGAAGAAGAAGAACATCAGGGCATTGTCCACTGATTTGGCTGCTGCCTGTATCGCAAGTGCCCTCTTGCCGTGACTACCAATTTGCCAACTCAAGCGTTCGTGCCTTACCTCAAATCACTTTGCCTACCTCGTCTAGCATCCAGGGGGGAAGGCGCGGGCGTGGGAGCGCATGCGTCGAAACGGGTCAAACGGGGAAGGTATCGCGGGCAGTATATACAAACATTGGATCTTTGGTAGCAGACCATACCCTTTCAGTTCACCTTGGGACACCCAGGATTCCAAGAATATGTTTTGCCGTCATTGCCGTCAACAATGCGCCATTAACGGCAAGGCCTGTTGGAGGGGAATGTTGCCAGAACAGATGGTTTCTCACGCCGGCGGAAATCGATACTGCGGCACAGTCGAAGAGTGACTACAGACTGTCCAGTCACGGCTCAAATAACTGACTTGAAGGGGACTAGTCGTGCAAGGGTGGCACTGTCCACACCTTCAACTGATAAAAGCTCGGGCGGAAGTGTGGGGCTGATGCTTGCCCTTTTGGCAGGGGAGCAATACCTGCCAAGTTATCCGTACCTTTTCGAAGGCGTCCGGGCAGGAGGGTATCCATCCCGAGCCACCGTGCCACCCCTCGCCGTGCCTGTTTGCCAAGCGAATCAGCAACCACAAACCGTCACTTCTTCTGTGAGACGCTCGCAGCAAGGGTTTCTGTTGTGTACCGATCGAAATGTGCCCGACTTCTAACTAACATTGCCTCACCTTGCCTTGCATGTTGCCGGGTTAGCTGCTAACACATGGCCCCTGCTACCTCTACCAATGCCATACGGGAAGGAATTAAGGTAGACGAATGGGCGACTCGGTCTACTATTTTCCACATTAGTTGATCATGTCAAGTCCCAAGGGGAGACTTGCATCGTCACTTCTCCCACGATGAATATCTATGCTGCAGCGGCAGCAGCCGGAAAGCTATGATCAAGAAGAAGTAAGGGATCACTCACGGGATGCTTTCTTCGCACTAAGCTAGCCACGTACCGCATTGGGTGACTTAAGTGCTGCTGTTATCAGCCGCAAGGCGCCTTCCACCGCGTGCTTGCTAGAACGACTAATAGCTCGGGGCAACCGCCGGTCGAGTCTCCGAGATTCGTTCGTCGATTCTCTTGCCGCAGGGGTTAATTAAGCTTGTTTGCGCAAGCGTGGTTAGGCCTGTATCTCATAGTGAAGGTGCCCACATGTGGTAGGAAAGACGCCGATCTGTCCAACGACGCACCTCCCCTACGACAGGAGAAAGGACAATACCCAGGGAATCCTCGTCATTGTCAAATTTGAGTTTTGGCTGATTTTCTCCCGAGTCGTTGAAAGCTGCCGGGGACAAAGTCAAAGTCTGTGGCACCCTGTGGCGTGCCTCATACCTTTGATGCTAACCTTGAAAACTCGAAACTCCACCAGCATCGGCCTCTCCCCGCCAACTCACAGCCCTACGTAAAGTGCCTCACCACACTTATCCAGCCACAAGTCTGCATTTAGTATGCGAAATGGACGGAATCTGCCTCAAGTTTGACCACCAACCACTTCAGCGGTCCTGAATCCGAGCTGGACGAGTAATCGCGGCAGGAGCCTGCTACAGGTCGCCGGGCATAACCCCTCCAACACTGTGGGCTGGCCTAGAGACTTTTGACTTCGCGAATTGGACCCCATATCCAACTCTATTAGTGAAAGGCGCCATCTCAGCTCAGTTCAGTGTCTATTTTTTTGGTGCGGTAAGCCATGACCTTAGCTTCCCAGCCGGCTGCCAGGCTCGGCTCGGATTGAATTGTTGCAGACAAGGTGCAGGTAACGTCCTTGCGCTGAAGGGACGCTTTCTCCAGCCACGCGAAGCCAGATGTCTGGCTTCTGCGGCTGAGGGGCAGGTCGACGAATACTTACCTATATGACATTCCTCGCCCCCCGAGACTCCAAGCTCGCGAGCTCCGTAATGTCTTCAAACAGGCGCTCGTCCAAGTTCTCGAATGATACGCATGCGCTTCATCCAAGAACTCGGTGCCATCTTTATCACTATTGCGCCGCTGGTTTCGGCTGTTGTGCGCTTCTACACCCTCGACAGGCCCAGCAAAGTCTCAGCATTGCGCTATCGGCTGATGCCGACCTCTCCAAGTTACACGAAATACTGAACAGTAATCCGAGAATCAAAAGCAATATAACCTCCGGGACGAACAACAAAGTCACCCTTCTGGTGCCTACCAATGACGTATCCACCCAATTCGTTAAACACTTTAACATTAGCGAAATATCCCAGCTCCCCGTGAGCCAGCTGTTAACCGTCTTTCAATACCATATTCTGCATGCTACTTTCACAGCCACGAACTTCAGCGCACCAAGGGGCATCACAGTCCCCACAAAACTTCGAGATGAACTCTACAACCTTCGGAGCCCTGACCCTGCCATCATTAACCAGTACGGCGACAACGCTCAGGGTCAGGTGTTTTTAGTTTCGCCGAGCACCATAAATCCTACCAAATACAAAGTCAAAAGGGACGTCCTCCGATGACCATGCCTCAAGCTTGCGTGGTGGTCTGAGCCAGACTGTGGAGCTCATACGGATCGATGGAGTTCGGGATGGCGGATCCTTCCAGTCCATCGATACGTAAGTGAGTGCTGTATGTCTCTACACGCAGTTTATGCTTGTATTCCTAAAGTGTTCTAGAAGCACCAAAAATGTGGTCTACTACTATTAAGAAGCTCTCAAGCTCCTTGTCGGTTCACGGGGATGCATTAGACACGATTAAGTTGTGGAAGCAGCTTGAAAAGACCAGCAACATCACCTGCCTAGGACCTAATAGCGCACTTTTGAAAGAGGCTGGCAGTCCTCAGAGTTCGCTCAGAAACGAAGACCTCAAAACGCGTTGCTGTGGGTCGCAAGTCACGATTCGGGAGAAGGAGAAGCTGCAATCATGATGTCAGAGTGATGAACATAATTGTCGGATGCTTCATTCAAGGACGTCGGAAAGTTGAGCACCGTGGAAGCATGCAGGTCTCCACGTCATCTATCGCTTAGACGACGGTATTTACTCGAAAGTAATGCTTCCAAATTGGAATTTTCCCTCCTTGCTCCATCCCATGCCGTTAACAACACGATGCGTTGTCAGTTGTATCGTATTTAACATGAAATTATGCCGCTATTTTTGCCTCTGAAGTCGTAATAGCATCTTTCTACAGAACTGCCAAGCTTATTGTCTCATATACGAAGAGGGCAGTAACCCTGACAAAGGGATGCCTTTGGAATCCTCACCGACCACTTCGTTCAAGGAACCAAGTGTTCATGTGATCTAGCCGGCCGCTCGATTTCCTGCTTAACTACGAGCTCGTTTCATAGAGCTGAATATAAGCCCGCTTCATAGAACTAAACCAACCTCTCAATCGTTTCTGGATCTGTGGCTAAGCTGTTCAAGGCTACATGATGAGACGTGAAAGTCCACGCTAGGTCGTGGATAGCTCGGCACGCCGCTTCCTATGGACCAGTGTCAACGGCCCAATCACGCAGGGAAAGGGAGCTTCCTTCTACGTCACTTTAAAACGGGCCAGCCTTATCATCTCTGGGTACTTAGTCCTGAGATTAGGATCATATTTGTGGCGCTCTTGGTGCGTTGCGTGGGGGGTCCGTCCTGAAGCTAAGGGAGGGAACTAAGACACAGTCTTGGGTAGCTCTTGCTGAGCTGTTCCCCTTCGGTCTTCGCCAGCTGTTCACCAACCTAGTCCCGCTCCCCCCCTCGAGCAGAAAAAAAAAAGGAAGGAGAGGTTACAGGAACTCTCCTTCAAACTCCTACTAGAAATCTACATCTCGCATCAGTCACAAGGCCTGCGGTTTCAGTCAAATTCTCATCGCACCTCGTTCGCCCCCAAGGCGGCACCGGGAAAAAAAGCAACCGACGTCTCCCGCTTCGCAGCAAAACAGCGGACCACCGATGGGGGCTCAGCGGCCTCCGAGAGGAGAGACCCACGTATCGGTCATGGTACTCCGGGCCATCGGAGATCTCCCCGCCATCATCTGGGAGGTCCTGGCCGCCATCATATGGGAGGGGTGGGTCTCCATCACGAACCAGCTGCGTCTCCTCATGGCGACCTACCCCCTGATGGTACTCTTCTTCTTTTCCACCAGCGGTCTCGACGTCACGATGCTGGTCAGCACGTGTTGCGTCGCCTACCTCTACGCGTGCTTCCTCTACTATTTCCGCCTGCGAGACCGGCTACCCTGGGCGTGCCTCGTTGCGACTCTCCTCTGGTTCGAAGGCCCGGACAGGCAATTGATGCGTCGCGGGGCAGTTGCGGTCTTCATGTTGGCGCGGGACGATGACTGGAGCGCCGTGGTGGACAAGAGGTTGCGGAAGCAGACGCTGCCGTGGCAAGATGGGAGCGGCTTTGAGTTTCTGTACAACTTTGAGGGTCGCGAGCTGCTTCGGGATGTGGCTTTGTACTGGGTCAACACGCTCTGCTCGTCGTTTGGACGGCACCGTGTACCTGATGACTTCACTCTGCGGACTTCGGTCAGGATTATGGATGTGCTGGTCTTGCCGCTTCTTGGGCTGGTCGACTGGGCTTGGCGGTACAGGCAGTCCCGAAACGCGTGAAATTCATCGAAATGCAGAGGAAGGGTGGGGACCATGTGTTGTTGCAGGAAGGGATCTGAGTGCGTAACAATGAGAAGGCAGGCAATGGTGCTTTTTCAGAGGAAGTAATATTTTTTATTCTAGTAATCGTAATCACAATCCGCGTTGAAACATGGACCATAAAATCATAACAAGGCTGGGTATCGAGTTGAATCGAAAGAAAATCATATCCGCCCAAATCCTGGAGACAAGGACCGTCCATCGCCTCAGGCACTGACAGGACCGGCCTCGTCCTGCCACCACTCCATGAAGGTCAGAAGCCTCTTCGTACGCTCCCGCGCCATCTCCCTTCCGGCGTCCGTCTTCATCATCCCTTCGAGCCTGATCAGCTTCTCCTCAAAGTGGACGATGGAGTCGTCCATGCTGCGCGCACCCTTGGCACCGCCAAACGTGAAGCAGCGCCCGATCCCCACGGCGCCGATAGCGTCGAGGCGGTCTGCGTCCTGCACGACAGCGAGCTCCGGATACTCTGCGATTAGGCCCCGAACGCGAGGTGGATCTTTGATCTCGCTGGAGTAGCTGACGCCGAGGCAAATGGTTTGCACGCGGGCTGCGAGTTCCGGTTCTGCACCGAGGGACTGGAGGACGGCGGAGACGAGGGTCGAGGCGTCCTCGCCGGGCTGGAGGTACTTGCGGTCTCCGACGTCGTGGAGGAGGGCGGAGAGGGTGATTATGTGTTTGTCCAGGGCCGGGGTAGCTGGTGATCGTGCGTGAATGCGGTGAGCGAGAGAGACGACGCGCTTAATGTGGTTGAAGTCGTGGGAGGCGTCGTATTTCGCCATGTAAGCCTCGACGTACTTTGTCACCTTGGAGACGAGCTCCTCGCTGATTGGTGACGTGATTTGAGCCATTGGGGATGACGAACTTGATGGGTTAGTCTTCCAAGTCTTTAAGCCTCTTTTTTTTTGGGTAGATATGGACAACTGTGTTTGGTGAACTTGAGGAGACTGGACCGCCGATGGCATTTATCAAAATGTCGGTGCAAATTTTCTCACTGGTAGTTTGGTAATCCGATTTATTCGACAGGGCTTTACCTTGAGGACGTCTATTAATGCAAAGGATTCATTTGATGAGAGAGGGGGTTGCTGCCTTGGATCGTTGACTCAGACCAACCAATTAGCAATTTTTGAACGCGACTTCGTTACTATGCACTAACGTACCAACCTAAAGTAGATACTTTGAATCTCATCAACGCGAAACGCGCTATCACGGGATGTCCCACGTGACCGTGGCTAACTGTAGGTGGACACCACTGCTCCCAGATGGCCTGTTCCTCTCACGGGCGATCCCGCTGTCTCCCGCCAGGTCCCCCCGTCACCAACAAAGAAAGACACGGCACACTCCCGACCTCAACACACCATTACAGATCTTGGATGGCCAAGCATCCGGAACAACGTCCACAAGTCTATCTGCTGTGATGCTACAACACACGTAACACTCATGGGAGCCCAGCTTGACAGCCGACATCGATCTCACCATTGTGAGGTCAGACCGCTTCAAGCTCGCAGTGTATGTAAGACATCTGTCGGCATCCAAGGCCAGGCCGATATACCAGAGTCGCAGCCTGCTTGCGAGGCGGTGTCATTCGCAGCCCTTTCTTGCTTTCGGATGGAGTGCTGATCGCGATGAACCGGAATTTTGCGGTCCAGACCCACGGCATGCATTCTCAATCCCAGATCCCAGATACGATGAGAGAAATACTATGGCGGGCTTGCCGTTCCGGTCGGCGGGGAGTCCAGCAGTGTGATGGACCTCACATACCCGCCGAAGCTAGAGACGCATGGAGCCGGATGACACGCCTTCGATACTATGCCGAAGGAGGATGATAAGAAGAACAAAAAGATGCTGTTTCTCATATTGCACCTCCATTATCCTTTGAGGTGTGGATGGCTCAAGGGTCACGCAGACGAGCGAGTGCCGACCGAAGGCGGAGGACGGCAGTTTGTACTTGGCGGGCCGCACCACGATTGGCCATGTCGACTGACAGGGCCAGACCGCCAGGGCAAGCCCACGGCAGACGAGGCAGAGAAGCACGCACTTTAAAGTTCGCTACCCCGTTTTCTGCGCCTTTTCCAGCTCCGAATCTCGAGCGTGTTTGATCTCCTTCAGCCGTTGAGGCCAAGTCTGTGGGGAGTCTTTTGACGTTGTCATTGTTCTGACTTTCACTGAATATGTCCAGCGATGTTGATACTACCTTAGACTGAAGAAGTTGACGTTTCTGCTTTGCCAGATCTCGACAGCCCCGACCATGACTCGATGTCAAGGCAGGTACGGGAAGTAGGTGGCATCCTAGAGGACGCAGACTGGTCTGCATATCACCCAGGGAACCCAAAGCATAGCTTTTGGCATCATATTTGCTCTCCGTTTCTTCCGACTCGTGCGATCTTCAGTTCTTCCCTGGTCGAGCGGCTGGAACGGGTTATATCAACTGACAATACTCCAATGAGGAGGGACATCAATCTCAGCGAAGCTCACACATCTACATGCAGCCGGCATGCATATTGACTCGTTGCATGATGTAGTATGCCAGTTGACTGTTCGCGGATGCGGCCATACGGGCGATTACCATGCGGGAATTGAGAGGAGGGCTTTCCTGCTCATCTCACACGGCACGAGGACGAGCCAATCCCAGCGGGACGGCAGCTATTGAGGAGGGCTGGATAGCGTGGGAGCTTGGGAGCTTCTGGTGAGTGGTGATGCTTTCGCAAACCTGCATCGTCCGCCCACAGTCTTGATTGGCCCGACCTGCAGCACATCACTTGGTGATGGGTGATAAGCGACCGACCACAGAAGAGCGATGGGCGTAGGCTATTGGCCAATGACGGCAGGGATTTAGACGCCCATCTAAAGACAAAAAGAGCGGCCGGCCCCATACAGCACTGAGATCGGAGGAACGTACCTCTGTACCGCGCTTTAGTCCCGGGTCGTCCCACTTTTCTCTTCTATTTTCGCCGACGGCTGTCCAGGAAACCCCTCTCCCTCACCATGCTTAACCGCCCAGCTTGCAGACCTGGCCCATCCCGGCGGCCAGCTTTTGGTGGCACCTCTAAGGCAACGAGCTAGAAGGAAGAGACGGGGGACACCGCGGACGATGGGAGGATGGTACGGCGACGGGTCTCCTCGATAGAGAGCTGCTCTCGTTCTTATTTGCCAGTACACCTCGGAGACACACACATTAGTGTCCATTCTTGGACGAGGGGAATCCCGGACGGCTGATCCTTTCGACGTCGCCGCAGAGCACATCACCAGTGTGATATTGGTTGCTTGCATCGACCATCCACAAGTCTCGTCCTCCCCAGCCCTTCTCTCATTGGGTCGCCCGTCAAGTAACGCTTGATTTTTGCACGCTACGGACGCTCCACGGTCCACACCTGTGCTGACGAGCAACAAGTTCCCGTTGCTCCAGCCATGACCGGCGCCAGTAGCACCGCATCTCAAGTGGCTGTACCAACCCACCAACAAGATGGGAAGGCAGAGGTAGACGAGAGGAGGAGGAGGTGGTGGTGTTGGCCTCAACTAGGGCCTCTTTTGGGCCTCCCAGGGTGGCCGATCAAACCATATAATGGAAGCATCCCATCCTTTTCGATTCCCTTTCCTCTTTCTTCTCCTCAGCAAGCATTCAAACAACTAATTCCAGTTCTTCGTTTTTCCCCTCCTCCGTTTTTGTTCTTTCTTCTTTCCATAGAGCCGGTCTCTATCTTAATTCACACTCCAAACTAATACCCAATCTTTGCAAATCATCACCACCAAAGTTGCCGGTCAACTGATCCCCTAGTAACGGAAATCTGGAATTTCTTGCTCAAAACGCACATTATTCAGCAACACCACTTAATCGCAGCACCCTTTCGTCAAAAACCGCAATAATGTCGTCCACTCAACTCTCCTTCTCCCTCCGTGTTTCCTCCGGTGTCAAGACCGTCCACTTGCTCGGCTCCTGGGACGGCTATGTCGGCCAGCTCCCCCTTTCCAAGGATAAGACTTCCTCCAAGTCCGGCTCATGGAAGGGCACCTTCAAGTTCGGTGGCTCCACGCTCTCTGCCGGCTCCCGCTACTGGTACTACTACATCATCGACGGCTACCACGTCGCCCACAACCCCAGCGTCGCCTCCACCGTTGAGCCCACTACCGGCCGCGAGCTGAACATCCTCGACCTCCCCTCCAGCGGAAAGTCCTCCAGCAAGTCCAGCTCCAAGTCCAGCAGCACCAGCAGCTCAAAGTCATCCTCCAAGTCATCCTCCCACTCCTCTTCCCGCAGCTCCCGTCACTCCTCCAAGGATAAGGACGGCAAGTCCAGCCGCCACCGCTCCTCGTCCCGCGACATCCCCAAGGGTCGCCCCCTCTCCGTCTCCCAGATCAAGGCCCCCAAGCCCATGTCGCCCCACGCCACCCAGCACATCCTAAACAGCGACTACTGCGATGACGAGACCATTGAGGAGCTCACAGCCCGCTTCGGCGCCGCCGGCTTCGATGAGGAGGATATCGTCACCGACTTCTCCAGCTCCCCCGTCTCCTCCACCGGATCCAGTCTGTCCTACCGCTCCGACAGCTCCAGCCCCAGCTCCTCCCTCTCCGGCTACAGCACCCCCGGCTCCGACGTCAGCACCTGCACCTGCGAGCGCTACGGCATCACCCGCAAGGGCGACCGCGTCAAGATCGACTGTGGCGGTGCCCGCTGCGGCTACGACGACAGCTCCGACTGCTCCGACTCCGAGGAGGAGGAGGAGGAAGAGTACGCCCCCTCCACCACCCGCCGCCACGGCATCGTCGTCAGGTGAAGAGCTCAATTCTGCCCTGGGAAGGGATCACCTATCACAACAACATCACCACGAGAAATACACGAAGAAGAAGGCCCCATGTGGCCGTACATTCATTTCGTCGCGCGATGCCCCGCGCTCGCCGACGGCTAATCATTGCATCCACCGAAGAAGCGGTGCGGCCGAGCCGGTCTTGGCCCGCCCGCCTCCTCGTTCCAAGTGGGTCGATGCTGCGACCCCACGCCGCGGTGGCCGTCGCCGCCGCCGCCGCGCGCGTGACTACCTACCGTTTCGTTTGTCATGTTCCTCAACACTTGACAACAACGGAGCCATCTTCGCATCCCTCCGGTAATAGGGAGAATGCGAGAGACCGAGACTCCAGGGGTTGGAAAAGGAGCCAGCGCTACCGCCGCTCCTGGGGATGGACCGTTTTCTCGCGGCAACCGGGCTGGGCTTTTTGGGAAGGCTCCGGGCAAGGCCGCTTCATGAAGCATCATGTAGATAGCAAAGATACCGCCACAGGCGGCATGGATAGACGCCGATTGAATCTATTCATCATTGAACACCACCTTGAACGTGCATCGCTTTGAGTGTCTGGAGTAACAAATCGTTATCACCTTGACCTAGATTTGCTTCCCCGGAAATATAAATTGCCGTGAATTATCGAAAACGGCGAGTAGTGGTTTTGCAGCCGGCAGGTAGTTACGCCGTTGTGCCCGCCAGGAGTTCTGTCCACTTCCACAGATTAAACGCCCTGACGGTCGCGGGTCGGTGCTCGGGAGAAAGATCCCCTGAAGAAGGCGGGGCCAACAACGTCAGAACCTCAAGCGGGGAGGGGACTCGGTGGGGGCAATTGCACCGCAGCTCGCCCACTAGAGCTACGAATAAAGGGACGAGACAAGGGTGCGTCGCTGCTGCAACCCCGCGATGTCAAAGAATAGGTGCGGGGACTTCACATCCCTCCTAGCTCACACTCTCTCTATGCCTTCTTCTTCTTCTTCTCCTGGCCTAGCTTCTAACGTCTCCTTCCCATCCACGACGCTAAACTTGCGTTATTCAGCCTCAATTATTCCAGGCGAACATTCAATCAGACCTTAGGAGGAGTGTACAACCTCCCATAGACCATCCCTCACAACTGAAGCCGGCAAGCAGCCTCCTCGCCCAAGAGAAACCAAAAAAAAAAAAAAACCAGCCCACCATGGCCGCCGACTACCCCATTGTCGACTCCCACATTCACCTCTATCCAGAGCAGGAAATCGAGACGCTCGCCTGGGCGACCCCCGAGAACCCCCTCGCGAAGCAGCACTCCGTCTCCGACTACCTCGCCGCGACCGGCTCCCCCGCGAACCTCAAAGGCTTCATCTTCCTCGAGACGGACCGCAAAAACGACCTCGAAGCTGGCGCCCGCGACGCCTCGGGCTGGGAGTTCCCCCTCATGGAAGTCTCGTGGCTACGCCGCATCGCAGAGGGAAAACCCCGCGACGGCGAGGGCCACGCCCCGGACCAAGCCAGCCTCTGCCTCGGCATCGTCCCCTGGGCCCCCTTGCCCTCGGGCGCCGCCGCCATGGAAAAGTACCTCGACCACGTCAAGAACGTCGCCGGCGAGGCCGTCTGGCCCAAGATTCGGGGGTTCCGGTACCTGCTGCAGGATAAGCCCCACGGCAGCGGCCTGACGGACGACTTCATCGACAGCCTCAAGCTCCTGGGCAAGAGGGGCTTCGTCTTCGACATGGGCGTTGACCAGCACCGCCGCGGCAACAAGCAGCTCGACGAAGCGTTGGAGATCATCTCCCGCGCGCACGAGGGCGTTCCGGAGGAGGAAAAGGTCACGTTCGTCATCAGTCAGTTCCTCCACACCCTCAACCGTTATCCTTCTAACCCCCCTCCCACCCCACACACACACCATCGTATCTAATAGCTAACAAATCCAAACCCCAGACCACCTCTGCAAACCCGACCTCGGTATCATAAACACAACAGACCCATCCTTCGTCCACTGGCGCACCGCAATCTACGCCCTCTCCAAATGCTCCAACACCTACATGAAGCTCTCGGGCGGCTTCTCCGAGATGCCCGACTCCCTCAAGAAGCAGGACCCCAACGCAATCTTCGAGGCAATCTTCCCCTGGCTCGGCGTCGTTCTCGCCACCTTCGGCACCCGCCGCACAATGTTCGGCTCCGACTGGCCCGTCTGCACCGTCGGCGTCGACGAGGCCTGGCGCAAGTGGAAGCTCCTCGTCGAGCGCACGTGCTACATGGCCACCCTCGAACCCGAGGACCAAGCCGCCCTCTTTGGTGGCACTGCTATCAAGGCGTATGGCATCGAGGGAGTTTAATGTATTGATGCTGTCTATGATTATGATTTACTAAGCTTGCAGATGGGCTTATGAACGACTGACCGCTGGTTTGCTACGTCTAGAAAGAAATCGCCAGGAATTTTTGGTGATTTGACGTTGGCGCGGATTTGGGTTCGACGACGGAGATATATAGCTTTGCACACAGATACCAAAAATAACGTGTTTTCTACCATTCATTGCTGTTTCCCTAAGAGTAAGATATAAACGGACTTTTGCATGAAGCCACTCTTGACCAACCGTTAATCCACTTCATAAAATTACTTTGATAGTGACGAGCATCGTCGGAAACTCGCTGTAGTCTGTTTGGAACTCCAAAGCATTGGCCATTACACAGTTTTATTGAATGCACACATCGAGTCGGCTTGTGAGCTCAGTGCTATATGCTCCAAGTCTCCCTTCCTTGCCCAACTACCCATATCCTCAACTCTAGCCCCTTGAGAATGGTCAAAGGGCTCCAAAAAAACAGTTAATTCTATCTTTCAAGTTCCTATCCTTGTATACACCCTTGACACCCTCCATTGATCGATATGAGAATATTTCGCCCTACAAGTATAATTCAGCATGGACCTGAAAAAGTCAGACTTCGCCGGCTGATATGAACCTGCCACCTCCTCCTATGTATGCTCTTGCACCCGAATGCCCTCCACGGCCCCACCCTTTGAGGTATATGAGCTCATAGTTGATTCTTGTAATCAGCCAGAATTAGGACGAAGTGCTCTCTTGGCTTGTCTTGCTTTGCATTCAAGGGCATAGCCGGGCTCGTTCGCTTTGCGCCATTCAATGTATGCCTCATAACTCTGCTGACCAGCTGCGTCAGGGACTCGTGGCTTAGGAGCGGCCATTGGTCCTATTCCAGGACCGAACACAGGAGCGTTCGCGTTCAGCAAAGACCCGTTATAGGGCACTGGTGTTTGCGTCGGATAGGGAGCGGTCCAAATTCGAGGAATGGGTAAGGCTGGATTGTTGGCCATTTGTCGACCAAAGCCAGTGGCCGGGGTAACGCTGCTTGTCTGAGAGCCATGAGCAGACAGGAGTGAAGCAGAATGAGCTGGATCGAACGGGGAACCGAGAGGCAGCGGAGGGGGTCTGGTTGCGTTGTGCGCACATGATGGTGCAAAGCCCGTCGCAGACGGGTTGAATGGTGCGGCGGGAATCGGGGGGGAAATGCCTAGTGGCGGTGCCGTGACATTGTTCTGAAGAACAAAAGCTGGACTAAAAGGTGCTGAAGGAATTTGTTGAAGAAGAGACGGATGCAAGGCTGAGTTTGGCACGAATGGGGAAAATGTAGACGACGGACTGGCTTGCTGATGCTGCGTTACTGGGATGCCAAACTTTGAGAGTGTGTTGGCAACAATCTCGCTCAAATCATTTTTGGGAGATTTGATGACCTCTCTGCCGACTAATTGCTCAAGAAGCGAGATGATGGTTTTCATATCCGTCTCTTCAGCCTTGTCTGTTGTAGCTGAAGATGTCTGAGGGGCGGGTACAGAAAACTCCCTTGCCAGTGGATTGAGGGTTCGAGGCTTGTGCGGGCCTCTGACATCAACCCCAGAATCCTCCGAATCTTGTTTTGGACGATTACTGCCATTCGTCTCGGTCGTAGATTTTGACTGTCCTTCTTCTGGGGGCCGTTGGAGCTTTCGCAGGAGCTCTTGAAAGCGGTCAGCTTGATGATATACAGAACCGCTGTTCATTGCCTTAGTATTCCGGAGACTAATATTGACAATTGCTGGGTCATGAATGACCGCAGAGTCACTCCGGCTTTGCCTTCTCCGGATGTCTTTAGAGTGATCCTTATCGCCGGATGTGTCGCTCTTATGCTTGCAGGGAAGCATGCGATCAATCATGGAGGACTTTCGAGGCGTGATTCCGACACTCTCCAACTGCTTCTCGAAGTCGGCAAGACCCTCATTTCGAGTCTGCGACTTGAAACGGTTCGCATTTCCAATCCTGCGTAACTCTGCATTGTTGAACATGCCGTTGTGTTCCTTGCACTTGGGATCGGTGCACTCATGAATAAAAACGTCCAAGACCAGAGAGTCGGGATCCTGCTTCTAAGAGGAAAGACTGCTCCGACGACTCGTCACAGGGACGGCCTTGACCACAGCACATTTCGTTACGCCATCGGCCATGCCCTTTGGGCCGGCTGAGGCATGACTGTTGTCTCTGAATACGGGATCAGTCGCGGTCTGAAAGGGTTGGACACCGGCCACGGGGTTGCGCCAGTAGCTAGCTGAATCAGACACATTAAAGTCGGTGCCAGAGCTCGAATTCCCCTGTATGCGACGTATCTCGATGTGTCGTGTATTTTGGTCGTGGGGAAGCAACGGTCTCCGCCAGTTGGCCGAGGCCAACGCCGCCGCCGCCGCCTTCTCCATGTCTCTGTTGGCTTTGTCAGTGAGATTGATCAGCCCGAGAGAAGCAGAGAGAGTTTGATGCATACGGTTAAGAAGGCTCGGTGGGTCGGCTGAAAATCTCGAAAATGACGAATCGGAATGGCTGTATTCGTGACGGGCAGTCGAAGCCAAAGCTGGACGATGAAGTCGGAAGACGAAGGAGACGACGGAGCCGCCAGGCGTAATGTAACGCGAAGAAATTTCTTCGCTGATGTAAAAAGCATGCGCTGAGGCTCTTAAGTCTGCGAAGATGTGTCCAAAATTGGAGGGCTGAGGTGATGGGTGTGATGTTGACGGATGACGTGGATGACGAAAGGAGGTTGGCGGTAGACAAATGCCCTCCGGCCAAATTTGCTTGTTGGTGTTTCGGACCACTTGCTCCGCGCGGTAGCTGGAGAGGAAAGAAGGAGTTCAGTGCAGACGAGTTGAGGGAATGGCGGCTTCTCGGTCCTTACATCCTCATTGCCAGGAAGGCTACGCAAAGGGTGACTGCCCAAAGTAATTGAGCAAGATGGATGCACCGCTCGGACCCAAGCAAATCAGTAGACAGACAAACCAGGCCTGGAAGTATCACTCCAATGTCTACATCGACACCCTCTTGCAAGTTACTGTGTGCATTCGGGGCCAGTGTAATATCACATCGCGCCATACAATCCTTTCAAAGAACGTCAGAAAAAATATGTTATCGAGAGAGGATATCAATTTTAACATGCTGTATGTCGGAGAGAATTTGGAAATATCGCCATCGCCGTCTTAGGATGATTTAAGATGTAGCAAGCAGATAAAACAGTAGCGAGCACATTCGTCGGCGGCAGGCTGGTATTCGCAGCGTTACACGGATTGGCTTGCCTGGCCGGACAGGTAGGCACTGAAATGTTTCTGTGATCCGAATCGTCAGCATGAGGTTCATGCCTCGGTTTATTTGGACTTACCGGATTTCTCGTCTGTATGAAGACAGTGCCTGGGCCGGTGAATTTACACACCAGACCTTCGCCAGAGGAGAGGCCAGAGATGATGCCGCCGGAAGCGACTCGTTCCATGATGTATTTCACGTTCCATGCCACCAAGTGGCCGTTATCAACAACATACTTCTCGCCTTCCATGAGCTGGATGACAGTCAGCCTCTGCATCAACCGTATGGCCATGCTTGCCTAGGGGAGTTACTTACGTCTTTGCGGATGATAGCACCAAAACTAGTCAGCCAGAGCAGGCCAGTACCGCTCATCTTGTACACATACAAGCCCTCACCACTGAAGATGGCTTTGCTGAGGCCTTGGCGCTTATAATCTTTGACGACGCCCTGCGTGGAGGCCAGCCAGGCATCATGTCCAACCGACCACGTCTCCTTGCCTGTGAGACGCAGACTGGTGATATCACCAAGCATGGGAGGTGCCAGCAGAAGCTCGCCCGGGCCAACGTAGGTCGAGCTAGCCAGCTCAGCCCCGGCCACGAGCTTCTTCATGCTGAACTTGATCTGGCCCCTGAGGGTGATGGAATGCGACATCGCGACCATGACGCCCGGCTTCGCGTGCAACGGGCACCCCATCGCCAGCTGGACGGTCAGAATGGTATTGCTGTCTCGGTGGCTAATGCGGTAACTACCGCCATTAAAGGTCCCGACATCGTCGACAATCGCGGTGGCGCCTATGAAGTGCTGAGGCGGCGGCGCGCCTCCCACGAGATTGGACGGGTTGCTCGTGTCGACCGGCGTTTCCTCCACATACTGCTTCTCTGGCAGGCTGGAGGCCTCGGGCGGACCGTCGAAGCTGGGAGGCGGAGGGGAGAATTGAGGCTGCGATTCGGGGGTGCCCGATTCTCGTAGGGGAAGCTGCGTCTGTTGATGCTGCTGGTGCTGAGGAGAAGGCTGCGGCGACTGCTGAGGGGGTGATTGGTACTGCTGCTGCTGAGAAAGACCGGGAGGCGGCGGGTATTGCGAAGGGTTCTGTGAGGGAGTCGTGGTGCCTTGGGGAGGAGGCGGGTACGTTCTCCCCTGACTCGGGGACGCCTGCGGAGGAGGAGGGTAGCTCGCGCCTTGTCCTGGCGAGGCTTGAGGAGGCGGCGGGTAGTTCTGGAGCGTGCTTGACTGCGGCGGAGGAGGGTAGTTTTGCCCATGCCCTTGCGAAAGCTGAGGCGGAGGAGGGTAGCTTCCGCTATGGCTGCGCTGAGGTTGCGAGGGAGCAGCAGGGTATGAGAACTTGGTCTGGTTCGCGGGAGGGGATTGCGGCGGCGGCGGATAGTTTTGCTGGGCCTGAACTTGATTATCTGTCAGCCCTTTACCCGGGAACACTTTCCGTGTAATTCAACCGACGTACCTCCCGATGGAGGAGCTGGGAATTCGGGTGGTCAGCGCAAGTTTCGTTCTATTGCCGTAGGGCGGGGTGAGGAGAAGGACTCACGGGGATAGTATTGGGAAGACATGACCCCGCGGTATGTCGTGTCTCCTCGGCGACGTAAGTTTTGTGAGTATTGTATAGGCAGTGAGAAGAATTCGACTCGGACAGGAACGAAGAGGGGAGAAATCGAGAGAGAGAGGAAGAGAGAGATAGTGAGTTGATCTGGCAGCAGGTCAGTCGCACGCCAAGCTGGTCGCATCCCATCGCCATCGCTGCCCCGCACTTACAGTTATCGCCCACGGCCAATGCAGAGCGTCTTGATACGAGCAGTCAGCTTCGCGTTCCACAAGCAGTAAGCTTTCTGATCGCCTGTGTTCAAGTCGCCGAAGCTTCCGAGTAAAATATCCAAAAGAATAAGAATAAAAAGTGAGAAACAATTGTTGCGCAGAGAGAATGGGCGCCTCGGGGTCCAGGTCCATTAAAGAGGGAGCTTCCACGCGCCAGAACAATCCCGGCAAGCTACCTACTGAGCTGCAGGAGCTCCGCCGGACCCCACCCCTGTCACGGCTTTGGGGGTTGGGCTATGAAATGTGGCCGCATCGTCCCCCAGCTTCCCGTTGGCCTGCATGGGATACCGTGAAAGGTACCTTGGATCGTGTGGCAGCTACAATTGGGCAGTTGTAGTGGTGAGCTTGCGATGTTGGACCGTCGTCCAATCATTGGGGGCTGCCCAGCGCGATGGAGAGAGTCTCTAACTCTTTTGGGCGTCAGATGAAGAGGGGCGGCGCTTAGAGCCCGTCCAACGGCAACTCGCTCTGCTATTGGTACTGGGCTTCTCTCTCTTTCTTGGGAATTTAATGCCGTCTTTGTGGAAATTTTCAAGTTTGTATGCCGAAGTGGATTGAATCACTTTCCTTTGAGCTTGTTTGCTCAGATCGTCGTCACTTGAGGTATGGAGAGAGACATGTTTGGACACACTGAAAGCTTATTACAAGGGATGAGCAAAGGGGGCACGGCAGATTGTTTTGGGGCGTTGCCACGGCATGCATGAGAAATTCTTCCTACAGTAAACATGAGACCTGTAGAGGATCAATCAGATGTCGAAGTGGGCTTTGGCTTGTGACAAACCCGAGCGAAACACGTCGAGAAATCGGCACTCCGGCCGGTGTACATCGGACCGGTGGAGCGTCCGTATGATGTGGGGCCGGATCCCGACTGCCAGGGACACACCGCAGCACAGCCAGCAGGGAGAACAAAATTAAAGTACAACGCATATATATCATCGGTGTTCGGAATCTTTCTTTGTTTCTTTGATTTTACCCCACAACGCCTATCTAACGCCGGTCACATGCTTTTCCTTTTCCATATATATTCTCTTTTAGAAATCCATCTTTTCGTGCTTAAACGGCTTCTGGCCTTCTCCCTCGCCATACGCCAGCGAAACCTGTCCCTGGCCCCTGATCTTGTACTTGTAAATCATGAGTCCTTCCAGGCCGACAGGCCCGCGCGAGTGGATCTTATTGGTGCTGATGCCGACCTCGGTGCCGAATCCGTACCGCATGCCGTCGGCCATGCGCGTCGAGGTGTTCCAGTAGACGCCCGCCGCGTCGACGGCCGCCATGAAACGCTCGGCATCGTCGGATGAAGAGGTAAGGATGCACTCGGTGTGCTTGGACCCGTGGGCATTGATGTGCTGCACCGCCTCCTCCAGGGAAGAGACCACCTTGACGGCGAGGTCGAGCGAGAGGAACTCCGTGTCGTAGTCGGCGTCCTTGGCATCGATCACTCTCGAGGCGGCGTCTCCCAAAATCTTGGACTGAAGAGCGGCCTTGGACTTTGCGTCGCAGTGCAGCGTGACGCCGGCCGCGACCAATGCCTCCGCGGCGGCGGGGAAGACGGACTCGAGGGCCGATTCCTGAACGAGCAGGGTCTCGGCGCTGTTGCACGCGGCGGGGTAGCTCGTCTTGGAGTCGACGAGGACCTTTGCCGCCATGGAAGGGTCTGCCGAATCGGTCAGGTAGACGGAGCAGAGGCCGTCAGCATGGCCGAGGATGGGGATCTTGGTGGACTCCTTGATGTAGCGGACGAGCTCGTTGGAGCCGCGGGGGACGACGAGGTCGATGTACTGGTCGAGGGCGAGGAGTTGGGGGATGACGTCGCGGGTGGTGACAAGCTGGACGGCCGGGTTGGGGACCTGGGACTTGTCGAGGGCGGCGGAGATGACTTTGGAGATGGCGACGAAGGACTCGGTGGACTCCTTTCCGCCCTTGAGAATGGCGGCGTTGCCTGACTTGATGGCCAGGGAGGCGATGTTGGCGATGACCTCGGGGCGGGCCTCGAAGATGATGAGGAGGACTCCGATGGGACAGGTTACTCTCTCCAGGATGAGCCCATCGTCGAGCTTGGTTCTGAGTGTGGCCTTGCCAACTACGTCGTGTTAAAAAAGAAATGAGCAATTTGCTTGAGAATGGGTGAGTGTACATACCTGGGTCTTCAAGTCCTCTCACATCCAAGATACCCTTGAGCATGTCCTCGAATTTGCCCTTCTTGCCCAGGTCCAAGCGGGACACGAGACTCTGACTCAATTGGCCATCGGCGGCAGCTTTGCGTGCGAGCTCCAGGTCTCGCGCATTGGCGGCCAAAATGTCATCTTTGGCCTCGGCGAGGGCGGCGTGGATGGCTGTGAGGGCATCATTGCGGGCTTGGGCAGGGAGGGTCGCGAGGATGTGAGAGGCCGATTTCGCACCCTGTGCGGCGTCAATGGGGGAGGCGTTTGTGAGGGACATGGTTGCGGATGAACGCTGATGATTTTGGTCCAATGGAGTGTAATGTGTCTGGCGCCGTCAAAGCTGAAAGTGCAAGACTCGTTTCTTTTCTGCGCTCACAACTTACAAGCTCGGTTGAGTTCGGTATGAGTCAATTCGCGACTCAACACAGCCAGGCTTGTAGGCTGGTCGATGGTGCGGTGCGGTGCGCGCCACTCGGCGGGCAGCACGTTGGCCATGAAAATTTGGAGCCCCGCACTCGGAGGGGGGAGCAGAGGGAGTGACACTGGGCACAGATTTGTTTAATGAGATTGAGTTGAACAACTCTGGCAACTCCCCAATAACACAACTTTAATCCAGCAACCTTGTTATCACTGAGGCAGAAATTCGCCAAAGTCTCTTTCAACCACTAGTACTTGTATTGCGCGTAGCAGAGCTATGCCACAGCTTCGTTCAACATGATGCCGACCATCCATCCCTTTTCGGCAGCTCACTATTTGAATTTGAATGATGACTGGTCTAGTCAAAGAGAGCAGGGATCAAAAGTCTTGCTCCTGACCCGCTCTGTTGGCTGCCCTGGAAAATGTCACTGATTGTCTTGTATTTTTTTGTTCTCCGATAGTCTCGATGCAACATTGAACATGCCTCTGGTCCCTGAACGCGACTGCACTTGAACTCTCGTTGAAATTTCAGGCCTAGCGTCTATCAGCAAGTGGTCGAAATACTACCAGCGACTGCAAACTCGAGTCATGCATGGTTGGCTTGGTACCTTATGTTTCCCTTCGCTGTCGGACATTGCGCGACGATCCCTCAGGCCGAGGCACATTGAGGCATCGTCAGCGACTGTCGAATCTTTCACATTTGCTTCATTTCATCGACCTGGTTCACTGGGTGGTTCATCTCCGAGTGTCGAAAACCTTCTCATTTTTGTTCCCCCCGGTCCATCCTAGATGCCGCCAAGCATGCAGGCGACTACAACCTACCTATGCACTCCGCGATGACCTGGCCAGTCTCCTCCGACCCTCTCAAGGCCCCAGTTGCGGCGGGAGCTACCCGTTCCGCCTGATAAGGAACATGCCTTCGATGAGGAGCGAGGCGAAAACATTCGGGCATGCCCAATGAGCCACATCCCATTGCCGATGGGCCATGCCTTTGACTAAGCGGTTACAAGCCGGAAACAGGGCTCTAGACGGCAATACCCAACGGCCAGTGCCGATCTTCCGCATTCTGAAAGGAAATTGCAGTCATCCCCAAGTGCTTTATTCCATCAGCGGGGATGGACTCTGCTGCTTCTGCCTTCGCGCGGCACATACTGTGTACTTCTCTATAGCTCGCTCGCCATAGATACTACTAATCCACCAAGACAGGACGACACCGCCGAGGCATCCACCATCTTACTCTCTCGCGCTCGAAACATCGGCTACCCGCAGCCGAGCGCGGTGTCGATCCACTCCACTGCGGAGCGGTAGCGGTAGCCGACAAGCAGATTTTGGACGACCTGCCATAAAAAAGAGGCTAGCCGCCATCATGACCAGCCCTGGGCTCCTGGAGGGTGTAGGGTGGGGTGGGAAAGCCGGTCAACACCCGATTCATAATACGGCAAGGTCCCCGGCCATTTTCCTGTCGTCATTTTGGTTACGCTTTGCATTTTTTCCACTGTTGCTTGCTCGGCTTCGTAGTGTCTTGTAGTTCAAGTACTCTCCTTCTTCCCCTCTCTGGTAGTCGTGATTTCGGTGTCTTTTTCGCCATATTGCCTCGATTCTCGCGCCCTGCTTCTGCTGTATCCACCTCGGCACCGAGTCGGCAATCTAAAGAAGATGACCGCCACATCACGCGATCCGGAAAAGGATTATTTTCCGCCGGAAGAAATTCCCAGCCGCAGTGAGGAGCAAAGCCAATTGAGCGATAGCGAAGACGAAATTACAGAGGTTGGTCGGAATGGGGAACGGTCCCGCAAGTCTGCCGAGGCCGAGGCCGAGTCCGATGCGGAAGGTTACCCGTCGGCCGGCGGCACCGGCGACGACGTACCGGCCAGAACGCGGTCCCGGGCCTCCTCCACCCGCTCCCGCGCTCTTTCCATCGTCGCCAGGTCGAAACGGCGAGGACTTTTTGCACAGCTCACCACCATCCCGGAAGTGGATAATCCATACCTCTATACCAACAAGACAAAATGGACAATCACCTTGATCATCGCTCTTGCTGCAGCCGTCTCGCCCATGGGCTCATCCATCTTTTATCGTAAGTACTATATACAATGACTTCAAATTCAAGAAGCACACCCCTTTTTTTGTACTGACAATGGGTTCCAAGCCGCCCTCACCGAAATGTCCAAGGAATTCGGCGTCACGCCGACAATCACCAATCTCTCTGTGGCATTCTACATGCTAGCAATGGCAATCTTCCCGCTCTGGTGGTCCTCCTTCTCAGAAACTCTAGGCCGCCGCAACATCTACCTCCTCTCCTTCACCCTCTTCGTCATCTTCTCCATCCTCAGCGCCGTGAGCGTCAACATTGAGATGCTCATCGTCATGCGCCTCTTCGCCGGCGGCGCCAGCGCCAGCGTCCAGGCCGTCGGCGCGGGAACCATCGCCGACATCTGGGAGCCGCGCGAGCGGGGCCGCGCCATGAGCATCTTCTACCTCGGACCGCTTACGGGCCCCCTCCTCGCGCCCATCATCGGCGGCGCGCTGGCCCAGAGGTTCGGATGGCAGTCGACCATGTGGACGCTCGCCATCTATGGCGGTCTCGTCCTCGTCATGATCCTCTTCTGCCTGCCCGAGACCCTCGCGCGTCCCAGGCCCACCCCGGCACCGCCCCAACTCACGTCCCACGCAGCATCCGAAGGAGGAGGCGAAAAGATTGCGCTGTCCCGGACCAAGACGACCGAATCGGTCAAAGTCCACTCCAAAAAAGCAGCAGCTTTCTTCAAAAAGTCCTTCATCGACCCCTTGTCCGTACTCCTCTACCTCCGCTTCCCCCCGGTCGCCATCACAGTCTGGTTCGCCGCAATCACCTTTGGCGCCCTCTTTGTCGTCAACATCTCGGTCCAGGCCACCTTTTCACAAGCCCCCTACGGCTTCAGCGAGCTCATCGTCGGCCTCTTTTACTTCCCCGCCGGCCTGGGCTACTTCCTCGCCTCCCTGCTCGGCGGCCGCTGGCTCGACGTCATCATGGCGAGGGAGGCTCGCAAAGCCGGGCGCTACGACGCCGACGGCAAGTTGATTCTGCTGCCCGAGGACAGGATGCGCGAGAACATTTGGATCGCGGCGACGGTGTACCCCGCGTCGCTCATCTACTACGGCTGGGTGGTCGAGAAGGGCCTGTTCTGGTTTGTGCCGTGCATCGGTCTCTTTACATTTGGCGCCAGTTCGATGCTTGTCTTGTAAGTCTTGTTTATCTATTCGCCTGAGCTTCGTCCCTCTTATCGCGCGTCCGGCTGCGGCTAACATTGCTTTTTTATTTTAATCCAGTGGCGCCGCCACAACCATGCTAACTGAATTCCTGCCCAAACGGAGCTCTGGCGGCGTGGCGGTCAATAACTTTGTCAGAAACATCTTTAGTTGTATTGGTGCGATTGCAGCGCAGCCTGTCATCAACGCCATTGGCAACGGGTGGCTTTTCACGATCCTGGGCATCTTTACGTGGGTCTCGGGCTACATTTGCGTCTGGACCCTCAGGAGGAAGGCCCCCGAGTGGAGGAAGAGCATGGACGCGGCATTGAATAAGTAACCTAATCAGATCACGGTTTGGCAACTTTTGGTCTGGCGCGCCCGTATACCGCATTCACATTGTGGCATGGCACGAGAAGACAATCATAGAGTTGTTGAATAATAGAATATTTTACTTGAATTTGTATGGTGCTCTCGAGGAGGTGGGCCCATGAGAAACCACCTCTCTGCCGCGATAACGTTGCGCCCGCAACCTCTAATTCCTTTGTCTCCTCCCCTCAACACCCACACCCCCCCCCCCATCAAGAACTCGTCTGCGCGGCGGTGTTGACCCCCCGCTCGGCGCAGTACTTGGCCACCTCCTTCCGCAGCGATATCTTCTGCCGCGACACGAGGTCCATCACATCCCTCATCTCCTCTCCCAGGTCCCACTCGCCCTCGCGGCCGGCCACGGCCCCGTACAGGTCCTCCATCTCGACCAGGATCGCCTCGAGTTGGTTGGGCAGCCATGTGACGATGGGGCTACCGCCCGTGGCCGTAGGGTGCGACGTGCGCTTGAGGATGTACTCGCGCGCGAAGCACCAGTGCCGCCAGCGGAAGTCGCGCACCTGGTGCAGGATCAGCAGCCACAAGCGGCGGGACTCCTTGACGGCTTCCTTTTCGTGCTCGCCCAGGCCCTCGGCGGACAGCTTGGTGGCGAGCGCCGCGTCCTTGAGGCCGACCTCGAGGGAGCGGTCCTTGACGTGCATGAGGAACTGGCGGTGGTTGCTGGGGCGGTACGACCTAAAGTCCTTGAGGATCTCGGTGAGCGGGGTGTCGGGCATGGGCACCTGGAGAAGGTTGTCCATCAAGGGCACAATGGAGTCGTTTGCGCCCGACTCGCCGCGGAAGGACATTGGCTTGTTGTCGTTTACGCCTTCGTAGACGACACCGTTGGGGAACATGCTCTGGCTGGTGATGCCGAAGATGAAGGTGCGGAAGCTGGTGTAGTTTTGCGGGCGGGACTTGTCCCACATGGTCTCCATTGTGTTGTTGATCTTGCGGAGGGCGGCGAGGACCTCGGTGAGACCCTGGTTGAGGGCGGCGCGGTCTAGGGTGTGGGCGGCCGGGGAGGCGGAGGAGCGGAGGGCGGCCATGGTACCCTTTACCAGGGGTCCCGTGTTCTTCACCATGTCTATGTGGACGAGGACGAAGCCGGCCTCGGAGGACGTTGGGTCCAGGCCTTGCTCAAAGGCGCGGATGAGGCGGATGTTGGAGTACTCCATACCCTTGGACGGGTCCTCGAGGCGGTAATTGTAGAGGGCGTAGGAGCCGGCGTATTCCATCCATGGCTTGAAGCCGGTGCTTTTTGAAGATAATTATTAGACTTGGTGAAAGGATAAACAAAATCCCAAGGGACTTACAGCTCAGCGCAGCGGGCAATCGGCAGCGAAATGTTCCTCGGCAGCACGTCCCTTGCAAGCCCGTACTCCTCGCCGCGGACGAAGCGCTCGTGGCAAGGCTCGAGCAGGTACGCGGACGCGAGGAACGAGTAGTCGCGGTACAGGGCATTCATCAGGGGCAGGTTGTCCTTGTATTTGTCAATGGAATCCGTCAGGTCCGGGAACTCCTTGTCAACGGTCTCGCCCAGCTTGGACGAGGCCAGCAGACCCGGGGTGCCGTCGAGCTTCTTGACAGGCATGCGGGCCAGGATGTCCTCCAGGGGCGCGAACTCGGCGGGGAGCACGGCGACGGGGTCCGCGCGGGGGAGGAAGCCGCGGGTGGTGGAGACCATGAATGCCGGGAGGGTGGTGTCCTCGGCCCGGGGGTCGTCGAGGACGGGGAAGGGGGTGGAGTCGATCGATCCCATTGTGATGGATGTTAGAAGCGGGAGGTGGAAACGTGGGGATGGGTGGGTTGTATTGATGGGTTGAGGGAGATGGTGCGGGTAGAGTGTGGGTTATGGAGTGATAATGGTGTGGTTCTTTGTGTAAGTGTGACTGAAGTCCAGGCCAGGGATGGGTTTTGGTAAAAGTCGTGTAAGTTGACTTGGACGTGCTAGAACAACACACGTATAAGTGAGATGGGTATGTAAAAGTGTGCGGAAAATTCGTAAAAAAGACCAAATAATTTCCAGTGGAGTTGGAGGAGATGCTTCTCAGTGCAAGTCGCTGGATGAGTTGGAGTGCAAGTTTGTTTCGTTGACCTGCCGCCACTCGGCGCCGTGTATATACTTCGTGGCCGGAATCGATTCCGGCCTCAAGTGAGGGGGTGCTCATTTCTTCGCTCCGGCCGCCATGACACGAATCCTCCCCCCCCGTCCGTCGTCCGTCGTGGCCGTTCCATTTCTGTTTGTCATATCATCCTAATCTCTGGTCACACGGGGTCATCTAGATAGCCGAACCTGAGATTCGCTCCCCCCTTCACGCTGGCCAAGCCCTTGCATCCGGCCTTCGACCATGATAAGCACAATGCCTCTGCATCTCACTGGCTCGCGCACCCTGAATCTTGCCCCATCGCGGACCACACCCACATGACCATCTTGCATCCGTTTCCCTCCAGGCAGAGTTCTTTCGGCGTTGACGAGTCGTTTGTTGTTCAAGATGCCGAGTTTTTGTGGTTCTGGCAGGCCGATGCAGGCGCTCTGAGACTGGAGGGTGGTTGAGTATTGAGTTTATGTAGCCCCACTTATTGACCGATTATTGCCGGCGTGGCCGTGGCCGGAACCGTTCCGGCCTCTTGGCACACGGACCCGGACTCTTTACTGACTGAGACGCTAAAAGGTTTCACGCACAAATGAGACAGATAATTGTTTAGCTGATAAGGAAATTTGCAGTGTTGCATTAATGAGTGCTCTGTGATAATGCCGTCCGGTGTGCTCGTCTGTTGAAGACGCGAGACACACGGCCATGATTTCCCAGCCGTTGCCGTTCTGGTAGTTGAAATACAAAACAGCGTCCATTTCTACCTCCTTGCGTTCTTCTCGTGCCAAATGAATGTCGTCAATAGTCATGAAAATCATTATTCGAATTTCGTCGTCCATCATAATCAGTCATTGCCCATTCTCATCTTCATTCATCGATGGCCTCTCAATCGGCATGTACTGTGAATTGTGAGCGATGGACATATTCGCATTCGAGTTACGAGGCCTACCTTGAGGCACCAGTCGATCGTCAAATGTTCCCTTCGTCGCGAGCGAAGAGGAGCCCAGGGTCACTGTTCTCACCCAACGAATCACGACGCCTGACCCCCAATTTCGTCCAGGAGTCGCGCGTCGTGAAGCCAACATCAGACTCATCTTCTTCAGTTGATGTCCCGTCGAATTCGACCCACGACTCCCAGTCGCCGTCATCCTCAGAATCCCGAGGTACCGTGGCGGTAATCCAATGGTCTTCCTCTTCTTCTTCATCTACCTCTTCGTCTTCCACGATTGATCGAACAACTCGGGGCACGACCGAGGTCCCGTCTTCATACACGTACTCGGTAAATGTTTGAGTTACTGTCGTCTTGCATCTCGTCCCGGTCGTGATGGACGTTCCATATGCCGTGGTGAGTGGACCACCATCTCCTGCTGCACTGCTTGTTAGCACGGGGTTGGGGGTAGGGGAACTTACACCTGAGCTGGCCGGGACATTGCCAGTGACGGTAGGTTGGACGGTCGACTGCGCTGGTGACGAAGCAACCGGCCCCGGGTTGCTGAAGGTGTTGGACGGAGCCGGTGCCACGGTCACGCTGGCTGTGGTGCCTACAGAGGCAATTATCGCCGCCAATTGCCGCTCAATAGATTGGATGAGCTTCAGAAGATCCTGAAGATCTTGTGCGGATACCGAAATGCCACTGGCCTGGCGCTTGGCGATGGTTGCAGTATTCACGATATCGGGGTTACGGTGACCACCGTTCCAGTTCCGCAAAAAGTTATCCAGCTGATTGTCAAGATCTTCCGCAGCTTGGCTCAGAGTTTGAAAGTCACTTGCTGACAGCTGGTTCGAATCGGTATCGCTGGTTCGTCCCCGGAGAATTGCGCCGGACGCGCCTTGAAAGGCGACGTGTAAAGCGACGCAGACGTAAAGAATCTTGCTGGTGAAATGCATATTGGAATGTTTGAGGTGAGTACGAGATGGTTTCTCTCCCAAACAATGTATCGAGACTTCTCGAGCTCATGATATAGCTGTGCAGCGTTGTAGACAAGGTAAACATAGCAACGCATTCCAGAGAGCGTCTGATGGCCGCTGATGGAGATGCATTCCAAAGGTAAATCATCTCTCGGTCAATGACGGATCAACGGCGGCCGTGAGTAAGGGGAAACAACGCTTGTGTCTTCCCAAGAATCGACATCCAATAGCGACGCAGGCAATCTGCCACTGGGATCTTCCATAGCCCGAGTCACTCTCCACTTCTGGGGGCTTTTCCTTGGCTTGCGGCGACGGCGACGGCGACGACGAACAGTCGGAACAAGCAAGCAAGCAATCACACGGCACGACGGAGCCGTTGTGATGGTGGTGCCGCTGCCGGAACATAGGCTCCTCGTTGTGTGGAGCGCTGCAGGCGCAATGTTGAAATCCAAGGTGCACGTACACGCTTGGCTTTGGAATGATGACAATGCAGGATCCGCTTCCCCCCGGTGGTGATAATCGCTGTCGGGCAGCACCCGGCACATGACGCTCTCAAGCTTCCGTTTGGATACTGTTGGGAACGGACAGATCGTGGCTTAAAGGGATGCTGTTGGTGAATTTCGACGGTGGCTGAACAGATCCGATGAAACGAGGTAATCTGCTCGGTTGCACCGGATGCTGTTCATACGTTTCTTGCTATTTGCGCCTGATGCTCCTTCCCTTCCACTTGTGGGGAGTTTGTTGGATGAGAACGCACCGGCTTAGTACTACTTGATGAGAGAACATTTGGATTGGCGATGGCCAGATTTGATGTGCAGTGAGAGGGCAAAATCCTTCTTCTTTCATTTGTATGACATTCACAAGTACGTTTGGGACGAGTTGATGAGGGCTGAGCTCTGACCTCATTTTCATTGAGGCTTGCATCACCCGGCTTTCCACTTCTGCTGGTGTCGGGTTGATTCGTTTGGGAGCCGAAGGCACTATTGGCTCTCAGCAAGTGGAATTGGAGTTGGGGTTGAAAGCATTTTCTGAACCCATTTGACAGGGAAGTCAGACCACGGCAGATGCGGGAAGTTCTCGCTGGCCCCTTTTTTCCGAATCGTTGGGGCTTCCAGTCTCGCAAGGTTTTTGCACGCAGAAAATCTCCGCGTACTCTGTCTGATACATTTTATGGTGGTTTGGTGAGGAAAGCCTCGATGTAAGAGAACCACGTAGCGAAAGGTCTTGCGAGAGCACCGTGGGATGTGATACGACGCCCTAAAAGGCCCGTCCGGTGTCGAACAGAGGGAGCCAGATTGAGAGGATGCCTTGTTATCAATGCTCATCGAGAGTCCAATCTGAACGTGGTGCAACTGCGGTCGCAAAGGTGTCCATCTCGGTTTGGCCTGGCAATCGCTCTGCTGGGCATTTCCCACAAATGCATTATTAGCTTCGAGCAACTCCTGTTATGATTAAGGTAATCGTATTAGATTGACAGGTGCAGCTCGTGTGCTGACAACCGTCCACCGGCGTCCACGGTCTTCTGATGCAGCAGACACGGCTACTTCTGGAAGGCGAATTGATGACGAGAGAGATCTCACAATGACTAAGTTTCGGACCCCAACGAGGGATCCAAGGGGATTCCAGGCTCAGCCGGAAGCCTGCAGGTCGCCATCACCAATTCAGAGTTCTGGGCCGACCTGGACGAGTGTCGTAGTGCGCCAGCCAAGCGCGGACCTGAACCCATCGGAGTCTGATGAGAATTTGTTAGTTTGAGACTTGTTAATCTTCCTGTCGCCTTGATCCTCGCTCGCCGGCCCAGTCTGGACACCCGATGATCCCGCCGTGACTTCTCCCTGCAGGGTGTTTCCGCACAAACGATCACGGCAGCAAATTTGGCCAGCCTCTTAGCCGGAATTCGTATTGACCAGGCCGGAAGATGATATATTTTGGAAGCTTGGTGCATGATGCATCGATTACCCACGAGCGGGAGGAGACCATAGCCCGTATCTCAATAACCTAGGCCGCAGCGCTACGCAGCCCTGGATGTGTCATGGAAGTGAGGGAAATTATCTGCGATAGCACAGAAAGTCTGAAAAAGTCATGGATCATCGGCCGGTGTGCTGCGAGGTCCTGTGGGGAGAGCCAGAGGTAGCGTTCTATCGCCAATCTTCGAGTCAAGCGTTGCCCAAATGGGTAATAGACTGTTGGGCCTTGTCGCGAGGTGTAAAAGTGTTTCGTCTTTGCCCTGACAAGTAGACGGGATGAATGGGTGGGAGGATGCGGATACTTGATGGACACCAGCCTGAGGCACGGAGATGCGAAGAAAGTGAGGGAATGGACAAGGACTGGACCGGGGAAAGGACGGGAAACAATACGGACGCTCCTGACGAGAAGAGATGAAGGCAATAAGGGGGGAGGGGGAAAGTGTGTGGTGTGTGTGTGTGCGGTGGATATGACCGAGCTTCCCATCTCAAAGGTGCTGCTGAGGTCAGATGGCGAGATGGAAAGGGGGGAGGCAATTAAGGAACAGAATGCCTTGGTCGAAGATGCAGCGAGACAGCCCAGCATGCCTTCTATCGTCAAAGCAGGCAATCCGCAAACTGCAAGCACGCAAGGCAAGGGCGGGAAGTCCACGTTTGCTGGCCCTGTGTCCTGTGTCGGGTTGACGTGAGGGAGCGCGGTGCGTGGATGGCCCCCGGCCGAGCGAGGGGCGGAGGGTGCCGCAGTACGTACCCTGCTTGCCTACCTACCTACTTACCTTACCTTACCTTACCTTAGACAGCTACACGTAAACTTCGATTTCGAGGAAGGCACGCAGCGCGCAGCACGCGGAGTGGGATCGTGGATGTACCTTTGTACCTCTGGAAGGGGGGAAAAATCCACCCGTGCATCCCTTTCCGGCCACGGCCCCCCCAGGTCACTGGTCCTTCGCTTACCCACAACTGCGGCGCTGCGTAGTGGCAGGTGCGCGAGAGGAAGCGAAAGCTGGAGGTCAATTCTTGAGCGAGCGAGAGAGAGCCCAGCACCACGCACACAGCACCGCACCGCACCCAACCCGGGCAGCATGAGAACCGTTTATTGTCACGCCGCCTGGTCTGGCGCTCTCTCGAAAATGAGACGCCAAACTTACCAGATGGATTCCCCCATAAAATAAAAATTCTCGCTCTCCCCCTTCTCATCTTCCCTTCCACCCTCCCGTTCCATCCATCGCCAACCCATCCCCATCACCGCCTCGCCGTCGAATGTGCGAGTCGCCGACGCGAAATAATCTGCCACCGACAAGAGAGACAGACACCCAGAAGAACCCGCACCGCACCGCTCATCAAAAAATCCAACGCAACGCACCGCACCGCCCAAAACCTTGCCCAGTCCATTACCCACCAGATCACAACTCGTGGCCCATTGGATGCCCGGCCCGTCCGCCACCCCATTCATCAAAGCAGCTATCTCCGACAAAGCCAACATTGCCTTCTCAGCTTCCCGTCGCCTCGCCGCCGAACTTCCACTCTTCACCCATCCTCTCCACGCTTAACCAATACTCGCCGTCACCATCCAATTCATCATCACACAACCGCTCATCCCATCTCGAAATGGCTTCCACCGCATCTGTCAGTCGACGCAAGTCGAATGGAGGCAAGGGCGGTCTCGTTATCACCCTCACTGTCGATGCCGACAAGCTGAAGCGGACCCTTGACCCCAGCTCCGTCAAGGAAGACTCGCCAGTCAAAATGGACATTGAAGAGTCGAATGGAAACAAGGAGACACAAGAAGCGCAAGACTCACCTGCCACGTCAACGACCTTGCCAGCTCCCGCTGTCACGAACGGCGAAACCGCGTCCGATTCAAATCCTGGCACGCCTGCTGGCGATGGAACTCCAGCACCCACATCCATGGGTCCTCCTACAGAGGGAGTAAAGAAGAAGGGTACTAAGCGTGGCGCTGGTGCTGCCAATGGCCTCGGGCCTGACGGACAACCCAAGGTCCGCGGCAAGCCTGGCCCCAAGAAGAAGGCAAGACTGTATGTACACCCCATATTGCACGCTGCCTGCGTAGACTGTTGTTAACAATGTCATACAGTGAGGATGGTACCATCGACCCGAATGCCCGCGGTGGTGCCGGTGGACACAAACTGGGTCCTAAGGCCAATCAAGGTGCCATCAACGCCGGTCTGAGGGCTCTCGACAGAAGCGGCAAGCCCTGTCGCAAGTGGGCGAGGGGTGGCTTCGTCCTCAAGAGCTTCACAGGTATTGTGTGGGAGGTTCCTCGATGGACGGCACCGCCCAAGTTTGTGCCGGAGTCCACCACCGACGACTCTGCCGCTGCTTCGGCCGACAGCAGCACCAAAGAGAACAAGGAAAATGACCAGATCAAGAGCGACGCCAACAGTGCCGCCAACAGCGGCGCCGATGTCGAGATGCGGAGCGCGCCCGGCAGCGTTCCGGCTAGCTCGCCGGCCCCTATGGCCATCTCTGCCGCTTCGTAACAGCAGCGTCTTTACTCGCACATTTCTTTTGTCTGAAGTCGTTGGGACGTCAAGGACAGCTCTTGACACATGTTCCGAACAGTTGGGAGTTTCAGGGTTCAGGAGGGAAAATGATTGCAACATCTGGCCAAGGCACGGTCTATACAGTCTTCGGATTGGAATTTATCACGCGGCATTAGCCCGTTGGCGTTACGGAAACACGGTATCATGGTTCAGCGCGGTAGCTGCCAAGGGGAGAACGGCGTTTGCCTGGACAGGCACAGAGTGTATACTACGAAGTTGGCGCATGCCTGAAATGAATCTCTGGCTATAGAATTGATGCCATTCCAACCAATCGGGGCACCTTTGAATCGTTTGAGTTCGCGATGCATTGTGAATCAAGGTGGCTTGACCCGGCAAAAGGAGCCGGCTGGATAATAGGTATGGTAGTGCCGAGACCCTCGGTAGTGAAAAGTCCCACTTGAGTCGGAGATGAAGCATGGATGCGAAGTGCTTTCGGCTGAGAAGCTCTGGTTGGGGAGGATTAAGACCTGAAGACAGGTAGAGCATGCGGATCAAATGCACTGACCATGGCGATTGGTAGAGCAAGCCTGGCCATGCCGCGCGGTCAGCGTCTTATTCTTTGCACATTTGGATCGAGTGCATTGTAAAGCCGTGATGATGCTGCTCGGCCAGCGCGTGTGACTGGCGCTGCTGATGTGATTCAGCGATGGCCGGAGGCATGTGGGAACCCACCATCGGCAAAGTGCGCGAAAAAAAAGCACTGGTCCCTCCCGTCATGATTCCCCCATCCAACCCGTTTGCCTCTTTGTGATGGAGGAGGCCGGGAAATGGGACGTTGGTGGTTGGTGTCGACCACGTGACATTACATAAGCTATGCTTGCTCCTGAGCTCGGATCTGACATCTAGCTGAGTAAGGTGCGGGAATGGAGCAGCCCAGACAACCTGGATGGAAAGTCGCGTTGGCCGTAGTTCCGGCAGCGGAGCACACAGTGTTCTTCACTGCGTGACGACAACGGTTCTGGCCCCCCCATTCTTTGAGCCTTGAGGCTTGCGAGTGCCTCGCTCGCTCAAGGTCTCTTTGTTCACCCCCGGTATCATCATAATGCCCACGTAGTTGCACTGTAGATAAGACCAGTTCCTGCAGCAAAAGCCCGTCATGTTTCCGACCGCAGTAGAGGATGCTTTCTTCTGGAACCGCGTGTTTCGCTTCCAAGACAAGCGCAACACACACGACAGTCCTAAGTCCCTGGGCACACAGTGAGTGGCCCAGCCAGTCTCCGATAGCACCGTGCCAATGATCCCTGACAAAGTCTCGCCTGCAGTAGGGGGGATCCTGCGGCTGCTCCAGCTGCGACTGGGCCCCTCATTTGGCGCCTCAACTGGCGGGTTAGCCTCTAGCAATGACCTGCTCTCGTGATTGTCTATAGCGGCGTCTTGCACTGGGACGACGGGTGGGACACGCTCGGTACAGGCCAAGCCAGCCTAAGCAGCCCAGCCCAGCACCTCACACCTCAACCCGGGCGCCTATCATTTGTCCGCGCGCTGGACCTCACCTATGGGCTCTCGCATAGGCACAACTCTCCACACGTTCCGTCGTCCACCACCAACCTTGCCCGGCCTGCTTTCCCTTCCCCGTCCCGTACCTCGCCAGCAAACCAACACCTTGCCGGTACCTCACCTCACTCTGTCACCTGCGTACCACCCCCGTCTCCACACAGCGACAGCACCCCGACCTGACCTCACTCAAACCCCATCTCCCGATCTTTCAGAACTGCGTTATCATGATAATCGAGCTGTCCTGCGCCGCATCTTAGCCCCCCAACCCCCGAACGAGTCGTCTTGCGCGGCTGTCTTTCACTTCCTTTGACAGACCGGAATATACCTTGACTCCCTCACCGTTACCCGGCAAACCATCTCCGCACCCATTATAGCAAGGTAGTGCGTCTCGACCGATCTGAACCTCCTTCTTAGCACGCCATTCCGAGCCCGACTGCTCGTTGGACCACCCGACCAAGTCCCGTCCCTCAGACCGACCGCCCTATTAGACCCATCCGAGACCCCCATAACTCGATACTAAGAAAGACACACAACTGCCACCGGATAGTCATCCCAAGAAGCTCGGACTGCGGCTTCTCGGGGCATTGCGAAGCTCTTGTTGCGTACGAGACGTCACGGGTGCGCGAGCAGGTCGACCCCTCTACCAACCTCGACCCCTCACCATGACGAACCCGTTCCATGGTTCTGCACATTACACGGAATCCAACACACCCACGGGAAGCTCTGGTCTTCTGCCGCGCCGCTTCTCCTACGCTTCAGTCGTTTCCGGGGCACCGCCAAACTATAACCCGCCCTACCTCTCCCACCCGGGCCGAACTTCGGTCATCTCTCAGATTCTCAACAACTCCGACGACATCACGTTCGAACCGGCCTCGGCCTACTACGATTCGAGCAGGAGCGGCGACATGGACGCAGACAGGAATGGTGCCAGTCTGAACGGCGCGTCCGCGCGGTTGTCGCGGGGCGGTGCCAACAACCTCCCGTCCTTTTCAAGGGTCTTTGATATGTTCATGGCGAACCCGTCAAGCGAAAATGGAGGACCAGGCGGCGCAAGCGGGCACGGGTTCTTTGTGCCATCGTATTTGACTGGATCGGCATACGTTCAGCGGCTAGAGGAGGCGCACTATGCAAAGATACAAGCGCAGAAGGAGTCTCAGACGGCTCAGGCACAGCCCGGCGGGAACCTGACCACGAGCGCGAGCAGCGTCAGTCTTCACAGCAAGCCGGCTTCGCATCGAGGAGTGAGTCACGACGTCATCGAGAAGGCCTCCGCGGTTGAGGATGACGAAGCGTTTCCCCCGTTACCTACGAGGTGGAACAGGGACGACAAGTACGGCGCTCTCGATATTCTTTCAGACGGGCTCGAAGTTCGGTACATTGGGCCTAGGGGCCAGACAGAGCGGGATCATGAAGCATTTAGTATACGTGCGGATAACCCGATGCCTCCGCAATGCGGTATCTATTATTTCGAGGTCCAGATTTTGTCAGGCAAGCGGGATGAGTAGGTTTAGCTGTGTTACAATCTCCCCCGGGACACAAGTTCACTGACTTGTGGCTAGTATGACGATTGGCATCGGATTCTCGGCCAAGACAGTGGCCCTCTCAAGACCTCCAGGCTGGGAGCCGGACTCGTGGGGCTACCACAGCGACGATGGCCACTGTTACGCTGGGCAGAATGGCGGCAAGAACTATGGCCCTCCATTCACTGCATCTGATGTGATCGGCTGCGGCGTCAACTTTCGCACTGGCTGTGCTTTCTTCACAAAGAACGGTCATTTGTTGGGTATGCCTGACGTATATCACACTCTCTCACATTTACCGATGACTGACTTACCTCGCAAGACACCGCTTTCCGTGATATTGGAAAAGGCAACAGCCTCTATCCAACAGTCGGTCTTAAGAAATCAGGAGAGCATGTTCGTGTCAACTTTGGCCAAACACCCTTCGTTTTCGATATTGAGGGCATGATGACGGTTAGTTCTGTCTTTCTTTTTTTGGGCCCCCACTCCACAAAACCTACTGCATCTGGGTTATCATCTCAATTTCATCCTGCTCTGTCCCCAACTGTTCTCTTTCCCTTCAAGGTACCGTAACCCGGTAACCCGTGCCGTTGGAACGTGTCCAGCACAGAGCTGCGGCGAGCATGTCCCACTTTGGATACGTGGTGTGAGTGGTGTTGGATTGTGACGCCGACATCCGAGGATCTTCAAACCTTCTTTGGGAGGACACCACTGACTCCTCTGGCATAATAGAAAGAAAAGGAACGTATCCAGAGAGAAATTTCAGAAACAAGCACAACGAGCTTAGCGCCGGCGTTGAACGAAACAGAACTGATACAGGCGCTTGTCCTGCAGTTTTTGCAGCATGATGGCTATGTGGAGACAGCGAGGGCATTCGCGGAGGAAATTAATGCCGAGAAGAAGGCACTGAGTCTTGACCCGAACGCGCCCATTGAAGGGATTAATGTTCAGGACGATGAGCATGCTAACAAGCGGCAACGTGGGTCAAGCTCTCCGCGAGGAGGAGTTCATTTGCTAAAAGATTGTAGGAATCCGGAGAGCTGTGCTGGAAGGCGATATCGACAGGGCGCTTAAGCACACCAACGCCTTCTACCCTCAAGTTCTGAAGGATAACGAGCAGGTTTACTTCCGGCTGCGCTGCCGCAAGTTCATCGAGATGGTCCGAACGGCAGCCGAAATGAGAACCGCGTCAGAGACAAAGAAAAGCAATGGCCACAGCAGTGATCTTGGCGCCCAAGCGATGGATCTCGACGCTAATGGCACCGAGAACGGCGCATGGGATCAGATGGATACTGAAGATTCCAACGAACCAGACCTCGACATCAACGAACTCGAGATAGCAACTCTGCTCTACGGTCAAGAGCTTCACGCAGAGTTCAAAAACGACCCTCGACGGGAGGTCACCAAGCACTTGGCGGATATCTATGCGCTTCTTGCCTACGCAAACCCTCTCAAGGAGAAGGACGTTGCACACCTACTCGATAGGAAAGGCCGACTCGCGGTAGCTGAGGAACTCAACTCTGCGATATTATGTGAGTCATTGTGTGCTACTGATTGCCAGTTGACTGGTTACTAATGCCAATAGTGTCGCTGGGCAAATCCTCTCGTGCCGCGCTCGAAAAGGTGTACGCCCAGACGAGCGTGTTGCTGGATGATTTGCGGGAAAATGGCGGACCAGGCGCCTTTGTTTCCTTACAGGACGTCATCGAAGATATTCCAAAGTCCCAGCCTTTCTAGAGTCTGGTGGTACGCAACAGCCTCAACGCTGCTGCTGTACAGACTTTCAGGGGTTATCTTAGATGGTACTCCACATCCCCATTTTGCTTGCCCTTTTGTGAATTATTAGAAGATGCCCTCCCCTTCCACTCTTCTGCGCTTTGTTTCTTATGATCATATCATTGGCGTCAGGCTTCGTCTTGAAGTGGGAATGGAGACTTTACGGTCCGGTTTTTGAGGGATCTTTGCATTGGCTGATGCGGCAGACGAGGTCTAGTCTACATAGGCTGGTGGGTCTCGCTCGGACGGGCGACGCCGCTGCACAAATAAATACATTCTCAATGACTTGTTCGTGCCGTCTTGCAAGGTCTGTCGGTGGCAAGAAAAGCTGCTACCGTGTTCAGTCATGCAGACGCCATTCTGGAGATGATACCCATCCAAACACTTCGCTCGCAATATGCGTGACGTTGAAATGGCAAGTCATGTTGGTATGCACAGTGACTGTAACCTGAAAACCGCAATGCCGGTAGGCAAAACCTCTATCGTACCTTGGCGAACCTGCCTTGACATGCTAATGGTATTATCCCGTCACATCTGGCCAAACGTCTATTCAAATCGTCCAAGGGGACGAAAAAGCTGGTGCCCCCTTTTACTTCCATTTTCCCTCTCTCTGTCCCCCCCTTTAATCCTGCTATTTTATACCAGGACCCCCTCGTCGTCGGGAAAACACCTCTCCAGCAACCTCTCGCGATGCCTCACGAGAATGGGGAACTCCCGGAGGATCTCCGATAGCGACCCGTCCACCCACCCAAATTCCTCGTCGAGCAGCAGGTGCGTGTACGAGAAGACGGACGCATCAAAGAGCGTCGGGCTCTCGCAGCCAAAGAACCACTCGCCATCTCCTTTTTCTGCTGCTGCTGCTGCTGCTGCTCCTCCCTTCTTCTCGCTCCCAGCCCCTGAGTCACTCTCCTCCAGCAACGCAGCAAGGGCCTTGAACGCGGCGCGCGCGTCGGCGTGTATCCTTGCTTTATCGACGACCGCGCTCCGCGTGACCTTGAGAACCTCGGCCTCGGCAGCCGAGCGGACCTGGTGCGCGAGCGTCAGCCTGACGAGGGGGTTATTGGACGCCGGGGCGATGTAGAGCCTGGAGAGGAGGTCCGCGTTCGGGGGGGAGAGGTAGAGGGCGTGGAGCCAGGCTGCGCGGAGGCGGTGGTCTAGGAGGGACTGGTAGGCTTGCTGGCGGGCGTGGAGCTCTGCCTCGGGGGATGATGTGGAGGAGAAGGAGGCCGGCAGTACGGGTAGCCGTTTGAGTGTGGTGTTTTCTAGAGCGTAGGATTCGAGCTTGGAGGGGCCGGCGATGGGGCGTAGGGGGGAGGGTGGCAGGAGGTAGGGGAGGGCGCCGGAGGGGGAGGCGTGGTTTGTTGAGGGTGCGATTTGGAAGTCTATGCCTGCGATTTTGAGAAATGTCTGGGAAAGTTTGGGGGCAGATGTTAGCTGGGTGCGGCGCGCGACGTGAAGACGGGTATAGGGTGCTGCATGTGTGTGTGTGTGTGGAGAGAGGTATCAGACGGACCTGCCACTTTAGACACGAGGGGTTGAAGCTCGGTCGGCCTCTCGGGGCATCGTCGTCCGCGACGAAGACGTATAGCGTCGGCGTGTCACCGCGGGAGGGGCTGCGGAGGGGTAAGTCGTTGGGAGGGTAGACGGCAAGGGGAAAGCGTCGGAAGAGGGCGGCGACGGGGGCCGGGACGGCGAACAGGCTTCTCCGGGCGTGGTCAGGCATGATAGCTGGCGGCGCCCGGCGTGGCTTGCTCGGCGAGGCCGGTCGGTGGTGAAGCGGGCGGGCGGGCGGGCGGGGTGATGTGGAGGGAGGAAAAGCGCTCGTATGACGCGAAAGATTGAGCCGAAGGAGTGGAGGTGCCCGGTGGCCGGAGCTCTGCGGGGTGAGTAGTGGGACGAGAGGTGAAATGCGGTGCGGTGCGGTGCGGTGCGGTGCGGTGCTGCTGCTGGCTGGTGTGATTTTTTTTGCTGCGAAAAGGACAGAGCCAGTGAGAGTGGCTGGCCTCGGTCTCGGTACTCTACAGTGGATGGGATGGGATGTATCCGTACGATTGTGCCTATCGCGATGCGCGTCTTTCTACACCGCCCATCTGCTTCGTGCTTTTGGAGGAGGCAATTTGTCGCTTCTCCATGCGAGATAAGGGGTCTTTGCTTTCCTTCCCGCTCCTCCTTGAACTTCTCGGCGCATTCGGGGACAGACAGGGGCAGAAAGTGGATGATCTGCTAGTGTGGCATGAGTTTTTTTTTTTTTTTTTTGTGGTCTCTCTCCCCTCTTCCTACTGCAAAACGGGAGTGGAGATGTTGGACCGAACCGTGGACAGTGAGTGGGTGAAGGACGCCCGTTTGGTGGTTTGGATAAAGGTGCTGGACAGCTGCAGGAAAGCTGCAGCTGTGCCAGCGGCCGTCACTCTGCTGGGAAGACGAAGCGGGTTTGCGGCGCTGTGGATGGACCCTGAATTCATCGTGACACCCCTGTCTTCCCAAATTCCTTCCCTTTCTGCCCTCATCACCGATGCAGCTTTTGATTGATACTATATGACACAAACCAGGTGAGGTTCAAAAGTGCAGCGGCCGGGGTCCATGACTACTCCGACTCTGGAGATTTCAGCAGACTTGGTCATGAGACTAGAAAATATCATGTGTCACAGGCCGGGAAGGCATGGGAGTGTCGCTCAAATTCTAGAGCGGCCCTCTGAGGCGATGTCGGCGTGTCCCAGCAATGCCAATGGTCCTACCCGTACGTAGCGTGCCTTCCGTTGGTGAGTGGCTCCGGATCAACCACGGCGAATTCCAGGTTCGAGAGCCCTTCTAGGTAGTGAGCGGGGCGCCCTTCTGTTCTGGAGCCCGGGGTACGCAAGGTGACCCTCGGTATCCGTACTTTCGGTCAAATTCCACGCCCAAATGGGCCTCCCGCCGTTCGGGTTTTCCGCCTCGGGTGGTTGCAGGAAGAAAGCTGACCCGCCCGCAGGAACAATGCCACGACGACACCACCCGGCAAACATGGAGCCATTACCAGGAAGCCAGAAAACATGACGGGCCAGGAACAGCCAGGCGAAAGATTGCGCGACTCGTGCAGAAGATGCAGGTGCATGCCCCAACAGCGCCGACGCTATTACGAAGGACGGCCCATCGCTCGATTCCAGGAATCCATCCACACCTTTTTTTCCCACGCTCTGGATCCTCGATGAGGATCCTTTTTACTCGACGCATGCCGAGCAACTCCTCGGAGCGTTGACTCGAACACTGGCGAGCTAATCGGAAGATGAGGCCGTCTACGAAGCGTACACCTGCGTCGTCGCTACCAGCATTTGCGGTTGACCTGCCACTGGCTACTAGCTCGACTCAAGCTGCATGATACTAGAAGATAGGCTAGCAGGAACCTTTCCAGACCAAGCGGTTTTCGACATGGTCGTCCGAGACTATGCTGTTGCAAGACATCCAGACGGTTAGACCTTAAACGAGGTTGCACATCTGGCTGCTGGTACACAATGCTGGAGGGCCATGTTCCGAATGCTGCGCTCCACGATGGGAGGGAGTGTTGATACTGGGCCATTAAGGGAAGAAAAAAACCGAGACCCTAGACAAAGGCATCAAGGCATGAAAAAAAAAAAATTAGCCATTCTCCGTCATATGGACATTGGGTGATTCACAACCTTGGATCGGAAGAGAGTGGTCCTATATGAGCATCATTCTGTGTTACAAGCCGCCTCCCCCCGGGGGATTCTTATGCCGAAGGTATTCCGAGTCTGCGAGCCTCGCGTTTGGCTGGAGCGATCAACCTCAATGGAGACTGTTGGCGGGGCACGCCGCAATGGCCATGGGGAATACCTTAGTGTTCAAAGTGGGACAGGTTTGTTAACGTGGGGGGTCTCCGTCCCGATATTTTCCGCTGTCGAGCCAAGAGCCAGAGGGCCCCAAGGCCCCCAGAGGGCAATTATGCCGCTAAGACGAAGCAAAGTCGGAAAACCCAGCGACGGGGGGTCGGACATGCGCGTCGACGGTCGACCGGGAGGAAAGCCGCGGCGAGGCGCCGAAGAAGCTGTGTGTTGGGATAGAGGCCCGAAAAAAAAAAAAAAAAAACGGATGCACCGTCAATATCATTCGGTTCTTCTTCACATGTCTCCACCGAAGCCGGCATTTCCTAGCGCAGGCTCTCGTGGCTCTGAGTGTTGGTCTTGACTTGGTTCAATCAGGCTCCATCCTGCTAGTGATGACCGTCGCCACTTCTCCAGGCCCAGGTTTGCGTCGGTATCCACGCGACGTACGGAGCACAGGAAGAGAAAAGAGAAAGACGAAAAAAACCTTGCGCCAACTGCGCACAGCCAGCTCGAGGAATGCGAGGCAAGAGGTGCCTGCTCCGTCGAAGAGGCAAGGGCTGACGAGGACGACGTGTTCAGCCTCCATCATTAGGGAAGGCAGAGGCGGGGGAAATCACAAGCAAAAATGGAAGGGGCGTCCTGAATCGAGAGCTAATACATATTCCGTCGTTTTGAGTTTCTGGGCACTCGCATAATCCCCGGCTTTTTGATCAAATGTTCGACAGTCAATGCTTGTGATTTCCCCCTTCTCCCCGCAATCCCGTTCAAGATAGAGTTCAGCCCGCATCAACCCAGCACCGCGCAACCACCTCACCTTACCTGTGTATTCGGACAGCAGCAGCCGCATGCACAGTCGTCACTCTACAAGATGTCTAGCTAGTCTTGCCGTTTTTGACGACGACAATCCTTCGGGTGGGATACTAGGTACCTTCTCCATCCTGGTCAAGCCTGTGATCGAGTATCTCGCACCGCATCGCATCGCAACTTCCGCCTCCACCTGCGTCTCTCAGTTAATCCGTCCATTCGCCAGAGAGGAAAGCCATTCCGCAACAGGGCAGGGCAATAGGTATCCGTATGATGGACGGCCTTGATGGAAATGGGCACATCAGCACACCCAGAGCGCAATCTTGGTTTCTCCAAGTGGAGCACAGCATGTCATCGTTGGGCTGTTCTCTCCCTCATCCTAGGCCGAAATCGAACGAGGCAGGCTTCCGTGCATTGGCTCTTGAGCTTCTTTCCCAGGATCACGCAGCCAGGGGGCGGTTTGATGCGATCCAGTGCGATGCGGAGAAACGGCCCTGAGTCTCTCGCTAACGGCGCAAAAAGGGTTAGCAGGTGGTAGGTACCGATACATGGAGAGCCGAGGCCATCACCCCCATACGCCTAATCCAGGCCCATGTCCACAGGCCAACCTGCCCAGTACCAGCTACCAAGGCACCATGACATGCCGCCTTCGAACTTGGCCCTACCCCACACTGCGAAACGCTTTGCCAGCGAGCAGACCGATCTATCCGCCGCTCATGATTTGCCCCTTCACCCACTCGTCACCGTCTTTCCCCGAACTGCCAGTCTGCCACTGCGGTCGCTCGAGCCGCTGATCCGCAAAGACCCTGAAAGCCTTTTGCCTTTGCTGAGTCGCGAGACGAGGTGCAAACCCATTCCCCCCCTTGCCTCAGATGGGGGAGAGAGGTTGTACCGATACTTGACAAATGGAGGTCCTCAATTACTGCTTCTGGCGACGTTTACCGCGAGGCTTTACGCCTGACGCTTGTGCCTCTGCAAGTACCCCCCGCAATGGCAAACATCAATCAGGCTGCTGGGGAGTTGATCTGGCTGGGCTATGCTGGGTCGTCTGGGTCGTTTTTGGGGATGATGGATAAGCATGCGCCGTTGTCTCCTAGATGATGCAAGAGAGAAAGCCGAGGATGTAGGCGAGTACACTGAGGGAGAAGCACTGAGGAAAAACAAGCAGCTTGGGGACGGAGGTTCGGCGTCATAACAAGCTCGTTCGATCCCTCCACCTCTTTCTTCGGACCTAGTATCGCGGTCCCCAGAGTTGGTCGGGTCCAGGGCATTGAGCGTCATGGATTAGACGGCGGGAAATAACGTGAAGACGTACATACGCAGCGTCGTCCCTCTTTTTCTTCCTCTTACCCGCCGAGCAGAGGAAGAGGAGGAAGAAAAAAAAGAACTGGGGACAAGATGGATTCTTCAACCGCGGCTACTCTCCGTATCCGTGTACTTTGGCAAAGTAAATAACCCAACCCGGACAGCCATCTCGGTCTTGCGTCGGTAGATGGGGACATAGTTCAAATTCTTTATCCTCGACTCGCCCACCCGTAGCTTTTCTGGCCGGCCTCTCTCCCACACTCCTCCCACGCTCCTCCCACACTTTTCATGTTCGACACACCCACCCGTGCCCCTCGTCTGGATCAAAAGCAAGTCAACTGGACAGCCCGCAAACCAACCCCAATCAAAGTCAAGCCCATCACATCATCACTCGCACACCCATACAATCCCGCTCGAGCTGCCCTCTTAATTACTCTCCCAGCCTTCGTTCGGCTCTGAATCCTACCTACACTCGAGCAAGGAAACGCTGCTGCTACTGATGCTACCCACCCCATCTCGCGTTGACTACCGACTCACACTCGCCTTATTCTGTCTTCCAGGCCTGGCTCAGCTGCTACGCTCTCGAACGATATCCCACACATAAGAGTCGCAACATCCCCTCCGCGCCTGACTGTGGTATCGTCGATCCCCCTTCTGCCTGTCTCACTTATCCTGCACAATCCATCCCTCCCTCTCTACTCGGCCAGAAAAAGGAAGAGAAGCTTGACCCGTCTCCGTTCGGCTATCTGCCTCTTCTCGCTCGCTCAATCTATCCACCGACTCGTTGTTGGCTTGTTACCCGCTGCCGGAGCAAGGGTTGGTTATCCGCAATCGCGCCGAGTTCCAATATTGCCATCCAATATTGTTGCAAGCAAAGACAAGCGGTCCCGCAATTATAGCCTGTCACCGACAACCCAGGGTCGTCCCACGATCACTTTAAACCAGCCGCCGGCCTCACCCACACCCCACGCCTCACGGGATCCCCGCTGCTCGTCCTTGGTCCTGCGAAAAATCTCAGACACTACTTTCGTACTCCGCACTTACCGTCGACTATCCTTTTCTTTTCACAAAAGGAGAGCAGGATCTTCCACACGCTCATCTATCGGACTTTTCATTCCATCTCCTGCCTTTCACCCCCGCCTGACATCACCTGCTTTTCAAGTACCTGTGCTTTGGGTCTCACAAAAAGAGTCAAGATCGGCGCTCCGAAATCGAAGATCTGGGGAATATAATACCACCAACCACCCATCGCCCTTATTCGGACCATTAGTTCCTGGCCGTACACAGAATCATCCCGTACTCGGATATTCCAATCTTCTCTCGCCGTCGAGGGAATACTATCACCACCACAACAACATCTCGAGATCTATCGCCATCAACCCTCCACACCGCCCATCATGAACGCACCGATCCAGTCACCCAAGCGCCAGGACTCCACATCTTCCATCTCGTCGTCGTCTTCGCACATGTCCACAAACCAAATGATGGCGCCACCCCAACCCAACGGCCAGCAGCCCCCTTCAACCGAGGCCTTCCTTCGCGACTTCACCCTCGTCGCTGAGGCCGCGAAACGTGCCCAGATGGCCGTCATGATGCGCGACTTTGAGTCCTGCGGGCTGTCATAGAGGGAGAGCATTCTGTCGTCGCGCAAGAATTACGCAAAGAGTACGAAAGCGATGATGGCCCCCGTCATTTCGGGAAGCTTTTTTCTTTTCTCTCTCTCCACTGGCTCAGGCCGTCTTGCAGACGAACCTTCCGAATCATCGGATGACGACCCCGCTGAAACACAATAACGGGTCCGAAGGAAGACCGAGGCACCGCGCGACGCTCGCCGGAGTCGGGGCAGAGGCGAAGGCAAGAGAATTCCCGTGTCCTACCGAGCCGACACTGAGACTCGCCTCCCCCTCGCCAGATTCAATCGCTCGAGTGCCTTTGTCGTTCCATTTTGCTCCTTCTCTCATCATTTCCCTCTCACAGCTCACTACACATATTTAATCGACATGGAAGTCTATGGGGAACTTTATCGCTTTCGCATTCTTCTCAATGATTAGAGGCGGGGATAGACAAAGCTTCATCTCATTGGGTTTTCTTCATGACAAACACACAAACACAACACTCACATTGGCGTATACGGACAAAGGGGCATCATTGCATTGCGGGACCGAAGGGAATGCGTTTGATATCAACTACTTGGAAAGGAAACTCTTTGACATTACACGGCGTTGGGAGGAGGGAAGGCTTCGGGCATTTACCACGACCCGTTTGATTTGGATTCCGCTCACCAGTTTATCATTTTCCTGTACGAATACCACCTTGGCGGCCAAAGGTCTTACCTAGATCTTTTGCATTATACCTAGTTAAAGAAACAAAACCAAGTCTCTTGGTCTTTTCCAACATTGATTATTGTCCAGATTGTAGTCAATCTATTGTGACATGGCCGAGAAACTCACGATCCATCGCGGTTCTCTCTATTTCTCTGTCTACTTCTATCTCTCAAAACTCTTCCTCACTACCATCATCATCATCCCGAGCTCAAATAACAAGAACCCCCTTTTCCCATCACAAAAAACCCTCACAACTTGGAAGCCAACACAATTCCCCCATCAACAGTAATAGTCGCCCCCGTAACAAACGCCCCCGCGCGCCCGCTCAAGAAAAGACACGCCCCCGCAATGTCCTGCGGCGTCCCGATCCGCCGCATCGGAATCTCTTCCTCGATCGTATCGCGCATCGTCTCGAGCGTCGCCTTCATCATCTTGCTCTCAAACGGGCCGCACGCGAGGGTATTGCTCGTCACGCCCCTGGGACCGAGTTCCCGCGCCAGCGCGCGAGAGAGGTGGTGCAGGCCGGCTTTGCTCGCGCTGTAGGCGTAGCTCGACATCAGGGGCACGCGGAGGCCGTCGACGCTGCCAATGTTGATGACGCGCGCCGGGTCGGCGACGGCAGCACCACCGCCACCACCACCGGAACCGGGGGAGGCCGAAGAGGATGCTGCCGCCGCGCCTTCCAGCAGGGGCGCGGCGAGCTGGGTGAGAGTGAAGACGCGGTGGAGGTTGAGCGTGAGCAGCTTCGTCCAGGCCGCGTCCGGGTAGGTGTCAAAGGCGTCGCCCCACGCGGCGCCCGAGTTGTTGACGAGGACGTGAAGCTTTCCGTTTGTGCGCTGTGCGAGCTCGTCGACGAGGCGTTTGCAGTCGTCGAGCTTTTGGAGGTCGGCGGGGATGGCGAAGCACTGGCCCGGACCCTGGGCGGTGAGGGCTTTGGCGGAGGCGGCGCAGGCGGCGCTGTCGCGGGAGGAGATGTAGACTGTTGCGCCGTTTGTGATGAAGCCTTCTGAGATCATGTAGCCGATGCCCTTTGCGCCGCCTGTTACGAGGACGTTTTTGCCCTGCCGGGGAGAGAGACGAGGTTAGGCCCTTGTTTTTCTCTCTTTCTTTCAAGGTAGCTCCGGAAGATGGGAGATCGAGAGCTGCGGAGGAGGAGGAGGAGGAGGAGGAGGAGGAGGAGGAGGAGGAGGGAGCTTTCTTACCTTGACATTGAAGAGGGATGCGGCGTCCATTGCTTCCGGAGTTTCCACTGTTTGGTGAGAGGAGGCTGGGTTTTTGCTGTTTTTTACTTTTGAACACGGCCAATCCACATGCGTCAAGCAGCTTATAGTCAGTTTGAGCGGCGGGCCGTGGAATATACTGTATGGGAATGAAGGATATCTGAGGTGGACGAGAATGAAGAGGAGCTTCGGCCCAGGTGAGACGAGAGCTCCGGTCGTCTGAGCTTCCCGTCGAATGAACCGAGGCTCGTTTGGAGGGGTGGTCTGGGCCGATGGTCCGATAAGGGGTACATTATCCACCATACAATCCAGGGTTACGAGGCATGTACATCGCATCTTCGCTGCGAGAAGTGGACAGTCAAGGGCAGGCCGAGATGCGACGTTTGGGAGCTTTGGGTTCCCTACGTCTACCTCCTCCGTGAACCTGCAATCTTTCGTCCTAGGCATTGTAACAATTACTGAACACTGGCTTCCAAAGGGTTCATCTCGCATTATGGGCTTCAGTAACAACGATTACTCATCTATCTAATGAAGATGAAAAACTATGCTAATCTACCGAACGTGTCTGATCGTCTCGATTTACTATCCGTTGAAAAGTCTATTGTCATGGTCGTCTGATTAACCCGCAACCACCAACGCCATTGCTCAATTTCAAATCCTTCTCCCATGCTAGCGGTGAAGGGTGATGCTGCCAGGCTCAGAGTCCTGCTATGTATCCGCTGATCTTGAAGATCCATCCGCAGAGCAACCAATGTAGCACATGCACTACCCAAGTGCAACAATCCGAACGAGGGTGCGCGATGAGGCAACAACAAGAACGCCAAGCATCCGTCCATGTTTCTGGACAATTACGCGCGCGAAGACCCCTCAGTAAGATTCCCGAATTACGACGTCGATGACCTCGGACTGCGCTTTCTCATAAAGGTCGGCAGCCTCGACGGCTTCTCGCCGCTCTCGGTCGTATTGGTCGTCTTCTCCGGCGTACCGCCCGCCCCGGCGGCGGCAGCGGCGGCGGCAGCGGCTTCCCTCTCTTTTCTGGGAGAGCAGCAGCAGCCCATGGCCATGTGGAGGATGGCGGCCAGGTCGACAAGGGCGCTGGCGAGCCACATGAAGACGAACATGCGCACGCCAAGCACAGCGTTGATATTGAGCTCTGACTGCTGGGTGAGAGCGATCTTTGCACCGACGCTCATGACGGTGCCGATGATGGCGGCAACGGTGACGAGCAGGCCGGTGATGGCGGCGAAGAAAGCGATGGGGAGGCTCCACCAGCGCGAGCGCATGACTAAGGGCGTAACGATGAGGAGGGCGGCGGCGAGCGAGATGCCCGAAATGAAGAGGCCGAACATGACCTGTTGCCCGATGCGGAGGATGTTGAGGATGGTGGTGACCTCGGAGGGCAGGGCGATGGTCGCGCCCGCGAGGAGCTCGTTGGTCAGGATCTCGATGGGGTTGAACCACCACATCCGCTGGGGGGTGGAGCAGTACGTGACGCCCCTACGGGTATCGTGTTAGTATGTAGGTTTCTATATCTTTGCGTGTGATAAAAGATATCTGGGACACTCACTCATCGTTGTAGCCTTCACAAAAGTTCCAGAGACCGACTTGGTAAAAGTCGTGAAGTCCCAGACTACGCGCTACGGAGTTGAGGAGGACGGCGTTGGCCGAGGAGAGCGGGATGATATCGGAGACATCGAGTTTGAAGAAGTAAATGTCTGTCAGTACAGGCTTGATGGAGGTGTTGCCGATGATGACGAGGATGAGGAAGATTACGGCGATGAAGTAACAGACAGCGGCGGTAATGGCGCTGTTCCGGCGGACCTTGGCCATCGTGAGGGTTGGGGCGTCTAGGATGTTGAGATTCGGGCAGCTTTGGAGGAGAGCTTTGAGGTCGTCGTCGCGGGGCAGGCTGGGCTGGACGTGGAACCAGATTCTGGGACCTGGGGCTGATGGGGTACAGATTACGGAGTACTGGTGTGTCTCCCCAGATATCTCACGTATACGTGAGGATGAGGGCAAGATGACGCGGTAAGGTACCCAGAGCTCTCTCTAACTTTACCGATGGTCCGGAGAGGTAACGAAAGGGGGCCTGGAGATTCGGGGAATTCGACCTGTTGAGCTACCCAGGCGGCCGTAACCGAGACGCCGCAATCCAAGAGAAAAAGCGTCTCAGGCCAAGGGCTATGGTGCGAAGTAGGAATCGGCGCTACGTGTGCAGAATCTCTGGCGGAGCGGAGAGGAGACGGGAAGCAAAGAACGCCAAAAGACGGATAATGACGATGAGCGTCAGGAAGGCTAGCTTGGGTCCACACGGCAATTTTCGTCAGGTGTCCGTAGATCGAAAGGAACAAAACAAATGATTCCAGGCCAGGCCGGAACCGTAGATTTGATGGAGCCCCCCTTGGTGGTTGGCAAGGTTGGTAAATACGGGAAGGGCGTCAAGGCAGCAGGGCCAAGACACTGGGGCCAGACAGATAGCGAGACTAGTGTAGATAGACCAGAGAGAATAAGCAGAGTCCGCGAGACGACCTGAGTTGGCATAAACCCAGGCGTATCGCTGCCCGGGGGTAGCTTCAAGGTGAGGAAGGCCCAGGCTGTGTTGGGTGAGGGTCAGAGATAATCGGACAGGGAGAATGACGTCGTAGCAACGCGGGCAGCTGCTACCCTTTTTTTTGCCCCTTTCCTTCTTTCCTTTCTTTCTGCTGCTCTGGCAACTTTCCTGCATTGGATCAACCCAGCGTTTTTTTGCTAAGGTAGCGGCGCGCCACGGCTAGTGCGTCCTAGGTGGGCTGGGCGTGAGGCATTCCAGGTTGTGCGGTGGAGCCATCCACCTCATGTTTCCAAGCTCCCGTTCATCTCCGTTTCGTCCCAGTCAACAAGTCACCCAGTCACCCAATATCGAAGGAAAAAGCATGCTCAAGTTTCCACTGGATGGCTGAACCACAGAAACTCCAAATTGTTGGCACAGACGAAAAGAGCCCGGCGACCACAAACCAGTCAATCCACAGCAGCAGAGCCATAATCTCTTCCTCTTCTCGGGGCGTCAAGAGAGAGACATACCTAGATAATAGCCTAGCTGCATACTCCGTACTGAGCAAATCCCATGGTATCGCTGCGAGGTACGTAAGTACATTCTCCATCCACAATGGGATCCAATGGCCTTCAATTTCTGTTCCCGAGGGGCCGTCTAAACGAGGTCGTGGCCCCATTCAGCACCGCCCCCAAGGAGTCCAGCCAACCGGGCCGTTGTGTCACTTTCCATGCCGGGCGATCTGTAGCCTGTAGGAAACCAAACCCTCCCCAGCTGAAATGGGATCATCAAAGTTGACAGCGGTTACTAAGAAAAAAGGAAGTTAGGCAAGCCATTCGAGAGGAACAACAAGTCAATGACAGCAAACCAGATGCGCAGACACTGGCTGTGCGAGGTACGATTCCAATGGGTGGATCGTTGGGTAGCGCCGCTTTCTCCTTGTTGCACCATCGACCCGACTCCCGGGCCCCGTACGGATGTCCCCCGTCCCGCTCTGTGCCTCCTGCATCTCTGCATTTGCAACTCCTACACAAAGCTATACGCGTATTGTGCTTTTCCCGCCTTGACAACATCATGCTCAGGTTTGTCCGAGGAGGACGGGGCATGGAGGGGATTTCATTTTCTTCAGGGACTAGCTGGGTCAGAAATAGTTTTAAAATTCCCCGTCGCAGCACCCCAGGGTCACAATCCCGGCAAGACCCAGATGTCTTGATCTAGTATCCTTACATAGTATAAACAAACGAAATGAGGTGGACGGCAAGTGTTAAGCCTAAAACTCTGTTTTCTTCTTCTTCCTCTTTTGTCTTCATGATCGTCCTGTCTGCCTCAGTGGGATGGTCATCGGCACCTCTTTCTTTTCAGCTTCCTGGATTTGCATTTTGCAATAGGAGGAACATTGGTTTCTTGATTATTCCCAGGAGCCGCAAGAAGACAAGGCGATCCTGCACGCGCGTCCGTCCCCGCCACGCCGGCACAGGAGCCGTTGATCGCCAGGGATATCCGTACATGCCCCCAGTCCTTGTTTCTGCGCTGTCTTTTGCCACAGGCACAGCCGCAGATGTGCAGTAGATAGAACGGCGCGTCCAAGACTCAAAATGCCGCCCCTCCGTTGATTTCGTTTCGTTTGTGGGCTGCTTCCAGTCTCTGTTTTCTAGTCTCCCGACATTCATTTTCGTCACCTGCTGCTTTACGAGATGTGATGGGTGCAATGACATGACTGCATGACCTTGTCCAGCTGGAGCTGCCGATGAGATAACCAGCAGGGTCCCAGCACATCCCCAGTGATCCTCGCAGCAGCTTGCGGTGTTGGTGGGTCGTCTCTATGGGGCTCAGTGCTCCTATGTACCGCCAGGTGGGTCTCGTCAACGGGCTATCCCCTGCCAGTTTGGTCCCATTTCCTACGGTAGCGCCGTACCTTAGCGTCGTATGGGCTGGGGCCACCCTCGAAGCAGAAGAGTGTCTGGGCCACCCCAGAAAAAGAAAGAGAATACACAAATATTATGTCATAGCCAACGGGGCTCAACTTGAGTCGACATTGGCACCAAGGAAAGTAGTAGGCCTTTGTTGCTGCTGGCGCAACAGTGGCACTTTTCCTCTCCTGTCAAATCTGGACGTTCCGCCTCTGCCGTTCGTGAAGAACGGGCATGCAGAAGAAAAAGGAAAACGCGGGCTCTCCTTTTTCATGCTACCGTAGTACCTTAACGTGCTTCTGCTTTTCGGCGGTATTCGCTCGGGGATCATCATCGAAACTCTCTCGTCCGATAAGCGTTTTTGACTTCTGTCTCCCGTCCCTCGCTCAACTCAATTCTCTCCCGAGGGGCGCGCAGTGGCCACTGCGCCTCGCTGCCATCCCTGATCCCGAATACATACAACCCATCTCGAACCTAACACCAACCACCCCTACCAACACACGCGCACATAGAGAGAATACACCACCACGACTCCTTTCGTTTTCTCGGCCAGATCACCAACAAGTCCTCGCCGAAGAGGCTGCTGCGCCCAGTATGACAGCATCTCTCGTTGCCCTATCCATCGGGCTGTTGTCCCTCTTCGCGACCCAAGTTGCCGCTCAGGAACTTGTCAGCACCAGCACTTTCACCCTTTCCAACACCGACGATGTGACCTTTCTCTCGGGAACCAAGACCGTCGCAGTCACCCAGCCTAGAACGCCAACGGGTCCCTACGCAACCTACACCTCGAGAATCACCCTCACCAATGGAGACCTTTCCACCATGACCGGGACCATGACGGTCACCGGCAACGTCACCCAAACGACAACAAACTCCGTCGGCCAATCTGTCGTTATCATCTCGGGCCAGACTTCTGTCGTAACGTCCACCATCACTGGCAATGCCACCCAGAGCGAGACCGCCCCGGCCGGCCCGACCAACACCCGGCCCTGCAACAACTATGTCGAGTTCTGTGACCGCAAGTACAGCAATGTCACCGAGGTCGGATGCCACAACTCCCCCTTCGTGCGCCCCGGGAATTCGGCCTCCAACCAGGCTCTCGACGTCACGGCCCAGCTCAACGACGGCATCCGCTTCCTCCAGGCCCAGATCCAGTGGCCCACCAATGGCACAGTACCACACTTCTGCCACTCTTCCTGTGATATTCTCGATGGTAAGCTCCCCAGAACAGGACTCGTACTCGCAGAGCCGCAGCTAACGCATGGCAGTCGGGCCCATCACCGAATGGCTGACCACGGTGCGTGAATGGGTCGCTTCTCACCCGTACGACGTCGTCACAATTCTCCTCGGCAACGGCAACTATTCCACGCCTGACTTATATGCCCCCTTTATTGAGTCAACGGGAATCCTCCAATACGCCTACCAACCCCCATACCTTCCCATGAGACTGGAAGACTGGCCTACTCTTTCCCAGATGATCCTGGGCGGCAAGCGTGTCGTCATGTTCCTGGACTACATGGCGGACCAGCAAAAGTTCCCGTGGCTACTCGACGAATTCTCCCAGATGTGGGAGACCCCCTTCGACCCCATGGACCGCAGCTTTCCCTGCACCGCCCAACGCCCGCCCAACCTGTCCCAGGAGGCCGCCCGCGACCGCCTCTACCTCATGAACCACAACCTCAACGCTGAGTACAATATTTTCGGCGCGTCCATCCTCGTACCCGCCGTCTCCCTACTGAACACGACGAATAACGTGACCGGAAATGGGTCCCTCGGCGGGGCGGCCCAGAACTGTACCCGCGACTGGGGCTTCCCGCCCAAGGTCCTCAACGTGGACTACTACAACTACGGCGACCCAGAGGGCTCCGTCTTCCAGGTGCAAGCGAAGATGAACAATGTCACGTACACGCGCGAGTGCTGCGGTAAAGTCACCGGCGCGTCTACCGGAAGGCCGACTGCTTCGATTTTGGTCTTGGTTTTGGCATTCGCCTCCGCCCTGCTGCTGGCCTGAGCGATTAACTGTTAAATAATGTCTTTTGATAATTTCGGTTCAATGATAAAGCATGTCAGGCGTTCTTGGGGTGTTTATGCATAGACGGACTACAGGACCAGTGGATGTTCAATCTGAAAATGGTGGCTGTTTGGGTTTGGCTGCTAAATGAGATACTGTAATGCAAGACTACCACTGCATATAAATTTCACTGCTACAATATCCTGAAAAGACCTAGATCCTTGGATCCTTGCTTCTCAATGTGATGGTGGCTGCTCTATCGAAAGCCGTATCATGGGCAACATTGGACATTAACTGTGGGGGGGGATGGCGATTCAGTTCATCAACCTGGTAACATTACTACTACTATACGACTGAAGGCCGATGTTCTGCTGCCCATAGAAGCCCATTGATCCGGCCACGTGGAGATGTTGATGAAGGAGAGTGATTCGTTTGCCCCGTATCAATGAACCAATCCCTCCTGAAGATATTCGGATGGTGGTAGCTGTTCAAATGGCTTTTGGTCTCCTATCATAGCAACATGGATTATGTTGAGACCATCCGTATGTTCAAGGTTGTTTTCCCTGTCTAACGGGTAATTAAACTAGGTTGCTTTACATAAATCTGTTCTCCTTTGTCTCATCATCTACGCATACTTCCCCATTGCTGCGCTCGCGAATCTTGACAGCCGTATTTTCCGGTCTCTCAAGGGGCCCATGCCTGTGGTCCGACACCGTTCCTAATGTCGTAAGCCATTGAATCAGTAATCCTCTGAAAAGAGGCCGCTCAATTTGACGCAAAATCTCCTCGGTACACCGCCTTCGTATGTTCTGGATGACAAGATGGCATGGAATGTGAATCGAATGACGGAGGGAAAATCCGATTAGGGGATCCGGACAATGTCATTAATACACACATCTCTATGAGGCAATCAAAATCCGCTCCCCATAGAATTGGGGACGTGTCTCTACTTCGGCTTGGCTTGTTATCTTGACAAGATCTCGCCGGTTCCGCACCTGCAGCTCGCTTCACGTGAGTCTGGCACTACGGGGGCATTTACATGCTGAGGGGTATCAGAAGGAACTCTGACTACTCAAACAACTCTACTTCCCACTCTCAGGTATACAAAGGAGACGCAAACTATGAGCTCCTTAGACGGCGTTCCCCGATTGATACGACGTGAAATGGCGGTTCAATGTCTACATCAGATTTCCCCATCGACAACGCTCAACGTCTGGAACTTGGGGCGAGCTTTCTCAAGCCTAGACTGGGCCGGGCGCTCATGGTGCCGCTGCCATGGACCGTCTCGACGTCCACATTCCACTCACCTACATAACGGGAAAGGTTTGATATTACATAGCCTCACAACCAGGTCATATAAAAACCGGCAATTCCCTCCGGCTCGCAGCGCCTAAATCGTGGTGTGACTCACTCTAGGGTTTTCGTATCGCCATCAGTAGGCTTACCCGCACCATGGTAGTGCTCGCGGTGTCGAGGGCAGCACGTTTCGCGTCCCCGTTGACTCATGGCATATGGGTTGATGATCTTCTTTCGGCATGTCCGAAGCAAGTATTCGTTCATGGATGTTGAAGGCTTTGAGTTGCACATGGCGAGGTAATAATGTGGGAATAGAGTGAAAGTCGTGGCTCATGTTGATCACTATGAGATCCGGCGCGTCGATACCATTTAGAATCCAAGAGCATCGCAAATTCTAACAAACACGAGCGAAGATGCATTGCTGTTACCATTGAGATCCTCAACTCAGTCGTCCAAGTATACATGATCGAATCTTGATAGAAAGTCTGAGACTGAGTATGGGAGCAGCAGTACAGAGTACCGTGGGAGACGACCAATAGCCCTCTGCAGTGCAATGAGAACCATTAGTTGGGTATAGTATCGATTTCGCTACAGTGTTGCTTTGGCGACATATCTGTAGCTTCTCAGAAATGACACTGTCAAGAGTCTGCCAGCCGTCAAAGGCAAAAGAGAGGCCTATGCAGTGGGCATCACATCTCTGAAAGACAGCAGCACCTCTGTAGCCGTCATCTGATGCAGACCAATATCACCTCAGTATTAGCCAGGTATGTATAAAATACAGGAATAATGAAGCACAGGTGGTAAAAGGGAAAAGATACAGTCTATAGCAGTTTTGTTCGCCTTGTGCTGTGAACCTCTGGCTAGTTGACTTGTAAACAACGAACGAGCGTCAGATGCCTCTGTTGCTCGACACACAAGTGCCATTCGAGTCATTGATCGACCAATGACCTTGATTCAGAGCGATGGGTTGAAGGTGAGATCACGGTGAGATATGTTCAGGAAGGCTGTTCTTTATGTCAAACCGCCAGCGGCCCGTTCTCGAATTAAGCCGAGATAGAGGGACACGATTACTCTTGAACCCCATTCGATGGATTTAATTTGACCAACAAATCAAAGGGGTCCTTTCAGACAGAACTGAAGAGGGAGAACGACTCAACTGAGCAGGAATGATGAAGTTGGATTGAAGCGTTGCGAGATACGGTTGTCTCATGGAAAACGGACTGCGGGCGTGACAGTCGGTAAGTACAGCTAACCCGCTACAGCGACGAATGAACTAAACAACATAGAAAAGGAGAGGTTAATGGGAAACCTAGTAAAAGAGAGCCAAAAGAGGAATTACTTGCGGTAAAAGACAAAAGGAATGATCAGTGGGAGGCTTGAACTCCCGGCCTTGGCATTACATGACATTTCAGGTGAAATATTAGTACCACGCTCTAACCAACTGAGCTAACCGACCAGCTTACTAGCTGTTGTTGTAGGTAAGTGCCGATTGTGGGCCTATGATCCTGTCCTTTCCTTTGCCGAGGCCAGCCGACGCACCCACCACCGAATCACCCGCTTCGCGTGGAAGAACAAGAAAAGTCGAACCAAACTATCGATACGGACGGATACAAAGGACGATAGGGTACGTAGTTAGGGCAGCTCAAGTTCGTACTTAGCAACACATCTTGACCATATGACGGCCATGTGGCAGCCATGTAAGAAGCCCGTTTCTTGGATGAGGCTCGGTCGACAGGGCTTGGGCCGGGATCAGGAGGAACCTGGAAGCGAACGGCCTCGAACTGTCACGCCGTGTTCCCACGGGCAACTGCGTCGGGATGATTTCCTGTCCGATTTCTGACCTTCCCCTGTCAGACAGACGGGTCAAACAAGTCTACTAACGCTGGGCCGTGAGACATTTCGCTACCTACTTTATGTCGCGGTGACAGGCGATGAAATGCGATGAAGTGCGATGAAAGCAGGCCGACTATCGCAAGCACGGAAACGAGAACAACAAGAGACAGCTCGCTCGGTTTCATGCCCCGGCAACATTCCGCGCTGCCAGGTTTTAAGCGACGCCCCTGCGAGCGATCCGGCGCTGGGGGCTGAATATAGCAAAGGCATGCATACCGATAATAATAGCTATAGCGAGTGGCAGCCTCAAGACTCAGGTCTCTGTCTCTTCGTCTTGCTCAGCCAGTCACCTTGGAAGGCTAGCTGCAGCCGTTGCTGCAAGACGGCGTCAGATCAGGTCCGGCGGCTGGGAGGCGGGGAGGGGCGTCGACGACTATCGATTTGTCCTGCAGGCCTGCTGCAGGTTCATTGCAGCAAACGTTGGCTCATAGGTTCGTACTTTGTAAGCTGCGGTCCGATGTTCCATGCAATGGGATTGGGAGGGAAAATCTCCTCCCCCACTGTCAGTGCGACGCTTAATCTGGACGGGGGACGGAGGACAGGCACGACCAGAGGCATGCCATCCGAAGTTTGTGACCACTGACACCCTTGTACCCGCAGGCCGTTCGCTCGGAGGTAACCCCTCGTGCATTTCCCTGAGATTCCGGTTGGAACGAGATTCCCATCATGATATTTTAACTTGAAAGACGGGACATTGGTCGACGCAAGGTGGGCAAGACACGAAACGTCAGAGTCTGCAGCTCGGTGCAGTACCTTGCTTAGTTCAGATATACGAATCGAGCCTGCTGTTTGACGCCGGTGAAGGATCCCTCTGGCTGTCTGGGCCGTCATTCATCCTCACCACGCATCTCACGCCATTCGTCCAGTCCTCACTCAGCCTTACCACGCCGGTCTTTCCCCTGGAGAGACATGCCCGCCGTACGGAGTACAGTCCTTGACTTACTTCACCACCTTGGTTCGCCCGGTGGCAGGCTAGGTGGGACCCCATGCTGAACTCCTCTGGTCTGCGTCTGCAGACAACATTCATTTCCATTTTCTTCCTTGCGCCTAGCCCAATCGCATCTCCCCCACGAAAGCGCACCCCCAGCAGCCCTACAACCTCTCTACTCAGCTGCCCCAGCATCTCAAATCCCTTAGGTTTCCCCCCTAATTATTCCCTGAGCTGGCTGGGCAACTAAAAGACCGAGATGCCTATCTTTCCGTGATCAGTTTGCCTTCTTAACTTTCTCTCGTCTTTTCGACTTTATCGCTCGTTACCTGTCCTCCTGACGCTCGCTCGCTCGCTCGCACGCACTCCCAGCTGCCTTATCTTGCGCACTTACACCAACCTCGCCACCTCGCGAGTCGCGGAGCACCTCGCCCAAGTCCACCTTGACAAGGGCAACAGAAACACTTCCGATAACGACGACGACGCCGTCTCGAGATGAATACGCCGTAAACAATGACGCAAAACAGAGGCTTTGGTGCGTCCTACCAACCTCCTGACGCTGCCGAAGAGAGACCACGACTTGCACACCAAAACTCCCGCTTGTCCGACGTCAGCGACTTTGACAGTCGTTCTTACGACGGGTCGTCCGCTACAATTCGTGGGAGGGATTCCCTGGTCTCGCTCCAGTCCTACTCTAATCACACCTCGCCGTCACCGCACGAATTAGACCAACTTCATCGACGACCCTCGACGACTTCCTCGTGGACCGCATCCCTTTCGTACACTGGTGCTGCTGGGTATGCGTCTTTGCCTCCATGTTCCGGCACTGGTTCTAGAACATCTTCTCACTTAAGCCGGAATGTCGCCCGCGCAATTTCGCGACGCGGGCACGATACCATACCCGAGGAAGAACATGACCTCTCCCTCCTGCGCTCCGCCGCACCCATAGGCCATTCGTCGCCGTACGAGTCGGTACCGGACAATGAACCCATTTTCGATGTAACTGCTGCGCTTGGCCCGATGGGCTTTCAAGACGACGCATTCCTCAAAAGATTGCAGGAGCAGGAGGCGCGCGGTCATCTCACCGGCGGTCTCGGAGCGGGGTTCAGGCCAGATACCACCATCACGGGCGAGGATCTGCTTTCGTCGTCGCCTTTGCCCAAGAGGTCCTCCCTCACGCGATCTTTCACTCGTCGCCAGAAGCTAGGCCGAGCAGCCACGATCAAGGACCGCGGTCAGGATGAGGCCAATAAAAGAGGAAAGGTCATTGAGGTGATCATCGACGACACCCCGGAGGAGGCCACTCGGCGGCATGTAGATCAGGTAGATCTCAGCGTCGTCGCGGGACCGAGCATCATGGGCGACGATGCTAGTATGCGGCATGCTACATTTCCCGTTAACAGGAGCCCAAAGACGCAGATTTTTTACCCGCAACCAAATTGGAAGCCCTTCTCGATGAGGTGGCCGTATCTTACCGCCTTAATCACTCTGTCGATTGCATTAGCCGTCATGGTCGAGTTCCTCTATCAGAGATCCCAGACTCATCCCCTGGTCAAGTTCCGAAAGCCTGCCGATATTCCGGGGCTCGAGTACTTCGCCGTCAAGTTCCTGCCGACGATCCTCTCCGTCACGTATGGCGTGTTGTGGCAAGTCACCGACTTTGAAGTAAAACGTCTCGAGGCGTATTATCAGCTCTCCAAAGAGGGTGGCGCACTTGCAGCCGAGTCCATCAACGTTGACTATGTCACCAGCCTGAGCTGGGTGCGACCCATCCGAGCTTTCAAGCTGCGGCACTTTGCAGTCGCCGTGTCTTCTATCGCGACCTCCCTGGCTGTGTCTCTGGTGCCCACCTTTGGCGCTGCGTCCTTTGTTTTATATCCCGACAGGCTCGTACGACTTGCGGACTCTGATGGCGAAAAGGAAATCAAACTCAGTGCAGTTTGGTCGAGGCTGCTGTCCTCCACTCTCTGTGTCTGCGCACTTTGTGGCTGCGTTCTCTTATTTATCCTCCAGAGGAGAAGATCTGGCCTGTTGGCTGATGTAAAAGGCATTGCAGGTCTTGCGTCCATGGCGGTCGTCAGCCACATCCTCGTCGACTTTGCGGACCTGGACGTCGTAAGCCACCGCGATATTCACGACAAGTTGAAGCACCGCCGTTACGTACTGCGTAACGCGTCGCTGGCCCCCGACGACGAGAATCCCGTGTCATCGCAGGATACCGACAAGTACCGCGACGACCACCTGTCGCTGAACCCTCATCCACGGTCCTTGCGCCTCGGTGGCTTCCTCACGTTCGTCATCGGCATCGCCCTGTTCACGGGCTTCATCCCGGTCTTCTTGTTCTCCAGCGCCAGCATCATCACGTCAAATGCGCCATGGGTGGTGACCGCCTTGGCCGTTTGCATCAAGCTGGGTTGGGGAGGCCTGGAGACTGACATGCGCATGATGGAACCGTATTATATCCTGTCAAAAAGGCACTCTTCGTTCAAGACGCTCACACTGGACTACACGGCGATGCCGTTCGCCTTGATGCCGTTCCATGCCTTTCTCAACGGCCACACGCTCATGTTCCTGGTAGGGTTCGGCAGCATGATTGCCGAGGTCTTGACGGTATTGCTGACCAGCCTAGCCACGGTCGTGGGAACCGAGTTTCTCGATGTCGCCTACGCGCCGCCGGACCAAAAACCTGCCGACCCGGACCTCGGAGGCATCAACGCCGGGCAAGAAACAGTCTCGTCCTTTTGGATCTCGTACGGCCTGGCGACGTTTATACTCGTGTACATGGGCACGGTCGCGACGATTGTGTTCCTCCGGCGTCGACATCCATTCCTGCCCCGGCAGCCCAACACCATCTCGTCGCACCTCGCCTTCATCCACCAGAGCAAGATGATTTACGACTTTGTCAACACGGCGAGGATGAGCAACGCCGAGATGACACGGTACCTCGAGGGTCTCGGCAAGACGTACGGGTTGGGCTGGTTCGAGGGCCGCGACGGTAAGACGCACTGCGGCGTCGACGAGGAGGAGCTGCTTGGCTATTATAAGCACGGCATGGACTTTCAGGGAACGAATAAGCCGTGGAACCAACAGTGGGATTCGTATGATTAAAGACACATGGCGAGATGGATGAAAATGTTGAAACAACGTCTGGGTGAGTTGGATGGCTTATGGAAATTTTCATTCAAGCTGCTGCATGGAGATGGATTGCATAGACGGACATGCACGCAATAAAGGTGAGACGTTTTTCTTCCAACCTCAACGGACGCATTTCAGGGAAGCAGGGGAGTTTAAGGCGTCACATATTATGAAAACGGCGGGATAGACGTATTTGATAATATCTGGCTGCATGCGGGTTTGGGTTCATGGGCTGGTTAGATTCTTGGGATTGAGGAGTTTTTTCCGTAAAGGTCTTTTTTACTTTTTTTTTTGGCTTTGCAATCCGGCAATCGTGCGTGTATGCCGCATGCGTATCATTGCAGGTTGATTGGATAGATACGGATAATGGAATGTAATATACTCTGGCCTTGCCTAATCAGAGTTGACTGGTGAATTGGGCACCAGAACAAATGACTGCCATTGAACAGCGTTATCGAATTGATTAGAGAGAGAGACACACACATCCAGCCCGGTAGAATGGTTGCCTGTTGGTTGCCCTGTCGATCCCGTGTTAGTGCAGCGGGAGTGGCTCGCCCCCATCGCCGGTGTTGGTTGCCCTGGTGTTTCAGTCGTGAGGTCAACGGTTGGCATCTCAATCAACCAGTTAACATGCCATGAAAGTTTCCGTACCGCAACGACCGTCCCAAAAAAAAAGATTTTATCGTTGGAATTTCCTTACGACACGGTTCGCGGGCGACGCTGACTTCACGCTGCAGGAAATCATGCACAAACCTTCCCTACCCTCCTGTCAAGCGGCCCTGTCAAGGCTAAAAATGAATACGCTTTTCGCGGGGGCAGGTAGTGCACTGCGCAAGACTTCCGCCTCTCATCACTTGTGACTAGTCTGTATCCAGGTATGTAATGGATACACGAGCTTTCTGGGTTCGTGAGAGGAATCGGTATTCGTAGGGCGTCACGAGTATGTTAAAGCGTCGTCGGGCCATTGATCTGCGGACGGACGAACCGGTTACGAGACGAGAAGCACCTTCCGTTTCCCGGGTTGCTTATGTATCATGTATTCGTACGAATGTACTGATTGCATGGACCTTGCGCGCGCAGCATGACATAGATTAAGGTTGTCGATAAATGAAAATAGAATTGCAACGTGGGAATATTGGAGAATTGTGTTCTTTTTTAAACTCTACGGCTGGCGGAACCTGCCGCCTTGGAATCAATCTTGCGAGAGGGATAGAGGGTAAAAAAAAAAAAAAAAAAAATAAATAAATAAAAAAAAATTTTTTTTTTTTTAAACTTTACGGTGGGGGGACCCGGCCGCCTTGAAAAAAAATTGGGAAAAGGAAAAAAGGAAAAAAAAAAAAAAAAAAAAAAAAAAAAAAGGGAATGGAATACTCCGTATGCTGCAAGGAATTGCCAATATTGGAAATTCCTCTAGGGAGTCCAGAGTACAGGTTAAAAGATTCCAAGACATACACGGCAGTCGTGCTATACGACGACGGACGCAAGGAGAGAGGTGCGGATAGGATGCAGGCCACACAGCCTGGAGATTGATGAGCGATTAAGGGAAACTTCGTGCTTGCTGGTGCCGTGACGAGTGGGTGGATTATGTGTCGTGTTCCCACATGGAATGTTTATTTTGGCTAAGCGATTGGAGACGGGTCGTTGCAACACCCCAGGAGGATTGTGATTTTCAGCGCAACACACTCCGGGCCCCGAAGCACGCGTTGCTAGCGGTAATATGGCAACTCCGGCATTCTAACAAGATTAGAAAATGTGGGCTTTGCGGAGAAGGGAGCAGCGAGGGAGATGCGGATTTGTTTCTGAGTGATGTTTGATGTGCGCTCGTCTAGAGCGAGCCGGAACACGCTCGAGGCGAGAAATCACAATTCGTGGCGATGCACCGAGGATCCGCGTCTCGGAGGACCAACAAGGGGGGGGGGGGGAGAGAGAAAGAGGACTGTGCGAGGGAGGAAGCCAGGCGGGTGAGAACACGGTTCAGGCGGCGTTGCAATTGACTTCTTCGCGGGAAGCCTGCATACTTCATACGACCTAGGAATGTACCTTGAAGTTGCACACAGCCTCTCGTGCCCAGACACGCAGCTGGAATTGAGCACAGTTGTGATAATCATTCCTGAGAAAGTCTGTAAAGGTAGGCCGGCGGTTCCTCAGCCCATAACATTGCACGCTCGTCGATCGTCAACGTTAGCTTTGGAAATCTTGCTGATCCATCGTGGGCCGGAACAGTGGTGCAGGTCGCTCGGCTCGGTGTGCCGCGGTGTGCCGCCATCAGTGTGAGAAGTCATAGTGCTGCAGGACATGTTACAGGGTGGAGGCCGGCAGACGACAGCCTCAGTTACGCGTTCCCGCCAGTCGCTCTCTTTCTTTCTCTTCTTCTCGAGTCCACGGCCTAATGGACGGTTGAGTCTCACAAGTCGCAGCCAACCGCCTTGGGGCAGCCAGGCCAATTTAAGACGTCTCAGGCGCGTGGTTCCCTTCTCCTTAGAAACGACCCGGCCAGGTTCTATGCCGTTGGGACGAAACCACATAAGCCGGGGGCAAGCATTTGCGACGTCGAGCCTGTTCAGTGGGCATTTGGACTGGGCGAAGACTACTGAACCGACGCACTCGCTCTCCCGGAAGCCGGCTAATCAGGTGTGAATGCGCAAGATACCACGGTGTGGCATGGTCCGCTGGAGTAATGCGTACGTACGCGTGCCCTTTGGGAGAGAGTAATTGTGGCAGTGCAGTGAATCAAGTCGATGAGAGAAAGAAAGTCATTGAAATGAGCTGTGGGTTAGCCTTTTCTTCGGCTTGGTCTAGCGCGTGCCGCTTCTTCCTCTCTCTCGTGTCTCTTGAGGTCTTGTCTGATGTCTGAGCCTAGGCGGCACCCAAACGCCCCGTGTCGCGGAGGTGCTTGAGATGAGAGCGGGTGAGGGAACATGCCAGTGGCAGCTCCCAGAGCCTGTTTGGGTTTCTTGGAGGCTTCGTCTTGAAGCTCGCAAGGCTAGGACAGATTCTTGGAGAGTCTTGGAATCCTTCGGAGGCCCGGGACTGCGAGATTAGAGGCCTGGACTATTCCGTTGACAGCAGTCATTACGAGAAAGGAGAGGCTGGAGGGCGATGGATGACGATGCTGAACTGGATACGCCGTGTAGCGCGGCGGGGGTGCTATACGGGAGCGGGCGGGAGTTAATTAGTACCTGGTCAGCATTCGTGTCTGCAGGCAGCGTCTGGGGGCTGGATCAGGAAGCTGAAGAAAGTGGAATATGTAGACTGGGAAAGGCGGGAGACGGGAGGAAAGATGGGACGGGGATTTGGATGAATGACCTTGGTGGGCTTTGAGGCTTGGCCCTGCAGATGCCGACCTGCAGGTAGAATATTCGGATGGCGGAACGCTGTAGGGTCGAATGACGCTATGATTGCGGGAGTCCGCCAAGTAGGACGAGGATGAGGATGACAACGACGAACGACGATCGTGTCTGTGTTGTCGGTGCTAATGTTGTCGATGTACCGGTAGCGGCACGTTATACAAACTACCTTGGACAATATGCATTGGTGTAGCAGCAGGGATCAGTTTGGTCTACACGAGCTGTTTCGTCAATCACGGCTGGAAGACAGATGATGTTGATCTGCCATTCCCAGAGTCGATGCTTGGAGTGTTTGCGTGAATTGTCGTCTTGTTTCTCTTAATGAACACCCGAGCCGGCGTGGCATGTGTGGAATTCGCCCTGGCCCGAAACTCGTAACCGACAAAAATACATACCTATCCACGGATGTGCACTGCGGCAACAGCAAGCTCGTAGTGACAGTGGTACCTATTGCTTGGCTGACTCCTACAGTGACAGACAGACAGACGGCGTTTTGCGTGTTCGTCTCGTTCGTCCCTGAGTGGCTTTACGCGCCAGAGGCTTGTAGGTCTGTTAGGGTCAATACGAGCTGAATCCAGTTTTGGATGTGAGGGTACGGAAGAGGTACTTTGATCCGCTACCGAATCACGGGCAAATTGAAGTAGAGTCGCTGTCTCCGAGTTGGTGCCTTTTCCAGCCTCGCCAAGCCATATGTATCAGAAAGTACCTTTCATTCATCCCATTGCGCGCCGGTTCGCTTCTTCCCTCCTTCTCCGTTCTCTCCCACCACTTAAGCAGGGGGGGAGGCGGGGGGGCCAACTTCCAAGAATCCAAGGTACATCCACACTTGCCAGACCGGCCGCATCCTCGACGACGCACCACCGTACTCCAAAATTGAAATTACGACAGCCTGGACCGACACCAGTGACACCACCACCCCGTACCGTCCCTACCCCTGTCCCCTTTACTACCCACAAAGTGGCGCATCCACACTCCAGACACAAGTCAATCCACGGGATTCCTGCTGTCGGCCTGTCGCTCTCCCTCTGACCCTCTCCCATCCTCCCAACCCCGTATTCTGGCCCTTGCCCAGTTTCCAGTTTTCCCTGAATCCGAACGTCTTGCACACTCGACTGGGACCCAAGGACCAAGGTTGCAGCCAGCACCACCACCACCACACCTGCAGCGCTATTCAGCGACCACCGGCGCCTCCTTTCATCACTCTTGCCTTCCCCGTCCAGCCCTTTGCTTGGCGATCTGCTTCCCTTTCCTCTCCCTTCCTTCTCAATTTCCTTTTCGCAACAAACAACAAAACCTCCAAATCCACCCATCCTCAAACCGACCCCTCCGTCGTGTCATCACCTAACCCTGCGACCAACGATTGATTCGACGACAACGACAACGGCGACGACACCAATATTCCCTTCGCTTCTTCTATCGCCGACTTCGAGAGGGACGCACTCATCCATCCTCTCCATCGCTCACTTCGTTTGCTTCGCCGGAATAGGAGGATTGACAGGAACAACCACCACGCCAAACCTGAGCTCAATTCGTCGGCAGATAACCTTCGCTAGCACCTTTCCCCTGCCACGGAAAAAAAGGCCACCCGTCGCGAAATCACCACCCAGGTCACGAGCTCGACCAACTAGATCAATCCCTTCGCTTCTACCGAATTATCTTCTGTCATCAATACCGTCTGGAACGACGTCAACCCCCATGATATTCTCGATCTAGACGGCTTCAGACTCCCCGCAGTTTCCGCGCCCCATCGTCTGCTACCGACGACTTCGGACTACAGTCGAGCGGATCACTTTACTCTCACCTAGGCAATTTCGACGACCTACCACCACGATGAGGTTGTCATTCGCTAAGCCGTTGCTTCTGCTCGGCACCCTGGCCAACTACCTCACGACACCAGTCATGGCTGCTGAGCAGTTGCTGCAGTCAAACTCGCTAAATACCTGCCAGGATGATTCCAGTTTCACAGCCAGTCTGTTCAATGTCGTCTTTACCCCTAGCAATGGAAGCGCAGCAATCAACATTGTCGCTGTGTCCTCTGTCCAGGGCAGCATTGTCTTTGACATCTCCATCTCGGCTTACGGTTACGAGTTCTTGAGGCGCACTGTTGACCCCTGCAGCATCAACCTCGCTGGTCTGTGCCCCATGACTGCTGGAAAGATCACCATGAACTTCAACCTGCCTGTCAGCCAAGATGCTGTTGGCCAGATTCCCGGCATTGCCTACAACATTCCCGATCTCGACGCCACCGTCCGTGTCTTCGTCAACTTGACTGGTACCTCCAACAGTGTGGCTTGTGTTGAGGCTGACATTTCCAACGGAAAAACTGTTGACTTGGTTGGTGTCAAGTGGGCTACCGCCATCATCGCCGGCCTGGGACTGATCTCTTCAGCCGTTATTTCTGGTCTCGGCCATACCAACACTGCCGCTCACGTCGCCGCCAACACGCTCTCCCTCTTTGGCTACTTCCAGTCTCAGGCTATTGTTGGTCTCACCGGCGTTCACCTGCCTCCTATTGTCCAGTCATGGACTCAGGACTTCGTTTGGTCTATGGGTATCATCCGCGTCCAATTCATGCAGGATATATTCACATGGTACCAGCGGGCTACCGGCGGAACCCCGTCAACTCTGCTCAACTCACTGACGACCACTTCCGTCCAAGTTGAGAAGCGTTCCTTGGATTGGGCCGTCTCTGCTGCCAGAATGGCCAAGCGCGGCATCTCTGGGGGTGCCTCCATCATCGCCAAGAGAGCCAACATTCAGCTTTCCTCCGGCAGCTACATCGTCTACGGAATTCAGCGAGTTGCCTTCCGAGCCAAGATCGAGTCGACCAACCTTTTTATGACTGGCCTGTCCTTCTTCTGCGTTTTCGTCATCTTCACCGTTCTTGGCGTTGCTGCCTTCAAGGGATTCTGCGAGTTGGCTGTCCGTCAGAAGTGGATGAACAGCGAGAAATTCCTCGAGTTCCGCAACGGCTGGTTCACTGTTTTGAAGGGTATTCTCTTCCGCTTGACGTTGATTGGCTTCCCCCAAATGACGATCCTTTGCCTCTGGGAGTTCACCCAGGTTGACTCCGCGGCCGAGGTGGTTCTCGCCGTTTTCTTCCTCTTTGGCATGGCCCTTACCCTCGGATGGGCTTCCTTCAAGGTTATCAGAATCGCGCGCCGCTCCGTGGCCATGCACCGGAACCCGGCCTACATCCTTTTCTCGGACCCGCAGGCCCTGAACAAGTGGGGCTTCCTCTACGTCCAGTTCCGCGCTTCAGCATACTACTTCATCGTTCCCATGCTCGGCTACACGGTTGTGAAGGGAATGTTTGTCGCTTTTGCCCAACGTAACGGAACAATTCAGGCCATCGCCTTTGTCATCATCGAGGCTGCGGCTCTCATCGCTGCCAGTGTTTTGCGCCCTTGGATGGATAAGAGCACCAACTCGTTCAACATTGCCATTTGCGTTATGAACTTCCTCAACGCCATTTTCTTGCTCATCTTCTCAGACGTTTTTGGTGCCCCGGCTCTGGTCAACGGTATTGTTGGTGTGGTCCTTTTCATTGCCAACGCAGCCTTCGCTCTGATCCTCCTGCTGCTCGTTATTGTCAGCAGCACGTTGATCTACTTCCGCAAGAACCCTGATGCTCGTTACCAGTTCATGGCCGATGACCGAGCATCTTTCATGAAGTCCCAGACTCAGCTCAACACCACGACGGAGTTGGACGCCCTGGCTGCGACTGCCCGAGGTGACAAGGCACACTACAACAAGGGACTCGACCTTGATGACGACAATGAGTCCATCTCGTCCGAATCCATGCGCCGCCGGGCCGACCCCTCTGGTGTTGCCCTGCCGCCGTCAACTGCCCAGTCAGCTGCGCCATCTCAGCACTCCCTGCAGCATCCTAGAAGTCAACAACACGGTCAGGCGCCGCACTCACCAGTGGATCCCTCAGTGCCTCTCTTCCCAGCGGACAACCACCATCCTTATGGACAAGGGCCGACTAGGACCCCGAGTCCCTACAACGGCTCTGCATCAACTCTCGGTGCCAATAATCACAACCAGTACCGCAACCAAAACAACGCTAGGTAAGAGGCCAAAGGAACAAGGGACAATTGAAGTCACCGCAGCTAACTTTCACACAGCCCTTGGCAGCGTGGTGCCGGATATGAGCACTAGATATGACACGACATGATGTTTGCCCGCTTGGATGGGAGATACCACAGTCTTGGGAATAATGTGCCACGCAACCTGGCCGGTCTTTGTGTTGGTATTCTGGGCAACCCACACAGTTTGGTCACATTCTCTCGGATACACGAGGGATATTGACACAAACCCAACACCAATCAGCCCAGTAATGATGTGCCAGACGTGAAGAGGAGACATGAGCCCTCACGTCGGGTTATGACGCGATGCATCACAGTATAGAGGGAATGATCTCTTCCTTTTCTTTTCCTTCTTTCATCTCAGTGTTCCACACAACATCTGTGTCTGGCATTGAGGACGGCGTCCCGAGATCACGGCGTTGATTTCATTTTTTGCTTTTACGGGGTCGCCGGGCACGCTCATCAGGAGGATTGCTGCGTTGTACTGGATTTTCTTCACTTTGTAAATAAGTTGCTGTTGACAGGGAAAGGATATCTCTCCAACAAGGACAGCAGCAGTGGGATGGGTCGGGCTGGGAAACTGGGAAAGGGGTTCAAAAAGGGCTAACTCTAGGGCGGAGGTGGCAATCCATCCGTGCCAAGGTCACTCAGCTTGGAACGTTGCGAGTCCAAGGGATACGATGAACCCCATGACAAGGAAAACAAAAAACCCTCACAAAATAGTTAATGAATCTCTTTGTTACCAAAAGTCTCCTGAAAACCCAGTCATGTCTCGGCTGATACGATGCGAACTCGGCAACTCTTTTGCCGAGAAGACGTGTCTATCGACGAACGAGCAGGCCATGGATGAACAGTGGTGTGAGGGCAAAGGCCACGACTGGTCGACAGTGAGCAAGCCGGAGTATTAACATTGTTTGGTGACTTGTCCTCGGCCGTTGTGTCGCAGAGATCAACAGGCGGACAGATCTCCGACGCAGAAGTCTCTTCATCAGTCCCAATTAGAGTTTGCTAACGGGTAAAAGGCAGAGACAAGGACTGTATCCTCGGCCGTTACGGCGGTGGCTGATAACCACGAGAGGGCAGTCGGGCAAAAGTTTCGACGTTAGTCGAAGGTTACCTGTCTCCCTAGCTCGCCTGTCAAGGGAAGGGAGGGGAGGGGAGGGGACAAGATGAAGCTCTAGGTGTGGAAGAGGGATGGGTGATCTTGGATTGATGTTGAGGGGGGAGGAAAATCGAGTCCATCCGCAGTAGTAATCTTTGGCCGACGGCCGTTCTGGACCCTTGTAGACGGAGCACGATGGAGCGACGGGCCTATACAATACGTCCGTACCGGAAGGCCGGAGGGGGTTTCTGTTATCCAGCTCCGAGGGGAGTAGTGTAGGTGAGGGAGGTGAGGGTACCTCGGTGAAGGTGGTGTGGATTAGGTGTGGTGGAGAGTGGAGAGGCCGACGTGGAGGAGCAAGAGTACGAGGATGAGGGGAAGAGGATGAGGATGAGGATGAGGATGAGAGAAGAGAAGAGGGAGATCAAGGTGGAGCGAGTCACAGAGGTTGCCTATCATTCATTGGAGTGGGTGGCACAGCCTCTGTCCAGCCTAACACGGATCCGGAGATGGGGATACGACTGCCTTTTCTTTGTCTGTATAACGGTCATTGATTTGTGATGGACGGAACAGAAGGTGTCGATCGGTCAGCCCGCGCCGTCCTTGACAAACTGTAAGAAGGGAGGGGTGATGTAGGAAACATCGCGCGACGAACGGATGATGGAGCTGGGTGATGGACGTTGGGAGCGGACGACCGGTCTCTCGAGATTTGTGTAACATCGGATGATGTCGAGGTAACGAAGTCCAGTTTTGGCCGTCGGGTGGTGGTTCAGACAAGATGAGCCGACGAGCCTTCAACGCATCTTGGCATCGCGACGTTGAGAAAGAAACAGTCTTCTTGGCCCGGAATCACGCCTCTTGGCCATCGAGACCCGCGAAAGAGGGTGCAAGAGGCGGATGGTGTTTGACTGAGCTATTTCCAAAGTGGAAACGGCAAGCGAGGAGGGGGTGGTCTACCTGGAGGGGCGTGAAGGAAGCCATCTCCAGGTAGGTCTAGGACGATGGACAGAGCTCCCTATTCCCAGTCAAAGGGCGCTTAGGAGTCGAAGCCCCCCAAGCTTGTTTGCTGGAGACGAGGGCGTCTAGCATCTCAAGGCGGGCGGAGGGAAGAGCGGCCGACTGTGGGAAAACATCTTGTGGTTGCTCAAGCTCCGTACCCTCTCGGAAACGACAGGGCCGGTTGACCAAGGAGGCTTGTGGCGCGGTGGTTTACCACGGCTTGGCCTGTAGAGCTCATCGTGAGGCTGCACATGCAGGGCTAAGGCAGGTGGATCAGGACCCGTAGAGCGGCACATGCAGGTGCACCTGCTTTGGCGTTTTCTGGGGATGGTGTTATTCCCTACCTCTGAACCACACTGGCAGTCGTGCCTGACAACGTGTGACGCGTCTCGGTAGTTCCAGAGGTGATGACAAGGATGGTCGACGGCGCAGTCTGCCGCTTGATTTAGAAGTCTCGAGGTGCTGTCAGGCCAAGATAAGGTTGTCATCTAACACATCGCTTCACCGACGGTCTGGCAATAAGAATGAATGTCGCTTGAACCGGCCTCCAAATCGATCCTGTGTCAATTGACAAGTGTAGTGGAGTAGCAAAAGATATCGCGGGGATCCTTCAAGGCTTCGACATAAGATCCTCGGGATGTCTGGCCGGTCTTCCTGTGGCTCAAGGTATTTGGAAGCTTTGCTCCTGGCGGCCGCTTGGTTAGTCCAATCACCAATCTGCCGGGTTGTTTGGCAACGTCAATGGGGTCTGGTGTCTGTTCACCCGCGGCGGCGTTTTGGGGGGGGGGGGGGGTCGCGCTGGGGTGGGCTGGGGGGTGCAGACGTCGACGTGTGTGGGTGGGGGGGGAGGGTGCTGGGGGGTGGGTGGTGGTGGCACGGGGGGGGGGGTTTGGGGGGGGGGGGGGGGTTTCCGACCAGCATCTAGTTGTCATTTTTGGCTGATCTAAGATTCGTGATGTCGTTCGACCTTGGGATTTAGATAGGACATGGCGGATAGACGCGCGAGCTAGCGACGACAGACGCGTTGTACGCCCCAATATCCCGAAGACTCCAATCTCACGGACAAAATGGCCGGAGAGATGACGGTCTTCTTGGTTTCCGGCCATGCCGCCGGCTATGCCGCCGGCTTTTCCCTGGAGATGTCAGGCTCGTCCGAGGAAGATGAGGCTTGGCTAATCAGCCCGAAAGATGGAGTGTAGGATAAACTGTGGCTCGTGTGAGATGGCGGCCGCCACAGTCGGGCTGAGGGTGAAGAAAGAGGATAGTGTACGGAGTAACCTGTGGACTAACTTGTTCATCCTGACGTTGGGCTGCGAGGCGCCAGCTGTCATGACGGCGAGGGCTGAGGGCGGACACGGGAAGACTTCCAAACGTAGGATGGCTGCTATGGACCAAAGTACTTGGCTTTGAGCTGGCGTCTGGCCCCAGACTTTGCCTGCCCAGAAAATCAGTAGTCGAAAGGTGTAAAAGAGCAGCGTCTCGGATAGGGTCCGGAGTAAGACATACAGCTTGACTGACCGAGAAAAGATGACAGAGAAAGTCTGCGTTCGTCCGGATTCGGACGTGACAGGAAGGTGCCCACAGATCCCGCACGGCTTTTGAAGTTGGCTACGGAGAAATCCATAAGCTAGTCAGGTAGACAACGACAGAGCTGTCTCCGGAAAAAATGTCATTGGCTCAGGAACGAGAGAAAGACGCCGCTTGACCAAATTAAGGCGCTCGTAAGACGATTTCTTTCCTTTCCGTGTATAATTTCTACTTTAGTTGCGATACAATGGCTGATAGACGGTAGAGATACCTTGATGATCGATGAATTCTGATCATACTCGACCCCCGAGAACTCGAGAGCATCGGCATGAACAGCGCGAACGGCGGTGACCATTTGGAAAACATGAAGCCTTCAGCAAGAACAGAGAATCAGGATGGTCGACAATACCTACGTTACCTCGTACATATCCCACTTCGGATCTCAATGACGACATTATGGGCGCACATTGCCTGTGAGGCAACAAAATGTCACTCACTTGCAGTTCTTTGCCTGAAATAATTAGAGGATCTAAGACATCGTCAACAGAACGTGGCTCGCTTTGCAGGGTTGGAGGATTCGGCGTTGCGCGGCTCCTTTGACATATATCAAATTCTGTCAGCCAGTGTCTTGCTCCCTTTCTCAGTCGCCTGGACAGGGGTACATTTCCTTGATAGTGATGTGATAGTCTAGGCTGCGCGGGTAGAGGTGCGCGGGTCCCCAGGGGTGGGGGGTGGTTCTCGATCCCTCGGATGAAGCGAGTGAGACAAGGCTCGCGATGGCAAAGAGTTCGAGATCTTGCGCTTGCTGTGGCGGTTCGGAGTGGTATCAGAGGACGGAGCTCGTCTCTCTGCTGCTTCCGGTTGAAGACGGAGCCTTCTGCTAGGCGGCTACGGCTGGGCAGATGCGTTGGTGTTCCCGCTTCGCGGCTACGCGAGACCAGACCCATACAGGCACGACGGTAACTATCGATAACATCGCACGAAGATGGGAGGTCTTTTTTCGCTCACGATGTAGTTGATACCTGCTTTCAGTTGGGCAACAGACGTTGCGAAAGGGGTCGGGGGAGTCGACAAGGTCGAGACGCAGCGCGGCTGCGGCGTACGGCCGTGGAAATCAAGATACAATAACGTTTTCGGAGGGGTGTGAAGCGTAGACGATGGCAAATCTGGACGCAAGAAGACTTTCCCGATTTGAGCAAATTATGCGAGTGTGTGATCGAGCAAGCGAGATCGTGATTGTGAGAGGGACGGAATAGAGAGAGGCTCAAAGCCAGCGGGTGGACTTCGCGCTGAGACATGGATACGCGAGACTGCGCCCTACTCCGTCATGCTCCTGGTGCCTTTCGATTCTTGGTTTAGTGCGGCATACAGACAGCCCGGGCATTCATGGCGAGCTACGAGATTCTGCAACGGGGATCTTGTACTAGCTTCCAAGAGTCGGGGTCGGCACGCGGGCAGGCAAACCGGTAGACTGCCTTGTCAGCTTGTGGCTCTCTCTTTTCCTCTCTTGTTTTTTTTGTTTGTGGCGAGGAAGGGAGGCGGAATGGAGACGTCGTTCTCTCTACGTCCTCCTGTTGAGGTAGTGGGTGTGACACTGAAGTTCAAGTCCCAAGTCCCACTTGCTGCTAGGGTAGCGAGGGAGACGTCTTGGAGTGTAAGTGTGGGTGATAGATGAGACCGAGAAGTGCGAGGTAAGGCTTAGCGGAGAATCCGGAGGGCGTCTGGCTGAGGTGGATGCGAAAGCCAAGTCTTGATGGGATAAGAGGACGAGAAAGAGGGCAAAAAAGCTATCTGTTTGCGGCGATTTGGACCTTTAAGAACGGGGAGACCTACACAGGCTAGCCCACACCCCCTTGCTCCACTCACATCGAGGTGGGTTATCATTGCCCCCCTCCCAGCCCTCTTCTGGTATCTATGGGAAGTCGCTATTGAATTCTCTGGGCCTGGACCTCGCGATGTTGGGTCAGGCGCACTTTCTGGCCCCTCCCATCGTCGTTGGTCTGTGTTGGCTCCCGGGGGTACCTGCTTTCTCCATTACGCCCGCTGCCTGTCAAGGAATGGCACGGATGATGCGGGATCGCACAGACACAGACGTGACGAGCTTCGGCACAGGTGAAAGAGGAACACCCCCTCTGCTGTGGCCTGCGGCGCTCTGCCCCGCGTAGATCGGCTAACGGCTGGTTGAGAGACGGCCTCACGTAGCGGCACCGTAGCTCACCACGAGAGGCTGCCCCGACCCTGCGGACTGGGATCTAGCGAGGGCTGCGCGAGGCGTCACTCATTGAGCGACCGTAAGGCACCGCGTCGTAGATTGACTGCTAATGCTGACTGATCAGGTGATCTTGTTGTTGTTGTTGTTGTTGTTCCCAAGGAAGGCAACTCCTGCGACTCGATTCGTCCAGGAGGAGTGAAGTGAAGATACCTACCTGATGGCAAAGCTCAATGATGGGGGAGCTAGAAACACAGCCTCACTCTCAACGGGCCTTGATGATTTGTTTGAATAGTGTTATTTTGATATTTTCTCTGTTTTGCTATGATAACCGATCCCTCCATATCTCATACCCTGGGTTCCAGCCTGTGATTTTGGGTTGATCCAACATAATGAAAAGGAGATTAACTAGTAAGTACTGTTGGTGATGGTAAGAAAGTAAAGCGGCTATCCTTGATAAGCCGGTAAGGCGTCAGTCGGAGCTCGCGCTCCCATGCCGTTGTGTAATAGAAGAAGAAGAGGCGAGAAGAAGCAGAAACCATCCAGAGAAGGGAAACTTCGCGTATCAATCGCCTACATTGCTGATCCCTTGAAACGCCTGATATCCCTTGGGGCCCAAGCCTGCCCTAACCAATAACTCCCAAGCACCCCCCAAGCGTATACCTGCCATACATCGAAAGAAGAATGCTGCTCAGAAAACGAATCCCTCCTCGACCAGTTTGTCCACATCACCGCCCGCAGCCTTGACGGCCTTGATAGCTGCTTCACTCAGTCTCCGTCGCTTCTCCATCGCCTCCTTCTCTCGGCGGGCCTTGGTCTTGGAGCTTCCACTCGGCGCCACACCGGTCATAAGGACGTTCTTGTCGCTGGGAGTGAAGTTGACGAACCCGACCCCCTCGGAGGCACCGCCCAAGTTGCCGATAGAAGGAGTGCGCATGCTCTCACGGCGTGACCAGGACCTACGCTTCTTGACGCTGGCGCTGAGGGCGGCGCCGCCACCACCGATACTGGACAATGAGCCGCCGCTGCTGTGACGAGAGCGATTCGTAGGCGTGGGCGAAGTTGAGGAGTCGCGGCTGGCTTGACGTGTGCGGCTCGGGTTGCGCGTCTTGCGCATGGGCGTCGATAAGCACATATGCCGAGCACCGGCCGAGGGGGCACGGGGCATACGGGGCCGGCGCTCCGTCATCTGTTGAGGGTGTTGCTGGTGGTGAAGTGGCTGTTGGGGCTGGTAGTGGACGATGGGCGAGGATGTAGTACGAGGCTGAGGCATGTGAATCATGAGTCCTGACATTTCGTTTCCGGCGGTGGCGATGTTGTTGTATTCGTACGGAAGCTCACTGTGTTGTGTGTGCATAGCGAGGTTGAAGGTGGCATTGCGAGCGTTTTGTGCTTGATATTGTGAGTTGGATGACAAGTCCATATTGTTTCCACCCCACCACTGGTCGTCAATACCATCTGTGGTGGCATAGGCGTTGGACCAAGCGACATGAGAGTCGGTCTGGGGAGTTGTTGTGGCCATTGGCCAGGAGGCCTTGCTGGTGTTGGCGACGTTACCGGAGCTCATCTGCTGGTGGTGATAGAACATGCCGCCCTTGTCATCGAGAACGGGAGTGTCCAATGGTGTGGTAGGGTCGCTGCGACGGAATATGGGGACGTGGTTGACGTTCACGCCAGCATCGAAGAAGGGGTCTTCAACGTAACCACAACCAAAGGACATGCCGTTGCTACCGGCTGATGATGTGGAAGGCAGGTCCTGGGGAATAGTGGCACTGTTGGGAGGGGACAGGGGAAGTCTTGCGGGGTGAGGGCCGCCGAGATTCTGGAGATGCTCGGGGCGGAGCTTGAACTTGCGAGGCGAGGCGTTGGGCGAGAGGGGACCCCTGCTGTCGATGGCGACGGAAGACATGATGGGTTGTTTATGGCGGACAGAGGCAGCTTTCTGCTGCAGTTTGGATGCGACAACCTTGAAGAAGTTGCTCGGCTTACGACCACCGTTGGTGTGACTGGTGCTGCTAGTATTGTTGTGATTGCTGCTGGTAGCGGACGAAGCTTGAAGAAGAGGAGTGGGAGGATGGGAAACGACGACTGAAGGAGCGCGAGATGGCGACGCTTTCAACGATATGCCTTCCAGGCGCAGGAGCTCAGAGTCAGAGATCGACTCGGCCCCGCCAGCGTGAGCTGTGTCCGGATAGGTCGAAGCCTTCCTTTGTCCTTCTTCACGGTCGATCGCCCATGAAGACTGGACACCCGGAACGCCCACAGCAGACGGTACCACCGCGTCTGAAGTCTCCGCCGCTACTCTAGCGGCTGCTGATGATGGCACTAATGTGGCAGCGGGACCTGCTGCGGCGCTAGTCCTAGCTTCCATGAGCGAATGTGTGTGGCAACTTAGCATGTCGTCCAGATCGTCCGATACGCTTGTCGTCGACGCGGACCCATGGGCGGGGAGTGGCATGTTGTAGAAGAACGAGTCGGGTAAGGCAGAGGTAGGGAGCTCGTCACCCCCGGCCGTCGAAAGCCTCTCCAGGTCGACAAATTCCTCGAAGAGGAGGCTGTCGCTGTGGACCGCACCCGAGCCCGATCCTCCCCCGCCAGTTCTCTCTGTCTCTTCTCCCCAGGGCAGGTGAGACTGGCCCCCGCTGCCGTCTTTGTCCTCGTCCATTGAATCTACTGAGAACTGGACTTCCGAGTAGGCCATGTCGTCGTAGTCTGTCGGGTGCGAGCTGAGATTGACACTCACGCCGGGGCTCCTCGTCCAATGCGAGACGGCCACTGTCATTCTCTCTTGTGCGGGTGTCTCTGCCTGTCTCTGTACTAGACTTCAGTTCCGCAAACGATCCGGAGCCAAGGCGAGGATCAGGAACAGAAGCGGGGACTGGAGACCGCAGTGAAGATCAGATCTGTTGCGTGGATATGATGCGAAACGGTGGGTGGTAGGAGATGGGTCGTAGCAAAGGAGGGAAAATGGTACAATGTTCGTTTGCGGAAAAAGAAAAAGAGTGTATAAAGGAGTGAGAGAAAGATGATAGAGAAACTGGGGTATAACCATCGAAGAATGGGACTCTTGTACGGAAATGAAAACCGTCGATGGTTGCAAGCCCACACGGGGTGGAGGGAACGAGAGTCAACAAATACCGTCCAGCTCATGTCTCTGATCCTGCCACGGCAACTATTGCAAGAGAAATGGATGCAGCACGGAGACGAGCACCATTGGAATTGGGGACCGCAGAGATCACCGTGCTTTCAGCGAGGGATACCATCTGTTCCTGAATGGCCAAAGGAATGCAACCCACGTCGTCTAGTGACCCAGCAGCATACCCGCATTCCAGTCACCGCGGCCACCTCCCATTCTGTAGGTTCAAGAACTGGGGTTGGTAGGGCAAAGAGACAGCGACATCAAAGGAAAACTTGACCATGATTTCTTTCAAGGCAACGTCGTTTGACAAGAAAAGAAACCCCCTCGGCAACAGACAATCCCTCTGCTCGCCCTCTCTGCCAGGGCTAGCATCGGTTACAAAGACATGTCGTACCTCTACCATAGGCACACATTCAATACATCTGATATCTTCTGCTTGCTTCATATCTGCGGACCACCAAGCTGACTGCAACCTTGATTGATATCTCGAAAATACATTTCAGGCGACATGACATAGGACGTCGTCCGCTTGGAAGACGCCACTGGCCAAGTGAAATTGTCATCGCGGACCCCGGTCTTACAGCCTCTTTCCTGGCTGAAGACCACATCGAGATTGGGGCTTCCTCCTTCTCATCCTGTCCACATGCTCTCCACTGGGAAAGGGTACCGTGTGGACCTTTTTGTAAATAGATCATGATATGCTGGGGTGAAGCAATGACAAAGAAGGGAGCGGGAATATTTCAAGAGGTAAAGTAGGGGCGCCGTCGGCTGAGAGCGATGGCGGTGCCAAACTGCAGGGAACCACGCCCTCGACGGCCGGACCGGCAGCGGATCCAGGCTTCAGCCCTCAGCAGCTTTCACGGTCCGCGGCTATGGTGTCGCAGCTCTCCGTGAACTAAATAGGTAAACCATCCATAGCTATCAAGGGAAAGCCACCTCCTCATAGGCGAAATGCTGTCCCAGAGGAAACTATTGCACGTCTCCTCGTCGACCTCGCCTGAAGAAAGGTCAACACCACCTGAAAGTCTAATCTGGTTATTTCACCCTCATTACCTACGAGTTCCGTGGCTTATAATCCCTCGAACTGATAGATCATGCGATGTGCACTTGCGTAAGTGGGGATCCTGTTAGCCGGGAGACGACTGGAATGTCCATACGGTTCCCCCTTCATGATACTTACCTGAAGAGGGGCGGAAAAGTTGTGACGAACTTGAGAGGGTAGTGACGATACACGTCACTGGTCCTAAATGGGGGTTGCGGTGTATTGTGCCGCATGCATGAATGGGGACCCCCTTGAAAGCATACTTTGACCACAATAGCTTCCCACTCTATCGGGACAGCTTGCTCCCACGGCAGCCGTTGTCTGTTGCACACGTTTCCCAACCACCCGTAAGAACGGTAGTACTGAAAACATCGTTGCCCTGTATCATCTCAGTCTTAGTCATGGTCGCGGTTCAAATTGAAAACGCCAGCAAGTAGAAATGCGACACATCCCAAAGTGGGAGAGGTCTACTTTGTTGATTCCGAAAGTTCTCTAATCCACTCTGACAGCAGTCTCCTCTCATCAGCGACCTGGAGAGTCATAGACAGAGGGGAAAAGCCCCGCCTGACAAAGGCAGGAAGTATCGACGCCTCGTTTCTGCACCTTGGAAGGCTATGGGCAGACTGCCAGCCAGGGACTCGGGGCTTGCGCGTCTGATGACCCGGCGATGACCTCGGTCCGTCAAGGTCGGTGAAGCCGACAGTGCCACCAATCCGGGTATCAATGCGGAAGAAATGAGTATCCGACCATCTAGTAGCTCATCGCAGGATGAGGGAAACAGGAAACAGGCAAAAATCTCCATGTGTCTTACCGGACACGATCGAAACGCCGTCTGACTCTGGATCTTGAGCGCAGTGATCCCCTATTGAACTTCCCCGCCATGTCGTAATTCAATTCAATCCAAATAAACGCCGTTGCCCAAGCCAAATCTTGCTCTTTTCCCAGGGGTATATCGCTGAAATGTTCCTCGGACGCTCGTATAATGAAACTTAAACATCAAGGCAGACCCGATCGATGCGAGTTGGAATTCGCACCTGCTGGAGCGGTTCAGGTCGGCCGAGGATCGTTCGTTGGTCCTGGTCCTTTCCTTCGTCGCATTCTTGGACGTTGTCTGACAACGTTCTGACACCGAAGCGCCGTCTCCGCCGATCCTCTGAACCGCAGAGATCCATAGTTTCGCATGCCCCCCGACTTGCTCATTAGCCTTTCCCTGTCAGCAGCCAATGCTGTTTTCATGAAGGCGAATTCCTCGTCTTGATCGCAAAAGCCTTCGTCCACTCCCGGCTGTGTCAAGGCCGGGTCGATCTCAGGATAACCGTCTGCAGCAATGTTGGGAAGATGGGGATATACAGGCACAGCCGCTGGCAAAGACGACATTGCTGCAGATGGATGAATATTGCATTGCAACTCTTCTGAGATCATGCCCTTAACACGTGCCTCTATCGCGCGGGTATTGGCTGGGTTGTTGACATAACGGCTATAACGCTGGCGCCGGGCTCTTTTCCAGTCGGCTACTGGCTGATGTTCTCTGATATCATGCGTTGTAAGGCTCATATCGCAATCATCATCCACCTCTAGATCGGCCATTGATAAATCGGTGATTGTTGACGACAACGCTCCAGCCGAGGTAGTCCGCGCACCTCGTGGCGGCAGTTCTGGAATCAGCGTCTGCTTGCTGAGCTCGTGGGTAAGGTTGTCAATGGGCTGTGGTGGAGGTAGTGGTATCTCAAGAACAGCTGGAGATGATTCCGAGGGAGACAAAAGTACTTCAGTAGGCCTCAGCAATTCTCGAGGGCGTTGTCTCGGAGATAGAGGCAGCTCCTCGCGAGAGCCATCCGAACCTGAGCGGGCCTGGGTTCCTAACGCGAAGTGGTCGAACATTCTTCCTCGAGCTTGAGCGAAGAAAGTTGACATGTGGATTCGCCCTTGGTATGATGTGGTGACGAGAGCAAAGAAAGGGCTGAAGCTTGCTCGGGAGGGGCAGGCTGCTATTATGAAGGCATCCGCAAAGGCGCTAGAGACTGGGCGAAGAGGCGCTGTGGCGGCCACAAAAGGCCCCGAGTGATTGCTTCGGATGCTTGGATGGTAAATGCTAGCAGCAAGTATGACGTTTTTCTAATTTTGAAAATGTGAAATAAAGCTGGTCGTAGACGAAGCGTTGATGGGGATCAGACGTGGCCATGTGTTCGCGGCTCTACGCCGTATATTCGATTAATGTTGGCTTGATGTTCTCAACAAGGAGTGTTTGCCACGATGAAGGGAAGAGGGTGCCTCTCTGCTGGTAGGGAAACGAGGGCGAGTGAGAATGAACGAAAACTAGGGGATGACGGAGGGTACGAGTTATTTTGGCGTAGCGCAACAGAGGATGCTAGCTAGTGTAGCTGTGGTGACTGAATTCGAAGGAGAACGGTGAATCTGGATGTGAACGGAGTCGACGAGAGTTGTAGAACTAGGCATGCGGTGCGTGGGCAGGCGTTATACACATATAGCCCTTGAATACAAAGGAGGCGGTATGGAACCCGTACCGGTAACCAGTATCAGGCCAAGCAGTATCCGTACCGTATGGCCGGCACTAATAGCGAGCTAGCCAGGCCAAGTTTCTCTGCAGACAGTGGGAGAGGAGAATGGTTGCACAAAGGCAAAGCTAGAGGCTGGCGGTACCACCCTGGGACTGACGCTCCTCTTTGCGCCGTGCTACAGCCGCCAGAGGGGAAGACTAACTTAAGGGAGACGAATATGTGTAGCGACAAGTTTTCGGGAGGGTTTGCTCATGGGCTGTGGAACTGGGTGGGAATCGATATCTGCTGGAGTTGGTGTAAAGTGGAAGTGCGCTCGTGTATCCGTAGCTTCTTGTGGTTTAGAAAGGAACGAAGCCGTAGCAGCGTCAACGTCGACGAGGCGAGCAGCGTTGTCCTCCAAATGTTTGGGTCTAGGGCTATTAAAGGCCTGAAAGTAAGGCGAGGCAATCGGTTGCGCGGTGAAGGTTGACGGGAGCTAAACTTGTTTGAAGGGATTCGACCGAGGAGATTGTAGGGGTCGAGGGAGCTAGATGGGGATCTCAATTCGTGCTATGGGTTTTCTCACCAGGCCCTGTCTTTGCTGCAGGGCCAGAGGTGAAGGAAAATCGAGACTCGACCGGCGACAGTTTCCTGGTCTATAGTGTGGTGGGTGCGTTTGGATTCCAAGCTTGTCCCTGCTTGCTGGTCCGAAGGGGTAATACGGTAACCGGTGAGATACAGGGCGGGTGGGTCAGGATAATGCGGTAGTTGAAACTGGAGGATTCCTAGCGATGGTTCCGTTCTAGGGCCGAGAAGAAGGGAGGAGACTGGGGAATACAATCTTTGGAGTGTTGTCCGTTTGTGACGGATTGCAGTGACGTTGTATTGATTGTTGGATGATTTGCAACTTGCAAGACGGAGTACCATGTGGATTGATACCCGGTAACGTGGATGCGGTGTGGAAAAAAAGAAAATGAGGGGGGCTCGAAGGATTGAAAAGCGTGCAGGCGCTGGGTCGGAGGCGCCCCAAAACCGTGGGAAACGGTGCAGTACCGACGGGCGACACCCAGTGATCTGGGTCTGACGGCTGAGTCAAAACGCACGAGGGCAGCTTTGGGAGATTGGATGACGGGCCAAGGCAGGAACGAGCGCCGACCTGCCTGCGGCCTAACCAACAGTCCCCTTCATGACTAAGGAGGATCCGATGTCGCGCCGGGCTTTGGATAGAACCCGTCCGCCGTGCCTGCTTCTCGTGCGAAAGCGTCGGTAGGGCGCTCGGACGTGGACAGCAGCTCAACAGGAAACTACTACACATACCTTACCGTCACCTTCATCATTATAACTGCAGACCATAAGATGTAGGGTACGGATAATGATTCCACAGTATCCGTAGAGAAGGGACATCTCGAGGGGAAAGCCTCGGTCCTGCGTCGCATCCCTAACGAGAGCGCATGCGTCAGGACTCAGGAACGTACTCTAAGCTAGACCCGACCAAGCAGGCGAGACAGGGAAGCTTCCGGCCCAGGCCCCTGGCCCAGAGGTAAGCGAGCCCACTCAAACGCACTGGCCACAGCTCTTTCCAGTTTCCACTCACTCCATGTCATCGCGTCCCATCCATGATCCAGGTCCCTGTCCCATTTGCCTCCACACACAAAGGCTTGTCGAGATCGCAAGAGCAAAACTGCCTTGCAGTGTCGCGTCCTAATTTTCGGGAATGTGGGGACTCGAACCATCGCGCGAGCAAACTCCCTTCCTGTCTCGTAGCGTAACGGATGTCTACAGCATTGTACGCATCTGCCGTGCCCACCTGCCTGTACCACGAGACAGCTGGACTGGTAAGTAGGATACACTATCTGTGAGCCACCCGAATCAGCTTTGGTCACTGGCGCTTCATTCTTGACTTGGGACTCCTAAGCAGCCCGCCTATAATAGGTGGGCACAACAGCAGGAGATGCGAAGAATATGGCCCGACTGTCAATGGCGACATGAAAGGGTGAGGAACCTTAGCTTCAAACGATCATCTTTTTTGGTAGAGATGCTCGTCGAGCCTATTCGGTGCTGAGGGCTTACTAGGTACTCCGTAGCCATTCAAGGGAGAGCGCCAGGTATCCACCAAGGTCAGGTGGGTCGACTCGAAGAACTTTGATTGGCTTATCTGATATCCCACTAGCGCCTATCCGTACTGCGGACATCGTGCACAGATACCCATGCTCCCGGGGCTGCAGTCGAGCTGGACCCCAAAGCAGACGGACCAAAGGCAATTGAGCAAATCATCGGAAAGAACCTTGGAACTCAGTGGGCTAAGTACCTTCACGACTCATCATCCCGACACACTGTGCTCGGTACGTCGAGTCATCAAGGGTGAGGCTCTCCTGCCTCTCACATACCTACGCCGGCCTGCCTACCTACTCTGTACTTGCACAACCATCACAATTGTCACAAACTCTCTCACAGGAGACAACAGTGTTCGAGCCATACATGGTCATCCTCTAAGCCGGCGCTGAGTTGAGACATTCAGTCCGAATAGTCAGCATTCCCCTTCATTAGCCAAGAATACACGACACAAGCACACGGGCACGGCACAATCAGAGTGTTTCGCTCACTTGCCCGTGTCGTACCAACTGGATACAGTCTCAACCCTCCGTCGGGAATCCCACCATCATCTGATGAGTTTGAGACCAAGCGACCAGCCGGCCGCTCGAGCGCATGGACTCTGAGACCAAGTTGCCTTAGCTCGACCGCTATTCATGTCGCTACGATGCACAACTGCCTTCGAGAATCGCTAGAACAACCACTTATCTTGCAGCCCTCTGCAGTCGATACCCGCCCATGTGTCATCTGTCTCTGCCTTCCCGTTCGATGCGGTTTACTGGCCATACGACGAATCCGGCCCTCATCGCGTCGTCACAGATCCGAGACTCCTTGCTTGCTCGATTTTTGGCTCCGTACCTACGCAAGCGAGTTCGGTAGCCGCCTGCAAGACGCAGTCTGCAAACCTGAGCCTTGCTTCCCGCCTACAGTCTTATTCTCGGAAACTGACCAGCATACCTTGTTGGAGGGTGTACTTGAAGATGTCGCTTACCGTGCCAGCTGGCCACGGACGTTCTCGACGCCACACTGGCCGCTCCAGATGCGAGAAACACGCCATTGTTCAGATGAGGCGGGCCCGGGTGCTGCACAATGCTCCGCCAGCAAACAATTCACGGCTCAGTCAAACAGACTCTCTTCAGACGGTATCACTGTATTCGATTGGTTACACCTCGCATCGCATCGCAAAGACGTAATGAATCTCTCATTCGACACAAGAAACTTTACATCAGATACACCGCACGGTCCACTTCCTGGCCTTCACGAACTGATAGACAGGGCACCACACAATGGATCGCGTCAGAAACATACCTGGAAATGGGTGACGAAGCTGTCAGGACACCTCAATCCAGTTTTCTGGGACTAAGAAACCTCTGGACATATTGCTTCTCTTCAGATCAGTAGATGCAACTGCTAGGCACCAAATGGCTTGACTCGGTGTCTCGATTTCATTCGGCCCATCCAATTACTTCCAAGCAAAGAACAATTCATACCTGAACCCAGGCTACTGGGTCTGACGGGCGAAGGATGAAAGGAAAGAAGGAAGCGTTCTGCAATACTTGAAAATCTCGTTGGCGACTCTTCATTGGGAGGTGAGGCAAAAGCCGTAACGTTTAAAGGCGCTTCTGTTCCTCGTCCAGCTACCAATGAATTGGGCTTTGCAGCACGCCAAAACGTTAATCACCTTCGAGACGAAGATCGCCGTCTCCATTCTAACCCGGCTTTGTCCAGTTGTTCATTGGCGGGCCTATCCCCAGACAAGATCGCCAAATCCGCTCATGAGTGGGGGGTTGTTCCCACCGATCATTGCTCAACCCGCCCGGCGGCACAACTTAAAACAGGTACACTCGCGGATGTGTCGAAGCTGGGATATTACTTGGTTGAAGGTTTTGCTTCTCTTTTCGTACGTCCCCACCTCTCATTATACCAATAACAGTCCCTGGCACCGACCGTCAGGGTCCTGCCGGTAATGACTTTCGCTGGTGCATCTTCACCCCACCGGCGACTACCTGGTTGCAACTTGCACGTCATTGCCCTGGTGAATTCAAACACCGACAAATCCCGGCCAAAACTGCCTTTCTCATCAAAGATTCAATTAGTACAAGCTTCATGCAAGAAGCAAAGAGCATCGAATAGTGTCTCAATCTGTACAGAGAAAGAGAGGCGCGAACAAGACCAATCCTCAGTCAAGTTGCTCCGAAACTCTGCAAGCGCGACAGGAAAGATAGGCCCGCAATTCTTCGCTACGACAATGAAGATCGTTGGCCTTATTCGTATCAGACCAACGTGTAATGCAATTACAAACCAAAGACCGATCAATATTGTGGCATGACTCGAGTCCACACTGAACATCTTCCCAGGAACAACTCTTGCGTCAGAGGTGGTCTTATTGAAGCCCAATATTGGTCGACTGCTATCGTGTTGCAGCAGGGTGCCGTTGAGCATATCTCGACTCATCCTGACTCGAATTTTCGCTCCGAGTGGTGACATGAAGCGATGATATCACCTTTCCTCTCTTTGACCATGCAAGCCAGCTCGTTTCCCTTTGGAGGGAATTCGGTGAGGTGAGGACAGGCCAGAAGGCGCGATCATGCTTCTGTCGGCTCATCCTGTCCGATCTGCAAGATCCGTTGCATGATACCTCTTCTCACCGCCGCATTGACACTTGTCGCAGGAGGGCATTGAACTGGCGCTTGCCTGTGTCAAGTCAGGCTTGTGCTAGTTCATCTTCACTCTCGTCCGTATCTGTACACTCTAGCCGATTCATCGAATAGGACATCTCCCCAGCTCTGGCGCCGGTCGTGCAGTAGGTTCAAGGCTCTTTGGTCCCACAAAGACTAATTGGCGGTCCGGCATTGCTCAAAAGGTTCCAAATAGCACCCAATGGAGTTATTGGGACGGATCTCGGGGACTGCTGACCACTGATAGACTACTGGGGGTCACGGGCGAAGGTTAATTTTTCTTGTTTCCCTCCTTCATTTTTAGTAGGAGTCCCCCGTCTTCGGCCGTCGCGGGGTGGCTGATCAAAAAGCTCGACTGGGGGGATTTAAAGTTGCACTCTACAATTTGCCAAAAAAAAATGTTGCCTCTACGCGAAAGTTCTTTGTTTCCATGCGGCCGGGATATGGACGCAGGCTCTTAGTTTCGCACGTAGCCCTATGTCGGTGAACCGCCAATGGGTGGCTGTGCCTGGTCTGGACTTTTAATGTGTGAATGTGTGAGAGACAAGCTTTTGGCTTGGTCCCGGCTGGTGAGTCGAATTCTATAATCGTGCTTTTTTCTTCTCAACTACCGGGTTCAGTGGAGGTCCGCCTCCTTCCCCAGCCCTCCGTCGCGGGTGTCTACCGTTTGAGCCTTTTTAGTGATTGGCGGAGGCTGCTGGGTTGTTGTAGGCCATACTCATGAGAGCGAGCTTGTTTGTGAGAGTTAGTCGACAACGCGGCTCCTCCTCTTTGGCCCACTGACTACTCTGAGGAAGGCTACGGAGAGGCGCGGGTTCTCGGAAAGTCTCGGGAGCTAGAAAGTACAGCTAGGCGTACCTTCTTCTCATATTGAAATTCTCATTAGCCCATCATGAATTACCTCTATGACTTAGGTAGCGTTTAATGCCTACCTTGGGCCTTACACTAAATCAACTGAGAGGAGCAAGCCTGTGGTCAGGACCACCGGTGACGGGGCTGTGTATGAGTGAGACCATCACATACTCTACAGTAGATAGCTCTACGTTCCGCGATATGTGGCGGACGGCCGTAAGTTACCCTCACGCCTTGAAGCCCGCTTGCCCGCCCCGCGCCCACCTCTAGACCAGGGCTTTGAAATGTCTGCTTGCGAGGTTCGGTCTTTCAAGATTTTGGCGGATCAAGGCCGAGGGGTTCCTGCTGGTCGGGTCCGGTATATCGGCGTGACCAGAGGTTTTCATCAAACGAAGAAATATGAAGAAGGTATTGTGTGATTTTCTGCTGATGCCGTTCCAATCTAGCAGAGGGTGAAAGTCCCATATGCACTCCGGGTAAGGAGTTTTAAGACACGGCAGGGACGGCTGGAACGATACAATCACATAAAAAGGGAACGAATTAAAGAAATTGCTTAGGGAATAACTCTATAGTCTCATGATAGACGAGATGATGACCTCATAGAATTCAAGGCGGCCGTTGTAGCTGCAGGATTCTCCGTAGATAATGGCTTTAAAAGGTCTGACGTTCAAAATTAGGATATAATTAACAGATGCCGCTTCCCATCAGCGCCAAGTGTAACCAGTCTAGTATTCGTACCGGAATACAGTGACAGCGGGTTTGGAGGGAAGACGAGATGAACCGAACGCTTATATATATAGAATATTTACACGCCTCCCGTCATTATGTTGTCTATTCGTTACTATATTCCTCGCCAAGCTGAATATCATGTTCGCGTGCAGTCGATTCTCTAAATGCTATTGAACGCTGCGGAGGACGCCAATGCTGTGGAGAACTGTCGCCATATGGATGGAGGACCTCTTCGTATGAACCGCCCGACCCGGATCTCCCTCGACGTCCGTGGCCTTCACATTGTTGGCTTTCACACTGGCAAGTGCGTCACTCGCGCCGTCGAAAATAGAAACCACGCTGCTTGTGGATTTTTCGCCGCTTTCTCATCAATCGGCTGGGATTTAGTAGCCATGAATTGCTCTTTGGAAGCATTCTATCCCGTATCTCGCCAGTCTCTCGACTATAGGTAACTTGACTGAAGCAAAAGGCGCGAGGCCGTACATGGATGCTCCGTATCCAGCTTATGCTCACTGGTGCCCCTCAATAGATAGTAAACGCTTTACAAATCCATCGACCTCAATGATCTTGATCCTAGCAATAAAATTACAGAAGCCATTGCGTACAACGCATTGAAAACACTTCCTGCTTCCTTGATATCGTCGTAGTATACAACTCCTGTTGGTGATGATATCGAGGACTCTCTCAAAACGGAGGCGCGTCAGAGTGTCAGCAGACGTTAGATTCGTGGGAATACAACTCTATTGCTTGGCTGTCAGCCAGAACGTGTGCCGTTTTGTCGATCACATTTGTTCACTGCCTGATGGCCTCACTCGTGTTCGCAAATTTAACATCCTTGCCTTCTAAATTACCTGTATAGGCGACATGAATAGCATCCTCTGCCTGAAGCGTACTATCTTGATAAGTTTTCAGTTGATTCGCCTATGATGTGTAATCAAATCAAGTAAGTAAGATACTTATGTTTAGCGCGCCAATGATAATATTACCATGGCATTGTGTTTAGTACTCGGTGGAAAGTAGTAGTTGTGTTCTTTATACTCAACGCTATGTCACTATTTAAGAACTTACGGAGGCAGCATTTTAATACTTTACGCCACGCAGTTGTACTGCTATGTGCCTCACGTCATCTCGTTCGTCGCTCATTCATACCGAGAGCCTCGTCGGTCAGGAGGCGAGAGAGAGAGAAGGGTGTTCGATTTTCCGAATCTCGTCGAGTCGTGGAAACATTTAACGAAGCTATAGACTATGCCTCTACTTTCTCTCGTCTATACTAGAAAGTTTGTTATAGAGGAATACACGCAAGCTACGGCGGACCTCTCAGCTGATAAGTCCGTTGACTCGGAGGATCTAATCGCCACACCGCAACAGATGAGTGCCCACACCCGCATACAAACCAGACGGCTGTCAAACGATTTCTTCTGGCCGAACAAAATCCGGCGGTTGTGACAGGATGCCCCAAAGGCTACTGACGGGTGGGATCCTCCTAACCCGGGATCACAACAAAAGACGTAGTGTCTCGGTGAGTTGACGCTGAGTCGTTTTGAAAAAAAGGTACTCAAAACCGTTCTTGGCAGTGCAGCCAAGAGATGCCGGGAATGCCACCTAGTTGAGAATATTTGCAAGATAAAACAGAAGCCAAGCCGTTACCATCCGTTACAAGTAGACCTCCAAGTACCTAAAGTAATTGACAACATTTCTCCGGAGTCGAGGCCATTCATGAACACAAGACAACTCGGCTAATGCTCGTACAGATTTGGAAACGTCAGCTCCTACTGAATAATGCCACCGCAACAAAGTCATCGTCATCTTGACATCTTCAGTAAACCAAATAAAATTGATATGCTTCAAGATCGTTGTCCTCAAGCGGGTTACGCAGTCTAGTCCTTGGTAGTCTGGTTCGAAGGTGTAGGAATACTACTGGATTCGAGATACCGAGGCCAAATACGAAATTACAGGTCAAAGTAGCAGCTCCCCTGCTCCTCTGCACCTATTTCTCTTCAAGCCATGTAGACTGTGTGAGGGATCGTGAAGACCTAGTGAAGCCTTTTGCGTCAGCATCTCTCGTCTTCGCTGCGAACATGACATAAACATGACACCCATAATCTGGCACAGATTGGAGGCTCGTGAATGTGTGACCATATATAAACGTGACTTACAAGACATTCAAACACCTCAACGACGAGTGCCTCGAATGAAAAGCAATGAGCAGTGTTATTACGTGTACCTTTCGGACCACGTCACGATTCTCACTTACCACGCAACTTGATCATCCTGCACTGTGGATGATAATCATGACAGGTGAGGTAGCCTAACGTACATCTTGCCGAGCAATAAGTTCCCTAATCTACGACCAATCTACACTCGACATCGTCATTCCCTCTCAATCATCCTCGATCGCTTCAAATGCTAACAAAAGTGGTGTGTACAAAGGTGACCCCAGTTCAAAGCCCTTGGAGCCAGGATATCTCATGCAGAATAAGATAAAAGGGGAAAAAAAGACAAATCATGAAGACACAAGGTAAGCAAGCAGCCCGGCATTGACCGCGCCCCATCAACGCTCGCTAAACATGCCGACCTGCAATCCGGCTCCCCAAGGGTGCCTCTACCAACCACCTACTCAGATGCTCATCAGGCAAGAAGAAAACGGGAATAAGCCTATTACCCCAAATTCCCATTACGAATAAGACGCAAGACCATCTTTGACATCTTCCGAGGCATCAGGGATTCCGAGCAACCGAAGTCGGACGACCCGGGCGCCCCGCCCCACCCGCCCGTCCTCGGACCTCACCGGATGTCTTATCTTATCACAACCCCGCCCCGCGCCCCGACGCCCCGCGGGGCGATACGTGATCCTCACGACATCCGTCCCTCTTATACCACTCACCTCATATCTCATCGTCCCATTCATCTCTTACACAAAACATCCCCAAATCCCATCAACATCAACACTGTACTTCACCTCTTCTCAACTCTCCTCCTCACACTTCAGCCCTCCCTAAACTTACTTCACAACAACAACAACCTCCAGCCATGGAGTCCCCTCCTCCCCCCGAGCTCAAAATCTCCCCGCCGCTCCTAAATTCAGCAAATCCGTGGTGCACAACCCTCGAGGACCTCCACCGCCTCCACGCCTGCCCCCACACGGGCGCCCTCACAACAAGAACCTCCCTCCTCACCGGCTTCGCCCACAACGACGCCGCACACCAGTACGCCTTCTTCGACCCCTCCACCACGAAACCGTCCTCCGCGCCAAACTCCTCCACTCCCCAAGCACCCCCCAACATCGGCCCCGAGAACGTCGCATCCCTCAATAACTTGGGCTACTCACCCCTCCCCCTCTCGACCTACCTCGACTTTATCGCGCAGCTTCCCGAAGACAAGAAAATCGAAGGCCACCACCACTGCAAACAAATCATCATCTCCGTCACCGGCTCCCCCTCCGAGATCGCAGAATGCTACCGCCTCATCACCGCCTTTGCCTCGGGGACAAAACACCCGCTCGCAATGGAAATCAACCTCTCCTGCCCCAACATCGCCACAGCCGCGCCCCCCGCCTCGGACCGCACCCAGCTCCGCGCCTACCTAGCAGCTTTGCCCCGGGACCCGATCATCCCCGTCGGCCTCAAGACGCCTCCGTACACCCACCCAGCGCACTACGCCGAGCTCATCGCTGCCCTGCGTGAGGACTCCACTGTCGTCACGGCCAAGGCCATGCTGAAGGTGCCCTGCAAAATCAGCTTCATCACTGCCGTCAACACGCTCGGTTCCTGTCTTTTGCTCGATGGCGGCGAGGAAGACGGCGTTTCGAATCCGCGACTTCCGGGGTCTGGACTCGGGGGGATGGCGGGAGCACCGTTGCATCCGTTGGCTCTGGGGAATGTAAAGACTATTGCGGACTTGGTCTCCCGTGAGCCAGAATTATTACACATCAAGGTCATTGGTGTCGGTGGCGTCTCGGACGCGGATGGGTTTAGGCGGATGAAGAGTGTTGGTGCTTACGCGGTTGGGGTCGGGACAGCTTTGGGAAGAGAAGGGATACAAGTTTTCGAGAAGATTGCTTCTGGTATACACAAACATTGAGTCATGCTCGTAGAGGGTATCATGATATCACGACGTTCACATGGTATTACTGTAGATATAGAGCTATTTCTCCAAATTTCAAAACGAATCTTGTATAGTGAGTGCATGGAATATAAAATCATGACTTTTATTTCATTGAACATCATTATCATTGGGTATATAGCAATTAATATGAAGGCTGATAGGCCTAGTGTCGCACAAAAAATCAAACATTTCACTCGCTCACACTATCAGAGATTGATGGGTATCGTTGCTCCCCTCAGATCCTTTAGTGGAGTCATTCTTTTCTTCAGAATGCTCTACTGCTGGCGGTGTGACGCTCTCGCCGTTGGTCCTCCCCAGGTGGGGTATCTTGCTGAAAATGCTGCCTCGCTTGCTCTTGGCCGCAATTGTGGAGAGCGTTCGCCTGCGCCTCCTAAGTTGGCGATTGATGTCGATCTCATCCTCTCCGGAAACGCGCTCCTCGGGGGATATATAGGAGTGGGCAGGATCTGTCATTGTCTTGGCGTCACGCACAAACGCAAGCCATATGGGGTAGAAGCCTGTGAGAACGAACAAGGCGACGATGATGACGAACGAAAGTTGCACCGAAACGCCGGTATTAATGACCGCGTAGATAATGTACGGGAAGAACGCTGCGCCGGAGCCACCCATAGTGATAAAGGCAGCAGCACGCTTAGTACGCCTGCCTTGGCCGCGTAGGCCGATGGCGAAGATCAGGGGCCACACAGGTCCTTCGGCGAAGTAGAAGAGGATGACGGCAATCATCAGGAGGTTCGGATCCGACGGCTGTAAGACCACAGTGAGAAGGGCGAACAATATGGAGAGACCGACGCTGATGGCCAACCACGTTCTCGGTTTCGGCATGCGTGGGTTGCGCACCGAGAGATAGGTCAAGTAAGCAACAATGAATCGCGAAATGGCGAATGCACTGTGCGCAATGAGATGATAGTCAGTGACGCCTATTGTGAGGCCAGGAGGCTTGTCGCTGTTTTCGCCTGGGCTTGTATCGGCATTCGTAGCAGCGGTACCGCCATCTTCCCGATCAGGAAGGATGGCTATGGCAAGTGCGCGGAAGAAGATATTGTTGCTTTCCTGGCAAGCGACGTACGTCCACTGTGCGAGTACGGCCAGGATCAAACTCCATGTGCGCAGTTGCAAACCGCCAATGCTGCGTTTCTGAGGGTTGACTGGAAGTCGGTCTGCTGATTCTTGCAATTCGTTGTCGTTCAATTCTGGGAGCGGCATATAGTAAAAGAATAGGCCAAGGGCGACGCAAAGCAGTGTGATGGCAAGGTACGTCCACTGTACGTTCAGCAGCGTTACAGAATCCGAGCCACCCTGGTTGGTGATCTTGGTGAAGAAGACCCTTTGGGCCATTAGGCCGCTCAAAACAGAGCCGACACCTTGGATACCTTGAGCAAGAAGTAGTCGTGTTTCTCCGAACTCTGGCGGCCCGCAGAGAATTAAGAAAGCATTGGCTCCTGTCTCGAGAACAGATAGGCCAAAGCCAACTACAAAGTTGCTGAGCAAGAAACCGCCCCACGACTTGGTGACAGCAGATGGCCAGAAAATGATGGTTCCGACACCGTAAAAGCAGAGCCCAACAATGAAAGTAACTTTGAAGCCACCAACACTCTCTGCATCGCGTTTGTTGTTCTTGCGGTTTCTGCGATGATGTTCGTCCCGCCTTAGAATCCACTCTCCGACCAGCAAGGGGCCAAAGAAGTAACCGCCGCCAAAGTAAGCGGTTGTGAGGCCCAGAGTTTGCGCGACGGTCATGCCTGACACGCCGGAAATGACGTTGTTGAGGGTGTTGAGAAGACCGTAAGAGATGCCCCACATGAGAAAGAGGATTGTGACCACTAGGCAGTACCGGAGTGATTCTTGAGCGTCGCACTTGACCATGCTCTTTGGACGCTTCATGTTGACGAAACCAAAGTAGATGGTGTTTTCTCTGCTCGTCGCTATAGAGGCCCTGTTGGGAACGCCGCCGATTCTTCCCGCCCCGGTTGCCTCGTACTCGGCCAATGTCATATCCGGTGTTGTCAAGAACTCGAGTGCTGTCATATCGTATTCGTCCGTGTTTGAGGCTCCGTTCATATCTCGGCTGGCACGGAGTGTTGCCGGGGGCTCTTGGATATTGACTGAGCCGCGATCGTTCGGATTCGTTGGCGACACAAGACCGTCGCTACCGGTTCGATTTCTAGGACTGTCCAGGATGTCCTTTTCGGTTTGCGTGCTCGATCTCGTTCCGTCCGGGTCGATGATCATGGCAGGCAGAATCTTGATGATTAGCGGCTTGAGGGTAGGGATACACGCGCAAGCCATTCCCACGTTGACTTCGACGGCTGACCACATGAATGACAAGGACGAATTCCAAGCGAAATCGGGTGTACCACCAAAGTGGGAACTGGGATCGCTCGAAATGCCGCCAGTGGGCACCGAGCTAACGGCTTGCTGTAGGTAGTAGATTCGGACGACGTCCACAATAGTAACGAATATACCAATGGTAAAAGTGAGTACGAGAATGATTTTTTGCCTCGGCGGCAATCTCATTCCCGTGAGAACCGGAATCGGCAACGCTAGGATGGCTAGATCGGTTACGATGTTGATGGGAGCAGAGCAGATGAATTCCGTTAGCAGCGGGATGCATTGCGAAGTGTCCCGCCAGATTTCCCATGCCGCCTGAACAGGTCGACATTGGAAGATGTTGATGAGGGTGAGTACAGTGCCTGCTAGGTTGACGATGCCCAAAGTCACCCAAGAAGCAAACCGGAGCACCTTTTTCGTATTCTTAGAGAGGCGGAGGTAGAAGATCAAAATGCTGGTCTTGGTCGCCATCAGGGCGGGATTCTGTAGTTGTGTGAGTAATGCACCGGAGCCAGTGTCTCAGCACAACGGCGGTACTCACATAGAGTATCGAAAAGACATATTCGCACTCTCGTAAGGAATTCCAGTGGCCCGAGGGTATATTTTCGTCGAAGCGACCCAAACCTTTTCGAGTACCAAAGCAAATGGTGAATGATAATCCAAAAGCAATCATCCAGGCAAAGAACATAATCTTGTCGTCCCAGCTGACATTTCTGACAATCCATCGCCGGCAAAATAAACGGGCAGCAACCATCACACTCGCTAAGACGAATGTTGCGGCCGTCACGGCAAATACTGCCGGACCGCGATCCGGGATGCTATCATCTGCGGCATCGGCAGATGACATGCTCGGCGACAAGATGGCGACCAATCCGGGAAACTCGAGGGAGATTCACCACCACGGAGGTTTGGCGAGAGGTGTAGGGTGGTTAACTTGACACCGATGACAACCATGCCATGACTTTGGGCTCTGACACATGGACGCAGTCGAATGGGTTGGTATTGCTGCGCAATCACGCTCAATATTGAAAACCTCGGATGGGTAAGGTCGGCGGTGGTGCTATTATTCGCGGGGTGAGATCAAAAAAGCGGAGGGGCAATGCAAGCTCTGGTCCGATGGGTTCGAGGCGTCGTTGGCGATAATTCGGGGTCGGGAATTCGTCAGTGCTGGGTGCAGTCCTAATGAATCGGGCGTTAGGCGAAAGGCTGGGGTGGGAAAGTCGTAAGTTTGAGCGTCGGGTGGCAGTCGTCCAATCCTTCTAGCTGTAAGCTTGCGCGAATATCTTCGTAACTGGCAGTTCGAGTGGTGTGTGACGTCCGACAAAGCCGCGGCGCGTAATTGGCAGGAACAGATGGCGCAGCGTCGTACAAGTCGTTGACGAGGTTAGCGGCGGTGTAGGCGAAGAGGGCTGGCAAGGCAAACGTAACGTGGGCGCTGGGCGCAAGCGAGGGAAACAGACACGGCCCAGCGGGAGAAGGTCTGCACGTTTGTTGGGAAGAGGAAGGGAAGAAAAATAGAGCCAGAGCAAAAAGGTCGAAAATACGGGATGGGATAGCTGGAGCAAAGAACGACAGCTCGAGGCGAGGTAGGTGATGCTGGGCGCCTCCTCTGCAGGCTAATGCTTGTCTAAGGTGTGGTGTCGGGTCGGGAATGGCTGGTTTGACTGGTGGTGACTTGTGGGTGGATGGTTTGCGTTGACGGGGCCGTCGCGTGGGCTGGTGGACTCGTGCTCTTCATTCAGTCGTCGTGATTGCGTTCCCACCGCCTGTGGCAGCCGTTGCAGAGTTTTCCGATCCAGGACAAAGGCGATGGAGATTCGCAGCACTGGGCAGGTACCATGGAGTCCCTTGGGGCAGCGGGGCGTCTGAGTGGATGACGATGCGGATTGATGGGGACCATAGGCAGGGCGGTCGTGGCGGGATGAGCTCGTGGGAGTGGCAGAGCGAGATTGGTCGTTGGCCCTCTCCGGTACCGCTGGACTCCACCGTGGCGGTGACTGGTCGAGTGACTGGTTGACGGAAATGATGTCGAATAGATGAACAAGAATTGGAGGCTAAGCTGTGGTGACGGGTAACCGAGTGGACTAAATTAGGTTCTAAATTGCCCGTTGTGTGATGCGTACTAAAAGGTAAGGTTTGATAGGCAAAAGGCATTAATGTCTTGTGCGTATCGGGTCGGGTCGACGGACGAAGGACAAGTCAGAAGAGGCGGGAAAATCAAACGGTGTGCTGCGGCGGTGGAGTCTCCGCAGGTTCGGCGGTGCGCATCGGCGTGCTGGAACTCGTGGTGTCGGGTGGCTTTTCAGTCTTTTCTCTTTCTCATCGCAACCTTGTGCGAGCAGGCAAAGGAGGAGAGACGGAAGAAGGGTTGGGTTCGCGCCAGCCGCCCGGCCAGGTAAGCAGACCTCGGGCAATACTTGGCAGCTGGGTGGATGTTATTGCGACGCGAAAGTACCCACGCTGTAAGGAGTACTTGGCAAAGAAATGCGGCGGGCTTGCAGTAGCGCAGACACTGCGGACTGGCGTAATAATGGGCGGTGGGCGATGACATAGAAACGTCGATCCTCGGCACCCTGCAAGCCAATCAGCCATCTGGACATGGCGGGACTACCCCGGATTCTGGGCCTTTTCGGGCAAAGTTGGACGAGACTCATCCCGCCCGGACCCAGGCACACCCAGGATGAGACTGCCACACTGCGAGACGAATGAAAGCTTCTTAGCCTCCTCCGTTTTTCCTCCACCTGCAAGGATGCAACAGGTTGCAAATACTGCGAGGGAAATAAGAAAAGAGAAGGCGAGTGAGAGCATTGGGCGTCAGGTGGCTCGGCAACACGCGGAGTATATCCGTACGATGGGTACTTTGGACCATAAGTACATGACAAGGGACTTTACCGAATGCCCCGTCCGCCAGGCAAGGTAAACGCATCCGGAGGGAAGGGAGGCCTTGCGTTTTGGGAACCTTGAAAGCAGAAGAAACCAGTCATCCGCTCCACAAGTCCGTCCACTCGACAATTACTAAGAACGACTGCCCACAAATCGTCAACGACTCGCAGCCTTCCCCCCTTGCCCCCTCAACGACCTCCATTTGGTATTGCGTGACTCCGTACGAAGCCTCCCGCTTTTGGCCTATTGAGGGTGCGAGTCCCAGGTCTTGTTGTTGAATCCTGGGAAGCAAGATCCGGCTCGTTGGGAACACCAACCTAATCTCCGTCGACATCTTTGCTACAGTTTAACCTTCCACCCTTCCCACCCATCCGAGAGATCCTTTCCTGGCCTGGAGCCATTTCCGTCCTTGGCGATATCGTGGTACAATGTCGACATCTTTCGCGGAGCGGCAAGAAAAACACGCAGGAGTGGTGGATTGACCATGGAGATGATGGTGTGCCCGGTAAGAGAATACCTTGGTAAAGTGGAGCAACGTCACTTCGTTCCATGTTTCTATTTGCGGCAGCAGAGGAGATGGGACATTGAGACAGAGTGGGAAAATTGAAGACAGAAAAAAAACTTGAAGAAAAAAAAAAACTTCGCCGAAGTAATGTCCGAGGGCCGATGCCAAGAGTCTTCCTGCCAAGACGGTCGTTCAATGCGCTCGGTGGTATCCGTAGATGCTTCGCTGATTGCGAAGTGCGGTGGACAAAGTCGAACGTGGTCCCCAGCATGGCGCGATAAATGGACCGAAGGGCGGGCGGGTCTCTTTGACCTTAAACTTGCCAAAGCGGGTTGTAATGTGATCTGCGGCCTGCCATTCTCTGCTTTACTGCAACAGCGAATACGGACCATTCTGTCGATCGATTGGAGCCCTGGGGGGGTTGAGAAGAGGAGGTGAAGGAACCACGGAACCAGAGAGCCACAAGGATGCAGGACGGCGCGCGACGCGGATACGGCAGACTGACAATCAAGCGAGGGGATGCCCGCAGGAGAAGGAGCGAAAATAGGAGCAGTTGCAGCCGCCAGTCTGTGGCAATGGAACAGGTGGCATGGCATGGCAGGAGGCAGGAGATCCGTTCCATTCGCATCTCATGGCAAGCGATCATCTTGGTGGCGGAAATAGGTACCCAAGGCGGGGCACCTCCCAAGCGAACCTGAAAGGAAAGAAGGATGGCCTCAGTTTGGGACGGAAGGATAGGAGACATTCTGGGCAGGCGCTCGCATCAACTCTCCAAGTGTTCCTGACGAAATCCCGCCCGTAGCATCCGTGAAACGGACCTCACTTTCGGACCTGTCAACCGTCCAGCAGCCATCCCTTCCCTTCAATTGATGTAGGTAGGTAGGTACGGATACATCTGGCAAGGAACGTCGCGTCGATAAAAGTTACCGAAAACCCGTCACTCTATACGTAAGCCAAGGCGATCAATCGTATGGAATGCGACGTCCAGCCATGATCGGTATTTGGTTTTCCAATTAGAATTCCCGACCCCGGCTTTCTTTGTTCTGCGCCGTCAACGGCGGCGCATGACGTTGCCTCTTCCACCGCCGCCGCTACCGCCGCAACAATCCCATTATACGGACACATGGCACCTGAGGTAGATGTGCTCTCGCGGCAACGGTCTGTCCACACCTGCATCTCTCCACGGAGTCCACGGCCACGGCCACGTTGTGCCACTGTCCTTCCGTTTCCGGATGACGGTTTGGCCTAAACCAGAGCATCAACCCGCATGATCCATTCTGTTGGCATTTTTCTTTCTTGGCTTTGCAACAAGCTCACGGTGGCGCCCATGTCAAAGAACAGACAGTGGAGATGCCCAAGGACCTTGCGAGCTATTGAACCCTACCTCGGCTGACCCTGCTGAAGTCTCACAGTCTTGCTTGCACGGCCAATTCGATTTCCACTCAACCAGCAACCGCAACACGTTGAATGCGGTAAGCATGCCTGGTTCGTGGGTAGACTGTGACTGGAAAGTTACCGACTTTACAGCCAACCCCCCGAACAGAGTCAAAAGATCGCCCTATTCCGAAACTGAAAGTCGTCAACATGATGCCCGCTCCATGGGGAAACAACGTCATCCGAACCGGTCTAAAAGAACCATCTTTCGATCTCGTTATATCAACGCCAAGACTCCACGGCGGAAAGTCCACCCGATAAAAATACCCCCAGGTCAGCAACAGTATCGAGTCCCAGCAAGAAATCATCGATAACCTCCGGGTGCGAACTGTGACTGCGGACCGCAGCAGAAATCGGTTCATCAATTTTACCCTAGCACTCGGTTTCCACCAACTACAACTCAGAGGTTTCAAGGTGATGACTTTGTGGAAAAACTTCGGACTGGGACTTTGAGTGACTGTTCAGGATGACTGCTGTTTTTTCCCCCTCAATCATGTTGCCGTCCACTGGCTGCTTGACACCTTGGTATCGGCGGTGCTGCCTCAAATTGGACTGACGTTGAGGCCAGGCATTATCTACGGGCTCCGCGAGTCAGTCTCCGCGGAAGCACCCAACCTCGTACGACTTTGACCCCTCCAAAGACTTCCGATGCCAAGAAAATTGGCAGCTGTCGATGGAGCAAACGTAATCGGTGCACTCACCTGGCAGGCAAGCTGCTCAGTGTCTGTGCCATACGAACTCACGGTCAATGTACGTTTCGCTGCTGCTAGCCGCCCTAGAGCAGGGCGAGCTTACTTCCTAATGCGAACAAAAGAGCCTTTGACTGGGCGCTTCACAGTTCCCGACGGATACAAGCATACCCACACAACATATGCTACGCGCACGTTTCTACAGCAGTAGCCTCCCACAACTTACGATGCTGTCTGAAACTTTTGAGCAGCTCGACCGCCGTGCTGCCTCAGTCTGCCTTCACACCCAAAGCAGCATACAGCACTTACTCGTGAACATTCCCAGGGGCCTCCATGCAATCAAGTCTCTTCATGTTGCCAAAAGTCGATCTTTCTTTGATTTGGCAAACATAACCTTACAATGACGAATTGCATGGCGCATGCAAACATCTCAACTTGTTTCGTATGGCAACATGGTATATTGCGATAGACGCCTTACTTCTGCATATTGAAACAAGCCAGTAATTCTGGCAGTAGCAGCCGTGAACTTCTATGTTACATATATGGCGGAGTCTTTCGTGGGCACAGTAAGGATGACTGCGGAACCGTCATGGCTCCATCTTAACTTAAACACGGTATCCTCCACATACTCTCTGGTTCCTCAGCCCCATGCCTTAATGTTTCCGAGGCTTGAGCCTCGTTCCGTTTGACTTCATCTGACTCGTGATGGAGGCCCTAGTCAACCAGACTAGGTTTCGGGAACCATCCCGCAACCTACAAGTCGCCCCATGGGCACGTGAGTCTCAAATGCCAACCAGCCGGAATTTTCGAGCCGGCTTTGATGTTTCGCTTTCTATTAGACGTTTTTCGCCCACACGTGGGTTGTATGTGACTGAGAACACTATCCGGGAGGCAGATTCAGAGTCAACTTCAGCCCTACGGCGCAATTCATGCCCTGTTACCTGTGACAAAATCATCGCCCGCTCGAGACACTACTTCACTACTTCTCGGACCGGCCTATGCGCACAAGCCCATCTTGCTTGAGTTTCCGAGCTGCAGATCATTAAACTTTATGAGCCTTCCGGTGTGCCGGAGACCCATTATACTCCTGCCGAGATGCCGTGCCGGGCTGTTCGTAGATTTGTTTCCCTGTACTGTCGTCGTCGAGGAGCGAAAGGCGGCGAAAAGGGGTGGAACTAGGATTAAGCAGTCTTTCAACACAGCCAGCCGCACGATTCGGTGTGGGATGTGGGACGCTTTCTTTTACGGCGTGGTATGCTGATGCAAAATAGATATTCTGAGGATTATGTAGAACAGGCACCTTGAAGAGAAGACATCATATTTCCCCCAGTCATCTTTCTCGAGTCAATTTTTGCCCGTGCTAGTCAGTTGCCGTACGGGTATGATGGCTCATCATCTGCCTCACCCCGGGGATACGAGTCGTAGTGCTGGGATCCGTCGTCTGGTTCGTTGGGGTTTGGCATGCCCTCGTCTTCTGGTTACCTGTTTGCTGGTGGTCCCGATCTCAATTTTAGTCATCCTGGCCTCGCCCTTCTGTGTTTTGTGACTTGGCTGCGGATAGGGTGCGTTACAATCCATCTATTCAGGTTTGTGATGCAGTCATTTGATACGTGGCCCATGCATGTTGGATAGTCTTTGGACATCTCTTTATGGTTCTTGTCGTGGGAAAGAGGCTTGTGGTCTGGGATGTCCTACTACTTCTTTCGTTTTTCTCACAGATGATCAACAGGTGTTGTACAGTTACTCCTTGAGAATTTCGCTCTCGGCGTCAGGATGGCCCCATTAGATGAAGCCGGCCTTCCTAGGTAGTACAGTACACCTTAGAATTCGAGAAACGGGATATTTATCGTAAGCTAAAAGTGCCTCACGTTACAAACATGATGATTCTAATGGTTTCCCGTTTTCTTCTCCCCGATTTGAAATGATTATTTCGCGTACCCCGTACTCACATATCCCTAGAGGTCTTGACTGATGGCAGCGCTCATGCGTACTTACCTTACCTTCGTCAAAAGTGACTGCGTCTATTTCATCGGTCTTTATGCCGAAAAGTTCTGCTATTTGAATAGCTCTCTCTTTCTGTTCGTGAATTACCAAGTACTTTTGCCGTCGGCGACCATTTGATTCCCATTCTTGAATAATTCGACCCTCGTCACCTCAAGGAGAAGAGAGAGACTACCGGTTCATCCATACCGAGTCCAAAGGGGAGAGCCGCAATGCTAGTCCCAGTTCCTTGGAGGGCTATACATCTATCCTGTCCCGTACCACTACTCGTCGCGCCGCCAATGATGCTTTCATATCGAGTTGATGGCAGCTCGATGGATGTCTGTTTTTGGTGATTTACCTGCAGTCGGCCATCGACTTTCTGTACCCTCCAAGTCGATAATTTGAAAAGAAAAAACGGCGCCTCGTCTTGATATCTCTCTTACCTGTAGGACATTGCTCTATCGTATAATCCCAATTCGCGGATAATCACCAGTGCCACTGTGAAGATTGAGGAATCGCTTCACTGTGCGGGATGCCGATCACATTGACTAGAGCTCCCTCCCGCCATGATAGGTCTGAAGAGTGTTACTGGGAAGGCCCTGTCTATCTTGCTGCCGCAAGGGACTTGTATGTACTATATGGGCCTTCCTGACTATTGATTCACATCTAGTAGTCGGCTTGTGTGTTAGTACTTGTTCCAAAGACGCGGAGTTCGTCCACTGATACTCCCCGCTGTCTTACCCACGAGCTCTAGGGGTAAGCACCAGGTTTTGCCCACCAGTATTATATTTCGAGTATCAAAAGGGCATTAAGATTGATTTCGCAGTAAAATCTCGCCCATGCAGAGGCAACAAGTCTGTCAGGTCTACTACACAACTCCCTGCGGGTCGTCATCGCGGAAGCTTTTTAACGGATTTCTCATACAGACATCGTATTAGCATTCATAATTCGTGGATGAATGGATACAACAAGCAACCGGAATGGAAGTAGAAAACGTGCGGTCATATAAGAGGCTTCTTGTCAGCGGAACCTCAGAGACCTTGCTGAAAAGCTTTCCATGCTCATGTCTCTTGACAGCCAGGCTTCTTGCGGCGGCTCCCTGGCCGTTGAACTTGGACAGACCTCATGGGCTCTTTGACGTGTTCTCGAGCTTGTTTCTTTCTCATAATGAGTATAGCATGAGCTCAAGCGTGAGTGTGGACGTAATACTACAAAATATGTACGTTCCAAGTTCTTCAAAGCGCTACTTTCCGATAGCCAATGCTCCCAGGTTTTTGAGATATGCGGATTGGGTGAATATGGATGAGATATGAGAGGGTGTATTCAGGCAAGAGCTTGGAAAGGCTGGAGGGTCAGGCATGTTTGTATTTCTTGAGTCATCTCATCCGGTGGGGCCCCAAGTCTCTTTGGATAGTTCACCGCGACAGAGTTGTCGTTTGTGAATTCTATATGTCCTTACTGGGTTTCTCCTATTGCTTGTTGGCTCGCGAGGTGCCGTTACTTAGCATATCAATATCATCAGACTACGCTGTAACATGTTTTCATTGTATTGAGATGCTGTATCCAATCTATTCGGCGGTGCTTCCAAGGCTATGTATGCAGCTTGAGGGCGAAGCGAAGCTCAATCAACAGTCTTTAGTTATCCCGTCCGAGTGGGGGCTCGAGGCATTTGCCGCGATCTTCGATGTCGGGTCGTCAATAAGGAACTAGCTAGAGCATGGAAATGGCCAAAACGGTTGTCTTTCTTTTCGCCGTGGTATACTGGGGGTGTCCAGCCAACTCTGCTCTGGTGGTGAGCGAGTCTTTGTTACTACTGCTACCAAGCTAGTCACTGCCAGACTGATGCTCCGGGAGGCTTTGCACAGTAGACATGGCCTGGTAGTAGATAAGAGACAGAAACGCTCTAAATAAGACTTGAATCACAGAATAACCCGGTGTGCCTCGACAGCTAGCGAGAACCCATCACTTGACCTCACACTTGAGGGACACCTCGAGCATACCTTATCTACCTAAGCCGCAAGTCATTATACACTTAGGAAAACCTCAACATTCTCTTTAGATCATCACCCTAAACTCCTTTGTCTCCTATACTTATCCACCAACAATCCGAAAGCTCAGTCAAGGGCTTGCACAGGCTGGCTAGGTAGAACAGTGTTTCGAATAGGTCACGTTCAGCTGTGCGTGAAGAAAGCAGCCCGACTTTACGGGAACGGCAAAGCATTCGAGCGAAGTTTGTTGGAACTCCTGCTTACTTGTCTTTTCGCCTTCATCAACTCACCAACCGTAGCCTTCTAACAACCGGAACTGATATGTGGCCTAATCTTGTTTAACTGAAAGATCTCGAATCAATCTTCTTTCGACTAGCCACAAATGTAATGTGGTCAGCTTCTCTATCAGCATGGTCTCCATCCTCACCTGTTGATGATCACGGAGTGACTTTTATCCTCCCCGCCCCTTTTTGCTTCCCAAGGGACAGGAAATCATTCGGCTGCTTCGATTAGCGGCACGCTGTTCAAGCAGCCTTCCATAAGCGTATCTAACTAATATGAAAACTTGTCAAGGCCGAGGTGCTTCGTCTATCGATATCGTAGACCTCGTGCTGAGTACCTCAGGGCGCAGTCACCAGTCACAGTACCTCTCACACCAAAGCCACAACTCGCAACCAACCAATACCATCACATCGTGACACAAGACCTTGCCGCCTCTCTCCCAATCATCCTCTCCCAAACCCATATTACCCTCCGACCGACATGCCCCGCGAACCCACAATGTAGCATCACGTCGTACAACCTTCACCTCGGGCAATCCAAAGGTTGACCAGCCTCCGGAACCAACATCCCTACTGACCCCTTAACCCTCTCAGCAAAGCACCCCCTCACCTAGGCATCATGCACGACGCGCCGCCGATCCTCCAGTTGCCCCGTCAGAATCCGAGATTGCTCAACCCACGGAAAACCAGCACTCACCTACGCTACTCTGTTCGGGTACTCTGTACAGCCGTCCGCGTTCCCTTTCAGCCGTCCATCCCCAACGACGCTCGCTCGTCAACCAACGACAACCTTCATCCCTCTTCCTAATGATCCTTCTATAAGACGATCATCATATCAACCATCATTTTAGCCCCTCAGCTGAAAAACCCCAGTCACGATCACTAAACTCAACAAGAACCATTGCCCCCCCCCCTCCCACCGCCTTTTTCTTTAAGTCGCTCCCTCACTCTCGCTTGAGTACGGATACTACCTCGTCCGTCCCGCGGCACGTTTGCTGATAACACCCTGGACGAAACCCCAGACCCCTAGATCGACCACCGCGACTCATTCTCAAATGTAGGTACCCCAACCGGCAGGTGGTTCTCGCCCCAATCTCAATACCACCTCGTACCCAAAACCCATAACGCCCACAGGAAAAACCGTGCCATACCTATACTCCCCCCCCTTCCCCCCCCTTCTACAGACTGCTGCCGCTTCTTTTTCTCTTCTCAAGGGCCAGAGATGCGACGGCCCGGTGCTCCGCAAGAGGCAAGAAAGCCCAGAATGTCCCAATCGCGCCCTATTCGTCGTGCTAATTCAGCGCATCCCCCACCCGCCCCATCCAACTCAATCGAGAGCCATGTAACCACGGAGCCGCATGCACCGTCCCTACTGTATACACCCTCTTCACCAACGCAGGGGATTGGGTAGGTAAGGGAAAAAGAAGAGAAACTCTGATATACAAAAGTCAAAAGTCACTCGCGTGTAGTACATTCTTTCTCTTCTCGAACCGTTCCGATCCGTCTGCAAATACCGCGGTATCAACATTGTCCTACACGAAGAAAGCTTGGCCGTGGCTTTTCCCGCAACCCTATTGACATGGTCTCTTGGGAGTTACACAAGACACAACACGGGACCCCCCCCCCCCCCCCCCACCCCCCTCCCCCTCCCCCCCCCCCCCCCCCCCCCCCCCCCCCCCCCCCCCCCCCCCCCCCCCCCCCCCCGGGCCCCCCCCCCCCCCCCCCCCCCCCCCCCCCCCCCCCCCCCCCCCCCCCCCCCCCCCACCCAATCCTTTCCGGTTTCCCCGCCGTCTCCACTTCACCGGTCCCCCGCCCCATGCCACATCGACTAGGGAGGGGGGGTAGCGACGCACCTCGGTACCCTAAGCCCGTCCCACCGAGGTCAACGGCGACGCTTTCTTTCCCCCGCTCTTTCCCCGTCCTTCCCCAGACTCCAAAGACACCACCTAAGATCACCACCCTACCCTGGTATTTCCCTGCAACATGAATAAATGCCAAGATTCGAGCAACGGCGGGTTTCACCCCGCTCCCTGGTGCTCATCTCGTTGAATTTCACGCGTGAACCAAGGTTCACAGTCTTGGCATCTAAGATGCGTTGGAAAGACATTCCGGGGAATAGTGCCATGCGTGCAGAAACCGTGGGACCGCACACCAGGCCATTGGATCAGAAATGATGCGTTTGAACGGCGTAGAAACAGCGTCATGCCGGTATTCAATTGCCTTTTTTCTCGCCAATTGTACGGGGATGGAACTCACGCCAATTGATATAGAGCTCACGTCAGAAATTGTCTTGTAAATCTGTTTTGAATTTGTTTTTTGACAGGCTCTGATGAGCATGGACTTGGACGAAGTCCAGAACTCTCAGAAGCTCAAAATACCTAAAAGCGGACCACAGTAGGGCACACCTAGAGTTGGCCCGTATCGAGACCCGTCGCTCAGCGACCAAGAATGGCAACCTTCCCTACTCGTCGAAACCGGCCTTGTTCAAAAAGGCTATGGTCTCTGCGTGCTTATTATGCATCTTATACATCCCCGAGTAAACAGTTGACCGAAACTCCCACGCATGCTAGATCATTCCTTCGTCAAGAGCTCCCCCAGAAGTGCCGTTTCCATCCTCATGAATATTTTGTTCCCCCACAACCAAGTCTCTAAATGATGACCGCTGGCCCTAGGTGTTGTGATCCAGTATCCAAAAGAAAATTGCCTTCAACTAAAAGAGGTATCGTAGTGCAGGACTAATGACCGCGGCATCGACTGAAGAGCCGAGACCGCATGAACCGTTGAATCGTACAGTCCCCCCTACTGTGACGCTCCAATACCGCTGAAAAAGAAGTCGAGCTCGCTGCCTGGCCCTCGGGCGAACTGGTGCTCGTTCTCCGCGAGTTGCTCCAGGAGGCTCAAGAAGGGGTCCTTCTCCTCACCTGGGCCAGTGCCGGTGCTTCCATTGTTGCTCTTGTTTCCCGGGCTGGGGGCGGCGACACCGGCTACCTTGTTTCTACCTTCGTCCCCGTGCCACGCGGCTGGACTGCCAAATGCATTTGTAGGCAACCCGCCGAACATGGGGTCATTGTAGTTGCCCCCTACTTCGTTGTTCCCACTTGCTCCCGGTGTGGCGAAGCTGAACTGCGGAGAGAAGGAACTTGAGGAGAGCGCCGACATGTTGGCTTGTTGGTGGCTCTGAGGTCCGAGGGAGAATCCTGCCGCAGCCGCCGCTGCTACGGCCGCATTGGTGGCCGCAGCTTCGTCATATTGGCTGTGTGACGCAGACATCGAACGGTGCTCCATTGTCTCGGGGTGAGGAGGCAGGGATACAGGCGTCGCCAGTAGTGCCGGTGACGGGTGAGACGCCATCGTCGGGGTCGGGTGTGAAAAGGAATGACGAACGTGAGAAGGCGTCGGCAGGCCATGCGGACGCGCGATATTGCTCGTACTGAGCGGCGAAAGGACCTTTGCATCTGGACGCTTCCGGCCAGAAGGAGCTGTGTTCTTGCGCTTGAGGCTCGGTCGCTCGGGTTCGTTCATACTGTTGGCACGAGGCGCGTATAGATCGTGGCCCGTGTATGTGTCTGTAGTGAAGTCGACAACCACATCAGAAAGGCTCAGGTTTGCCGCGTCAAAATTGAATGTCTGGCCGCCAGGTCCGCCAATGTTGGAGTAGCGATCAAAGAAATCCTCGAGGTGGAATGCCGGAGAGTAGCGCAGAGGATTGTTTGCAAGGCTTTTGACAAGTTCGGAATGAGCATTGTAGATTCCCTGCAGGGTTTCCCTCTGATGTTGGACACTTGCCCAAGCATATCGCAGCTCGCTCAGCTGCTGCATCTCTCTGGACAGAAATTCTCCTGACAAGCTGAACACAGTCGAGTCGCCATTGCCATTCTTGTTGTAATGGGCACCGTGGATATGGACTGTACCCGCGGTGCATATGCAGTAGCCAACAAAAGCCGGCCATTCGATTGTGCCGGTCTGCTTTCCGAGTTCGACAAGCTCGGAGATGGCGTTCGCGTGCAGAAAGCACATGTTTGTCGCTTCAATCTGCCAAGAGTGGTGCTGACCGGTTCCAGCGAGCTCGGCCAGGTCGATGGGTAGAAATGGTCGGTAAATGAGACAGTGAATCAGATGGTAGATGAGTTTGCTCAGGACCAAAATAGTCGAATCAGGTTGACCAAACAGCGTATCGAGACTTGAGAAAACGTCCTCGGTGCCGGAAGCCCAAATGTCCAAATCTTGACGAATCTTGGACAAGTTTGAGAGCGAATGCCACGGAAAGTGCGAGTCGCCCTTCACCCCTCCTGCTGCCAGGTAGCGATTTGTTATACCAAGAATGCGGCTAATGTCAATGAGCATTCCCGTGCTGCCTTGAGACTTCTTCCCACTTCCCTGAAGGAACTGCAGATTGGACCCAGACTGAAAGAATTCGCCGTCGATAGGGGGTACGGAAGGGTTCGGTGACCAACAGGGAAGCCGGAGAAGGATGGTCTTGTCGCCGATGAGAGAGGGACGCTTGGAACCGCATGCCAGGAAACGATCGAGCAGATAGCATGTCCAGAAAATCCTCCTCCTCATTTCTCGCTCGACTGGCGTGACGCGTGCATTGTTGTCCATCTCGCGATGAGTTTCGAGAGCCATTGCCATACCAACCGCATTCGCTACACGTTTTGTTAGCCTTTCGCTCTTTAGTGCTGTTGTCAAGTCCCGTAGCCTACTCATCAGCATATACGCCCTCTTGCCTTTGCCTGCTGCAGTGAATGCAATAACTAGCAAAAGCAGAGCCTGCAACGCGTCGACTGAAGGCTCATCGGTGTCAATCTCTGCCCTTGCACGCGAAGCGAAGTCTTCACTCAGATGTACAGCAGACTGATAGCCACTAGGATGCGGTGTATATCTACCAACCTGATCAGCAACTTCGATGAGCCATTGGCGCTCATTCTTACCTTGCCGCAACGGCATAGATCCCATGGACTAAGTAATTTGGTAGTTGGTTTAATTGGAGTCGTTGCCGGACCGAAGATTCATCCAAAATGTGGTAGGGCTTAGAGTGAAACCTCGAAAAGTAGGTGTCTAGCAACGCATCGGGCTGAACGGTAGGTGGCGAAGGCTCACTAGTAAAGTCAGTTCACTAACCCACAAGAAATCCCGCTCAAGCATTCTGGCCTACCTCGCCGGGGCCGGTGAGTAAACGGCGGACTCATCGACGTCCACTTTCGGGTCTAGTGCTATACGCTTGGGATTTGAGTCGTCGTCGGGTACATTGTCTGCTCGTGAGGTTTCTTCGTCCTTGATTCCTGCGGCGGTTGGCGTGGTTGGGGTCTGCTCCCCAGCATTCTTCTCTTTTAATTTTGCCTCCAACCCATCGACCCTCTTCAGCAGTGCTTCCAATACATCTGTCTTTGGTCCACGCTTTTTGGGCACGGCATCTGATCGAGACAAGCGCAAGACACGTCAGCCACCTAGCAAGCTTTCCTAATTCCATCCTTTTGTCGACAAGAATAGAAAGGCTTGGCTTACCGTATACGCAAGGGCACTGGAAAACTTGACAGGCTTCACAGGATGGGCGTAGCCGGTTACACTTGATCTGAGGGGTACTTCAAGTCAGACGGCGGCTCTGAAATTTGATGGAAGACTCTCCCTTGCGCGATACTGAGAGGTCGTCATGCTGTCTTACCTTGCGCTTGCGGCATGACTTGCAGTTCATGGACTCCCGGGGCTCATTGCTTAGTCGCCGCGTCGGCAGGCGCTCAATGCCGACTTGGGGACGTGACATGGCCACAGGGTGAATTCCGGGAGAAGGGGTTCCATTCATTGGTTCGTATACAGACATCGACATCATCCAAGAGATTGGGTCGGTGATTGCAGAAAGGAATTTGGGGTTCGTCAACAGGTTCGGTTCGGTGCGGCGCCGGCAGGCGTGGGATGTAAATCAGTTATTTTCAGCAAGCCGAGTAGCTAGCGTAGGCCGGTTGGAAGGCAAAGATGTTGTTGATCAGGACATATCGAGGCGGGTTCAGAAGGGCCTGGGGGTTGTCTGGTCGAGCTGATGTGAAGCGAGTGAGCTGAGTTAAGTGGCTCGCGATGAAGTGCAGAAGCACAGAAACCAGACAAGAAGCCAGTTTAACGAGGCAGGATCGGGGACCGGTGAAGTTAAGAAATAAAGAAAGGTAAAGAGGTTGCCAGCCAGGCCTGGACTAGTAGGTAAGATGATGACTGTCTTGCCCCCCCAGCAGTCGTCTAGGTAGACATGTGGAGGTGGCTAGTGCAGCCGACTAGGGTGTGTTCGTCTCTCGTTGAGTCGTTGTTCTTGCGTGGAACGCAGTTCGGATGCATCAAGCACAAGCAGCAGGGGATCAAAAGGGAACGGTTACAGAACCAGGGGGAAGGGATTGACAAGGAGCTCAAGTCCAATCAAGGAAGAGGAGAAGGGGAGGTTGCACGAAGGGGGCAGCCTGGGAGAGAGTGTGGATGTGTGTACGAGGTATCTGTAGGTCGATAGGTATCTGTACACTATTAGGTAGCTTGGGGAGGATGAGGAGAAGGAAGAATGAAGGCGCCGAGACCGTGAGGGAGGGAGAGAGAGAAAGAGCGAGCCTGAGAAGAGGAGGCACTCGGGGCGGAGTCTGAAGAGGGGGGAGCGATGTTGGGGAAAGATGGGGCAAGGCAGGTTGCTTGCTGCTTCGGTAGCGTGGAGGCCGGGGTAGGGGCGGTTTGACCACAGAGGCTTGTCTTGTTCTGTCCAAGGCCTGGCGAGATGCGACTGGGGAGCCGGGCAGGTGCTGGTGCTGGCGCAGGTGCTGGCAGACTGGGATGACGCCCACCCAGCCCTTGCCTTGCCTCGTTTTCCTTCTTTTCTTTCGCTGTGTGCCCCGGACGAGAGACCCAGTCATCAAAAGACGGGTATCCGCTCTGTATTTGCGAAGCGGCACTGCGAATGGGCATCCCGGAGTACCTGGCCCGGTACTTCCATCCAAGCCTTCCAAGGTGTGCGGATACGGAGAACGGAGTGCGGAGTACATGAGAAATGCTCGCATATTCTTTCCGTTCGGTAGGTAGCTATCGACGTCTACTTTGTCTTCCTCGTGTCTACTGCAAAGTTACTCCTCGACGCCTAGTGCACTTAGCCCGATGCCGAATCACACTTTTCTCTCGGAGAGCGTCGGCACGGGAAAGGAAACAAGCTGCCCTCGTTGTGCTGAGAGGGTGTTGTGAACCAAGGCGGCAGATGTATCCGTACGAGAATGGAGAGAGGAACGACTCGTGGCCAAAGGCAAAAACCAGAGCCGGACAGGGACAAGGCAGATGGACGCCGCCGCTGCATTCAACCTTCTTTCTGTACATAAAACAAGTCCCGTCATGCCGTGCCATGTCGTGGGACAAGAATTTCATTCCAACAAAATAGACGATGAGCTCTGGCTCTTTTGGATACTCGTGATAGTCAGTCAGCGCTGACTGGTCACGACGAACCATGGAGGAACCGCGAGCCGCCCGAGCGAATTCCCCCTTCGAGACGGGCTGCTGCAGACTCGCGTGGCTAACAGACTGTGATGTACCTGCTTTGTGGCGCTCTCGTCGTTTCTTCTCCTCTCACACGACCCGGGGATACATGCTGGAGGGAGCATGGAAGTCGATGGAGGACGAGCAAGGGTTGGAGGCTGGAGGGATGTGTGGGGTTTTGGAGATGAAAAAAGTGAGCTTGTGAGCAAGTGCAGCGCGTGCCGTCACTGCAGCGCACAGCCGTAGCGCGCTCTGAAATGAGGAGGGGGGGGATGCAAGATGGACAGGTCGCCTCGCCCAGATGGGCCCAGATGGGAGACGCACAGCAGGAAACCCGCTCCCAGCGGTAGGGATCAGATGTCAGACAGTCAGACTGTGCCCGAGGACAGGATATCTGTCTTTGGTTGGGCCTGGTTGGGTTCGGGTTGTCAAAGTCGACCATGGTAACGGCGCAGGATGAGGCGCGAGCCGCTCTACAACATTGGATGGTAAAGCTCGCTTACCAAACAGAAAATTGAGCGAGTAATAACCGGTATTTCCGTGATTGACACGGATAGTGGTAGGGGTGAACCTTCTGAACCCTCTGAACCACCTCACTGCAAGATGAGCATTTGCAGATCAAGTCGACCTGGGATGTTTGCGTTGGCGGGCATGGCAGCTGCCAAGCCAAAAAAGAAAAGAAAAAAGAACATGGGAGGAGCGACATGGGACCCGGCATGGGACCCACCAGGGGACTGACCCAGCAATTGAAGACAGCATCTGTGTTGCCAAAACCGGGTTTGTCGATGGTGGACCATGTTGTCTCTGGTTGAAGATATTCGGATGAAGAGAAAGACGCCTCGAAATCTAAATTGTAGGCATGAAGGAACAGGCCGTGGTCTGCCAAAGTACAGTTCTTCCGTACATAATCAGTATGTCCATCCATATGCGTTTTGAAAAGAAGAAAAGAAACGATAAATGAGCTGGACACTGCGCCGTCATATTGCCGTTGCCTGCCGCTCCATGTACATACATACCCCTACAAAGATTACAAGTCGGATCACAGACATTCTCGAGCAGTCAACATAAGGTGGACGGCTAGCTCGCCAATCCCGAGTCAACGGCTGGCCGCAGCACCTGCCCGGGCAGTACTCCGTACCCACGTTGATACTGCTGTCTCAACACTCAAGCTGCTTCCCTCACCAAATCTCATTCAAAGCTATGGAGGTGGTACAGCGACTGGTGACTGATGTAATACAAGGAAGCAAGGCCCTTGGGCAAGTTCTGCCGGCTTTTATTTTAGCCCGTGATGTGACAGCAGAGGCGGAAATATATTCATAACTTTATTGTACGTCGGACGTCGACGGCAGTCTCATCGTCCATGTATGTTGAACGAATATCCCGGCGACCTTTGCCAGAGTTACCGACACGCTCATCTGGGCAGGACCCGACCCGGCCCCGTCCTGTACGGTCGCATCCTCGGAGGAGACTGGTCAGCCCCAGGTCACCCCTCCTTTCCCGCAACTGGACAGACCCGAGGTGATCAAGGGACTCTGGGTGGTTCCGCAGTGTTCCGCAGCCCTTCCCATGATCCCCACAGGCCTCATCCAGACTGTAGGCATGCTAATAACACCAACTCACGTCTTCTCAGATTTGCCCGAGATATGCCCACTGGTATCGCGGAGCCCAAGGCTCTAACTCTCCATGTCCATGGCCTCGACCACGGCGTTCATGCACATCCCCCGGTTCCAGACTTTTGAGTGAGAGCACATGCTGCCCTCTCTACGGATACCATACTTGGTCTCTACCTACCTTTACCTTACGCGGTACACGGCGCGTGGTAACTCTCCACCGCGGCCGACAAACCCTAAGGCACGCAACACCCGTTCCGCCCCAAGTGCAACCAGGACATGACTCTGCAACTCACCATGAGCTCGTAAAGATGGGTCGTTTCTCGGAAACCATCTACCCACATGTCTTTCATCAACCTTTTTGTCCCTCATGCCTTGGGGTAGCATCCGAGCAATCTAACCTATGCCCATCAAAGCTGTAACCCTCGTCTATCCGTACGGTCTCGAGTATACCCGCTGCCGTCTCACGACTTAATCAACACGTGGGCGCCAAAAACGCACTCGCGGAGTCGCGGGCTCCTCTATCCACCATGCCAAGCATGCTCTGGATCGTCTGGACTCGTCCGCTGGCAGGGGCAGTCTCGGCCTCATTCATCACGGTAACTAGAATTGTCTTGGTCGATTCCACAGCGATTCGGTATCAACCCACATCGAAGTCTGATCCGAGGCGTATCGTGCTAGAATGCCATGAGTTTTGCTATCGACCTTCCGTAAACATCTAATACCCTTCAAAGTTCGAATGGGACCCAAGAGGCCCCCCTTGTACTGCTACTACCGCCTACCGCCTACCGCCTACCTCCTCCCCTCCAAGGGGACGTGCAAAGCCATGCACTGACGCAGGAAAAGCCCGGTTGATGGGTGTCTCATCGAACCAGGCGGCACCTATTAAGGCCGGTACTTGATCCAAATTACTTACATGGCCATGCATGCACTTCCCCAGAAATATCTCGCTGGCTTGATACTTACCTTACGGCATCACGTCTACCAAGGGCGCCACGACGCAGAAAAGAAACGGCCAAGTGGAGGACAAGGTTAACAGTTCTCCAATAAGCTGAGACGGGCCGTGTTTGGATGGACCATTCGACTTTCAGACGAACATGATCGTTCAAGTAGCAACGTGCCGTCTAATGTGCTATCACCATGCATGTCACGGTAGGTAGATCAGATCGGCAACTTACACAGTATAGGTAGGGTGGTGGACTTTGCCAATGCCAGGACGCCTCTGAAGCCCGTATCCCCGACTTGCCGTCGCCAACTGGCCTCCTTTGCCCTGTCCATTGGAGACGACGAAGCTCCCCGTCCCGGCAGACCGCCCCGTGAGGCCAGAAGCCCTGACTTTGCTACACGAAAAAGCGGGAAATCCAACACTCACTCGCACGGGCGGAAAAGGGACACGGGAAAGTGATGGGTTCCCCTGCCTTGGGTAATCACGCATGGTACCAGACCACTGTGTCGGACCCCGTTGGTCAAGCCGGCACTCACCCGACCGCCAAGATCGGGCCATTGAATCAATTCTGTGGTAGGGGTGTCCTTGGCGTAGCCTTGTCGTGCTCGCAACAAGTCATTTTTCCTTCTTCGACATGGCTTCACACGAGCCCAGGCACAAGCATTACTCTGCTGCTTCTGACGTTTGACACTGACACTTGACAGATTAGCTAACACTTATTTACAAAGTCAATAATAAGCCAGTCGATTATTAGCGTCGTTCCACCCACGTGAGATGACGTCCGCTTGGCAGCTGGTCCAGCGAGATCAAGGGCCGGTCCGCCAAACATGCCCATGTCGTGTCTGTATCAGATCTCGAACGGATCGATGGGAATAAGAAAAGAAGCAGAAAAAGAAAGAGAAGGCAGAATACCGAAAGGCGCCATGGTGCGCCTGACGGCACTACGGGCCCAATTTGGCATCGTGCCCGTCCTCCACCGTTTAAGCATGACTATGCCGCGGATGAGACTAGGTGGGAAGAAGTACCGGTTGCGTAATGACAGATATGTCCAGTGCCCAGACCATGCATATTGCCCGTTCGTAAAGATTCCCTTTTCTGAGCTGGTGGCAATTGGCCCCCAGCTGCAGAAAGGCGGCATGATTTGTTGTCTGCATGTCTGCTGAAAAGGGGGATGGATCATGGGGGCTTGGGGGCCTGGGGTCCTAGGGGGGGTGAAGATGAGACGAAATAGGATCCTTGCCTATAATCGGGGCAAGCTGGGGGTCAGGGACACATCGCAGGTGGGCTGCCGTTCGAACTTTGGAGAGCTGCAACAGAACAACCAGGGTGATGTAATGTGAGAAGGACGGCCAGACCGCGATGACCCAGTGGGCAGATGACATGCCTCGATGTGAGACTGTGAGTGACGTCCTCTGTACGGAGTAAGTACGATGAAATCCACAGTCGATGCCGGCTGTCACGGGCTTCCTCTGGGCCTTTGCTTGTGGCGGTTTGCTGGTGGTGTCTCGGCTTTGAGACTGGCTACCTTAGTCGTTACCCAAGTTGCTGCAGATTAGACGGATTGTCGAGCAGCATATACAGTGCACAGAGTCACATACAGGCCACGGCCCTCACTCTTACCGGACGGGATGCCATCCTTCCTTCCAGCCCTGGCCTCCTTCCCTCTCTCGTGCTGATTACTGAGTACTGAGTACTGACCGATGACGAGCAAGTGTGCAATGCGAGCCTTCCGTCGTTGCTGCGGGTGGTGCGCCCTGTCAGACAGTTGCACATTAGGAAGGACATGTAGAGATCGACCAAGACTTGGAGGGAAGTTGGGATGGATGCTCTCTTCTTGCCGTGCCGAGGATATCTATGCAACTCCTCGATTGGGACGTCCACACCCGCCTTGAAGTCATCTTGTGAGAGAACGTCCACAGGCACTTGTATCTACCGAGTACGCATACACAAGGACCTTGGCACTCTGGGTACCCAAGCCGTGAAGAAACCTCCCACCCACATCACACCTCCCAATCACTTTTTGTTGCTGCGTACGGATCGACGCCTGATATCAACGATGTTACCGATGCTTGTCGCAGATGCCGACCAAGACAACAGCGCTGCGCCCGTCTCTTCCCTTCTTCGCGACAAAAGTACGGATGCATTGCATCCCATGTATCGACGTTGTCAGTCGAGACCGCGACTTGCTGCTCTGGCCATGCATCCCGCATAGAAGAGGAACTTCACCCGCCTTGCCGCCCTCCGATCCGACCTGACACAGCCATAAGAATGCAGCTTGTATCTGCTCCTTCTGCCTTCAACCAATAATCTGCTTCTCTTCAACCACCCGCCCGTCCAACTTAGCTCAGGGCCCTATCTATTCGGTGTCAGGCAGCGAGCCGCTTCAACCCAGTGAGCTCGCCTGTCTGCCTCTCTGCACTGGAGGATTGCACCACATGGCAACCAGATATGGTCAATGCATGGCGATGATCCCGGCTGGCCAGCGTTTGTCTCCAAAGGGGGGGCGGCTCGGGACCAAAGATCTTGGAGTGGAAATAGCACAGGCACAGGCACAGGCACAGGCACAGGCACAAGCAACACCTCCGTCACCTAGTGTGCCTAATAAGCCATCACATCACAACGTCCAGAAGAATTGGAGAACATCGCACGAGGAGCCTCCGGCCGAAGGAGAGCGGAGACCATGCCGATCGATGCGGAGAAGCTTTCTGCTTTTGTCCTCTTGCTGGTTCCATCACACCCATTGTCAAGCCCGTCTCAATTCTTTGGGGAGGGGTTTCCCACTAGGGTTCGTTCGATGTAGCTAGGAAGCACTTGCAACAACTCAATCCCCAGATGCGGAAACCGTTAACTACGGGTTGAGTCAAATTCGCATTCTCGATTCTCTCGTGGATCCCTTTGCGACGACACTGAGAGCGGCAACACATGCTGACTGCCGCTCGAATCAGAGCACTCTTTGAGCTTTGAACCAGATCATGGACGACTGACATCAGCCACTGCTGAGTCGAACCAACGCAAGTCACCCGTGGTGACTTCTGTCCGCCTCCCGAAGTTCGACACTGACACCCTAGCTTAAGCCCGCGGGGCTTTTGCCGGATTGCTTGTAGATCCGCCTCAGCATCATATTCCATCTGTGAAGCAAAGCCACAACTGTCTTGCCCCCGCCCCCCACTCCTTCTGCTTGATATCCAGCATCGCACAAGAGTCCTGTCGCCGTCTCAACTCTGTCACCAGTGTCAAGCAATCACTTTTGCCTTCCGATAGATTGGCTGTCTCGAACGAAGTATGCTGTCCACGCTGAAAGGTTCTTCTCGTACCACGACTACCTCCATAGGCCCAGGCTTGACTGACATGTTGGTCTATTGTTCGACATGGGCATCCCCCACAAAAGAGATGGGCACTCTGAACGGGCCTCGCCCAAAGTCGCAAATACAGCGAGCAACTAGCGGGACCTCAGTCACGGGTGACGTCTCCGGCACTTTCTCGAGACCTTCGTCGAGCAAGTCTTGACGGCCTAGGAGCCAACATTGGCAAGCCTCATTGCAGCCTGCCCCGCATCTGTACACATGACGTCCAAAGCTCTACCTTGTCCCCTCATGCACTCCAGAGCCGAATAGCGGCCGAGAGTGCCAGGTCAACGACACAGGCCGGGCACAACGGCAGCCAAAAGGCCCTGACTGGGGTTCATTGCTCCCCTATGGGCCTGCTGCTTGTGCCGCGTCGCTCCAGGCCGAGACCGATGGTGGGCATGCAGCCGCAATGCCCAATAGCCACTTCACCTTGCGAGACAGTTTCTGGCACTACTGCACCTAGGCAAAAAGAATAACGGTCATATTCTCCAAATTGGGGGCCGACGTCCATGCCTCCCAACTCTCAACACGAATGCATGTCAAACCGAGCACAGCACCACGGTAGAGATTCGGTGCTACACACGTGGCTGCGGTGTCTCCCTCGACGCATGCATCAGTAATAATAGGATTGGCCATCCGGATGCTCAAGCTGCCGCTCCTTTAATGTAGGTTGCCAATGTGGTAGAAAGAAAGCACTGTTCGAGAAGAGGCCCTCCACCATTATCAGACATCGACTAAGATCTGTTGCCGAGATAAGCTTTGACTCTGCATCCAATTCCCGTCTTCTGAACCCCAACCCACAACGTGGTGGAATCGATCGTCGATGGAGAAAGTATGTTGCCAAGCAGAGATGCCATTTTCTCTCCCAACTTTGCGCTGTTCACGCAAGTCCGCGCTCTTGGCGCGCGAATATTGGAGCGTTCCAAACAGCTCGGAGGTGAGGAGCAACACGACCGCCTGAAATTTAAGCGTCGGATGTTCTTTACCTTATTCGGATCGCCTTCGGCCCTTTCCCCATCACCAATCTCTATGCCATTGTTGCATCCGAGTCTTGACCTCTACGCGTGGGCCCAAGACGTCACACAAGAGCCCTATAACAGCCTGAGAGCAAGAAGCAAAACGCAGTTCTCTCGAACCGCCGGTTCCGGCTCCGGGTTCCAGCCATCCAATCTCAGAATGGCAAACCCGCATCTAATTTCTCAACCTACTGGGTCCTCGTCAACGTTGCTCGGCACCCGCCTGGAAAGGCCCCGAGGCTCTGACAGCATGGTAAGGCCCGTCGTAATGTGACGAAAAAGAAGAAAGGAAGATGAGAATACTTGTGTCGCCAAGCAATAGCGGCCGTCCTACACCCACAACTGCCGCCACCCGGACTGAAGGAATAGCCACTCATGAACCAATACTACAGCTCCCCTGTATGTATCACAGGAAAGCCTTTGCGATATCGTTTCAGTCAATGTCACCTACCGCTCTTAGCAGCTTGTTCAATAATCCATTCCCTGGGTCGTCCTGTCGATCCTCGCACCGGCTCACCTACCGAGTATCTATATGACTGTCAGCTATCAGTCAGGCATGGTTCTACAGCAGACATGGAAGTTTTCGGCTGCGAAGGCAGCCAGGCCGCCTGGAACGTCCAAGATAGCCCTACAAAGGTTGCGGCATGTTTTGTAGGAGAACCTGGGCAGCGCAACAACGTTACGCCGCACCAGAGTCGACAAGAATTGTCACTTAATCTACATCATACAGGCACTAGATCCGAAGGGGTGTCTTTTCATGCCCCTTTGCAGGCACACGTTAGGATCCTGGGCTCAAGCTGTCTCCTTAGAGCTCTCCCACACCTGCCGGTAGCATCGAGAAAGACGGCCTGACCAGCAATTTACGATGCGGAATTGACAGGCATGGTTCACCTGCCTGCCATGGCGTTGTCTTCATTTATGAAGCCGGGCTTTCCGTGTTCACGGAAAGTAGCTATGCAGGAGTCGGGGCAGTACCCACGCCGTCATTGTCCAGACTGCGGGAGGATGGATGGTATCGGACCTGGTCAAGGAATGATCAAACTCTGCTCAGAGCTCACCGTCGGTTCGCGAGCTCTGGCAGCAACATCAAGAATTCTGTTCTTTCAGAAAGTCAACAAATCACGATTTACCAGTTTCGAACTGCTCACCGATGACTTCGCCCTCCATCCACTCCAAAGTTCCCTTGCATGGTTTTGTTTAAGCTTATGGGCGGCTAGGCGCGCGCCCGTCCCGCAAGGTCTTCTGACCCGGTCAGACTCGTCACCTCCATCCTAACGGTGTCTTCCAGCCGTACCAATCACCATCGCGGGCCACGCAGAAATTGGAGAAATTGGGGAATGAAGCCTGACCACCTTCTTCTGACTCGAGATTTCCGTCCGAAGCTGGGGTCAAAGGACACCATCGATTCGTGACTCCGCTCAATATCCCCTCCTCTCCTTCTCTCCCCACACTCCTCCACACATCCACTACTTCTGCAGGTCTTGAACCCTGATTTCGTACAGACTACAGAGTAACTTCCTCTTACGACGTGTGCTCTGCAACACCTGACCATTAAGAAATGCCGGCCCGGCACGCCACTGGGCCATGGCATTGAAAACGTTCAGAGAGCTACTGAGGGGAGGCGGGGCGACGTCGTCTTGACCCGATATAGGCAGAAACGGGGGCTAACGTCCCGTGCAACGACGACGCCTCGCGATCACATACAGCGAACAGCGAGCCATCGACAACAGCCATGTCAGCCACCCCATCAACATTTACTATCATTTCTTTCCGGGGAGTGTCAGGCCAGCAAGTGCGTCAAACCTGGCCAGAATTCACAGCCGGGGGTAGTTTGTCAACAGCTGGTCCGCCGACGCCCCTCTTACCCAGTGTACTCGCAAGTTCGTCGCTATGCTTCCCTGCGGGCGTTTGTGGGGGAGATTAACAAGGGGTAATCGAGCCGCACTCCATCACGGTACGGGTATAGACGCGTCGATACCAGATCTGGCCCTGTTGGAAGTCACTAGCTACCATGCAACGGGATGGCATGGCCAGCAGTCAGCCCGACATGTACATGGGCGTTGTGTCGTGTCAGTCCACGGAGACACACCGACGCCTGTTACACGCCAGAGCTTGGTTCCGGGTTGCTTTTCTCTCTGATGTCGTAACTAGCCAAAACATTCTGATTACAAGGTGCAAGTTTCCGTCAAGGGGCGAGGGAGAGCCATTGCCAAACCACCTCCAAGACTTTGTGAACGAAGAGGTCTCACCCCTGTTCATTCCTTTTCGATAAGCCCGCCTGCCTTTTCGTTCCCAGCGTATCCGGGCTACTGAGTACTCTAATCTTTTCGGCCGCAGCGAGGTAGCTGTGTAATATCGAGTTATCAAAATTCTGGCACTCCACTGTGATGTATTCGTCCCCGGAGCATGCGGCTAGTCGCCTGTCTGCCCTTCATCGAACACCACCCTCTCTCAAGGTCTGCCCCGTCATCTCGCCCGAACGAGCCCATCGCGGTGATATCCGGATTCTATTCGTCGATCCAGTGCCTGTCTACCTACCCGTTAAACGTAATCCCGATCGGTTCGACTGGGACGCCACACCAGCGCAGGGGACGGGACGGTCTTCTTTTCCCGCCCTTGCATAACGAGGTTTTTCTTTCGTTCGTTGGGGAGGAGGAAGGTATGCTTCTGTGGACGTCAACACCGCCGCCACCACCACCACCACCATTAGAGCTCTGGTGAGGGGGAGAGGGGCAAGGGGGTTGAGTAACATGGACCACGGGCGGCCCGCGTTTGTGCTGCGGCCTTCTTCACCTGAGTTGACCTTTCCGCTGGTTACCGGGGCGGGTGGGTGTGAATAGTCCACCCTCGCCGAAACCGAGCGAGTATAGCGAGCGGAATGCGCAGGGCCGCTCTGCCTGTGCCTCTGCGTAGAACGAGAGTGACTGGCAGAGGCTAGCCGGTATCCATCACCAACTCTCATGCTGTGCCTCTGGCCTCCGCTGTGGTTTGTTAAGCAAGTTCATCAGGGCGGTATCTGAGCCATGGTACCTCGGAGTGACGTTGCCTGAAGACATTGAAGGAGTAAAATGGCACAGCCTCTGATTATTTGACTCGCCTCGTACTCAACAATAAGCCGCATCATGCATGCGGAAAAGCCAACGAGCCGAGGCCTCTTCCCTTCAGACTTGACCTTGCTTCATACAAACGCCCCCTTCGGGTCCCTTCGGGTGACGGACGTCAACAGCGCCGAGATCATTCTCTCTCGCACACACTATCCAAATCTGCCAGGCCAAGTGCTGAACATTGACTCAACGAAAACGCGTCATCCAAGGTAGAACTGAATACGGATATGTCAGATTTCATATAATGCAACATCCTGGCTAAGGGAAGGGGGGAGGGGGGGTGCGAATGATGATCTCTGTGTATTGTGTATTGTCAATGGAGACCCTGATAGATAGACCCTGACGATCTTGTTTTACGCCACCCAAGTTGTTTGCCGCTTTCCGTCTATAGCCGCAAATCCGTCCACATACCTAAGCAGAGCAGTGGCAAAGACTTTGAGACGTGGGAGGTTGGGATAAGAGGAAGCTCAAACGCAGGTTCGCCATGCGGAAGGCCTCGATGTTCGAGATTTCACATCACAAGGTTACGAAGGATACGATCCGCCCTTTTCCATAACGAATTGCATTAGTCCATCTCTAGAAAAAGGGACGCTCTTCTCTAGAGAACCGTCAATGGTCGTCGTCTACATGACACCGTCAAGAGACCCCCGCGACTTTTGCCACGAGATATCCCATAGCTTAAAATCTAATGAAATAATGAAGAGAAGACACCTTCGAAATTGGTAAGACTACCTCGAGTTGAGGGTATATCCTGAACCGCGAGCTACATGGAACTAGATCTTGTAAATACTTCCCCTACATGTCACCTCTCCTCTGACTAGCGACTTTCGCTTCCAAATAAACGCCGCACATGCATTGGGTCGTCTTCTTTCCCGGCGAGGCGCTTGCTGAATCAGATGCTTCTCATTGTCATTTCCGTGTCCATCCCCCCGTTCTGCGCAGCTGCCTCTACGACCTAGCACCGGAAAAGACATGGTAGGCATTAAGCTCCGGTTTCCAGGCTCCGAGTGGACATGGAAATGCACCTTCGAGCCTGGCTCGGTCGCCCCTCCGTTGTCTGCACTGGGCGTGGCAGCCGATGGCTCGTCTTGGCCATCATGGAGAGCTCCACAGGCCTCGGCATGGTCTAGCTACCTTGGGTCTGGAGCTCGGGGGTGGGTTCGCAAGGCTTCTTGTGGCCCGGCAAAGGCCGCAACTCATATAGAACCGCAAGCTTTGCCACAAAGAAACCGTTGCAACGGAGCTCGTGGTCTGGACCGGCGCAACTATTCTTGTCTGGCAGAGAAGGGTAGATATGAGGCCGGCTCCTTCAATATGTGTGAGACAGGCGAAGCTCAAATGCTTATCCTCTCTACACATTTCAGAACATGCCTCTACCGCTTGCCAATCTGACAAAGCTATAGGGCACGTTCTGACCGACCAGTAGCCTCAGAGTCTCAACAGTGGTGAAAGCGGCCGTGTCAGCTACACCATACGCCGAGAATCCTGCCTGTTGAGCGATCAGACCCGGATCACCACCCTTTCTCGCACCAGCAGTGTCGGCGAGATCGAGGAAGACTTTCTTGAAGTTTGAGTTTCCACGGACGTTGGCGCCAAAGACACGCACCAGCATACCGACGAGGTTGCTCTTGTCTGGCCCGAGAGCCGAAACGAATAAGAAAGGAGCTGCATCGTCGCTCACTGTTTGAGCTTTCTTGAGGCTCTCAAGACTGTTGAACGGCTCAATGACGGGTCCATCACGAGCCAGAGCTGGTGGTGTTCGAAAGCCAACGGTATATATCTTTGCCATACGGAGAGCTTTCAGAGCGTACATTACTGATGCGGCATCCTCTCCAGACGAGGCCAGTACAACCGCGGTCCGACCGAAGTAAGCAGAAGGTGCCATGTCTCTGGTCAGCGTGCTGATAATGCCACGCCAACTGGCATTGTCCAAGATCAATGATGTGTTCGGCGACAGACCAGAGATGTGTGACCCGAGGTGACCGAAAGAGTCATGATGGCCATGACGAGGACTCGAAGGAATTGATGCTGGGGCAGAAGAAGCCGAAGACGACGAACCCGACTTGACTATGATCGTGTCTACAGTACCGATGAGTCGAGCTGCCTCTGTCAACTCCGCGCCCTTGCCGCCGTTGAGCGAAGCAAAGAACGGGCTGGCCTTGAGCAGGTTGTTCCACGACACTGGCGGGCTGAGGTGAGCGCCGCCAAAGTTCTTTTGATTACACCAAGCCTCGATGCTTGAAAAGTTGTTTGGCAAGCGCTCTACAACGGCGAAGTAATGCGGCAGGCCCAGCTCATTGAAGCACTTTTCATAAAATGGGGCTTGCGGAGTTGAACTTCGGAAAGCCGGTGTTGTGATGCCATATATGCTCTTCTTGGGAAGTTGCCCGAGCAGTGCCAAAGCAGCGTTGATTTCCGACGCGCTCATTTGACCTGGAGCTGCGACTATCGGTAGCAAGGGGTGCGTGATGGGGGTGAACACCTTGTTCAGGGTACGTGAGAACTGGCCGGTTTCTCCCATGTTGACTCCGGAGAATGGCGGGGAATCTGGATAGTCTGCTCGCATTTTCGAGCGGAAGTACTCCAACTCGAAATTTTCGTTGTGGTCGTTGATGATGGCAATCATTTTGATAATATCGGCGTATTTGCTTGATTCAACGTACACCTGCTCAGCGTGGGACGAGGGCCATTTGAAAGTACCAGAGAAGTCGTGAAACGCAGACATGATCCGACTGCTTCCCTTCTGTTCCCAAAGCCTCTTTCTAATGGCCTCCGGAAGCCAGAGTTCCACGTCGATGTATTCAACTCCCCATTGAATTGCTCGGTAAAGGTATTCATAGTAAATATCGGGGTTCTCCATAGGAAAACGACCATTTTCTCTTGTACACCTAGTGGTGAATATTATGGGGAGTTCCGTCCTCTGACGCAGGAGCATCAGCTGCTGTCCGACATAGCTGAGGCTAGGGATGGCTGAATATGTGCCGTCCCCGAGAGGCTCCTTGAGAAGATCAACGCGGATTTCCACCGCGTCGGCGCCGACGGTGAGAATGTCGATGTTTGGCAACGCAGCACTGACGTCTGGGAACGTGGTAGAGATAAAATACGTTCGTGGTTTCGACATCAACGTTTCGTGGTGGCTGATCTGGCCTAGAGTAAAGGAGATGAATCTCGACAAGTCTCGACGAAAGAATGGTGCTTCGGTGTAGAGAAATTCGTAGTCGCACTGAGCCGAGAGAAAGACATCCGGTGGCATCCCAAGGTTGACACAGTGGGCGTTGATTGCCACAACCAGCTCCCGATTGCGGGAGTCAATGTCCTTCCCAGCAAGCTCTGCCGGAATGCCAACCACAAGCCCTTGGTCAGCAACGCTGACCTCCTGGAAAGCAGAACGGATGGCAAATGGCTTCCCCAGAACATCTGCGAAGACGGACACAATCTTGTCCTGACCAGTGCCGTACATGATGACGACGATCCTCGTGTCTCCTCTTTGAGGAGCACTCCCGAACCTCGTGCCAGTGGTGACAACAGGGCTGGCGTTGCGATCGACGTCCATCTCGACGTCTTGATTTCCCGAACCAACCATACTCCGAGGGCGCGCCGGTGTTGGACCGACCCCGAGCTGGTGTACCGATGCCATGGTAGCGTCTGAAGAGCCGTTGATTCCGAGATGCGAGAACCGAGCAGTCACGCCCGGGACGGTGAACTGAGGTGGAGGATACGAAATGAAGCCACGATAGACCGCTCCCTCCCCTTCTCCTCCTTCAGAACTACTGGGGCGACCGTAGGGAAGTATGGTGGCGGTGGTTCGTGATGTTGGATATGTCAGACCGAAATCCCATGACAAGACGAACTGATGATCCAAAGGGGTTATGACAGTTCAAGGGACGAATGGAAGCAGATTCGAGGGGCTACAGCGGGGATGGAAAGCTTGCTCTGATGGAGAAGACGTAGCAGGACCGAGGTGCGTCAGGTGACCTGATGGTGTTAGAGAGATATGCGGCCGGGAAGAGCAGGCCGGTGGGGGTCGTCGTGAGGCTGGTGCATACGACGTGCCCTTGAGATCGAGGGCGTGATATGCGCTGCTCAGGCTTGTGATTGAAAGGCGTAAGAGACGCCAACTTCCCGTGCGAACACAACAAGACGACGGCGACGACAAGAGCCCTATGAACCGGTTTGCTGGGGTCAAGTGGTTTCTTCCACCAATTCGCGGGTTGCTTTAGGTGTTTCCTATGCAGGATTGGAAGCCCGGGATTCCAAGGGTGGGTTGGTTCGTCTACTTGAAGCGCAGGCGGGCTTGGGATGCGTGCCAACCGCAGGCGGCAGGAATCTCGATTGAAGCTCTGGTGATGGTATTGCAGGGCCAGTCGCATGTGGCGCGCGAGTCGGACCGTGGGGGAGTTTTGTGTCCACGCAGTCAAGCACAAGGGAGGAGCTCAACTCTGATGGGCGGCGTAGAAGCTGTCCTATCCAGGTAAGATGGCGTTTTTTAGATGTTGTTGCAATATGAGAAGTCGGGAACTTGAGACGAACCGGCCGATGGCATGGGCAGGATAGGGCCGCAAGATGATCAGTAGTGTGGCTTGGGGAAGGGATTATTTCGCCGACAGGGAAGCGCCGAGGCGACGGCGCGGTAGCTTTCGGAGCAGCACAACGTTGTGAAGACGAGGTGCGAATGGACAAGGTTCTCCTTCATCCGTATGAGTTTCTTACGGTATGGTATGGAAGTTTGGGCTAGACCAAGAAGTTGGAGATCCCTGACCAGACCGGGACAGTTGGTAGGAGCGACAATGCTGGGATGATGGGTCTAGAGTGTGAATAGACTCGATGTTGACTTTGGACGGCAAAGCCGGCGAAGTCGAATCGCAATGGACAATCCGCTGCTTGTCGTTGGTGGAGGAGACGGAAAGATTGATGGAACTTGGGGAAGACGAATTGTTCCACCACAGACACTGCGTTCCACCGAGAGTACCTTGACAAGAAGCAGGAGGGGGCAGAGGGGCAAGCCGGAGAGCTTGGCATGGGGCAGACGGACTGGGACTGGGACTAGGAATCTACCATGGGACTAGGAGCTGGGGCCGGGGCTGGGAGGAGAAGCTCAACGTCGGATGGTAGTGGTGGTGGAGGTGGAGGTGGTGGAGGTGGTGTTGCTGCTGCTGCTGCCGTTTCTTAGATGCTCCACGTCGCTGGAGACTTTGCCGGGGGTGTTGGTCCCAAGGAAGACGTTTGCTCTTTGCTGACTGGATACTCGGGGCCGCAGGAAAGAAAGCTTGGGGCCTGGGTAGTCGACGAACGAAAGACGCAAGTCTTGGTCGTGCCGATGTTCCTGACTTGAGGCGAGGCGAGGCAGGCTAAGGTACACTCCCTGCCTGGGTCAAGATAGAATAATGAGACCAAGCAGGACTGGTGCTGGTCTCTATGAAAAGGGAATGGGATTGGAATTCAGTTGCAGGCCGGCCAGAACACCGTCCAACGATGATCCTTTTCCGAGACAAGTAAGGCTCGATATGTCTTTCTGTATCTGGCAATCTAGGGATGGATTCCTTCCTCTCTGTTGATGGGGTTGTTGCTGAGGGTGTGGACAAGAGGGAGCCGCCTCAACTAGCAAGTCTTGGTGAAGGAAGCTACGTTGCTTTTCAGAGCTGCAGCGAGGTACCCGAAGGGCGTCTACAACGAAGAGACATTTGGGACAAGCACGCGAGGTGAAGAGGGAAGTTGGAGATGTGCGGGACCCGAGCACTCCTGGGGACCTGTATTGGCGACTCGTGCATGCTAAAATGGTGGGGTAAATGGGGAAAGCATGGGGGAGTGCCATCCCCTGTAGGCTCCTTCAGTCCTCCTTGAGACCATGGCAGTTGAGGTAACTGCTGGTTGAATACCCCCTGAGGAGTAACTTGGCTGGGAAGAGTTTGGGAGGGTTTGGGAGAGTTTGGAAGGGAGGGGGAGCTCCCCCGAGCAGTCTGGTCGCCTCAAAGATTTGCCGCATTTTCCCTATTTCCGGGATTTGGACGTCAAAGATTCTCCGCCAATCACACGATGCTCCGTCCACGCCATTCGGGACGACTTGGCACCGTTAGTGTGCCGCTGGGAGGGAAACTCCTGTGCATGGTTCAAGGATTCCACACACACACACACACACACGCCTCTCTCATATCCCCCTTGAGTTACGAATACAACTTGTGTCTCTCCAGGAGCATCACCTCATCTTGACTCTCATAGCCCAACAGCACATGCACATCGTCAGTCTACCCGTCGATAATCACGCTGAGCCAGCCGTCTTGGCTCCCCAGCCACGGCCTCCGGCGCTACTTGGGTCTCAACTCTATCTGCGGCCAGACTATACCAGTCTCTTCTAAGTATCGGTCTTATTTACGACAAACTTACATACTGCTCGATGTGTGGTTGCAGCCGAGCAGAATAGAGATCTTCCACAGCCCGTTTCGCTGGCCGCTGTGCCGCTCGAATGCCAATGTCGCCATGGTCTCTTCGCCTGAAAGCGACAGAGTTCCTCTGTACCGACTTGCATGGACTTACACCTTGGACACCTCGGCCAAATCTGCCAAATCTTGTCTTGTTTGATAGCTAGTGGTCTATCTACAACCGCTTTTACATAATTCCGTCCTAGATACTCTCCACCTGATGGATCACCTCATGAAACAACTGCTGGTCCAGTGGTCCCTGAGGACAAGTCACGCAGCGTTCGCTGATGGGCCAACCCCTCCTCGGTCCTGTTCCGGCCTCTGTTGCCTTCGAACGAACGGTACGAGTATGTGCCTCTGGCCGCCTGGCGGAGATCGCTTCCCCTGGGGAAGCAAATTGTGGAAACAAAATCGGCAATTATTTGATTGGGCCCCGCCGCCATCAGTACGATAACCTCGGGATCGTCAGCCGTTAACCACACCTCCTTCCAGCACCGCCGTGCAGATGGGCGTCTTCTGGAAGCTCGCCAGCCTGCTGCAGATGGCTAAAGACGGACGAGAGTCCTTCATCCCCTTGGCGTAGACCAAAACAGATCAGTCCAAGAGCCATCTAATAAGAACGGTTCAGCTGCCGGAAGACACAGCCGCTCCGGGGCGCAAGACCGGTCCCCGCATCATGAACCACCCTTCTCCGTCAACCGCGTCTTCGGCCCTACAACCACTGCAACCGGCATAGCCGCTGCTGCAGATGCCAATGTGCGCTCGGAGAAAAAAACCCCTAGCACATGCTTATCTGTTCGTCCAACAATCACACGTTGGCCAGTTCGGCAAAGGTATCGACTCCGAGAGGTCCATGGCAGCCAAAAGGTGGAACCTGGCGTGCTTCCTGTGCTCGCCTGATTTGCTTCGCACTCATTCGCAAAGTTTCCTCCATATTGGCTTCATTCCTTTGAAACTCGAAAATCACATCATCCAGGTGGGTTAATGACATCGTGTCTGGATGACAATTCGTGGATATGATCAAATCGACCTCCGGCTCCCGCTAGTGTGGAACCACGAGCCCAGTCATCGCCTTTTTCCAAGCATCCCCAACACGAAGCCAAGGTCTTGAGGCCCAGTCCCAGTTCTCGAGAGTTTCAACTCTACATCATCATCGACCCTTTGCTCCAAGAAACAAATTCCCCTGGCAATCAATCGGAAACACGTCGTGATCCAACTTAGTCAACGGCTCATTGTTGCAGAATCATCTCTTACCGAGTTCACAATCCTCAACGAGCTTCGTTGGTGGAGAAACACAGACACGGTGCCAAAGTGGAGCATTCTCTTTGAGATATGTAGGCCAAGACTTCCCAGAACAACAGGACATAAAAAGCGAAGCACATCAGTTCATCCGGATGTTTTCGATTTCTATGACAGACACCTGCCGACGCCACGGATAAACCGGCCCGGATATGCGGGTTTCATAACTTTTGAAACGCAACACGGAGCTCCAGCATCGAAATGTCATGAACGCGCATGCGAGAAAGTTACTCCAACACCACATTGAGAACAAAATATGCCAGACTGCAGGATAACACGGATGCAGGACGGTGTGAAGATACCTCGAAGGGGGAGACTTTCGCATCATGGAGACAAAATACACGACAACGATACAAGATTAACCCATCCGGCATGACGAGTACCGAGCACTCACTGCTTGGTCTAGACTCGGGCCATGTCTGATTTAAAATGGATAGATCGACAAAAACCCCCCTTTCTCACTACCAGCGTTGGTCGGAAGAGTAGGGCGTTTTATCTTCCGACTTACACATGTACATGCTCGACCAATCGCACGACCTCAGCAATAGTTCCCTCAATTCTTCGCGCAACAGGATGTCTATAGGGGCGTCATATATCCCGGCCTCCCGTTCGCGGTGATTGGGTATTTGGGATCCTTCCTTTCCATCAGCAGAGAATCTACCGCGGAGCGCTTCCCTTGTTTTAGATGTGCACCGCCTTGATCCCCAATGTCGTCGAAGACAGGCCGACCTCAACAAATTACTCAGCCATAGCGCCGTCGTGGAAACATTGAAATCATGGTCCGTATCTGAGACTGAGCCCTCGAGCCAGCGCATATGGCCAAATGGGCCGAGTGCAAATATTACCACGCCGTCTCTGATGTCTCCACTCAAGCATTTCCGAGGCCCTGCGATAGGGCGTCTGAAGTCGCACGGGGATCATACTTCTGAGATACCGATGCAGGGCAAAGGGTCAACAGTGGTTCAACGCCCTTCATGAAATTATTGAATTTCGTCTGAGAGTGACATGTGTGGGCTCCATCATTGTTCGCCGGAATATATTCTTTTTTCATTTCTGTCTTTTAGCAGCAGAACACCATGCTCCATCGATTGGACAGAGAAGCTTCTACTGCCTTGAGCCAAGCAGGCCACAACGCCATGAGCCAATTTCGTGCTTTATATGGCTTACGCCTCTGACGCGTGAACTTTGGAAGACCGTTTTGATATCCGGCTTGTGCCATGCATAGCTGTCGTACCACTCGTCTAAACAGATCGCAGTCAAGTCATGCTTTGATATGGGTGTAATTAAAGGTAACGTGGACGCAGGGAGCGGTATTCGCCCGTATGTGGTGAGTGAAAGCAATCAAAGTACGCAGCGTATTTTCTGCAATCATCTTGCCTATGCTATATTTCAGACTAATATACAAGCCTATTCCGTCTTGAAGAACGCTATTAACTTTGATGAAAACCGTTATATCGAAATGGCAGAGCCTATGATGCAACCTTCAATGCAAAAACATTCCTGACCATACCCCATGCGATATACGAAATGCGAATGCTCTAGTCGAGCCCCAAAACCGTGGACCACATTTGTCATCACGCCTCCCCGACGCCCTCGTTCTCCATCACCGTGGCCCTCGCCTCCGTCTCATCATCGACCTCCTTCCCGCCAACGGGGCTCCTCCACCCCGTACTCGCCTGACACAAGATCGCAACGACCGCCAACGCCGCCGCAGCCTGCCACGTCCCCCTCGACGCACCGGCGTAGTGCTCCACCGCGATCTCATGCTCGGCAGGACTCAGCCCGCCGTTAAACACCAGAGCGGGACTCCCGATGAGCTTCGTGATGAGCTCATCCCTCCCTTCAGCCAGCCGCCCACCATCGAGCTCCGTGAAGCTAGCGATGAGACCCGAGCGCAAGAGACGGTAAAACACGCCGCCGCCGATGGCCGTGCCGAAACTGCCACCAAAGCCGCGGAAGGTGCCCAGGAGCGACGTCGCGATGAAGTGCTCGTCCGGGTGGCTGAGGTGGAGGAGATGCGCAAGGGTGTAGTTCAACGTGGCGCCCGTCGCCAGGCCGTTGAGCACGACGGCCAGCACAAAAATCCAGAACGGCGAGCCTTCGGTGGCCACGAGCGAGAGCCCGAACATAGCGGCCGCGAAGCACGTCAGGCTGATAACGGAGGGCGACCAGAAGGCGCCGTTGCGGCGGACGTGCAGCCAGCCGACGATCAGGCCACCCGAGCCGAAGCCGATGTTGGTGGGGATGAGGATGGAGCCCGCGATGGCGGGCGCGTAGCCGCGGACGGCGAGGACGAAGATGGGGGTATAGTACAGCAGCGTCCAACGGATGGACATGAAGAGCAGCTGTGCAGTGCAGGAGAGCAGGACGCCCCTGGAGGAGAGGACCGAGATTGGGATAAGGGGTTCCCTGACGAGCTTGAATTCAGTGACGATAAAGACCAGAAGGGAAACGGCCGAGAGGAGTAGGGATAGGTGGTTTATGTCGCCCGAAAGGCCGTAGAGGAAGAGGACAATGGTAAGAACCTGCGCGGTGTTAACTGGTGATACTGTTCTTGAGAGACGATTGAATCGGGATGGGACGACACGAACCAGCATGAAAGCACCTGCATAGTCAATATGAGCCAGCTTCTGGAGGACCGACTTGCCTCTGGTCTTGTGATCTGAGCTGAAGGATTTTGGGATGCTCAAGAAAGCACCTATGCCAGCAAGAAGTCCGAGGGGTGTTTGAAGACCAAAAAGAGCTCTCTGCATAAGTCATGTTAGCTCTCAGCTTTCCCCTTCATCAAGATATCACAAAAATTTACGAACCCATCCAATAACAGGCAACAATGCGCCAAACACAACAGCGCCAAAGGACAACCCGATCGTGAAGCCCGCGTTTACCAACCCGACGAATACACCCCGTCTCTTCTTCCCCACCAGCTCGAGCACCAGAATGACGGACAGCGTCATGATCCCCGCGCCTCCCATACCCGTCAGGATCCTGCCGCCGATAAAGACCCAGAACGAGGGCGCCTGCGACGTGACAACGCCGCCGACGGCGAAGAAGCCGCCCAGCCAGAGCACGAGGATCCGGGGCGAGAAGATGGTGGCCAGGCGCCCGAATAGGGGCGCCAGCGAGGCCATGCTGATGAGGTAGGAGCTAGTGAACCACATTGCGTGCGAGTAGGCGTTCAGGTCCTCAGCGACGACAGACTGCGTCATTGTCATGCCGGACGTATTCGATGCTGTGGGGGGAAATTTAATTTTTCAACTTGCCGGTATTCGGGTATCTGAAACGCACCTTGAAGGAAAATGAGAATCCAGGTGCTCAACATCAAGACAGCAGCCCGTGTCGCACTGATGGACTGCTTAGCCCCGTCATCGTCATCGTTATCGTCGTCGTTGTTGTCCGAGCCCCGATCTCGGCGGCTCCCGGCCGGTGACCCGTTGCGGAGGGTCCGAGACGACGTCTCCGAGTTGAGCAGCGTCGTTGTCTCGGTGGCATCAGGGAACGTAGACCCGGCCCTCTCGCTCTCGGCGTCGTCGTCAGAGGCGGCATGTTGCCGGTTGCGGAGATTCGACGGCTCTTCTATCGCCGCCATCTTTGGTCGCCCGGCCGAAATGCCCTAAGTAGTTTTCGGACACGCTGCGTCGGAGCCGGTGTCGCTGCCATTCAGCTCTCCCCCCTCGTAAACCTAATTCACAAGGTTTGCTACTGCTGAGACTTCCCGAATTAAGGTATTGAAAGGAAAGAGACGAAAATGAAAATGCAAAGGAAAACTGGACAGCATCAAAACAGCCTCTCTACTGTCTCTGTAGTGGATTTTTGCCCTAGCCTTACCTTGGCGTCACATGAGCAACTGAGCGCATGTGAGAGATACTAGAGAGTTGAGTAACGTACGAAGACAGGGTAGTCTGTCATCTGTCGAGTTTGTTTAGGTTGGTTCGCCTATCTGGCAGCTTGGTAATCCAGCTCCGAGCTTCCTCCCCCACCTTTTCCCTATTGCCTGATTCAGTTGCTCGCACAAATAAAACGTCACTTGGTCGATTCGCCGAGCAGAGTGACAGGGTCCCACCGGGGTTGCAGCCAACGTAGCCCCGCTTTTGCCGGCTAACAGCTCGCCATCGCTCCCGTCCTCTCCAACCTCCTCTCTTCGCCAATAATACCAGCCTCGCCAGAATTGACGTACGCTCAAATGTTCGGTGTCTAGCCCCAATTTTTGGAGTGATGAGAAAGTTGTCCATCGGGTAGATAGGAACACTTGCGAGGCCACTTCACTTAGCGGGCATACTTGTAAGCCGTGTTCCGATCCCGTTTCGATGCCGTCTCCGTCTCTGGATGTCAGCTGCGTTCGGATAGGCCCTCCTCCGGTCTATGCGTCCGATGTTTCTCTCCATCGGGCTATATTACGGAAAGCAGACAATCCTGACGTAGTCAACCTCAGGTATATACATGGTCGGTTTTCCATCTCTCGGTGTGTGGAATTTGAACAGAGGGGAAATCATGAACGGCTGTTCCATGATACGTGCGGCTAAGATTGTACTGGAGAGAATAGCATTGGTGAGAAGCCTTGCATCTCAAGCTGGTGCTGTATATTTTAAAGAGCAACTACGTAAATCTTGATCAGAATCTTCTCAGCAATCTAGCAGCAGAGAGTTTGGGGGCGGGGGGAGGTAAAAACACACGGTAGCAACACGCTGAGCAAGTGGGAAGGAGGTAAACAGCGTCAGCACGTGACCCTCCCAGTCACCGTTTTCCTTCGCCTTTATATCAGAGCTCGATAAGGCCATACATTGGCCTATTTTGAGATTTGGCAAAAATTAGACAATGGAAATGTGAAATGAGATGATTGGAAATGGGGAGGAGAAAAGGGAAACAACACTGGCCAGATCGAGAGTTAAATGCACCCTCCCTGAAGAGTACCGGAGCTTCACGGACTGGTCAGAACGTCAACACCCCTCGACCACCAGGCCTATCACTTGTTGTTAGAAGTTGAGGAAGCAACGCGGCCCAGACATCCTTCCGAGTATCTCATTTGCGTGGTTCCTCTATCGATGACATTGGTCTATCCGTCAGAGTAGTGTCTTTTGGGTATTCGTCCGGCCGGATGAATCACTACTTGGTACCTACATTATAGTAGGCGTATCGTGATCTCAGGTTAGTGATGTATGGCAGTCACTACTTCCTAGTAACGCTAGCCTGCGAGGAGCATGGAGGGCTTCTATTCTGAAGCCACCTGATCCCATATCGATATCTAATGATTTTTATTTCATTCTTGATTCATTCGCTTCTCTATGATATGAAGCATAGTGGCGTAGATGACTTGGACTACTTATGATTGTACACGAAGGCACTCGTGCTGGCGACCTTCCTCATGATGACAGTCAGGTAAATGAGCTCAGATGAACTCATTCGCAGGGTCTGGTACCACAATATTTCTTTTGTTTTATCGAGTTTTACGCTACAGCCACTTTAGACTTACCACCAGTTGATGAAAGATATCGCATTGGAAGAATGCCAGCATCAAGTGATAGGTACCGCACTTCAACATATTTCGAAAGCTGCATTCAATTTCATGGTCCGTACCAAGCTTGAAACAGCCGGGTAGGTATTCAAGGAGTGCTGTCTGAGCTTTGATAGTAAGCTCATCCCTCGGAAAGGATATTGTGACTTGAAGGACGAAGAAAAACTTCTGTCTGCCAGTAACCAGCCAAACACCTTCCTAAACCTAAACGCCTTGACGAACGTGCTCTCGCTCCTTTCAACAGTGGAAACGGTGTTTCGACTTTAGAACAACCTCATTGGGTATCCCGTGGGCATCATGTCGAAAGGAGCCGGCATATACCACGATAAGCCGGCGGCAACGTGGTAAGCCATGCTGTTCATAGAGCTGCCGCTCTCGTTTCCAGAGGTATCGCTCTGTCCTTTGCGGGTCCCGGGTGACTGCTTCTTGTTTCTCGAAGCCTCCTCCCCCTCCGAAAGTCTGCCCCCCTCCGAAAGTCTGCCCCCCGAACTGTGAGGACTGCGATTCGGTCGCGAGCGGCGCCGGAGTCTGAAGCAAGCCTTCAAAGACCGCTTCCGCGGGAGACACTCTGTCAAAGATGGGGAGACATGCTCATCGTGTTCGAGGAGTGGTTTGACCTCCAACTCCGACACCTCCATCGTGGCCGCCTTCTCCTCGAGCAGCTTTTCGTCCATGTCGAAGCTCGTCGACCTTCGATCACCACAATCTTTAGGTGTGTGTGTCATCTTTTCGACAGTCAGTACTGGATAGATTGCTTTGGGTAGTATAATGTGGACTTGGATGTTGACCTTTTGCGATTTGAAACGTTGCGAACGCTTCCGAGGCCTGGCAGGCAAGCCATGTGCAGAGGACATTGCGGATCTCGAGTGAGGTAAACCAGAATACCAAGCCGGCCTGCGCTGCCCGTTGTTGATGGGTGTCGAGGGTTGGGGGATTGTGCAGGCGTGCATCTCGATTTTGACTTGCACCAGGACTCGGCAGAGATGAGTAATTTACCAGATATTCGGAAGGGACGCACGCATTCAAGAGTATTATGTAGCCGAAAGGGAAAGAAAAATAAAGTGTGCTCGCAAAGACTACACAATTTGGCTTCGGACCCGGCGGATTTCTTGTTCTAAAGTAGACCAACCAAAAGGTGAAGTACCAACCAACTGGGAAGTTACGCCCATCCAAGCTTCCCGGCATGCTCCCGTAGGCTCCGTAGATTCACGGACGGCCGACGACCACGACTGTTGCGCCGAACCATCGTCATGCTCAGCACTAAAACCCGGAGAGCTACGTGGTGGTGCCCGCCTGAAGCGACTTCCCACCTACACTCGGCGGCGGAAAGTTTAAGAAATCCCCTTGTCCGTTTTTCTCGCTGATTCGTGTTGTGCAAATAAGCTTCCCGCTTGGAGTATGCACCCAATTTGACGAAAGCGACGGCCGCCGGACCGGAGTCCATACTCGGCAGATAGAGTCATGAGCTCTGGGAATAAGCTTCAATAAGGAATGTCTGAATTACGACTGCGAGATAAGCCGGGGGTAACGGGGAGGAAATTGGTCTTGTATATGCTTCTCGTTCAATGCTCGGCTATACTCGGCGTACAAAGGCTAAACCTTGCTGCAAACTTTTTTCCATCCTGAACGCCTACGCCGTCCATTACTTCCCATGGTATATCCCAGAGTGTATGTATTTGTAAAGCACCATCAAAAAAACAGGGAAAAATTATGAGATTTTATGGTAGGTCGTCCACATAGCCTAGCGTGTCCCTATGTTCGTTGCAGACTCTCGCAAACTCTAGCAAAAGTCTCCAGACGTACAGACGCATGTCCTCACGCCTGAGCACCTTCTCCGCCCATTCCTTGCCCTGCTCGGCGATCCACCTCGCCGCGTCGTCGCCTTTGCTCTTCTTCCCCAGCACCTTGTAGACACCCCATCCCTGAGGCTCATCGTCACCATCGGTGAAGAAGTCCAGAACGCCATAGAGATCCTGGAAGGTGTTGTCCAGAGGCACAAAGTGTATCCACGGCGTGAGACGGTCGTCGTGCCATTCGGTGTACACCGTCGCCTTGAGCGGCACGCTTGTCGACAGCATAAAGGCCCTGAAACGGCCGCTGAAGCTGTAGCCGTCCGCGTCGGGCAGAAACTTGCTCGAAAACTGCTCGGCCATGGGCGTGCCGTTGACGACGGACAGGTGCGGCGCAAGCCAGTCGCACTCTTTGCGTCGGTCGTGGCTAGGGCCGCACTGCAGGTGGGTGAACCCCGCATCCGCAAACCCAGACAGAAACTCTCCGAGTCGCTTCTCACGGCGGCGCTTGGTGTTGTAGCGTTCCAGGGGGGGCATGTCAAAGGTCATGGCCCGGACGTCGTTGACCTCCATGCCATGTACGGTGGTCCCGTTGAGCATCTCCACCAGTCGCTGGCGGTGAAAGTGCATCCAGTTATCCGACTGCGTGAGGCCTCCGGAGCCGATCCCGCGCCAGACGAGGCGATTGAGCTTCTCCGGCCAGGCAGGGCCACGGATGTTGCCGCCGGTGTAGTTCGGGTCGTCGGAGAGGTACATGGCACCTGGGATGAGGATGTCCGAGTTGACACGGAGTTTCGAGCCTCCGAAAAGGGGGATCAGGTCCTTCGTAGTGTTGACGCTTAATGGCTCGACAAAGGTCCCGTGGAGTGAGCGGAGATGTGGTTGCACACACGGATCCATGGAGCTCGTGAAGTTCTCAATGTAGCCTTGACGAGCAAAGGGCGCCGTCCACGAGTACGGCAAGGTAGGCGGGAGGGAGAGGTCTGTCGCCGCAGGCACTTCCTTAGCTGGGGATTCCGGAGGGCAGGCCTCTCGAACGAGATCCCAATACTTCCGACGGTCACCGCTGGTCCATTTGGCAGGAGCAGGGTTACCTCGCGCAGCATCTACGCCTGTCAAGCTCTGGAATTCGCTCGTGGCCTTGTTCTTCGTGGGCATTTCATTCCTCTTCTCCCCCTTCGCGATGTATTTCTCCATGTCCTTGTGCGGCACCAAGATTCGAGGCTCTTGCATGTAGTTGATGGGCATGTCCACATCAGGTAGATGTTTCGCAAACTCAGCCACCAGGGTCGTCCATAACTCGAGCCATGGCTCCTTCCCTTCCGTGTTCCCATCACCAGCCGCGGTACCGTTCCGTACTCGCACAACATGGTCGCCCGCGTTGGCTTGCTTTGTGATGGATGTGGGCTTGAGGGCCCAAAACGGCCTGAGATCGTCGTAGATCCGGTCAAAGAAGTCTTCAACAACTATCGCATCCGTGTCCATGGCGCTGCGGAACCATTGCTGAAATCCCGGTGGCGGATGTCTGTTCCGTCGCTCTCGATAGCGTTGAGCCGCATTGTGGAGAGTGCGACTGCGTTTCTGAAGCACTGCCGCATGCTTCGTTCGTGCTTCGTGAATCAACCAATCGATCGGGTTCGCGTCGGCGGTGCTGGCGTTAAAAGGGTATTTGAAGTAGTCAGTCACGGCGCCATCAGTGAATTTGATCCGGGAAGCGTTGCTGCTGATCGTGTCGCGGTACATGTAGGTGCTTGTCAAAATAAGCGTGAGAATGAACACGGCCAGTACGCCCTTGAGCAATGGCTTGGCCGAGCTGGGAGGCGGACGATTGGCCTTCCACGCCATTGCGACCCAAGTTTTCTTGCACTCTCCAGTACACGAAAAAAAAGGATCATGTCATAGATGGGATCATTGGTACGATTGATAGCCCATGCTGGAACCAAAAGATGGACAGAACGCCTGGAAGTCCACGAAGGACAACAACCCGCGACCCGGGTTCGAGGACGCTAGATGCTAGTTGCCGTGCAGAAAGCATTCATAAACAGAAAACGCGGCTCTGAAGCCCCTTTCTGTCGAAGCGGCGAGACTGGACAAACCCCGGCTCACTGACGTGGGGAACATTGTGCTTGGTGGGGGAAATTGCGCCGAGCCACTTTAACTGAGCCCAGCCGAATAAATGTGAACATTAAGTGTATGAAGGTTGAAGACCAGCCATGTCAACGACCTGAGACTGCAAAAAGGAATGCTCCGGATGCATTGTATGACAATGTTGTATATCATTTGGTTGACAAGGTGGATGAACATTGAATAAACTTTGTGGGTTTAAAGGCACGGATATGTGGCCCCGCTGTCTGCAAATGATTGTAGGTTTGCTGGCCTGGGCTGGGCACGGCCCTGATCCAACAATCGCCATCTCAGACCTACTTCACGAGCCGTTGTAACAAATCCCGTTCAACCAAGGAAGCAATGCTTGCACCAGTACTTGTCTTCCCAGCCATACTGATCTCCGCAGGCAGCTTTTAGTAATCCTCAAATTATAGTACTCTCAGACAAAAGACAATGTTGGATTTTCACTTTTGCGCCCACCGCCAGTGAGCCATTCTATTAAAGCAGATAACTCGAAAGGGCATGTAACTCAGTGTGACTTCTTTCGGGGCTTATTCAGGGAAGATCTTGTGAAGCTGCCCATCTCTTTCCCCGTCATCGCTGCCGCTGGACACCTACAGCCCTTGATGGCCCTATGTTTATACTGTTTGTACTGCTGATAACGTTTTTGCTGCCTTTACTGCCTATACCCACCAACATCACTGCCTACATGGACCTTTTTGATCCGGGGGCTAACTTTGAAACAATCTTTGGAGCGAGAGCACCGATGAGGCACATTCATGCTAGAGGAGGGCCTATGTCGGGGGGTTCGAGTGTCACTCAAGTAGGACCCCTAATTTACAAAGGTAACGCAACTCCTTGTTACCCAATTCCGACGGCGTCTGCAAAAGTTACTCTTGTGAGTATACGCGAATATTTGAGCTTTCAGGAGGGGTCACGGGACCAAAATGCACAGCAATCTTCATGTAAAAGGCCCATCCATCAACATCGTCGTCGACTAGCCAACAGATTACGAAGGAGGAGGTTTAAGTTCTCCGCAACCGCCTCATAACTTTCGGACGGTATCGGGGACGTAAGAATGGTGGGGAACAGCTCTTGAAAAAGCTACTGTCGACATATGGGAGCCACTAAGACTGTATGCAACCCGACGAAAGTCGCGATAGATAGTCTACTTCTACGGGCATATATGAGCTCCCCCACCCGCTTACCTAAGGAGCATCCAAACACCCGGACCATACCGGCAGCCGGCCAACCAATCAAAACGCCGATAATGCAATTAGCGAGAAAAGAGGCGAAAACCATCAACGCTCGTCGTCAACGTCAACCATCTTTCCCGAAAAAGAGAGCCCCCCGACCCTCTACTTCGAGTTGTCCTCCGCCGGCCGCCCCTCCCCGCGATACCCTCTCCACTCCTCATCACCAATTCTCCCCGAAGAGAAAACGCCCATACCGGACACGAAGATGCTTTCCTCCACGAGGACAGCGGCCTCAATGGCCCTGCGAGGTAAGCTCTCCAATCCAACCTTGGCGTCCGTCCGTCGTCTCCTCCGGTCTACCGAGGAACCGGCCGCACAACCGTGAATCTCCCTCTACGGGCTGTACAATCGCGCGCCCACCCGGACGACATCTTACGACATCCCGTCCTCCTCCATTGAAGAAGACATGATGTTGTCTCGCGGTTTCAATTGAAGCTTCATTCGCGATTGGGGGGGAAACCGAACATTGACTGACCTCAATTGGCAACTGCAGCGAAGCCCACCGCGTCCATCATCCCCTTCAGAATCGCCGCCGCCTCCATCTCCTCCTCGTCACGAAAGGACGCCAGCCCCTCCGCTGCGCACTCGACCGGCCTCATCAAGAAAGAGCGCAAGGAGGTCCCTCTGGCTAGCCAGGAGGGCACCAAGGGTGTTTTGCAATATGCTCTGTACGACTCTTCCTTCGCCTCGTCTTCCAAAGCTCCATCCCCGCAATCGAGAAACGAGACCCCATCCTTCTTAAATAAGGACTATATGCTAATCAAGCAATCCTCTCCTACAGGACCTCCCTCGACGTAATAACGAACTGGGCCCGCCAGTCCTCCCTCTGGCCCATGACCTTCGGTCTCGCCTGCTGCGCCGTCGAGATGATGCACCTCTCCACCCCCCGTTACGATCAGGATCGTCTCGGAATCATTTTCCGTGCCTCCCCCCGCCAGTCCGACGTGATGATTGTCGCCGGCACTCTCACCAACAAGATGGCCCCGGCCCTGCGCCAGGTCTACGACCAGATGCCTGAGCCCCGCTGGGTCATCTCCATGGGCTCCTGCGCCAACGGCGGCGGCTACTACCACTACTCTTACTCCGTCGTCCGCGGCTGCGACCGCGTCGTGCCCGTCGACGTTTACGTCCCCGGCTGCCCCCCGACCTCCGAGGCCCTCATGTACGGCATCTTCCAGCTCCAGCGCAAGATGCGCAACACAAAGATTACCCGTATGTGGTACCGCAAGTAGATTTGCTGCCTTTTTTCTCAAATCTATTTTTCCTTCAACTATACAAAGTGGAAAATGAGAATGAATGGGAAGCAAAAGGGGAGACGGCGGGGCTAGGGATGGTTTAGTAGGGGCGTGGTCCTTTCAGAAATGGCCCTTGCGGCTAACCAGGTGGGAATGCCGGGCCCAGGGTAGAGATTGAGGCACGCCAGGCACGTTGGGGCCCTTATCACGGCAGGCTGGGCTTCATTTTCCTTTTGTATGCGGGTGCGTGCGTGCGTGGGCGTGGCAATGTACATAGGCGGAGGTTTCCATCCGCAGACGATTGCGGTCGTGTAGATTACAAGTTCTGCCATCATTTCAAAACCATGTTTAACTCCTTCATCCCACGTCGTGATATAACTTAGGTTGATATGCTGGCTACCAAGGGGTTGAACTAGTTCAGGCTCTGACACTGGTGAATTGCTCAAACTGGATGTAGAAAAGAGGTTTAGACAACGCAAACAGTCAGGGATGGATAGGGTATATTCATATGCCTCACTTGGAGGTCGGCCAGCAACTTTTTGCTTTTTAATAGCCGTCGTCAAGTAGTCAATGACCTGTCAAAAGAGGTATACAGAATCACGCGCAATGGTGCTCTCAGCTAAGGTATGTATTTATATAACTATGTCTGATGCGGCTATCGCACTGGAGTTGTGATGCCCGATAAGAATCAAATGCGCCCGCCATCCCTTTGCTTAGCTTTCCTGTCTCTTGCCCTCGGAAGCCCTGGTCGTTCGAGCATCTTTCCTCCGAGGCGGTAATTAAATCTCTCCTTATTGCGGACTCATTTCGCAGACATCTAAGTTCTCGATGCAAATTCGCCACTCCCAAGGAACTTTTAGTACAACACAGTCCCTCGACACTCTGCTCTTACTTTGCTATATTTCGACTCGAATTGCGTCGTCTCGTCATCACTTCCCACTACCCCTCCGCATATAGAAAGAAGAAACAGAGGTTTATTCCAAGTATCCATACCGCACGCCAAATATCCGAATGAATTTGATGCTGTTAAATCATACTAGCAGTAGCTTTGAGCCGAACCCACCCCAGCGTATACTGGAGGCAATATGCTTCGCATATGCAGTCCTCACGTCTGGCGGTGAGGACCAAGCCACCACGTGGCGAAGGCGCATGCTTTCGTTGTCCGTCTCGCAAACACGTAGACGCAGAAGCAAAGACAGGACCCCATCGGACATATGAGGCATCTATTCCTGACCGAAGCCCATAGTCTCTTCAACAGCAATTGTAAGCTTCTGCTGGAGCATTTCCAAACTCTTGTATGGCGGCAGGTCCAATCGGTTGAAGCTAGAGAAAGGTCAGCGCTTGAGCAGGGTTGGTGAGTTGGGGGGTAATATCCTACCATGTGTGAGCCTTGGGAAGATTGTTAATCTCTCCAGCCTTCTCGATTGTAAATCTTCTTGGACCGTCACTTCCTTGTAAATCCTTGAATCCGTTGACTGGAATACGCGAAGTACCCGTCGCGAATTGAAGTAGACGGGATTTCTGCTCTCCATCCCACGAACGAATCGTCTGCCAGAAGAACTGAATAACTTCATCTGACTCTGTGTATCCGCGGTAGTCGGTGTGCTTCTTCCAATCATCCACGTCGATCTCGGCGATACCACCGATAAGCAACTCAAGCTCACGTTCATCAAAGACGTTGACCAAGTCCTGTGGAATAAGCTCGTGGAAGCCATCCTTGAAGGCTTGGAATTGCTCCGCAATACGCTTCTCGATTCTCCACTTCACCATGAGGTCAACATACTCCTTCTTATTCTCGTTCGTTACATCGATGTCACGACCGCCAGGGATGAGATCCTCCACGGTCATGACGCCGAAGCGTTCGTCTTCAGTGGAGAACGTCTGCTCGAGGATTCCGCCAGAAATGTCGTTGTCGAGCATCCATTGCAGAGAGCGGTGGAAGTCGGCATCGACACCTTCCATGTCAGCTAAGACGACCGACTTGCCCAGAATCATCTTGTACAGAGCACCAATGAAGAAGGCGTCAAGGAAGCGACGGTGGAAAATCGCCAGACCAACAACACGGCCAATGAACTTGAAGTAGTTCAGATGCTCGGGGTTGATACCGGAGTGGGGGTTGATTTGAAGAGTGTAATTGTCGTGGGCGGAGTACTCGAACAGGCAGTAGAAGGGATTGAACATCTCATGGGAGAGAAGGAAGAAGAACTCTCTGGAGAGACCGCCGTAATCCAGACCATCCTCGCCATCGAATTTGATCATAAGCCGCTTCTTCAAATCAGTAGCAGACTGCCGAGTGATTTCTGCAAAGGAGTCCTCGAAAATGTGAGACCGCCGCACCTTGATGTGGCATTGTCCGGAAAGAATGCGCATCGCCGGTTGCGAGCGGAAGTAGATGAGCTTCCTCCTGAAGTCTCGCTTATATTGCGGTACATTCTGATCCAGGGATGACGGTAAACGGGGATCGTCCCACGTTGTCGTCTTTGTGTTGTGATCCACGAAATATACTCGAGCAGTGTTCGTGAGACGCATCTCCCAACCACTTGGCAGAGGTCCCAATTGGGACACGGGCTGTTGTTGGATAGTGCCATTCTGAGCATTTTGGCCACCATACATACGGATGTACTGTTGGCGACGGGGGTCGACCCAGGTAGTCGTACGGGTGTTGTGATCCACGAAATACGGGCGACCTTCAGGAGTCCATCTTTGTTCCCAGCCAGGCGGCAACTCGCCAGTGCCCGGACTCGTCGCTCCAGTGTGCATCATCGTGGCATTATTTGCGCTTTGAGCGGCTGCTTGCTGAGCTTGCAAAGTCGGGGAGTTCGCGCCGGTTCGATCCTCGGGGAGAGTTCGGTTCTGGTGTCTCTGGCGCTCCACTTGGGTTGCGGCTTCACGATCGTTCCTCTGTTCTACGGCTCCGGCAACAGTCGGTCTGTTCCAGCTGGTGGTTCTTGTGTTGTGATCAACATAATATGTGCGGCCAAGATTGTCCTCTCGGCGTTCCCAACCAGCCGGCAATCGCCCTTGCGCATCTTCAAAGGGACTCAGTGTGCTAGATTGGCGAGCCGGAGGCGGACCGCCATTCGCGGCTGGGGGAGGACCACTGGAAGTCATACTCGCGGGTCGGTGCGGCAGGTTTACTTGAGAGCCAGGAGTTGGGCCGCCATTCGGAACACCCGTGGCTGAGCCGGGTCTAGCCTCAGCCGCCGGGGCCGAGAGCGTCGAGAGGCTGGACCCTTGGGCAGGCGGAACAAGTGAGGGGCGGCTGGATGATGCTTGCCCGGCCCGCGCGGGTGTGGTAAGGTTTGTTGACAGGTTAACAATCAACTTTCCATGCACAACTAGGTTATCGGTCGACTTCTTGAGGTCTCGCGTGAGCATTTGATCTGTGGGGCGCAGCAGCGCAGCATTTGTCAGTCGAGTCGGTGGCGACAACGCAAGCAGGAATGCGGCAAAAGAATGTTACCGTCAGCGTCTGGTGCCAGCTCAATCACATCGCCAATCCTGACGTTGATTACACCAAGGAAACCTTGGTCCTTCTTCTTGAATTTCTTCTGGTCAAATACCTGAACCGCGAGGATAGTGTCTTCGTTCACGTTGCTGCATGATGTCAGAGTTTGTTGTTGCTGTGATGAGCATATTGGGAACTCCAAAACATACAGGTCAAAACTCTCGTTCCAGTATGGGTTCAACGTCCGCTTCTGTGCACTCGTCGTCTTGGTCTGATCTCCATTGACGGTGATGACGGCGAAAGGATCCGGAAACCCTATTGTACATGTTAGTGTTTACATCAGATAGACCGAAGGAGAGTAATAGCGTACGGAAGACATCTCGCTTGTACAAGCCATCGGCGGCGATGACTGCGTTCATGTTAGTATTGATGACCGTTGCGCGGAGAACCGACGTGTGGATGACGAACTCGTTACTCGGAGATTGGGCTTGCGGCTGCGGAGAACAGAGTTAGCTATCTTGAATCATTCGTTGTCGTTGGCATCCGCATGACAGCGTCTACTGACTCTATTGAAAAGACACCAGATGCACTACTTACTTGGGCTGCCCGGCATCATTGCGGGAGGAACTCATTTCGTGTCGCGGGATGGCCAGCGACAACGGTGTCGACTCCCAAAATATCTGGCGTGCTCAGAAGAAGATCGTTCGTTCTTGGAACAGATGAGGGGTTAGGAGGACGATTCGAGGATGGCGCTTGGAAGTAACCGGTCGCGGCGATACGACGGAATAGATTATCGATGATAATAGGGACGGGAATGCAGCAAAAAGATGCTTTTGCTGGTAAGAGGAAGCGTAGTGCGGGTTGGCGTTGACGACAACAAGGGCGACGGCGAAAGGCAGAGCTGAGGCTGTGCAGTGCTGTGCAGTGCAGTGCAGAAAAGCCCCCCGCTTCGACGAGCCAAGTGGGTTGGGTTTTTGGGGGCCTTGGAGTTCCCTTCGGGGGTGCGGCGGATGATAAGGTGACGCGGCGGGCGGGAAGACCGAGCGAGGCTAAGAAAGCAACGGAGGGACGGTAAGGATACTGGCGGGATCGAATCGAACCAGCGATGCAGTTGGCTTCGCCGTCTCTGTGTCTCTCTCTCCGGAGGGCGAGAAGGTCGACCGGTGGGGTTCGATGGGGTTGTAGAGGTTGATGATGAAGAGACAGGATGGAGCGAGTTTGGTGTTTTGGCGAGGTAGTCACTCAGTCGCAACCGTCTGAGCGCTTGTCAAACGGTACGTGTGTGCGAGTGGGTTTGTCTCTGGCCGGAAGTACGCAGCAGAGGAAAGAAGGTTCCTAGGCGTGATGCGGGAGGTGAGGTACGGAGTATGCAGTGGGTAGGTAAGAGGACGGGGAGAGGTCCAGTGCTACCTGATTCTGCTCCCGTGTGCCTGTGCTTGCATCAGCTTTCACCCTTGATGACCTCAGCAAGATGGCAGACGGGAGCGATGGTTACGGCACCTGCAGCAGTGTTGAAAGCGGCAACAGCGACGCACCTGTGGTGGCAGGCCAGTCAAGTGTAGCAACCTTGGAAAGGTACCTCCACTGTATGCAGGGAAGGTGAATAGGTCGGCAGGTACTGACCGTGAGCGCAGGATGGGGTGAAGCAGATGCATCCGCAGGTGAGCGTTCCAGGCGACTCCTAGGTAGCTCGGTTCGAAATCGAGAGCCAAAGAACCTGGAAATGCGGATGGCGAATCCCACTTGTTAGCACTTGGAGGGGCCCAGAGGTCACTGTGGGGTACCGCGGCAAGCGGGCAAAAACTCTCGGCGGTGGTTGGGTCGTCCAGACGGGATCCATATGTGAAGGCCCACCTAACGTCGAGCACCTTGAGAAGTGCATGTAATCTTAGCCTCACATCACCACGATCAACCGCGTCTCAGAGGACCTCTTCTAGGAGAAGTCGATTACACTTTACCTTGCAGATGGTCCATATAATGACAGAAGGTGTTATGGTTTAGAATACATGTCCGAGAAGATCCTCCTGATTGAAGGACTTTCCAGCAAAACGAAAAGACAGAGAGATGTTGATGAGAAAGATGTATAAATAGCGTCTCAGTCCTGGTTGATTGACGATAGGCATCGCCAGGCTTTCTCTATCAATGTGCCCTGCTAACGAGTGCAACTTATTCATAGTAACCAAAAGCTGCGAACTAGTCTTATCTACTTGGTAAGTCTTATACATTCGAGAGAGTGCCTTTGTCCCCCATCTCCCAAGAGATAGTATGTTGTCCTCTCTGCCACCACCCTTCTCGTCAGCATCCCTACTACCTCATCCAGCTCGAGCGCCGGTTCGGTTTCAGGCAGTACGCGACTCAAGAGATTGATGTAAAGCAAGTACCTCACCTTAACTTTCTCAGCAAGTTACCTCGCCAAGGGCAAGGAATGACGACCGCAGGAAGCAGGAAGCGACGGGAGGAATGAAATCATAACAAAGCAGAACCGAGAGACAAGGCCTCCAGCTTTCTAAACTTCCAGACCCTGTTCCCAATGGTGTTTCGGATGCCCATGGCCGTCAAGAAGCTGCCAATCCCACGAGCCCCCTGCCTGCCTCTTGTCTGACTTGTCTGACTTGCGGTAGCTGCCTGCCCTGACTGACTGGCATGGCCAAGTCTCTCGCCCTTGCCCGTAAGGAGTAGCGTATCTGTAGGGACCAAGCTGGTAGAGTATGTTAAGCTGGAGGTGGACTCGAGTCTCGACGAGACGACCTTGCAACCTGCCACTCGGTACGGATCCATACCGACCTGACCTGTACCCTGACCCGCGCCGCCGTGCTAACAGCTGGGACTGGGGGAAGGGGGGCCGGAAAGCTTGGGAGGCCCCTCAGTTCGGGCTGTAGACTGCAAAACTGCAAAGTCTAGAACCTGACGAAGTGATTGTATAAGCAGGCGCCAGCCGCTCTTTACATAATCTCATGTGGCGACATGAAGCAGTGTCATAACGGAAATGTCTAAATTGGTTCTTTCCGCCTCTTTTAGTTTTTCGCGGACACGAGCAATTACCAATTCACAACCCGTATTTCTCATGGTGCTCTCGATGAAGCATGTACCGACCGACCTCAGGGACGCGAGAAGCAGAAACGGCGCATTGTTCCCCGTCCCATCCACCACCGACCCCCGGCTCCCCGAACCTCATGCGCTACAGCCACCCTCTCACCTATCAGTGTCTTCTGTCTGTGTAGGGCTCTCTGCCTCTCACTACATGTCTGTCTCTCTGCCTCTCACTACATGTCTGTCTCTCTTCAGCATTCAGTCTTCCTTCGAGCTGATTTCCAAGGGTTGCCTGAGGCCTTGCGGCATAATGGTTGGTGCCCGGCACGTCCAGTCCGTTCCCCCCCCCTCCCCCCTCCCCCCCTCATCCCTTCCTGACGGTCCAACCGTCGCCCATCCATGTATCCACGTCCCTTCTTGCTCGGCGCGCGAAAGCACAGTGAGCAAGAAGCGGCATAGGGTATACCATAAATAAACAAGAGACCAGCCCAAACGCAGTCGTCTGGCCAAAGGTCCCATCCAATCATCTCCCACTTCTATCCGAAGGGAAAAAAGGGGAGGACCCTGCAACCCAATCGCAGCCGCGGGACCAAGGGGAAGGGAGGGATTCACGACATCGCAGACTACAGAATACAGCAAGCACGTGCCGCAGAGTTGCTTCGCTTTTGCTGATTTTCCCAATCTCATGAAGCCCTAACCCATCCAATCCCAGGCGTGGAAAGAACACCCTCAAACTTCCTCCTCTTCCTTTTCCAGGGCACTCATGCGTCGTCTCACGCCGTTTCTGGTCAAGTCAGTTCCAGGGTCGATGTAGACACCTTCCTGAGTGGCCGACCCATTGTTCCCCCCTCCAAACCACTGGGGACAGCCACTTCTGTGTGTCAGCTCGCGGGAGGGAACACGCGGGCAACTGTGCGCCCGGGTCGGGCGGCGTCGTGGAACACCTACGGAAGGGCGGCACCACTAAGCTTGCCCGCCCGCCTTGTCCTGTTACGTCCCGGGTCTGTGGATTTCACATGACTTGTCATATGATATTTGCTCTTAATGACGTATAAGCTCTTTTATTACATCTTTTGATATCATACCGCCAGCACTGCAGTCTAATATGATTTGGTGGTGGTGATTTCAGGCACCTCGCGGGCTCTGGTATGGCGAGAGACAAAGGCCTAGGTGGTCTCGAGTGTGATATTGATAGACCTCATTACCCAGTTCAGCTCGGGAAAGTCGACAGAGAAATTCCCGCATACTTGTCTTGTCACGCAGTCGGTATATCAAAGGAGACTTCAAATTATGCATCCATGTAACAAGTTGTCACATGGTGAACCTCGATTTGAATGCAGTGGACGCGCGCCTTTTAACGAAGTTCGACTCCGAATGTACAGTCCCCTGATCCCAATCGCGAGGAATCTCATCAATTGGCGTCCTACTCCGGCTCTTCACTTTGGCTCCCATTGCTCGTCATGATCAGATTACACGTCGATCGACTAGCTGTCATACCACGACTATTACTCATTTTCCAAGATTGTACTCTGAGACGCGGTTGCTCATCCATCGAAATTGAAATACTCGTCGACTGAATGTAAAGGCCTGGCCAATCCCTTAACGCCAAATTTGAATCTTTCTCCTTTCCCTACCATCCTGTATGTTACAATCGAAGCAAATAATCGCGTCATGCCCACCGATGCTGGCTAAACACGAGCGAGCCCTCGAGAGGCGTCACTCTGTCTTCCTAGTAAGGAGTGTATCCTCCTCTGCCTCGGCCACGGTAGCCTCCACGGTAGCCGCCGCGAGGTGGGAATCCGCCACGGCCGAAGCCGCGACCTCCTCTCGCTCCACCGCGGCCACGACCACGAGACATACCCGGGATGTTGGTGCGTTTAGGGACGACCTTGAGGTTGCGACCCTTGAAGACGCTCTCGTTGAGGACCAGGGCCTGGGCGACAAGGCTGGGCTCGGTGAACTCGACGTAGGCATATCTGCAGCGCAAGCACATGTTAGTTTCCAGGCCGGCCATCCAATGGGCTTCCCAAGTGGCATCCGCGACGTACCCCTTTGGCTGTCCAGTGAACTTGTCCAACAATATAGTGACGCGGTTGATGGAGCCGCAACTCTGGAAGTGGGCTTGAATCTCCTCGGGAGAAGCAGAGTAGTCGACGTTGCCGACGAAGATACTGCGGCTGTCGATGTCCTCCTTGTTCTCTGAAAGTTCCCGACTCTGCTGGTCGAGGCTGGCTTGCATTTCGCGCAACTTGGCGGCCTCCTCTTCCATCTCGGCTACCCGTCTCTTCATCGCAGAGATCTCCTCCTACGGTCTGCTGTCAGTTTACCTCCTCTTATCTGCGAAGCCAATGGTGAATCAAGGCTTTTTGCGCACCTCATCGTGGCCATCTTCCTCGCCGACGCTGTTGTTCTCGACGTTGTGGTCCTCCACAGGGGTGTCCTCGGGATTGACGTCCGACATGGCTGTAGTTTGGGCAGTTGTTGTCGGATGAAGTTGGCGGCTCTGAGTAGAGTAGACAATTAGCTATCGATGATGGGATCAAGCGGGGAGAAATGGTGCGACAAGGCAGACGCGCCCTTTTTAAGGCGACCGCAGGCTCGGGAGGAGGGTCGCCTCGCTCAACGCTGTTCACGCCCACAAAGGATCATTTAGCTTGGAAGAAAACTACTCACAACTGGAACGACTGGAGGGAACAAGCTCGGGCCCTGAGCTAGATTGATGCAGCAGCTTGCGCAAGGGCTGGACAAGACGGGAGCTGAAGGCGATGTGGATGTATTGAAGGTATCCAGGAATTCTGATGCCCATGGGCAGTGGAAAATCCACGGTTTAACCGGAGATTGCGATAAGAGATAAGAGCTCCAGCCGTAAGCTTTCGTCAGGCAACGGACTTTGCCTATAGTGCCAGCCTACCTATTGAGGTAATTTCAAAAAAAAAATTGAAAATTTAAATAGGCTTGGCAATGGAAACGGAGAAAACCATCATGGCAGGGTCCTAGATTCTCCTTTTCAATGTCAAAGGTGGCGTCGACAAAGCAAGAAGGTGCCGTGGACACCAGGCATGCAAGGTCAAGATCAGTCAATGTGAGGTGCCTGGGAAATCACCTTGTCTAGCGGGGTCGTGGAGAGCTGTTCCTGTCGCTGGCCGTGTAAATCTGCTGGCGCCTTCCAGGTTGTTTCCTCCCGAGCCCAATGAGCAGCTTTTGATAGGTATCCCAGCGGCCTATTTTTTTTCTCAGTACCTCACTAGTTTGGTTGAAAGTGTGGTGCACTCATTTTCTGGCTATGCTCGTGGGCACGCCTCACTCGATGCCCCAACCCAAAGATTCGAACATACCTACCTACCGAAGGTAGTACCATGGCCGTGAATGGCGCTCAAGGCTGCTGCAGCGGTTTGGAACAAATGTCAGGTGCGTTGTAGGATGGGGTATTCTGGTGTATATGGACATCGCATCAAAGGGACCTTGATTATCTGTAGAGAAACAAAGATAAGTATTCAACCCGTAATTGCATTTCCCCTCTTCCCTATTGTCCTTACCGCCTCATGAGCTCTTTGTTAGTAGGATATCACCACTCAACCATAAGCACCAACTTTATCAAGTATTATTCGTCACCTGAAGGATGGATTGAATAGCCCAAAAGCTACGTCACGCGACGAACCCTGCCCACGTTACATTGTAAATTTCCACACTTGCTGTCATAGCGGGGGCAGCCTGTGTTTGCAGAAACGTTGAAAGCAGTCGGAATGGAACCACTCGAGTCCTTGCACAAATGTACCGAGTCTATCGCAACCGTGAGCAAGACGGCGCCGAAATCTTCCCAGCTTCCGAGTTGCTCGTCCGTCCATGATCCACTCGGATCCGAAATTGTCATGGAAAGCACTGAGACTACCGTCCATTTCTTCGGCTCGATAGCAAATGCATGGCCACCCATCCCAGCCCAGTATTGAAACGTTCTCGGTAGTCGCCCTACACCAGAAAGATGGTGTAGTGTCTTAGTCAGCATCTCCTGTACAGGATGGATTGCGGCCACCCGACCCGCGCCTCGTGCGCTTGTCGTCGAAAGTCCACGTGTGACGTCGCTGAAGGTGCACTGCGTCAGCACCGCATCGCCGGGTTGCCGGCTATCCTCTTGGCCCCAGAGTTTGTTTGGTTTCCTCTTTGTGCCTGCCCATCCGCTTCATCGCGCGAGGGATGACCTGTTCGCCCGGATAGGCTGCGATCGCGATTGTTGCGCGCGCACTACCTTACACTCAGTACCACGGTATCGCTCTGGGACGAACCCTTGTTTCTGTCGAGTCCTGAATGGTGGGACCCCTCTAATCAACCATGGCATCCGATGATGAATCGATTCGGCCTCTGCTATGGTCCTTCTCCGGGTTCCGCGAGAACAGACGACCGGCGCCGATTAGGCGACAGTTGAGCCAGTCGCGTACGAGCCTCCAAGATGTGCTCTCGTCTCGGAACAAACATTTTGCCGTCCTGGCCATCGTATCCCTAGATGTCGCCGCCCTCATGGCCAACATCTTTGTCGAGCTCGTTGCCTGCGATATGAAGCGGGAAGACGAGCCTTGGGTCAAGCACACGCGCGAGGGTCTCACCGTGGCGGGTCTCGTGTTCAGCTCATTGTTCTTGATCGAACTCGTCTTGTGTGTTGTTGCATTTGGGTGGAGGTGAGATGCATCCTAGAGCACGTCCGAGTCAAGTCTATATCTAACTCAGCCCGTGACAGGTACTTTGCAGAATGGTTTCACCTACTTGATGGCATAGTCATCGTGGCAAGCTTTGTCATTGACGTGCTCTCGCACGGCATCGTGGAGGAGATTGCGTCTCTCGTCATCGTGTTTCGTCTTTTCAGATTCGTCAAAGTGGTTGAGGAGATGAGCATGGGGGCCGCGGAGAGGATGGAGGGTCTCGAGGAGCAGCTGGCGATTCTAAGGCGAGAGAATGGAGAGATGAAGAGGCAGTTGACGACTAGGCGCTGATCTGGAGGTATGTTTCTGGTAATGTGGCATTACGGGCATTGGTGGCAGCGCTTTCATGTGGTGATTGATACACTTCGGGAATGGACTGATGATAATGAACAACCCGGCACACAAGTGGCGCGTTTGCAGTTGGCGGAACTTGGAAGGCGTTGTGGCTTCTTCTTCTGAATTGGTCAGCTTTGTCCGAACAAATAAGATATCCCTCTGTCAAGAAGCCGCTATTGCGATGGAAATGTCGTGGAGAGACATGTAAACACACTGCAGATCTGTCTACTTCAAACACCTCGACACGAAGCATCTTCAATCACCCGTGCGATGAAGCCGTCGTTGGCTTTGCCAGAGGTATCTATAACCTGTTGGACGGGTCCAGGGGAGCTGCCATCGGTCATTGCTTGACCATCCACGGACTAGTGAACAACTCTGATCGACTCGGGCATCTAAACGGTTCGATCTTTGGATCAAGGTTGGGCATGGTGGTCTCGGCCGGACTCGCGGAGGCAGATGCGGTGGGCGCGGTGGGTACGGTATGTTGCCGGCAGAGGACCTCCGCGATGCAACGCCAGCGCCCCAGCTGCTACCGCACCTCGTATTGATGCTCTTATTAGTCTTACTGCAGATACTATGCAGCGAGGAGGCAGTCATTGGGCTGTGTGAGACAACTTCTGCACTGTTCGCCTCCTCAATGTCCCACCACACTCCATATTCAAAATGCATCAGCGGATACCCCGTACTGAACGACCAGAATAGCATCAGGCAAACGCGCCAATATAGCACTAACCGGCGGCGACGTTGGATACGAAAAGGGCGAGATCACTGAAAGAGTGGCTTCATTTGCCCCGTGATCAACCTCGATAAGCAGAGGTCACGGGATAGTAGCATAGCGGAGGTCATCACACTGCTTACGACCATAAACAGGCGGTTTGGACCGACGATTTTGAGAAATGCTAGTGTACACAAAAACACAACACAGACGCGACAGGGGGTCAAACTCGAGGCGAACCAGAAACGGCCCGTCAAAGAGCAACGCTCGCCGTGCCTCGAACGCGAGATAAGCATATCGAAGTCATAACCCGCTAGCAAAATACCCATCCAAAAGTTGTCCGCTAGGCATGCAACAATAAGAGGTCAAAGCCTCCTCTGCAGAAAAACAACAGACGACAGCTGCGCCGTTCGTGTTTTGATCAGATGCCTCAGGCCCGGCTGCAGGTACTTGTACTGTTGATGGCTTCCTCTTTGTGCTGAATGGCATTCATCGCCACGAGAGTGGGATCTACGAATACGGATCATGACTTTTCAATACGCAACTTGCAAAGCAATATACGATATACGAGTACCGCCATCGAAACCGCACTTGCATCGTTGGTGCAACGCATCCTTCGAAGTTCGAGGTTCGGACGCCCTACCCTTGCTCCTTGGCGGCAGCCAGAGGGACCAAGGGGGTAGGGTGAACTTGGAAGCCCAGGAAGAAAAAACAATGGCTCCAGCAGAAAGAGAGCATTGTCCAATCAACGGTCCGTCAAATCGACGGTCCCCCTGTCCCCCGAACGAGATTAGACTTCATCTCGACGTCCGGGCCCCATGTTCGCGCCGCCGTCGTTCGAATCTTGACTCCGTTTGACTTGTTCCCGTTTTCACTCACCCGGTCGTACCACCCTCTTCCTTTGGCACCACTGCAACGATATATTGGAAAGAAGCATAGCTGCCGAACCGGACACGGGAAAGCAATATGTTCTGCATCCTGGTCGGCACCGCGGGAGCGCAGCGCGGCAGCTAAGATCCGAACCATGCCTCGAGTGAGCCTGAATTTTGGCTACCCGAAGAGAAAGGGGTTAGAGAGGGCCAAGGTAGTTCCAGCCTCTCAGCCATGACGCACCTAGATCGAGTCGTTTCTTCGCCAACAATTTCGAAGCATTCCTCAGTTGTGAAAGAAATCTACATCCTCCAGAAACGCCCACGTCCTCGAGCTGGAAGGTTGAAGATACACAAGGCGCGTGTGTGCAGCACACATTTCCACCATAATCACTATGTAGTACACATACAAACGGTTGCCCCCTTCCCTTTCGTCCCTGCTTGATGCTAGCAGATGGACGGGGATGGGGTTGGGTAGCTTCTACAGCCGAAAGTGGGAAGATATGGGCGGGGATTGGCAGGGTCACCAGGGTCACAGGGACCTTTCTCAAAGTGAGAGAGTCTCCTACAGGCGCCTGATCCTCTCTGTCTGTCAGTCTCTCCTATGCAGGCCCGGGCTTGACGCCATCACCATGCCCCAGTGGCCGTCCCGAATATCCACTCCCCTTCTGCTGCTGCAGAGGGCGGATATTGTTTCCTTTTCTCCTCCCCCTCTTTGCTTTCCCACTGCTGCTGCTACCTCGCCGTCACATACAGAGCAATACGGGGACCCTAGCAAGGAGCCTCATCAATTTCTATCAGTCAAGCAAGAATCCCCGAACCATTGAATCCCTGAAGGAGGCCCGCTCTCCCTCCTGGTCCTCCACTATGTTGGCTCCTCTGCCTGGAGAAAGCAGAGAGAAAGTGTCTGACTGGCCTATCACATATCCTAATTCGCTAGCGTCGCGCGCCACTGCTTTTGCCCTCCTCGGTCTAGTCGAAGGGGTGCGTGGAGTTGCTCTCTCTCCTCGATTCTCATTCTACCTAGCTCACTTTCCACCCCCTGGCGCGGTTGCGCCCCCGAGGATCATAAAAGTCCGGATACAACGTTTGTGATGAAATTGCTTGCCGGTTCCCTAATTTGCTTAATATACTCCATCTGCCACCTTTCGCTCGCTCCATCTAGAGACTTTATCTCTCCTCTCCTCCTCCCCTACCGTAATAAGCCTCCGCCAACCCACTGTTCATAAAAAACAGCTTATTCCGTCCTCGACAAACCTAATTCCCTAGCGGTTCGTCCAGTCACTCGCTATAGTCTTCGAGACTCTTTACACTCGTTGGAACCACCATAATCGTCGTTCTCGATACACCCTTACAAATACCCGTAATAATTGAACTCGCCGTCAAACTCCCACACATCCCATTCAAGATGAAGTTCTTTTACCCTCTCGCTCTGGCCCTCGCCGCCGTCGTTGCCGCCGCCGATGACGACTGCGATGCCGCTCCCATTGTCGAGGCCTGCCTGTCCAGCGAGAACGTAAAGGTAAAGCTCCCAAAGACTGTGTGACAGAAACCTCACAAACGGCATGAGCACTAACAACCATCTCTCCAGGTCAATGACTGCAACTCCACCGACTACGACTGCCTCTGCGCTGCCTACCAGGCCGTCGCCACCTGCTACAACAACTGCCCCAAGGACCCCCGCGCCGCGCCGGCCCAGGGCCAGGTCACAATCTTCTGCCAGGAGGCCTCCCTTTACGGCTCCGCCGCCATGCGCAAGACCCAGTCCGTCGCCGCGGCCACCGGTTCCGCCTCCGCTGCCGTCGCTACCAATTCGGCCACGGCCACGGCCACCGCCGCTTCAGGCACCGCCTCCTCCACCGCGTCCGCCAGCTCCAGCACCAGCACACCCAACTTGGGCGTTGGCCAGCTCGCCCGCAACACCGGCGGCGTCCTCCTCGCTGTTGCTGGTGTTGTTGCCGCCGTTCTCTAATCGATCGAATCTTTTGCCATGTTTGACACGGAAAACAAACAGACAAAATAAAACGCACATAATCTCCCCTTCCCAAGGATGCCTATGCCTCCCTCTTTTTTTCGCGCGAAAAAGGAAAAACAAAGGGGAGAGAAAAGATACCAAAACATCATGTCATTTAAAGCGATTATGTTTACGGTGCTCAAGAGATTCGGCATGTTTTTCAAAGACTATAGGACCTGATTTTACGGAGCATATTTGCGGCACCCAGCGAGTTTCGGGCCATGGAAAGCAAAGGGTCGGAAAGAAATCGATTTGTATATGCTTAATCTTTGTAATTACCTAATTCCAGCAACTTCATGAAATTCCTTTTTCATGACAGGAGAGAGAACAAAGGTGGTCAAAAGAAAAGAGAGAAGCATGTGCGTACAGCCAAGTCCGTGGGCCAGTGTAGTTCCAAGTGACGTTTTGTTTCCAACTATTCGTCAACTGCAAGGAAAACACTATGCGAACTCTGCATCTGGTTATTATCATGCACTAACTGATTGATGTTACAAATGATTTCAGGATAGAAAACTGATTGAATTGTCTTTGGCAGAGGTCAGTCCTTCATTTTCCGGGCCTGCTTTACATACGTTGCGAGACCACAAGAGCAAAACGAAACAAAATATCGAGACAAACCAGGGTTGACTCAGCGACAGAGCAATACACGCCCCCAATTCTGTGGTTGAAACATTCTGAGCCTAGTGATCGGGCTGCAGCTTGCATGCATTCCCCAGTCCTTGCGCGCATTGCTTAAGCAAGGAACGTCCTGCTTACCTGTACGTTCTCAGATGCCTCGAGTGTCTCATACTCGTCAGTTCACTCCGTGCCTCCCCCCCATCCATGTTGAACAACCCCCGAGGTTGTGTGTTACCTTGCAGGGTACCTCTCTGCTGGGAAACGTCACAGGTATATAGAAATGGCAGACAGGCCAGTGATCGATAAACAACCTTGCGGGTAGGGCGACACCATAAATGAACGCATGCCGTATCCCCAAAGCATTGCAGCATCAGGGACCCTACGGCGATTTTCCGGTCCAGCTTCTCATCTCACTTTCTCGGCGCAATATGCGCGAGTTTCGACGGTTTGAAGTCGGTGGAGCGTACCCGTTTCGCCGATGATCTTTATCAAGCAGCTTGCCCACTCCCCTTAACGGCCCGCGAGGGATGTCTGCCAAATTTGAACGTCGGCGCCAAAAGTGTTCAGTAGCCTCAACATCGTCACGTGCATTCAACTTGGACAATCAAACATTGGTTGCTCAATGTGAGCTCGTTATGGTCATTGTTTTCATCAAGCCTTCTTCTCCAACCGCTATGATACAACACAAGTGTCCTTGAATCCTACAGCTGGCTCATAAGCGTTGTATCCCTTCCCTGGGAGGCAATCACCCTCTTTCTCGAGTGTCGTCGCGAACCTTAGTCTCCCACCTTCAGGAGAGCTTTGGTCCAAGGCAGTGAAGTTGTAACAGTATAAGTCTACAAGCAAAAAAAAAAAAAAAAAAGCAGAAAAAACAGTACGCAAAAGGCAGACGCTTCCCAACAACCGTGACGCCCGGTTCATATCTCTAACAAGTGACATTATCATCTCCGGCCACGCACGCCACCACAGCCTGCTTTTTTTTTGCCTGTCCTAGTTGACCCTTGGTTGCGCAGAGTCGTATGGATAAAGAGGATAATAATAAGAGAAGAAACTTTCGTCGACTAAAAGGAGTATGTATGCGCAAAAAAGATCTTGGTCGCCGAAGAAAGCAGTGAAAAGGGGGGTTGGCGGCAAGTTAGAGTTTGCCTCGAAAAAAGATCTTCGTGCAAAGGGACTGGAGAGCATTTGTCAGACTCTGGAGGCTGCCGAAACGCCCTAAACTTTTCGGGCTCGCTTCGCACTCTCGTGGACAGGGCTAACGAAAGTAACGTGCTTGTTCTCATCCTTCTTGAGACGCATGGCAGTGCCAGAGCCAACTCCGCTGGACTCCCGGTGGTGACCAAGAGGGCGTCCATCGTGATCCTCATCGAGGGTGATCTCAGCAACGTCAGATACCGACTCGGCATCCATCCGATCGCTGACACCCGACTCGGACGACCCATCGTCAGAGTCATCGTACTCGCCATCGTCACTAACAAGTGAAGGCGCGTTGTTGCTGACCATTGTGCTTGGGCTGAGGTCAACGTCCATGTCGACATCCTCACCAGGGAGAATCATCATTCTGGGTCCGTCGTCCTTCTCAGGACTGCTCATGGGCGGCGATGCGAAGCCTGTGGGAGGTGACCTGCCTTTGCTGCTCGCCGGTCTCGTTGATGTCATAGTAACAGGTGACATCGGTGCTCTCGCTGGCATGCGCATGGCAGGCATACGAGCAGCCGGCACGGCATTTCTCTTCGGGCTGCCGAGACCAGTCTCGGTGTCTTCCGATTCCTCTCCTGGCGATGTGAGGTCTTCCAGCGACATCTTCTCCTTGGCGTCACTGACAATGTCACTGAGGTTGCCGTTGAAGTTTCTGCTCTGCATGAGTCGTGAAAGGAAGGGGGTGTCAGCCGAGGCGACGAATTTTCCAGCCATTTGTGCAGCGGGCCTCACAGGCTCTGCCTTCGAGGGACCTTCAGGAATGCTTGCAACGCCAGGCAGCTTGCCATCACGATACAGCTTGAGGGAATCTGCGATCCTAGAACGCAATGCAACGTATGCCTGTTGGGTGGACATGTCGGTCTGAGCAAAAGGATGGACGAGACCAGACGCGATGGCAGTCGAAGGAGCAGGTGCTTTTTCCTCTCCAACAATACTGCCGCCTTCATTAACCTCGATGGGGTGCCCGCAATGAACGGCCGCCTCTTCGTGACTCTTGAAGTCTCGCCTATGGGCGATGCGGCAGTGGTTGATGAAGCCCTGGGTGCTGCTGAAGTTCTCCCGGTTGCAATCCAGGCAGACGAGCTTGACAGTCTGGCCGTCGGAGCGCTTGAGAACACAAGGTCCGGCCTTCTCTTTAGGTTGAGGGTAACCACTGGAGAGAGACTGCAGCTTCTGGCTACCAATAGCCCGAGTCGAGCGGTTCTTGTTTGCGCTGGTGAGATCAGACATGCTGTTCCTTGTCGTTCGTCCCTCAACTGAGCTTCTGCTACGGGCAGTCTCAAGCACGGGGTACCACTCAGGTTGCATGCCATCAAATTTGGGATCGGGAATGAGCCACTTGGCATAATGTCGAGCGTAAGGGCCATCGACAACTCCAAATGGCGGAGCCCATTGGGGAATAGGCTCTCCCGGACGGGTTTGCAAAGCTGGACCTTTTCCGTTGCTGATATCCAGCATCTGCGCAGGGGTGGGACAGGCAGTGGGATAAGGAATAAGATGGCAGCGGCGGAGTTGCTCGAGAGCGACCTGGCATTTCGCCAGCTCTTGGTTGATTAGCCTCAGCTCATTGTGTTTGAGCAAGATTTCCAGACCAAACTGGTATTGGATGGCGTCGCGCGCGTCCTCCATGTCGTTAGTCACTGATGGAACAGCGGCAGGCACAGGCACAGGCAAAGGCGCAGATGCTGGCGCTGGTGCGTCTGAGACAGCACTGGAAGGGATGTCAGAGACGGTGGGGCTAGCACTCTCCAGCTTGGCCCGCTTCAAGGGTTGCTCAGTGGCGGTGAGTGCAGCATCTGATGAGAGTGAATCGTCAACACTTGACAGACGCCTCTTCTGAGGACACGACGGGCCCGCTAGTATTGCCGTCGGCGCAGGTGGTTGCGGCAGGATAAACTGATGTTTTTGCGCGAATGACGGCATTTGTTGGGTGTGACTGACAGTCGTTTCGCTTCCCCGCTCGTGGCTCCAGAGTCGGAACATAGGCGCAATCTCTGAGGACAGGCGATGGGATGAAAGGTTGCGGAGGGCAGCCTGAAGACGACTTTATGCAGAAGTGAGGTGAGGCGCAAGGCGACAGCCTGACGAGGTTGCAATGTGGCAGTGGCGTACGGACCAGGCACCTGCAGCGTGCGACGTGGTGCTGATGCAGGCAGAGAAGCCGAAATGCAGAGGTGCAATGAGCTTCGAGCTGGTGGCGATTGAGGGGCTGACGTAAACAGTGGATTCCCCAGATAGGTCGGGTGTAAGCGTGTGGCTGCCGTAGGCGTGGGCGAAGACGAGGCGGCGGGTGTGTGGTGCGTTGGTTGGACTTGGATGACGGGGCCCGAAAAGGGGTGGCAGGGGGGGGCGAGTGGTGCGTGGTGATGTGGTCGGGCGTCCGCTCAGGAAGGCCAGAGGCAAGAGAGAGAGCCGGAGGCCGAAGCAGGCGAGTCGGCGACAAAGGGATGGGATTGCGACGGTCGCGCAGCGAAGACAGCGACGCAGAATAATCGAGAACTAACGAAAGCCTCGATATCGCGCAAGAAAATGGAGCGAAAATGAATGCGCGAAGAGAGAGGGGCGAGCAAAATAAAAGAAGCGACGCCTGCGATAACTCTCAATGTCGTGTGGACGAGTGGCTTTGGAGCGGTTTTGGGGGGGAAAGAGGTTGTTTGTGAGGAGGATGAAATGATGGAGATGGGGATGACAGCGGAAGGAGCGAGAATAACTGTCAAAGGTTGAGGGAAGGAGGCAGCTTCAGACCTCTCAGGCGGGCGACGTGCGTGAGCTTGGTGGGAAATTGGCCTCTGGGGTGGTGATTGCGAGTGCGGGTGGGCCTTGGATCCTGGGGGCCAGAGGAGGAAAAGCAGCTAGCCAGCCAAAAGATGCCGGGAGAAGGGTTGAGAAGATGGACCGTGGAATCGTGGATGGACGAATTGGATGGGTTCCTCTGCGGGTGGTTCTGTTTCTCGACGCCGATTGTTGTTGGCGGAGCGGCGGTGTGGTATCCTTACGCGGCGCAGGCAGTACAACCAGCGGCAATGGCAGCAGTAGCAGCAGCAACAACGAAGAAGGAAGAGGGCGAGTGTGGGTTACGGGTTGCGGATTGTGGATGGTGGATGCACAGAAAGCTGAGGTGGATGTTTTGGCGCTTTGCGCTTGTGCTTTGGTGTTGGAACTTGGCGATGATGCGAGGGACCCGACTGACTAGGAAAAGGCAATTTGTGTATTGAATGCAAGGGGGGGAGGCATAAAATGGGGGTGGAAGGAGGGATGGGTGTGAGGTGCGAGGGGTGTGGGTGTGTGTGTGTGGGTGTTGTGGACGTGGATTGTGCTCCGAAACGCGACGTTGATTGGCCCGCCCCCCTAGAAAGAAGGAGGGAACGAGGGAATGCGCTTGTTTGGTGACTTTTGGTGACTGGTCTGACCCAGGTGCCCAGGTGCCCAGGTGGGGAGGGACAGACACCGGCCGCCAGGGAAGGGACAAAAAAAAAGGCAAGCCGCCGCAGAGGGATCCCAAGGAAGGAGGTCTGCAGATGCAGGGATGTTGTGCAATACGACGGGAGAAAGAAGGGACAGAACAGGGAAAGAAGGCTGCCTTGCTGCTTCAAGGTTCCTTCTTCACTCAGGAGAGCAAGACCCAAAGACCCAGTCACCGAGTGTTCGACACAACCTAAACGACACCCGGACGCTTCGGCCGTTAGAAAGGGATGCAGCAAGACTGCAAGAGTCAGGCCCAGTGGAGGACTTGCTAGGTGCCTAGACGTAGTATCCGTATTCTCTGCCAGCCTGAGAGTGTGTGCCAGATGCAAGTCCTGACGCAGACGATGATGAGCGGGCGACCAAGACAGCGGCAGGAGCAGCGGCAGCGCACTGAGCTGCAAAGCTGTCAAAGAAAAACGAGGACAGACTGGTCATAGACCGATGCGCTCAGAGAATATTGCTGGCCGGTCCCTGAGAGTGAGAAGATGGGACGCCAGTTCCTTCCAAGTCCAGTCTTCGTTTGTGTCTGTGTTTGGCCTCGTCTTCCGTCTTTCCAGAATCCAGAGACTTCAAAAGTTCAGCCTGTGTTCCAACTATCCTCCTCTGAATGGCGGATGGATATCTGATGGGACGATGAGACGGACGGGGGACCCTTCCGAGCTTCTGTCTCTTACAACTCGCAGCCGGGTTCTCTGGTGACGCTGCAATGCGTGTTTCGCCGCCCCGAAAATAGAACGGGATTAATAAAGGTGGGCGCGCGGCGAGCCCAACGATAGTACTGGGTAAACAAGGTAAGGGCACAGCTATGGTGAATGTTCCTTAAAGGGATCCCCCTTTTTCGCGATACTCAAGCGTTGCCGGGTAGAGTCGCGTTTGAGGAACTGATGCAACTTTGAAGAGAAGGTTAGTCGGTCTGAGGTCAGTCTTGATATCTGTCTGGCCCAGATCAAAGTGCACGTCTCTTGCCGATCCAACTGAGTATCGTGTTTTGTTTGTAAAGGTTTCGACATGTGTCTTATCCAGCCCGCCTGCAGATTGATTAGGTACATGGGCTAAGGTTCCTAGTGAGAGAAGAAGACGGGGAAAGCTCATGGCGTGTGTCCCGACTCGGCCTGGCTGGATTGTTTTGGTTCCGTGCGAGGAACGCCTCAGCCATGTACCTTGGGGCGTGAGACGGCGGCTGCACGAGCTAAAAGTACCTCGAGGCGTGGTAATGTTCCCCGTCCACCAAGCTTCGGGCTCGGGCCTCTTTTGCTTTCCTCGTTGTCGGATGCTATTCATGAGGTACCAACATGCCTCTCTCTGGCCGACGAGTTCCTCACCACGGCGCGGGGCTGGACATCATCTCGGAAGCTGCCAGATGGCGCCTGTTGGGTGTAAACTCTATATTCTGTTTGTTGACAGTTTGGGAGAGGGACTTGAAGCATGGTGCCGCCTGTGCCATCCCATATGACTCAACTTCTCCTACTAACTCTTTGACGAATGCAAACACCTAATCGACGACGCATCTAATTTGTTCACCAAAGTTGTTGTCGCGCACGCCGCCGCACTCCTCCCCCACGTACCTGACGGCAGTCTCGGATCTCAGTGATCTGGATCGTGGGTTCGCCATTCCGGCTGGCCTAAGACGCTGTGCCTAGTGCTCACGACGGCCCCATTCCGCCCATTTTCAAATAGCATCATATATGAGAACTAGACTTTTCTCTGACGGCACCAACGAGAAGCCGCGGGCAAGGCCGCTACAACAAAACGTGAGATGACATGAGAAACTGATGAGAAACTGGACCCTGAGGAGCAAGGGAACGCCTTGCGTCCGAGTACCGCCTCTTCTTTCGTTCTGCTTACCCTTTGCATCTTCTTTCTTCCACTTCATCGCCGAACCCTTCATGCACCATCGAAGCCCCCTCATTGTTCTTCGGCTTGCGAAGTTCTCGCATCCATGCGTCTTCTAGAGCCCTGCGGCCTCGACGACGACCGGCTTCGCACGAGGATGGAGGAGGGATGGGTGGGTACGACAGGCAGATAGACATGGATCGCCGCTCGAGATGCGCCACGCCACTCGGCGTGCCTAGCTCGCCTTAAGCCCGTTCTGGTTTCAGATATCTGAGCATCGCTATCATGGTACCAGGACATCCCAAAATTTCATTAGCAATACCGCAACTACGCAGCTGGTATGAACCAATGATATAGCGCTATCGTGCAGAGAATCTCAGCGGTAACGATGCCGAGTCGACCCGACTCAGCGGCCAAGGTCGCGCAGAGATAAGTCCCCTGTTAACTCCATGCCTCCCTGCCTTCACGGCATCTACAACACTCCTCCAGGCCTCATCCCGGAAATTCCAGCGGTGCTTCCTAGCGAAAATGGATTAATCCCGCAGCTCAGCCAGAACGCTACAACACTGCACCTCGGAAGCTTGGCAATCTTGGGGAGAACTCCCGCAGATCCCCTTGGGGAAGCCTGCTGGGTGACCCAATGTTGCAAAGCTCATGATTCAGTAAAAGTAACGAACGCTTCTAGCTCAACCTTCCGCCAAAGCAACCTTTTCTGCAGTCTGCCGGCGCCTGACTGAAGATGATCATGGAGGGCATGTACTGATCATTTCGATATTTGCTTTGTTCGGGCCCGCGAAAGGCTGCAACCAGAACAGGGCGCAACACGGCGCTGCTACCCATCGAATCATAAGAATGCGTTTTTTTGGAGAGGAGACTGCTTGCACAGGCCACGCCAAACATGTGAAGTCGAGGAGCTACGGAGAAACCATCGGTGCAGGCATGGGGCCATGGGCTCCCTGACCAGTGGACGCTTCCAGCTTCCGCGGAACGCTAGTCCAGGCCCGGTATTGAGCGAGAGCTCGTGTCCAGCCAGCGCTATGAAGCATCGCTGCTTTAACTACCATATGCTTAGTCACGATATTACGGCATATTCATCTCGACAGCACTTTGCCTTCCTTCCGAAGCTTGGGACGTCGTCATGAATCTTTGAAAAGCTCATAGTAAGCACAGCGCATCGCATTACAATCATGTCGATACAGTGTGGTGATCATCGTGCAGTAAGGTACTGAACTTGGCGAAGAGTTGAGTATTGGAGAAGTGATCCAATCAGAGGAAGCTCCGAGTCCTCTGTCAGAATCGCAGCTCATCGCCGGCTCTCGGCTCCGAAAACTTAGATGGTCCAAGCGTCTGATCCGATAAGATACCACACTTTTTTTCATCGGCAGAAATCTGATGGCAGGCTTAGAGCTTGAAATCAACTCCAGACCAAACCCCGCGCGGCGCATAACACCCTCGATTCATTGAGCCATTGGCTTTGCTATGGTTCAAGCCCTCATCAAGGCTGACCGTGGCTGAATCCTCCGCAACGCAGCCCAAGGGCAGCGACAAGAAGCGAAAATCTTCGACGATGGCCGAGTCTGCTGCCGTCTCGAAGAAGAGCAAAGCGACGACTGCGACCGCGACCGCGACCGCAAGCGGCCCGACGACCCCTCTCCCCCCTTCGCACGAAGCACTCCTCGCGGAGCTCAGATCGAAATATGACATCCTCCCCGCCTTCACCATCTCCTCAACCAAGATCCAGAAGCGCGTGACCTGGCTGCTGCAGCACTTGCGCCAAGACGACGGCGATCCGAGGAAGCGCGCCGTGCTCGTCTATGCAAGGCCGGGCGAGGTCGCCAAGATGATTTCAATTGTAGAAACAGTCAAGCGCATCGTGGCGACGGAGAAAGAAGGAGAGGGGGAGGAGGAGAGCGGCAAGTGGTATCAATATAACCTGATGTACGAGCTGCCGCCAAAGGCCGACATCGTGGAAGAGACGGTGCTGGGCGGTGGTCCTGGCGAGAGCGGGGCGCGGGATGGATCGGACGGCGAAGAAGATGACGACGATTTCGAGGTGATGGAGAGCCGTTTTGAGAGAGCCGTGTTGCCTCAGCCGGCTAAGCGTGCGGCCAAGTCACTGAGCATCTTCCTCTCGTTGGTGCCCATGCCGGAACTGAAGGCCCGAGACGGAGTGACGACCCAGACCAACGCGTCGCAAGACGTCAAGGCGAGCTCTACGGCGCTCTGAGCAAGGACGAGGTTGTTCGGGGATGAAGAAGTTGGAGCTGAGGCCGTAGGCTGTGGGTCCCAGAAACGAAGACAGAAGACAGAAGACAAAAGACAAAAGAAGAGATTCCGGAGACTGGAGTCAGGGGATATCGAGGGCAATGCCACATATCGGCGTAGCATTATAGGTACATTGCATCAAGAGGCGTTCATAGGGCAGGGCAGGCTACCATTTGATACCCAACCGGGCGGGACAAAGTCAATATCGAAAGCTTTGAATTCGCTTGACACATAAGACAGATAGACACCATCGGAAAGAGACCTGGGACAGGACGATTTCATCCATGACTAAAGGTTCATTTGGAACTTATCAAAGGTAACTGGCGATGGCATATTGGTTATGGCTTTGCAAAGGTACCTAGCATTGATGCGTGTTTTGTGTGTGTGTCCGAACCCTGGTCCGCTGCAAGCGCCTCTCCTCTCAACTATACGAACACACATTCAACATCCGCTCCTGCTCGCATACGCCTAAGCTAAACATGTGAAACTTCCAAATTTAAACCAGGAAAACCTGTTCTCAAAACAGCAAATCCTTCGCTTCCAACTCTCAAAACCCACTTCGTACACGCCTTCGCCGCGGCTCAAGCAATCCGGCGAAGCCCCTCCACGGGTTCGTTGGGTCCAATCGTCAACAACTGAGAGTCCCCTGCTCGCCTTCTTCTCCTGTTCCCGACCCGACGGGTGCCTGACGAAAAATAAGGTCTTTTTAGTGCTTTCCCTCCTTGGACGAGTAGGTTATGCGCAGGACAAAGTTGACAACAACGGCCAACAGCAGAATGATGGCCAGAAATGTGGGGCCGAAGCGGTCGTCGAAGCCGGCCTGGCCGCGGACGCGGATGGATTTCGCGCGCCAGTGATAGGTGGCGAGGGCGTAGATCATGGTGAGCATGGCGACGCCAGTGAAGAGGAAGGCGCTGATAAAGGCCGGGCGGTCGCCAAAGTTGAGCATGCCGATGGCGAGGGCGCCGAGGATGACGGTGAAGTTGAGCCAGGAGAGGAATGTGCGCTCGTTGGCGAAGAAGACCTTGGGTTCGACGCGCGTTGGGAGCGCGATGCGCTTGCCTGGTGATTCAACTTTGTTAGCCATCTCTCTACTCTCTGGGTCAAAGGTTGCTCTTGGAGACGAGGGGAGGTCGTTGAGCGTGCGGGCTTCTGGCAACTATGCGTATGGCAAAAAGGCTGTACGTACCCGGAGCGGTCTGGAGAAGAGGTTGACTGGACATGGCGATTCTTTGCGTCTGAGTGAGCTGCCTCGAGTATAGGATCGTGGTATATCGTCGTGATTTTCTGTACCGCAATCTGACTTGGTTCAGTCGACCGTCTCTTCGTCTCCCTCGTAAGGTACAGCCAGTTCCTACACTTGTTCTAGCTGTCTCAGCAGTGGTGCCCAGAATCCCTCAGTAGAATGGCAATGCGACGTCAGGCAATTGAAATCGAGGCGTCGTTGGCGAGCTCGGGCTCGTGTCGGGCTATGCGTCGGGGCCGCAACGGGTTTATCGTGATAAGTAGGCAGGCAGGTGGTCGCGAGTCGCGCGATATCAAGTGCTTTCTCTTCAACAGTGTTTGCGTCTGAACAATTGGAGAAAGTCTACCCGGGATCTCGCTCGAAAAAATGAATGCGGAGAGGGAGGTGAGAGGGGAATAAACGCGAGGAGGAGAAAAGAGAACGAGAGAATCTGTAACCGAGGGAACCCGCTTGAAAGCTTGTTCAGATACGACTTGCCCGTACCACAGACGATGCACTGCGGCTGCTAGCCCCTCAAAAGCCGCAGGCGCAAAAAAAAAAAAAAAAAAAGCTCCATCGCAGAGCCAGACTTGTGACGCTAGGCCTGCACAGCTAGAGCTCCCTCCCCACCAGCCACAGCCGCGACCCATGTCAACCGCCTGCGAACTTCTGCAACAAGATACACGTGCATTTCAGTCGCATTTTGATTGGATAAGCCACACTTGGAAAGGTCAAGCCCCAGCAGGGGTTACCTGCATGCTGACAGAGGTGTGGCTCAAGAGTGGGTTCTGTGACATCGATCCACGTGATCTCTCGTTGCCCCGCGCACCTGGCTGGAGCACGGCCCGTGGGTGTAACGCGAGGCGGCCGAATCGGGCTGGCATCACAACACCGACAACTTTTTGTGGAGGAGCCTCATCTATATCGACTTGTCCCGATCTGTCAACACCACCACCTCTTCACCACTCACTTACAATCGAAGATATCTGCACAATCACTCTAGACGTTTTCACGCCTTTCAAATTCCGGGAAGACTCATATCATACGAAACTGGCAAGCGCCCAAAGCCTTGTCACAACACAAACTACCAATCTCCCCCGAAACAAAACAACCGATCACAATGTCTGCACCCGCCGCCCCTACGACAGCGACCCCCGTATGTTGATTTCCCCCGCGCTAAGCTCTCATTACTTCTCAATGGACCGCCCACTGACTCGATCTGGATAGCCCGTCGCCTTCAACCGTCTTAAGCAGATTGCTACGGATGTAAGCTGCGCATGCGACACCGCCGACAACGTCGCAAAAGCATTGGGGAATAGCAACTGACACAGTCTCTTTTTGTCAGGCCTGCCAATCCGCCATCGGCTCTGCTGAGTTCTACGATCACGCCAAGACTGAGACATGGAACTCTCAGATCATTGTACGTCCTCTCTCTCCCCGCGTTCTCAATATCCCACCCACGACCCACGAACTAATACTCGCGAACCCCATTAGTCGTCCGTCCTGAAGGCTGTCATCTCTGAGTCGACGCCTCAAGGCGGCTCCGCACCCGCATACAAGTTCGCCTGCAACTCTACAATCGTTCAGCACCTTGTCCCGACGTCCTCCCTCAACAAGTCCAAGGGCACCTCCGCCTCGACCGAAGAGCCCTCCGTCTCCACGAGCGCCGACGCGACAGCCACCGACGGTAAGCCCCACGTCGGCCGCCGCGGCATGCACTCCGCCACCGGCGCCTACTGGGACGAGAAGAAGGACGGCATGTGGTCCTACAAGTACGATGGCGGAGAGGGCAAGGGCATGGACGTCGTGATTATGCTCATCTGGGTCTCCATCTAAACGAAGATGGACGCGAGGCTCAGTACTCGAGGACGAAGAGGGGAAACAGCCGGCGCAGCATGCTGATGTTTGCATCCCCCTTCCTCGTCTGCCTTTCCCAACTACAAACTAAATGGGCCAATTCGCAAAAAATGGAGCCGTACGGAAATTGGGTTGGCGCATAGAAGGCCCAGGAATGGGTATAATGACAGCGGCCTGGCGACCAAGACGCAAGACGCAAGACATTGTCCCCTGGCTGGCCATCCAGCCAGAAAAGGATGAAGTCACTGTTGGTCCGAATTTCCCCAGGTCAAGCAGGCATATATGGCGAATGCGTTGCGAAGGTCTATTCATGTGTTTGAGCTGCGTTTGTACCAAACCACAAAAATAGCCGGAGTTTTTGATGAGAATACGTGCAATATCACGAACTCGCTCCGACTCTTGACATTAGCCTTGGTTGTTTGTTTGTTTATTGTTGAGTCGTTGTCAGGTGGCACAGCATGTACTACACGACTCGAGGTAGCATCCTTGCAATGGGGAGATGTCGTTTTTATGCATCTCGTACTTTTTCCCTCTTTGCCCATCGCTTATAAGATCTGAGCCATGCCAATATCGCATTCAGACAAACTACACGTGACAGGAGCTACGTAGGAACACCAGCTCGTGTGGAAATCTACGACCTTTGAGTTTATAGCGGTGGCATCCAAAAACGAAAACGCCATCATCAGGATGAATCAGTGATGGGCTTTGGGAGAGCTGGCTCTGGCGGCGAGTAAAGGTAATACCAATACCCATTGCACTGACATCGTTGACGAGTTCGGTCGTGGAACTTACGGCTTCAGTCACTGATTGGAGCCCTGCGGAAAGACACGGGCCTCCTTTCGATGACATACCGGCACGTCCTTTACGATTACAGGTGGTGGCGACGTCCAGACCTTTTTTCTCCCCCCGCCAAAAGAAGGAAAGAAAACGACAACCGGACCCTGTTGATCTTTTTACGATGCATCTACTCTGTACCTAGCAACGGAACAAGTTTGCCAATCGGGCACGTTGGCGAAGGAGCTTTATTTTCGCTCACTCACATTTTTCCTTCGGCGGGAGCGTTAACTTAGGTTTTGGCTGCGCAAACATGGCAAGTTAGGATGAGGCCCCCTCGGAAAAGCTTGTGAATGGAGGTTGCAGAAACGAAGACTGGCTTGGGTACACAAGCACACGAGTCGCCTTGCCATCGGGGAAACCCCCTCATGAGATGGTGCGGCGGGAAAAGGGGACGCTGGACATGTTGGGACGGACGGGACCTTGGAAAAGACGTTGTCGCACACCCTCTTCGGCGAGGACGAGACGCGCCAGTAGCAGGGATGGTAATATCGAGAGGAATTATCAGGCTGAAGGTGGATGAAGTGCATGATGTTGTCTAGAAAGACCGATACAGGCTTGCGTGCTTGGAAGCTTCTTGGTAGAGTCTTGGAGCTCTATTGCTGTGACATCCCTCTGCATATGCAGGAAGGGATGCGGCGTACTTCTCAAATTCATTATTCAGGACGCTCATTGAGCTTCTCCGAGCAGGGAGCGGCGAGAGGTCAGATCATGGCTGGCAGCTTTGCTTGAGGTACTTGGACGACAGCATCACAGTCGGCTGGCCTGATCGGTGAGTGCCGACGGCGGGAGCGGGCGCGGGAGGAGACTGCCTGCAACGATACACTTGTCGTACCCAGCTACGAGATCGGATCCGGGAGCCGAATGGTGTCTCGACTTGCAGTAAGTCTGGCAGCGGCTGGAGAACTCTCTTCTCGCGTATCTTTCCAGTCTTGTTGGCCAAGCTGTAATAACTCTGTCCATGGTTCACCTTGCGCTGGGCCAGGACACCACGGTGAAAGTGACATTGTCCTGATCACTTTGGGCAGGATCCTATCAACAGGGCTTCTGGATGGTATGCCATGCCCCGGGATACCTTTTCAAGACATTCCCCAGGTACTTGTTCTCCCCCCCCTTCTCCCCACGGCAATTGGGGAGAAGCCCGGGGAATCGAACTACCAGCGCGACGCGGATAGTAAACAATCAGGAGATGGACGGCGTAATTTGATGTCCTTTTCGCTGCAATCATCCACCATTTTCGCCACCGCTCTTTCTACCCCCACAAATCTTGGGTGGCATCTGCGGGTGGTGCAGCGACTGCAGTAGCCATGACGACGTCGATCCCTAAGAGGGACGGATACCCTGGTTTTTTTTTTCCGGCTTTCCCAATGGCGGTCTGGCTGAGTAGGATGGATGCGACAACGTTCAAGTCTAGAAACCCTCCGAAGATCATGTACACAGATAGAATCGTGCGGACGGGCGAGCTAGCACGGCAAGCAGGCGTATGCTCATTGTCCTGATCTGATAGATCATAGACTACTGTACGAGTGCCGTGCGACTGGCAGTGTAACAGCAACCTCACTGGGCCGATGCTGGGTGGTCATGGGACCATTGATTCCCGGTGTGCAGTCTGCCGGTGTGTTACAACGACGGCTTTGCTGGCTATGCGGATGCAGCTCCTTGGCGGCTGTGGAAAGTTCATGATCCAAGTTCTGGTGGCTTGGTGAGTTCATCATTCTCGACTGATGGATGGCTTTTGCCACGATACTCTCGCATGGCTGACGGATGAACGAGGGATCAGTCGATGGCTTATATCAAATGGCTGATCCGGGGCAGCGGAAGTCTCATCCTGCTGTCAGATTTGTATAGGCCGTACGGATAGGCTTCCTGATTCAACAACAAAGCAGTTTATGTTCTTTGCAGTTAGTACCGGTGGGTTGCCCGTCATGTTGCGCGGCCGCCGGTTGTAACTGTTGAAAGGAAGCTCTGAGGTAGTCAGTTGGTTGCTGTGCATGCCATCAACGGCTGGCCAGTTCCAGAGTCCGCGAGGGCTGGAACACGGCCTATCAAGGGGTAGCGTCCTGCGCCAACCCTCGTGCTCTCGCCAACGTTCCATTTCATGCTTCATGCATGGCGGCGCTGGTTGGTCTATCAAGAGCAAGACATAGAAGCGCCAAGCGGGGAGAAATGAGGGGTCATGGAGGGGTCGTGATCTGGAGTCAGAGCATCGATTCGCGGACTTACTCAGGCGGCTTGCATCGCTGTCAATTGTTTGATTGTGGTTATCATTAGGTTGTATGTCGGTGGTGAGGTGGTGAGGTGGTGAGGTGATTCGCAACTCTCTCAGCTTTCCGAGCCGCCAGGGGCCGTGTCTGTCGGAAGTGACGACTGAGGTGAGGTGGTGCCTTCCTCATTCTGTGAATGGCTCATTGACCTGCGGCACCCTGAACGGCGCTACTCCTGCCTATGACGAAAGTAGCCGAGCTCAGGTACCGAGTACTTTGGCATGGGCGCTTGCAGGAGACAGTTGTGTTCGCAGGCAAAGACCCTTCCTTTTTCAGGCTTTCAGCTGAGGGGGCAGCTAGGGGTGACTTTCAGTCCGTTCGAGTTATTCTCCAGTATTGTCTGTTCTAATTCTGCGAGATATCCCAGATTACCTTGGATCTTAACTCTCAAAGAGACGTTGGAAGCGAAATGGATGAGTCCATGGCATCTAATGATTCGCCAGAAGATACCAATGACCGAATTTCCCCGGTTTTGTTTCTGCCATGTTCCCTCCCGGGACCAGTGGGACGGTATCGGGGACAACAACAGACGAAGGGACCGGCAACCCCTCCCACGCTTCACTTACGTATTCCACGACCTTGCAGCCCGGGAATACCTAGCGTTCCTGTCTCCATCCATCCAATCGCACTACCCGCTAGCTTAGCAGGGGAGACACTGTGACACTGAGCAGTGGAAAGGCGCTGAGCCGGGAGAATCGTAGACAGCTGGAGGTGCGTGACTTGGCCACTATGGCGTATGGCTCGCTCACAAGTGGCAGCCATAGCAGATCCAATCCATGCATCAGGGACCCCAAGATCCTTCCCCAATGACCCAAAATAACAGCCCGCAAATCTGGCCTGCCATCGGCCGACATATCCTTCTTATTTCGAGCTTGTACCTGCGACTTGTTTGGCTCCATCGGTCTGGAAGTCGCGACGGCCAAACATCATCTAGCAGAGCCTTTCCCGTCCGGTGCTGGCTCCATCACACCACACACCACTCACCACTCACACACCCTTTTCTCTTCTTCCTTGCCTTTCCCGTCTCTTGTCTTCTACCATACCTCAAAAAGATAGTACCTCGACCGATCTGCACTCGACACTACTTCATCGGGGTCCTGTCACTTTGTTGCCGTTGACGTACCCTTATATATCCAACGAACTCCCCCCTTGGGCCCTAGGACAACAGCTCTATTCTCGCCTCATGAACTTGCTATTGAGGCATTCCCACTCGCAACAAAGACTACCGCCATCCGACATTGGCCCTCCCAACCACAACATTGACATTACTTGAAACCGTAACTCACTCGACTCACAAGCCATTAGTGAGCCGAAGGATTTTGATTCCCTTTCCCCTCAGCCTGAATACGACGAGACAACTACTACCCTCTCCGACGACGACATCGTTTCCCCTCACCACTCATAGGTGATTTCCAACCGCATCTGTAGAAACGGAAACCCCCCCTCTTTGATCCACGAGACACCAGCCTTTCGACTTGGTTGGCCGCCTCTGACCCTGCTCACCTTCCACACCACACACATCGTCGGATAATAGCCCAGCTCGGGCCGCCGACGACGAGCCTCTCAGGACAACACACATTCGTTACACAAGGGCTCCCCTTTCACGATGGTTGAAGTACTTCCCTCGGGTCCCGCCCAGAGCGGTCATCCCCAGGAGTCTCAAGATTCTGCGGACCACGTCGCCTCTGTCGCCCGTCTCTTACTCGCAACCAACCTCGCCTCTCGCCAGGAGAACAAGATGATGACCCGCGAGGAACGCCAGATCATGATCGATGAGCTCAGCAAGAAGCGCGCCGGCTGGCGCACTCCCCGCCGCGGCTGGTCCATCACCGACTCACCCGTGGCATCATCTCAGGGCAGCCCCGCGCCCCCAGCCGCCACCGCCTCCCCGTATCCCGCTCCTCCCTCTACCCAGCACGAAGCCGTGGAGAGGCATGCCATCGCCTCCGTCCCAGAGCAATCCGAGCTCCCGATGCAGGAGATGAAGCACGCTCCTCATCCGCCTCAGGTCCGCCGGCCTCCCCTGCCGCCCCCGCGCCGTTCCTACTCAGTCATGGACTACGAGCCGCCAGCGCGCATCCACCGGCCCTCGGCTCACATGGACATCTTCGACCTCCCCGCCGAGCTGCACTTTGCCATCTTTGACCACCTCGACCCCATCGACAGCACCTGCTTCGGCTTGACAAACAGCCACTTTTACAACATCCACCGCCGCATGCACGGCGCGGTGCCGCTGTCGTCCCGGCGCAACGGGCCCAACGACCTGGAATGGGCCTGGCGCTTCGCCGGTCCCCTCATCTACCACGACTCCGCGGCGCCTCCGCCCGAGGCATTCAAGGAGCATGCCCACGACCTCGAGCGCATGCGCGTCAAGGGTCAGGTCTACTGCCGCAAGTGCGGGATCTCCCGCTGCGAGCTGCACCGTCACCTCAAGGAGTGGATGGGCCCCAACCTGGAGTACTGCTCCGTTACCCAAAAGTACGGCCCTCGACCTTCCGGCGAAGCCGCCGACACTTGCTATATCAAGTCCCCAAAGAACCCGCACCGCTGCGGTCGGCACGCCGCCAAGCCCGCCAAGTCGCACAACTAAGAGACGCGTGTTCTCGAATTCGCTTGCAGTTTCTCATTTATTTTTTTATTTTTTTGCTTTTGGAGCATTGCGATTGAGATTTTTGTACGATTAAAGACGCGGCGGTACCTACGGGTACGCTTAGCTGCGCAGGCATGGAGTTGAGACAGCAAAAGAAAGGGAAGCATGGGGCGAGAGGAATATCTGTATCATTATACAAGAAAGGCGTTGAATCTAGTCACATGATATGTGAAGAGGCATTTGGTAAAGATGAGGGATGGGGGCGAGATATCTGTTACCTTGCGCCACATAGCCCAAGATTACCATCTATGAAGCATGGAAGGATGAGAAAGACAGCATAGCGAGAGTTGAGGCATTGTATTGCACAGTTATCGACTGCGGCTGCGCAAAAGACTAGAGCTAGAGAAGACGGGACAATTATAAACACATTCACACCGTGGCTACGTCTGTACTCTTGCATACTACTCAATGTTCAACGAATAACCTCACTTTCCTGACATGGAAAGCGCACGCCGTTGGAGATCAAGCAGTTGAGATTTGGGTCGCGTCGAACCCATTGAAATGACGTAATGTTTGGTACGGATAGGTTGTGGACCCTGAAATAGGCAACCCGTGTAATGCCGAGGGGGGCGGATCCGTATCTTTGCAGATGACGAGCGTTCTTCTCTTGCAGTCCCTCGGGCGGCGGCCGAAGGGAGGGGGGAACCTGAGTCGCGTGCGCTTTATGGTGTACATGAAAATTGATTGCAAGTGATTGGGCACTAGGAGATCGTTTATCTGCGTACCTTATCTGTGGACATCTGAGGAACCCAGTCATGGTTGAGCCGTGATGGGACTGGATGGGGGGCCGGTTCGACACGCATTTCGAAGTGTTATTCATCATCATTGGCGATGGTATTCCCGCCAAGATGACGTATTCCATACTATTATTGTACATATATACATAGAGAGAGAGAGAGAGAGAGAGAGAGAGAGAGAGAGAGAGAAAGATAGAAACAGAGCCATGGCCTCGGCCTACTACTACATTCACCCAACTATGGAAACGGAACCAAAGGGTAAACAATCAAGGACACCTGGGTATAGATTCCACTGGGAAACAAACAGTCCAGCATCAAACTTTGTCCCATGGGCTTGCTGCTTGCTCCCCATAACACGGAATGATGCCAAATACCAGACCAATAGGTGGGCGCTCGTGCGTTTGTACAATTCTCAGCACAAGGTGGCCACATCGCCATGCTAGAATGCGTTGCTATTGTCAGATACCACGGGATGACATCACATTGCCCGTCAAACTCAAGGTTCTTTACTCTTTACCAACGCAATTTAAGCATACTCTCGCATCAATATGAGACGGGGCACGGTTATCTTGCTCAACCAGAGCCAAGTAGAATGCACCATGAATACACCAAAGCGCCAGTGGCTGTCGGTATTAAAGTTCCGATTTGGCCATTCATGTCGTCGACCAGAGGTCGCTTAGCCCCAGCCAAGAGATCGGCCGGAGCTCCCTAACATTGAGAGAGCATCTTTCAACGGAGTAGAACTTCAAAGGCAATATATTCTCTCAGGTCATCCCTCATGACTTCTAGCAAGGCAAAGCACCCAAAGCAGTCTCAGCGCCCTACCTCCCAGATCCAATGCGGAGAGACTACCGACGTGTATCCCAACAAAAGGGATACCGCGCCGCCCACCCGCCAATGTCCATAACGCTACAACTGAACCACGCCATAATAATGGAAAAACGGACAAAAACAATCCAACCCCACGCAAATAACACCCGAACAAAGCCACGGCTCGTCTCAAACACGGAGGCCACCGCACCAAAAGAAGGAAACCCGACAAGCCAATTTGAGGGATCCGGTTCTCTGAAACCAGGTACGATGTCGGCCGTTGACAAACGAGAATCCCAACCGCAAGTTGAAAAAGGTATCAGCCAAAGAGCCACGTGTGACGCCGATAAAAACGCCCAAGAACGCCGCCCTTGAGTGACGAGAAAGAAAGAAGCCAAGGCGCCTAGTCTGGCGCGTCGTGCATGTTCAAACAGCGCCGCCGCCGCGAGGTTTACGCGCACGTCTTCCTCTTGTGAGCCGCGGACTGTCGGGAGGAGTCCCATACGCTCGAGCTACTCGAGCAAACGTTGTATTCAAAGAAGATGGTTCCTACTTCTTCAGCACGGCATCGTAGAGGCTCACAAGCCCGGTGATGGCGGCACCGGTCAAGATGCCCTTCCACTCTCCGTACAGGGCGCCATTGATACGGTCGATGGAGTTCTCGTTGATCCAGCCGCCAAAGTTTACTTTTTGGGCGTAGACAACAAACGAGATCAGAGCCTTGACGATGCTGAAAACCAAGGGATCGACGTTGTACTCGACGGTCGAGGACTTGCGACCACGGGGCTGGGGGTGGCTCGCCGCGCTCAGGTTGTAAAAGTACCCGAACAAGGAGGGAATGAGGACAGAAGTGAGAGTCCACAGCGTGACGGGCGACCAGAAAGACGACGTCACAAACAGGAACGCGTCGGGCACGTAAACGGGATAGAAGTTGGTGCCCAGGGCCGGAATCGCGGGGATGGTGAAGGCGTAGCGGAGGGGCAGGACTTCGGCTCTCAGGTTCCACGCCTCGAACGCGGCCACAGTGAACAGCACCGATGTGACGGTCGACAAAGAAGAGCGCACAGCGTTGGTGCCCTTCTGAATGCCAGACTGGTCGTAGAGTTCCGTTGCGCGCTCGCGCAGGGCGACAGTGTGACGGTCTACGGCCTCCGCGACATCAGCGGGCGTCGCAGGCAGAGGGATGCGGCTCGCAAGAGAAAGATTGCGGGCGGGAGTTCGCGTCGCCAGTGCAGTCGAGAGGGCGGGCTCCGGGCTTGACGATTCGTTTCTGTGACGCGTGTTAGTCGCGATACCAATGATGCGGATGGCCTCCGAGGCGCATCGCGTAGAAGATGGACAGATCTGGCTTACTCGGGTTCAGGCTCGGGCTGGAGCTCCTCGATGGCTCTCGTCGCCCTGCGGCGCGTGGACTTGACGAGGTCGGTCAAGGGGGCCTCCCTCTTCACGGGTGAGCCGGCAGCCTTGGAGCGACTCGTGTAGTATTGTACAAGCTTGGGGTTGTGGGAGAACTGGGTCGCGTTCTCGGCGAGATATTCATCAAGAGTGACTTCCAAGTCGGCCTTTTTCTGATTCTCGTACCTGAAAGCAGCGCGTTGTTAGCCTTTTTGGTCCGAATAGCATCGTGGACGTCTCTGCGACGGCTCGACGCGACTGAATCAGTCTTGGCGCCGGTCGCAGTCGACGCGACAGCAGCGCTACCCCAGCTCGAAGGCGACTTGCACGACAACAAACCTTTCGTAAAGGATACAAAAAGTTCGCCTCCATACAGGAAAAATCAATGGAAGAACTTACCCAGTAAGTCCAGTCAGCTCGGCGAGCTCGACGAGGTCGCTCTTCCGCTGCCTCGCCAACCACGGGTTTGCGCCCGACATGGTTTGGTCGTTCAAATGGGGAAAAAGGTAATCAAAAGGGGTATCAGATGAATCGCGCAGACTCGGCGATTCCAGCAGCTCGATTGCAGAGGTTCTTTGGTAAAATTATTGCAGTGAATGCAGGGCAGTTTGTGCTTTAATAGTGGGAAGTACTTGGGAAGAGTGACGGTGGGAGGGGCAGATGGATGGATGCGGTGGTGATAACGGCAACGATAGCTGGGCTGAAGAGCTAGGTAGGTAGGTTGTAAGGGTGTAATGTGGTGGATTGGGGGGTCGACGGGGTGAAATGGTCGAAGCGCCCGTTGTTTACGTTTCCTCGGTTCTGTTGTGGGATTTCCTACAGGTGGTCTCATTGCGGCAGCAAGTGTGCTGAGAGGTCTCTCTGATCCGGGGGAAAGGGGGGGTTGGACGTGGACATTGCGACTGGTCTAGCGCGCTTTCCCTCCTGTCTCCCCGAGTCCCCTCCTCCCGGGAGCGGCAGAAGGCATTGGCACTGGTCAGTGGTCACCAATGACGGCTACCTTAGGAATAACCAGACCCACTTGAACTGTCCGAATGAGGCAAGGCATGTAAACAAACGGTTTAGTCGCTGGCCTCTGCGCGCGACTGGCCGGTGATCTCCCGTGATAAAGAAATGCCAATAAACGAGGCCAAGCAAAGACCCTGTTCAACGATGATGATGCGAGGATACTAGGTATTCACTAGAACACGTGGCATCCCTCTCTCACCAACACTCCAGTCTGTACGTACGGATACCAAACGCGAAGATGTCAACACCTTCTCCCCCAATCGCGATCAGCATGAGATGCCGGGACAACCAGAACGTCCTAGCCAATCAGTAACCTCACCTGCCTCTGGCGCAGCTCAAAGGCACGCTGCTGGTTGAATTCTCTGATTAATTGCTATTTTGTCCTCGATTTCATGCAAATCTAACTCCAATCCAACTATCTGCCTTGTACCCTGCCGGATATTCCCTTATGTCCATCTCAAAGCAAGCACTTTACAGTTTGGAAGACAGTTTCCACCAGCCAGGCCCCACCAGCTAGCTCCTGATGACTTATTCTAAGCAGGATCAACAAAGTTGAGAAACCTTTCTTCCCCCCTAGGCACGATCCGAATAGGAACGGTCATCCCCTGCGGCAACTTCAGCGTCAACATGGTCGACGCCTTCTTGACAGTCTCCCGGCACTTGTCCTGCGCTTTCTTATACAGCTTCCGCCTCTCCTCGAGGCTCATCGCCTCGACCTCGGCGTCCGAAGCCCACTCATCCACCGCCAGCTCGAGACTGTGCCGCTGAAACACAACGGAGAGCGCAGCAATGATCTCGACCTGCGCGATACGCCGCCCCAGACACGACCGGGGCCCATCCGAGAAGGGCACGTAAGACCCCCGCACCGGCCGGAACATCTTCTCGCTCGTGTCTGACCCCCTGTACCCGCCGTAGTCCTCCTCCACGTCGCCGCCGCTCTTGACGTCGGCTGCCGCCTTCAAGCTGGCCCGGTACCACCGCTCCGGCGCGTAGTCGTCCAGATCGTGGTCCGCGCCCGTCATCTTGCTCGGCTTCGACGGCCAGTTGCGCGGGTTGCGGTGCGCCGCCACGCCCACGATGGAGATGTCTGCGCCTTTCGGCAAGACGTACTTCTCGCCGTCCAGCGTGATGATGCCGTCGCCCTCCGGGCTGACCTTTTTTGGTATCTCCACGACCGCCGGCGTCATCCGGAGCGTCTCGTTCATGCAGGCGCCCAGCATGGAGGCCAGCATCGGGCTGACTGTGCTCTCGTAGTTCCACGTGCTGGGATCGCTGTCGCCAAAAATGCCGTCGATATCCTTCTGAAGCAGCCGCTGCACAGCCGGGTTACAGGCGATCTCGATCAGCCCAAAGTGCATCGCGTTCGCCGTCGTCTCGTGTCCCGCGACTAACATGATGAAGGCGTTGCCCGAGATTTCCGATTTAGATAGCTGAGGTATCTTGGACTCCTTCCCCTTGGACTGCATTGCGCTGATGCCGCCGTTGGCGTCCGCTCCATTCCCGTATTTTGACTTCACAAGCTGGCCCATGAGGTCCATACCGGCGTCGCCGTCGCCGTGGTCGCCGTTCTGCAGATCCTCAATCTTGTCTTGCATTAGCTCGTCAATGTACTGCACGTAATTGTCGTGCGAGTCGATGGCCTGTTTGGTGTACTTGAAGGGTAGGAGCTTTAGAATCTTGTGCGGCACCAGCAGCAAAACCAAGATATGCTCCAACATCTCGGCGATGGCGTCGGCAAAGCTCATCGTGTGGCCCGGAGCCGCCTCCAGCGAGCTGTACTTCGTTAGCTTCGGGTCCGCTCCCTCGGGTAGCGACTGGCCCGGCCAGAGCAGACGCATTCCGAACCCCACGTAGCCGATAATATTGAGGGCGAGGCGCATCGTATCGTGATCCAGCGTCTGAATGGTCTCCTTGCTCTTCTCCCCGGCCGGCCCCAGCCACTTGCGCGTCATACTCTGCGCCTGCTTGATCGACTCGGCAAAGACGAGCGAGGCGTTCTTCTCGTTAAAGGTCGCAGAGGTGACCTTGCGGTGCATGCGCCAGACAGCGCCCTCGGTGGTCAGGACATTGTCGCCAAACTGCTTCAGAATGGCGTACGTCTCGACCAGCTTGGGGAACTTTTCGCGCTGTTGCGTGATCTGATGGATGGCTTCGGCGCTGTCGGTCAGGATGAGGATCTGGAACGGCGATACGATCATGAATGTCTCGCCGATGCGTGCAAAGGGTTTGTGAAGCAGGTTGTAGGACCAGTTTGGTATGAGGAGTCTATTCACAAGGTGATGGGATCAGCAGGAGCGCGTGCGATGAACGGAGTAGTCCAGTAAGGTACTAACTCGAGCCAGTTTTCCCACCAAGATTTAGGGAACGACTTGATGATGGGTATCCAGAACTTGTGGGTTAGCTGCCACATTATTGAGAATGGTGACGCAGCTTCGCTCGCAGCGTTAGTTCTTGGCCTGACGCAAAGATATTTGCCTTCTTGGACACCTACGGGTGACGATATATGGCAAGCCGACTTTCTTTGCCTCTGCTATGTTCCGCTGCAGGCCGGAAACGTAGGTATATACGCCGTAGGCGACTACAGCTCCGACGAGCACAAAGACTGAAGATACCATGATGATGCCGAGTGCTCTGAGAGCATCGACTTGGCGAGAGGTTGCCCGGGGGTCGACGACAACACAAGAATATCCCGAGTCTGATCACAATAATTTATCGCCAGCGGGGTCGATGAGGTTAGCAGGAGGAGGTGTCCGAGACCAGTGGAGTACTTGGTTGGTTTGGTACTTTATCTCGACCTTGAATGTCAAAGCCGGGGAGGCATCCGATGCTCGCACAGCAGACAATTGGTGCAATATTTCGGAGGAAATTTAGAGGTCTTTCAGGATCTAGAAGAGCAAAAGGATGGCCAAGGACGCAATGTCACAGACCTGTCATGGAAGAAACAAAAGAAGAACCGGAAACGTCTATGGGTCGGGGTGGGCAATGGCTATGTGGGAAGCGCTATATAGGGGTCGAAGCTCTGGTTTCGGGTCTCGCGTCTCCGAAACTAGCAAAACCCCCTACCCCATCTTCATGGTGAGTTGAGAGATAGCGTAGCTTTTCTAGCTTGAAAGACCCTTGTTAAACTAGTATTTTCTTATTTCCTCACGAAAGCCATTTTGCAATGAATGGCATGTGATTCATTAGGAGGGAAATGCAGGTAATGTTTGTGACTGAGAAGAGAGTGGGCTATCCAGCGAAAGGTGCAGCTACCCAAGACATTCTGCAAGGTAACGACGAATAGGGCGGGAAAGAAGAGCTTGGTCATGCCCATTTCGCGTTCGTGGCGCAAGCAAACGGGCGGCAGACTCCCCCGCCCTATTGAGGTCAAACTTTCCCGTCGAGTTTGCCTTGCAATAGAAAAGGAGGCGTCATCGTCAATGAGGATATCTCTTAGCAAAAGCCAAATGACAATGGAGAAGGCTTACTTACATTCATCCGGGTCGTAACACACCACACCACACAACACCACACAACACCACCCACTCAAAGCTCAAGGTACCTTAGCTGCACCGAGACACAGGGGCCTTGTTGGTTTCCAGTGGGGCGGGTCCAGCTCCGAAGGAGGGATCGCGCCCTCCCGGGTGTGCTGCATGCCGCTATTGGCGGCAGCATCTCACCGACCCCCGGCCGGCCGAGTTGTCCCCTGCAGGAGCATTGCGGCAGGAGTTTGGCCCCCTGCAGAATCAGGGCTGCCTGCCGACAGGGGCAATCTGATAACAGGTAACGTATGGCTAGGTACAGTTCGGACAACATTCCAGACGGGAAGAGGAGTAAACTTGTACCTCTGTATAGATTTGCTGCCTGCGGCGGCCGAGCTCCGAAATCCTTCTAGTACGGATAGATGTGTTCGTTTGAGCAAGAGACACGACGTGGGAGAACCGGACCACCACAGAACCAAGACATGCACGGCGACGCAGAGGACCAGGGTTTTGCTGATGTCGCGAATCGAGAGGAATCAATTCTGTGAGGGAATCTTGAGGTTTTTGGGGACTTCTGCCATAAATGCCTCGATTCACGCGAATATCCGCGGAACCTGCGAAATCTTTATCTTGGGTTGCCTGTACAGCCTCGTATGTATTTAGCCCGGCCACGGCAAGCAATGTCTCCGTAATGCTTCAACGCTGGGTTGTGCTGGTCAAAAACTTCGTAGAACAGTAACAGAAGCCTGTCAACTCAAGGTACATGACAGAGTCTTCAAACTGTAATTGAATATGCCGCCCCATCGACTTACCCCATCATGAATCAGTTGGACTACTCCGTATGTCAACCGAGAGCCATCAACCGCACGCTTCCAGGTTCACCGGGAAAAGGAATGAACAAAAAAGAAAAGTTCTACGAGAGGCGGAGATCAATCTTTCGGGCTTTCCTCATGGTTTGCACATCATCATCATCAGAGAGGGTGAACGAGACCCCCAGGTCAAAAAACATCGACGTTACCGGACAAGTTCGGTGACGATTTATATTGCGATGTTCTCGGGTCTCAAGTTTATCACACGGGAAGACAAAAGCTTTTTCTGCTCAGCAACTCCTTAATCATTGTGTCCTTTTCGGTCTAGGAAGCGATTCGTCAGGGTTTTCATGTCAAATATAGTACATAGAATGGTGTAGTGGACCAACGAACATGTTCATATAAAAGGCCGTCGGCCTTTACTCCCGCTTACTGTGATCTGGCTATTCCGCTCACCCACTCTTTTCCCGCTTAGAGCTATATCTCTAGATCTCTCGCACGGGAATACCTCGAGTCCCTGCGCTAGACCCTCCGAACAAGCAACAGCATCCCCCCTCTAGCTGATCGACGCCGAAAGAAAGAAGGAAAAAATGCGTGTCACAACAACCATCACCGCCGCCCTCCTCTGCGCAAGCGCACCCGTCGCCCTAGCCTGCTCCGAGGGCTTTTCCTCGAACCGCAACCTCACCGCCGAAGATTTTGCCTGGCTCTTTGCCGACTACAGTGTAGAAGACGTGTACTCCTGTGGCAGCAGGTGCGCCCGCGCATGTATCGCCCCGGGCGAGACGTTCGGCGCCTGCATGGGCTGCGCCAGGTGGAAGCGTAACGCGCAAGGGGAAATGGACCTCCCGCCCTGCAGCAAGCCCGTCACCAGTGGGGAGGGTACGACGAACGACGGCCAGTACGAGTGTCACGGGTACGGTGCCGAGTTCTGGAACTGCGTCACGCCGTGCCCTCCTGGGTATGCGCAAATTCAAACGTGAACCACTTGCTGATGGTCACGTACCAAATAGCTCAAGCGTGTAGTCCGTATCGAATGATCTTAAACCATTCAAGGCCTTTTCGATTCTTCAAGATCAAGCCTTGACCTTCTTGTGTGCTTTCCATAGCCTCGCTGTTAACCTAGAAATTTTCATATAGTGGCAAAGATCCTTCTCACCTTCAATCGAGAGTGACCCGGCTTCGTCCAATTCTCTTTCCAGTTGACAAGCTAGTCCTCCTACTCACGACTCGAGACAGACTTCAATGACCAAAATGTGACTCAGTGCAATTTGAACTGCCCACTAACTCCTTCGAAGCTCGTAATCTTGCCGCCCAACGATTTGGAATCCCCGTAGTAACGGAAGCGGTACGTCCCCGGCTTTGCGTCGTTCTCCGTCTCCCATACAATCTCGACCTCGCTCGTGGCGAGTATGTCACTCGTCCGCTTCCAGTGGAAGATCAGGCTCCAATCGTCATCGTTCCGCACGGTGTCCCATCTCTTGATGGCCCCCTTGTCGATGGTCAATCTCTCGACAGCTGCGTACGTCTGCTCCAGTCGCAAGTTGTTCCGCGGATTGGCTCCGACAAAAGTGGCGCGCACGACATCGCCAATCGCGTACTTGCCTTCAACGTCGGTCTTGACGTCACCAAAACTACGGAAGACGGGTGTGCCATCTCGTACCACGCCAGTGATGAAGCTCAGAGAACGGTTGGTATTGTCAGGTGGATAAGGTCCTCCAGCATGAGAAGGGGGTCCTTTGGTGAACGACGCTCCCAGGGTTGGAAGATAATTGAGCGTTCGGTTGATGTAAGCATCCAGCGTATAAGGGCCGTACAAGGTGGATGCTCCCTCGTATCGTTGTATTCTATCAGAATTAGCGCAGAGCTTCATTAATTGCCGTGGCTGAGAGGTTACCCGTATTCCTGTTGCGTCGTAATGTAATGCGTGTAACTGTTTGCTGGTCCTCCAATTACCACGACCGGCTTCGCATCAGTCTCTTCAGCAAATAAGGACTCAGCCTGATGTTTGACTGCATCTTTCCATCGCCGTCCCGCCATTGTGGAAGCCTCACCGGGGCTGACAATTATAATCAGCTGGCCGACTCGGAAAGTTTGGATATCTACAATGTTGGGAGTCCATTGATATGGGTTGAACACTTCGCCAACATCAAGGAGAATAGGTTTGGGAGAATGGCAAGCTACTTGGTCTTCCGTAGGTGCCTTCAACAGACCACCAACAACCTTCCACAGAGGATTCGTGTTAGTTGAGTTCGAGTCGTGCTGGGTGAAGTCGAATGCCCCAGGACCATCAGACGTTCCCGCTGCGAATGAGTAGCCCAACGCCGCAGGGCAGGTTCTCACTTCCGTTCCGTTGGGTAAGTCGAAGTGGAACTCTGACATATTGTGGAAGGTATGGAACGATTTTACCCACGAGCCGCGAACTCGCTGAGATTTGGACCCCATGTCGTCGAATAGCCCCTTGGCAGCAATGTACTGTCTCTTGCCGATCTCGAAGCAGGACGAGGCTCCGTTGTTTTTCTCCCTGAATAACGGGCCTCTGGCGTGGCACTTCTGGCTTTTGCCGTCGCTGCAAGTGCTCGTCTTGAAGTCGCAGGGCTCACCGGTATCCTCGCAGAAAGCGCCTAGCACATTGGGGCTGACATCTCCCACGTTGGCCTGGGAGAACCCAGCAACGAATCCCTTGGTCGCATCAGACGATTTTCGCACACTTCTCTCAAATAGCCACGCTGCTACGCCCTTGTTGTCTCCCGAAATGAGAGTATTGTTGCCGAGCATGGATGTACCGTGGGTGGGAAACCATGTCAACGCACCGATGCTCTTGCCGTCTGACGCTCTCTGGAACTTCAGCAGCGTCAAGTCTTTCTCAACAGACCCGTCGTTCTCGGCGCTGACGTTGTATTTGGCACGCTCTTCTTCCGGGTTCGCCATGTAAGCATACAGGCTGCGGTTTATGTTCGCACCAGTGACCTTGGTTGAGCCGACACTGATATGCCCTGGCTCTAGGCTGTCATGCGCACGACGGATCGCCAACAAGGTGCCATCGACAATAGCTCTGTAACTCTGCTGGTCGAAACCCTTGCTCGTGATTTGTGGCAACAGATAATTGAGCCAGGCGCCCGGTCCAGAGTGTGAATGTGTCCCGGTCAATGCCAAATTGTGGTGCCCATACATGGAGTAATCGAAGCCAAGCTCAGCAAGCCCGTGAAGAATGCCAAAGCGAACAGCTGTGTCACCCGATTGTGTGTCTAGTACAACGTAGATGAACCTGTCGTCGGGTCGTTCGACGCTGCCGACGATGAAAGCTCGGGCATACAGTCTCTGTCGAAGGCCGGTACCGAGCTGTTTGGGGTCTGCATAGCCCATCATGTTGATTTCCACAACCGGGCCGGTAATGTCGGCTCGGCCAGCACCGATAAGATACAAGTCATTGTCAGCATCAATGTCGGGGATATTAAAGGTTCCGGTGAACCATCTGCCTGTGCCGATTAAACTGCCTCCCGGGGTGTAAAGTCCGTAAACAACCAGAAACGATAGAATGAAGCCGATTAAGCAAATTAGAGCTCTCCGGGAGCTTGGTGGAGAAGCTGTGTGAGACGCGGCCGGCAAAGCGGGGCTCTTCTCGGCACTCCGTTCTACAGGCATATCGTCTAAGCCTCGAGGAATTGGGGTATCAAAGAAACATGGATGTAGTGAAGTGTAGAAGAGAAGGTGAAGATGGATCACGGGATAAAATAAGGTGTTAGCGTCAGCCCGCCACGACCAGTGCAGCGCTAGGAAGTTGCGACACGGAACGCCCGGCCGGACCTCTGTAAGGGAGGGGCGGACGAATGACGCATGCTGCTTAAATTGTTAGTGCAGGACTAATCTCCGAATATAACCTTAATTACTCCGATGACTAACTCTGTATCGGCTTAATAAACTTCATTCTTAGATCCTGCTCAGGGATCTTTGGATTGCATGGCCCAGCTTCTAAAGCTTCATCACCTTCGAGCAAAGTTACATTTTGCTTTCGACCATGCAGCTTTCTACATCTGTGGGTGCCAATCATTGCTCAGCGCCACTCCATACGTAATTTCGGAGGTACAGTCCAGGGTCTCGTGCGCATTGAATTAAAATAAGCATAAACAAGTTACAAAGAACGTCCATATTCCAAGAGAAAAAAAGAAGGGCATTTGAGTTTCCGTTGGGTTCATTTCTCCTCCAAATCACCATGTTAGTCCCGGTCGAGCACCAGAGTCGCAGCCCAACAAGAGCCGATTTGCAGCAAGGCAGGGGCCTAGTAGTATTTGGGGTTCTTGGGATCTGTCAGGTCGAAAATGACAGACGAGTGAGGTCGAGCGCCGCCACGGTCGCGTGTGAAGATGCTTTCAAAGTCAATTGATCTGTTGAAGCTGAGGCTTCCGTCAGGAAGGATGTCGAGCCAATGACCCTTGTAATCTCCCGGCGTGTTGACAATGGAAATCTACCGCAAAAAGTACGTCAGTAGAGTATCTCAACACAAGCTTGTCCCCTCTCGAAAACACAAGGACGAGTAGGGAGGAACTAACGTCACCGCCCTGCACAAAGTATCCAGTGACAAGCAGATTCTTCTTGTCAGGGCTGATCTTGACGTAGTGAGGTCCAATGATTGGCTGCGTCTCGTTGGGGTCATCCAGCCTCTTGACATTGCCCAGGTCTGAAATGTCGAGCGCTGCAACGTGGTTGCCCAGAGTGATGGTGAAGTACGCAAACTTGCCGTCATCGGTAATGTCCGAGTAGATGGCCAGCGAATCTTTGGCTTTGGAACCTAGGTCAAAGAGCAGCTCAGCCACGCCTTGCTTCCCAGACGAGTCACGGCGGAATGGGTAGATGATCCAGACTTGGCCAGGGCCGACAGCGGTGGCAATAGCGGCACTCTCAGGGTTACCAGGGATAAATTTGACATCTTGAATACCAAGGCCCTAGAAATAATTAGCTCGAAATACTCTGCGTTGGCGTGGATAGAGACACGTACCCCGGGGATCGTAATGGTCGAGATGATTGTTCTGTCGGACAAGTTCCACAGACGGAGGGTGCTTGCTTTCTGAATTCCCAACGTCGGCTTCAGGATGGTAATGGGCACGACGAAGTCCGAAGTCAGGATGATACCCTTGTTGAAATCCACAGCCAGACCATGGGGACTAAATTGCTCGCCAAGAATGTTGAGAGTTCCAGCCACATCTTCTGGCCATTCGTGGATGATGTCGCCTTCAGCGTTGGTCTCGACCAGACGGCCGGGCGAGGTGCCAACGGCACTGCCCATATACGTGATGAAAAATCCACTAGTCGCGCCAGAGCGTCAGTATTTGCCACACTATCAAAACATATGAACGGGACGATCTAATCCGCACGGGGGCAAAATTGACATGAGATAGAATGTACGAGGTCTTACCCTCCTGGCTTGGCGCGTATCTCGTCGACAATGGAACTCAGCAGAGCTCGATTAGACTTCTTGAACTTTGGCGCATATGGGTTAGATACATCAAAGTAGAAGGCCGTGTCCTGGGTCTTGAGCAGAGACAGGAGGCCGCCACCAATGAGTGTCTTTCCGTCGAGGGAGCTACCCAAGTGGTGAGGAGAGTTTCCGCTCGTAGGCACATCGGTGAGATAGATGATCTGGCCGAAAGTGTCCTATTTTACGAATTTAGTTAAAATCATTGCTCCATATTCTGACTTTGAGGGACGGGCAAAGATAAAAAGGCATCTTAGGGAAACCAGGATGAGGAAAGCAAGACAAAGAATAACTCACATCGTCCAAACTGGCGGTGACCAAGAAGTCCTTGTGAATGTTGTCGCCAGCTCCAGTCCAGAAGTAGCCAATCTTTTTAGGTTTGATGTTGGCGCCGGTGAAAGGAGGGCTGGCGAGAGGAGGCGTGGGAATCTGAAGAATGGGGAGAGGAGGAGCGTTGGAGGCAAGAGGTTCCGTGACTCCGGGAATAGATGGAATCAGAGGAGGCAGGCTGATACCGAGAGGACTCCTCTTGTTGGCGGGAGTATGGTCATTGCCGTTGACCGGTCCTGCTACCACTGGAGAGAGCAGGAGGCTCGCGAGAGCTGCGAGAGAGATCTTTGAAAGCATCTTGAGATAGCTGAGCTGCCGGAAAATGATTGATTGAAACCCAGATACTGTGATGGCTTGAGGATGTTTCCAAAATTTAACAACACGGGCCCTGATCCTTCCTTCTTATACTTCATCATGAGCTGTATTATATGCCGTCTCGCAGATTTCCAGGTCTATCTTCAAATCGTGGCCTCCCTAGATAATCACATCATGAAGCCAATAAAGCTCATCATCTACACCGAGGCGGAAGACTGAGTATCTTGCAAACAAGGGCGATGTTGAAGATGCACTGATGAGATCTTTCTCAGAGTCAGGCAGCTCAGGAGATGCTTGGGCATGTCTTTGCCAAGACGTCGGGACTCACACATTGCCTATCACAATCCAAAGATCCATAGCCTCTAGCCTTTCATGTCCACGGGAATTCTCTAAGAAGGAAGACTACAATGTCGCGATCTTCTCGAGTTCGGCAATTCGGGCATCCGGTGGCCTCGAGGTGTAGACGGCAACACTTGGCGATGTCTTGACTCTGCGTCAAGGATTCCTAGTGCGGTCCAGGGCCTCGGTGATGGAAAGTAATTAAGCATAACGACTGTGAAGAAGTTGATCGACGTCAATGGCGGCCACAACAATGCTCATGTGAGATGAAGAAACGCAGATCATCTCTCAACTGGACGACACATGTGTGTGTCCTTTGTTGGATTGACAGGGACGGAATGTGCTAGCCTCAGACCTGCGTCGATAGTACTGAATGGCATCATGGGTAACGAATAAGACTTCAATTACATGTAAGGATCTGAGGCGGATAAATGCAGTCCGATGTGAGATCTCAGTGAGGCTGACAGTCAAGGGACGTTGAGGTATGCAACTGAGGCGTCTCTGGCTTTACCATGGTGTCTCTGGCTTAATCAAAACTTTACTTCTCTAGCTTTTCAGAGACAAACATGACATGGAAAGAATGGTGATGATCTTAGACATATTTGGCAGAACCCTGATGAAGTAGCGTATTCGTGCTTGACTAGCATGGGGGTTGGTTTGAAAGGTTGTTCTTACTCAGGCGCAGCTGGCCTCAAAATGCGGAACAAGATGAACTAGCCGCCATTCTCAGAGACCTTAGAACTGAACGATGTGTACAATAACCCTCATTATCGTTGTCTTCGCTTCTTATGTTGACACGGTCTCTCTATCTTGATTGAATCATCAAGAAAGTCTGCAAGGGTAGCGGATGCGAAGCTCTGAGAACCAATTGGTCTTGGTGGCATGCGGTCGAAAAAAGAAGCACGGCTTACAATGGTTCTTTTTGTCATGGACTTTCCAGACGAGTCTGCCTCGGACAGCTTGTCGACTCTAGCCATGGATCACAGCCTTGTTCCAGTCTTGGAACGCAACATCTAAGCCCGTGTGATGGAGAAATTTACCACCAACACGCAGGTGAAATTTAAACTCACATCTGCGTCAAGACAAGCATAAAATTTACCGTAGTTCATCGCATCAAAGTAAGCTTCAATCAGTCTAGTGAGAAGCCGTCGATAGCGATCAGCGCCTAAGCAGCCTTTCCCCAACGCCTTCCCACGATGTCGTTATTTTCGGACATATGTCGAATGCCCGGGGTCTAGCCTAGCGGTATGCCCGATTCCAAGACACCAGCGGCCGATCACTTAGCCAATATCCCAACCAGTCTCTCTGGACTCACCTACACACTCTCGACCTTGAACAATATGCCGGCAAAACTCAGATTGGAGTTAGGAAGTCAATAGTGTCGACCGGAAAGTAAGGATGCCGCTGGATGGTTAATGTCGTCATCACTACGCATTGCTTTTGCAGCCGCAACCTCAACGCCAAGGTCACTCGTTGCGTTGAACGTGATAGCAGAGAAAATTCCGCCATCGAGCCGGAGGAGATCATGTGTTGACTGCGAAATTTCCAATGGTATTACGGCGCTCGTGCGCGTTTATAAAGGTTGTTTGCACAACATCTTCCCCCTTGCCTAGGTTTGTTTTACCCCTCACATTCTGAATTCCCATCACAAGTCTGCTCTTCGTTGCCTGCACCTATGAGACTGCTTCAGACCTCCGTTGTAGGACTCATCGGCCTTGTTGCCGTCACGAGTGCCTCGCCTCATGTTGTGAAGAGAGATGCCCAGTTCACCGTTGGACAGCCCATCGACGCCAACGGCAAAGGGGGCCCGATCCTGGGTAAGTGACTCGCTCACTGCTTACTTTGCCAACGACACACTGACGAGACTACACAGGTGGCACCAACAACGCAATCGACAGGGAGAACCCAGACAACCTTGGTCGGCAGTCTACTGACAACGGCGTGGTGCCGAACTTGAAATGGAGATTCTCCGACTCCAAAACCCGCATCTTCAACGGAGGCTGGGTGCGCGAGCAGGTCATTCAGGACTTGCCTCAAAGCCACGACATCGCAGCTGCCCAGCAGCATATGAAGCGTGGCGCGGTGAGAGAGCTGCATTGGCACCGGGTTGCGGAATGGGGGTTTGTGTACTCTGGCTCAATCATCATCGGGGCTGTCGGTGAAGACGGACGAAGCCAGGTTGAGCAACTCAACTATGGCGATATATGGTAAGACCTAACTCGAGGGCTCACAGACCGTTTCATTCTAATCTCTATTCCAGGTACTTTCCCAAGGGCGCTGCTCACTATGTCCAAGGAGTCGCCGAAGAATCCGAGTTTCTTCTAGCCTTCGACGAAGCTGACTTTGATAAAATTGGGTGAGTACCGCGTCTATTATCTGACCTTTATACAAGGAAGGAGGTGGCTGACATTCAGGAGAACCACTTTCAACATTGTCGACTGGCTAGCACACACTCCGAGAGACATCTTGGCCAGGAACTTTGGCGTTGATCGTTCCGTCTTTGACAAGCTACCCGCCTCTAACCCGTACATCTTCAACGGAACGGTGGCAACTACGAACGTAACAGTTCCTCCGGGGCAGTACCTATCCGGCAACAGTTCGTTCGTGTACCGCACCTTTGAGCACCCGCCCGAGAAGGTTCCTGGAAACGGCGGCGAGTTCAGGAAGATTGACTCTACCAACTTTCCTGTCGCGAAGACGATTGCTGCCACCTTCGTTACGCTGAAGCCGGGCGGGCTGAGGGAGCTCCATTGGCACCCCAACGCGGAGGAATGGCTGTACTTTCACAAGGGCAAAGGAAAGGCTACCGTGTTCATCGGAAGCGCCGCGGCGAGGACGTTCGATCTAGAGGCGGGAGACACGGCGGCTTTCCCGGACAATAGCGGGTGAGTATATGCCTGTCTTGAGGATATACGAGATGTTGTTGCTAACCCGCTGTCTAGACACTACATCGAGAACACCTCCGATACAGAAGACTTGGTCTGGATCGAGCTGTACAAGTCTGACAGAGTTGTGGACATTTCTTTGACCCAGTGGCTTGCTCTCACGCCGCCTGAAGTGGTCGCGCAGACCCTGAAGGTTCCGCTCGAGTTTGTCCAGCAATTGAAGCAGGAGAAGCAAATTCTCATCTAGTATGTATGGCGTCTGCGCGTGAAGGGACCGGGATGTCATCACCCGTTCCGACTAGGGTTTTCTCAAATAGTGTGAGATTGATACGCTTTCTATAATACTTTCTTCATCTGTCCGACTTTGTAGCCAAATCAGCACAAGGGAGGACGAGATATGGGCGAATAGAGACGAGAACATTCGAAGAGGACGGCAAAGGCGACGAGAGAAGCCCGCCATAATTACAGAGGAATCAGACAACGCGTGGGATTCAAAGGAACTAGAGCGAACAAGAGTTTGTTGGACGTGTTCATTGGTCAGGAAGCTGGCATTCGAAGCGTCATTCTTCCATACACCTAATTAGTCACATTGTAATTATGTATTGCCTCAAATTGTAGATTGACTGTAGCAACTCGATTGCTCTTAATCTCAGCACTCAAGGGTTCAAGTGGTGAGCAACCATCTCGAGGTCACGATGGCAACTAGCGACTCATGCTTTCCACTTAAACATGCAAACCAACAAAGCCTGATAAGCGGGGAAAGAGGAGACGTAGGGAACGGAGTGAGTGCTTCGAGTGCTTCGACGCCAAAGTCCGAAAGCATCTCCAACTCGATCATGTCCCCAATTAAGAGTACATAGTAGACGAGACGGGAACGGAAAATTCGGTAGGATGGCAGCACGCATATGCAGGCAACCCCGGCGGACCAGAGCCGGAAACTCTATCAGGGGCTAGCAGCCCACCTGTCAAACGAATCATTGTGCGTTTGCGCGGTGCGGGCAACAGTGCGAAAGGTTGATGGCTATCAATCCAACCGTGCTAGAACCCAATCACGCGGGATCGTATGATGAGGATAGATTGTGCGGCGGTGGATGGAGCCATGGGCGAAAGGAGGGTTGCAGAAAGCATCCTATTGACCGCTCACGAGCTCTCCGGCTGCCGTCGCAGCCAACTCTCCTGGGTCCTTCCGTCGTATCATGAGCTGCCTCGGCGAGCGCGGCGGAGCTGGACGGCCATTTTCGATTCTAGAGACATGATGGTGTGAAGAAGAATAAGAAACGCTGGGATGATAGGCCAAGCCACCCCTCGTTCGGTCTGGTCAGTAGATAGACGGCAGTTGTTCCGAAGCAATCACGAATTGGCCCAGAGTTGACACCACGTCGGGGGCGGAATGCGGGGAGGCACACGTCTATAGACAGTGGCATCTATCCAGACACGTGCAAGACAGCATCGAACTTTTTACTCCACAGACGAAATAGTCCGTTAACGAGTTCTGATGGGGATCTCTGATGTAGTTCCTTATTCTCCTTTACTGGTATGGCAGGGATGACAGCTTTACGTCATTCCGATCCCTCTCAGTGCCATATCAGCTACGGGGGATCATCCCCTCCATTGACTAGGTGTCGCACCTAGGACTACCGTCTGCCAGCCAAAAGGCTGGTAAGGTATCGAGATGAAGTATCGAGATGAAGAGTTGGAGCTCGCAATGACGGGCAAAGTTTAGGAGCTTGGATCCGGTCTGTTGATAGTCACATAGTGCCAACCGGATATGCGAGCCGCGGGTCGGCCGCAGGTACCACAGACGGCAGATAAGAGCCAACGAAGGCCGAGCATTGACACAGGCCGATCTCATGGTCGTGCTCTCAATCAAGACCCTGAAGGATCGCCAGGGAACTAGGGAACTGATGACTGATCAGGGCCACCAGCCTGTTGTTTCTTGGAATCCTGTGCCTCTGCGGAGACTGACGAGAGCTGGTCCAAGAATTGCGTCGCATCCTCTGTGTGGCAGTGCTTGAACATGTTCGACACAGCATGACAGAATGGCAGGATGAAGGCCGCAGAGGAACAGCTCATCCCTTCCGCAAGGGGTCGGAGCTGAGAGGTCAAGTGAATAGCTGGAGGGTTTCCGGTAGGACGGCACGCTGTGTCATCGGCAACGGTTACGCAGCCCGTAGTGGAGTCGCGTTGCTGGTACCGGGATACTGCATTGGTCGGGAAGAAGAGCAAACGGATAATTGGGCTGCTAATGAACATCTATTAGTGGGCCACGGGTAGAAAGGGCATGTTAGGGGTTGTGAGAGAGGGAGACGGATCGTGACAAAGTAAAGCCTCTCAGGCTCGAGAGTCTGCTGTGGTTGTCAGGTAAGAAGGGACTGCGAGCAACACGTCAAGTACCTGAAGTTGCAAGGTGAGCCATGTCTCCTCGCGGAAGCAGCCACTAGGAGGCACATCTGCTGGCAACTAGGGACCTCTCCATCTCGCGGCTGTTCCATGCAGAGACGTCGCTGCCCCCGTTGTTTGTGTGTCATCGCGACCTGGCCGGAGTTGGGGCCATGGGGGCCAATGGAGCCAGACGTGCTGGAGCCTGGTACAACAAGGCATTGCGCTGCAGATCGAGGCTAATTACGCAGCGAATCGTCTCTAAGCTGGGGCGCAGGAATGGGTAGCCCAGCAATAACACAGACTGCCAACATTCATGCAGCCTCTCTGAATGGGCAGTCCGTCGAAGGGATGGACACCTTCTGCAGAATCTGGGCCTGGTCCTCGACATGGACCCTTCTTTTGTCTCCTTCTCTTTCTGGCTATTATTCTTCAGTTTTCCCTTATGCTTTGCGCTTCTTGCGTGTGTGCACGAAAACCAGACGAAACCGAGAATTTCCCGGCGCGCATATATAGACAAGTTGATCGTAATGGTCATAGTCCACCACCATCCCTCGAACCCAATTGCCCTTACCCTGACCTGTCAATTTGTCGTATCCGCTCCAGCTCACTTGTGTGCCTCTGTCCGTGTTTCTGCTATTGGTTGGCGGAAGACATCCATCTCCCGAGGTTCGAACTACGCAACAGTTGTCTTGAACAAGAATTATCTGCTGTGCGTACTGGCATCTATCCCACATAGAGCGGTACTCCTCTGAGCAGGTGGTACCGAGTACGTACTTTCTCGCTCTGGCATTGGGCGGGCCTGACTTCACTGTCAAGCTCCCCCTCTCCCCAAAAAAGAAAGGGGCCCCGCAGAAAACCGCACCCGCTGCTTGACAACCTACCTTACCTGCACCTCCAACTCTGGTCACATTCGCACTTGCATCCCACTCTGTCTACCTTACCTCCAACCGGCCTCCTCCTCGATTTCTTTCTTCCACGGAACGGTTGTTTTTTTTTCGTCTTGCTCATATCGCGTGTCTCTACCGAACCGATTCAAAACAAACACACCAAGTGCAAAACCATCCAGCAAGATGAACCCCCTCCAGAAGAACAAGGTCGACGTCTCGGTACGTTAAAACCAGCCACTCGCTACCCAATGCCCCACCTTGAGAGTGAAGCCCGTGATGGCATCACGGCTTCCCTGGCAATCCAACTCTTATCGCAGTATTTGACGGATCTGTTACTGATTCTCCCGTTATAGTCCCTTTCTCCCGAGGAACAGCGCCTATTCCGCCTTTACGGCAAGCTTCCCTCTCGCTCCGACCACTTCGCCAAGCACTTGAAGGACCGCAAGTACTTCGATTCGGGAGACTACGCCATGTCCAAGGCGGGCAAGGGTGACAGCGTCGATACTGGCGCCATCGGATCCCAGCACCCTGTTCCCGAGAACATCCCCCACCTTTCGAGCCCCGTCAACAACTCCTCGTCCTCCCTCAACGGCAACAAACACCACGGCAGCATCGCCAGCGGTGCCCACGCCGGCAGCCCTGTTAAGGAGGCGAGCTTTCTCAATAGGGAGACTAGCGCTGAAGAGGCCGAGCACAAGGACCAGGAAAACACCTCTCCAGTCGATGGAGCTGCAAAGACAGAGGCTATCCCCATTCGAAGATGAGGGCCCCGCAGGTCATTTCCGTCTATACTCTCTCTCTTGTCCCAAGGTTCGTAAGGGTGTTGTTGAGACTCCTCGGCGGCAAATTGGATGTTTCACGGGGCCGGATTTCTACTACGATGTTATGATGCTGTGTTGATGTTTTCACGGGTCTCCTAGGCGTTAGAATGGGGTGGGAACCAAGCACAAATGGTTGTTGAATGGAATGAGACTCTTGTCTCTCGTGTACTCTGTTGTGGAAGGACTTGCGGACTACGACACTCTCAAGGTCGCGCCACTAGATATCCTTTCCGCGATGTACGGCACTACTACGAAGACCTAGGCTTTCCCGTACATGGTTTTTTTTATAGGACTGAAGGAGGACGAAGAAAGAAGAACGCCAGGCATATGATGGCAACCAAATCGAGACTGCCTTCGTCTTAATTCGCCCACACAAATGGCAGCACTTGCGTATTCCGATCAACTCCTCCAGTCAGCCCAGGAGAGGTTCGAGTGCGCTGGTACGTTTCTTGGATGTGACTCCCCTGGTCAAAGTGGCTTTTGTAGACGCTCGCGTGCTATACATCCTACTACCCTTTCATATCAAACTTCGTCTGCAGTCTGGCGAGCCTCTTCTACCTACTGGGCGGCTTGAGAATCGGCAGTTGCTCCAATCTGAGCAAGGGTTGGTTCAGAAAAGCTTTGAAGCACTCAAATTCAACACGGATAGATGTGATGGGAAGCAAACATATTGATAAGCAATAAGACATTTCTTTTGGTGCCATACGCCGTTCCGTATCCCTGTACCCTTCCTTCCAGCGAACAATCTCTAGGTGAGCCCTTTTCACAGATCCAAACCCTTGATCGCCATATCCTTGGCGCCTTCGAAACTCTTGTTTCCTCCAATGAAGCCCGCAGCATGGACAAAGACGCAGCCGGTGATGCCAGAAATGCCGTCCAGCTCCGCGTCTCTGAATCCGCGCCAGGCCTCGGGCAAAGGCTTGCGGCTCTCGAAAGAGTCCTTGGTGACAGGCACCGCCTGCACACGCCACTTGGCATCGGGGGTAGGCTTCTCGGGGTACAGGACGTACACCACCGAGGGGTTGCCTCCCTCGAGCGAGTAGAGGTGGTCCTTCCAGGGGGCGCTCTGGCCCTCGAGGACGAGCACGCGGCCCTGGGGGTCGTACTGGGTGCGCTTCTCGAAGGCGGCCTGCACGACGGCGCGAGCGGGCAGCCAGGCCTTGGTGTAGTAGTCAAGGTCGGCGTCGAACTCCTCGCCGATGCGGCGGCTGGCCTTGACGAAACGCTCGTCCTCGAGCTTCTGGGCCTCGACGGGGTCAGAGGGCACGGGGTCGTTCCAGTTGGGGTTCAGGCGGCCGACAACGGAGCCGAGGGTGAAGGCACCCTCGCTGAAGCGCTTCTCGAGACCGGCGGCGGCGACGGCCTTGGGGTCGTAGACGGAGATGCCGTTGTCGTGAGCGTCCAAGGCCTCGACGAAGCTCTCGTACAGCTTGTTCCACAGCAGCTCGACTTGAGCGCTATCTTCGGCGACGGGCGTCTCCGCACCCTCGCTGAGCTTCTGGGCGATAATGGCCTTGCCAAAGTGCATAAAGACCAGGCCAGCGCTCGACAGCTTGGTGTTCTTGCCGGGGAAGGTGGTGGCGAAGCCGCGCTGGTGGTGGTCGTAGCGCTTTTTGCCGTCATCGTACTCGCCGCCAACGTCGACGACGGTGTGGCAGGTCTCCAGGAGCTTGGGGTCGCGGGTGCGGATCAGCTGGGAGTCGTGGTAGGTGGGCAGCTTGCGCAGCATGTGCACGGCGAGGGCCTCATCGGCGTGGAAGTGGCCATTGTGGGTGCCGATGGTGACGGGCGACATCTTGAGTCTCTTTGCTGCGTTCTCGGCCATTCGTAAAGGTTTGAACAGACGGAACATGCAATTGAGGGACGCGAACGAATAATTATGAGGTGTGAAATAAAAACCGTTTGTGGGAACTGCAGTTCAATGATTTTCAATAACTCTCTCTCTCACTGGTGAAGGAAGAACTGGAGAGTTTGAGATGTGATAGTTACACCCCACTCGACTTGTCAAGACCCACACCCTATCCTCTTGGGGCAGGTCGCTTATCTGGACTCCCAGCGTGGATCTATTCCTGACGCTTTTCCCAAGCTCTCACTGGAGAGCAGTGGCCAGGAACGTGCATCGCAGCCTCGTCGTGTCGCCCTGTATCCGCGCGCCCGCCCGTGGAAACTCCATATTCGACCAACAGTCAGCTGTAAATGTCATCAATAACAACCCCCAATCTGTCCCATCGCCAATGGTAGGTGCCATTTACCATCCGCCATCGACCGTCACTAGCCTCATTCTTCAACCGATCGATACAATCTTCGAGTTACGACTAATTGCTTCCCTCAACGACTAACGAAAACTCTCCCGCGTCGTCCGCGCCCATGCCATCCGCGATGAGCGACGCCAACGGTACCGTCGCGACCCGCGACGTCAAGGCCGAAGGTCAAGAAACAGAGGATGAGGAAAATGGAGAGGGCAAGGCGACATACAAGTCATGGAAGAAGAAGTACCGCAAGATGCGCATCACTTTCGATCAGAAGATGCACGACTGCGAGGAATTGCACCGTCAAGAGTCCCAGGCGCTTGCCACTGCGAAGCGCATCGCCATCGAGAACGAGTGAGTCTTCTCTGGAATTCATCCATGGTTACGTTCCTCATAGGTTGCTGCTGCATAGTTGCTAATTCTCAGCGCCAGCCGTATACTTGATCTGCTGCTAGACATGAACACCTCGGCCCAGCTGCCCTTCGACAAGCGCTTCGATATCTCACAGGACCCGCTCGAAGATACCTCCTTTCCACCCCTTGATGTCGACAAGTCTGGAAAGAAGCCTGATGAACCTACCAAGTCATTGAATCTCCTCCTGAAGGAGGTCCCACACTATACCTACTCCCAGGCAAAGGAGCAGGATCCCACCGTCGTGGCCGACATGGAACCTTTCTCCGGCGAGCCTCACCCTCCTTCGTTTCTGACGGCCGACGACATTGACGACTACATCCACGACGTCGACAGACGCATTGATCCCGATAATCTCCTTCCGACGCTGGCCCCTGTCGCCCGCAGCAACGCTCCTCTCCCGGAGACCAACCCGCACGCCCTTTCCCAAACCATCGCAATGAAGAATCCCACGAGCGTCTACAACTGGCTACGTAAGCACGCGCCAAAGACCTTCCTACAGGATGCCGAGAACGCCGCCCCGGCCGGAGATGAAGAGGCTGCCGAGGCGCCGCCGACGGATGGTCGGAGACGGCGTGGCGGAGGCGCATCGAGGGGGGAGACTCGGGGCGGTCGCGGATCGCGAGGTGGTAAGCGGGCTTCGCTCGCAGCCGTCCGAGCCGAGAAGGCAGCACAGCGAGCCGCGGAGAAGGCAGCCGCCGCCGCCGAAAGGGCCGCGGCTCTGCGCCGCGACGCGGACAGCTACGACCACAGCATGGAAGAGGCAGACTCGGACGGCCCCAGCTTTGCGACGCCGGCCACGGGTCGCGGCAAGAGAAAGCGCGCCGGCCGGGATGACGACGACGGATACCGGCCCCGGGGCTCGAGCAGCAGGCCGACCAAGAAGAAGCGTAAGAGCGAGAGCGCTGATGTTGGCACCCCGACCGTGTCTAAGAGGGGTCGTAAAAGCGAGCTTTCTCGTGACAGAGACGACTAGAAGCTGCGTCGACGCGCGTGAATTGCTACCGGGTACGCGTTGATCGAAGGGCTTGGCTATCTGATTCTCGTTAAAGGAAGTCAATCGATACACTGCAGCCTTTCTTCGCACGAGCAATCTGGCTAGAATGCTCGACATCACGAACGGCATGAGACAGATTTCTCTACAGGCTGTATTGAGGCCGGCCGCCTTGGATGGGCAGCTAAGGATCTCATACCAGCACAGAAAACCTTTTCTTTTTCCTAGACTTGTACACTACATCATGCATCGATGGATTCTCTTTTTTCCCGTTAACCTTGTGTTCTTCCAACGCCCATCTGGCGTGGGCTTACGAGCGTGCTTGCGGGGGTCAAAACAGAGAGAGGGAGGGGCGGGGGAAGAGTCAGAGAGGGATAGCCGAGCGCTGAGCTCAAGGAATGGCGTAACGGAGATTCTTGACCGGATCCAAATTGGGATGGCAAAATTAGGGACTAGCAATGCCACATTTTCCTTTCTTTCTTCCTTCACATGCTACTAGAGAACCTCCTGAGGGAAGGTACTCGCTCTCCCCTGATGATCAAATCACTGAGCTTACTGGGAGACTCGTCTCTTTTTCTTTTTTACTTTTCATGCATTGTGAATTTCGACTGTTGGTATTTACCACCAACTAGAGCCGCGTCACTATGTACAGGCAGTCCAAACTTCCTATCCCTATGTCCATCCCTCTTGTGACGTTTTTTCTGTTTTCTCGCTGGGAAATATGCTGAGACCAGATGATATCAAGTAACTGAAAAAGAAATCGGAAAGAACAGAGAACCAACGGAAAATACAGATGGATGCCTCATCATGCTTCTGATACAGGTTGGTTACAGAAGCCCTTTTCTCCCTCCTCTCCGAACGCGAGAAGAGGAACTTCGCAGATCGTTCCGCCTCCTTTCTTACGTCTCGAGAGTGGAGTCTATCCCTTTAGGAAGCCGACTTTCGGCATTCGCCTCTCCATTTACAGAATGTAGCGTTTTTCAAAAGTCTACAAGGGTGTTGTTCAAAAAAACAACGGCGGGCCGCATATCGTTTTCTTCTTCTTCTGACTTTACAACTTCTCCTTGAGAATGTTCTTCATGCGGCGCTCGACGGCGTTGAGGTACTCGTTGGTGGTGACATAGTCGGAACGGGCGGTCTTGCCGCAGGCGAGAGCCAGGTCCTTGGTCATGATGCCGTCAACGTCGACGGTGTCGATGCAGGCCTTTTCGAGGGACTCGGCGAAGGCAATGACCTCGGGGGTCTCGTCGAGCTTGCCGCGCTGGATGAGGCCGCGGGTCCAGGCGAAGATGGAGGCGATGGGGTTGGTGGAGGTCTCGTTGCCCTTTTGGTGCTCGCGGTAGTGGCGGGTGACGGTGCCGTGGGCGGCCTCGGACTCAAAGGTCTTGCCGTCCGGGGTGATGAGGACCGAGGTCATGAGGCCGAGGGAGCCGAAGCCCTGGGCGACGATGTCGGACTGGACGTCGCCATCGTAGTTCTTGAGTGCCATGATGTAGCCGCCGGAGGACTTGACCATCTGGGCGACCATGTCGTCAATGAGGCGGTGCTCGTACCAAATGCCTGCGGCCTCGAACTCGGCCTTGTACTTGCCGTCGTAGAGCTCCTGGAAGATGTCCTTGAAGCGGCCGTCGTACTTCTTGAGGATGGTGTTCTTGGTGCTCATGTACAGGGGCAGCTTCTTGGTAAGGGCGAGTTTGAAGGAGGCGTGGGCGAAGCCGGTGATGGACTCGTCCGTGTTGTACTGGGTCTGGGCGACGCCGCCGCCGTTCTTGAACTTATAGACCTCGATCTCCTGGGGCTCCCCACCCTCGGGGGTGTAGACCATCTTGAGGGTGCCCGGGCCGGGGAGCACGGCGTCCTTGGCGCGGTACTGGTCGCCAAAGGCGTGGCGGCCAATGATGATGGGCTTCTTCCAGCCGGGCACCAGGCGCGGGACGCGGGGGATGACGATGGGTTCGCGGAAGACGGTTCCGCCGAGGTGGTTGCGAATGGTGCCGTTGGGGGACAGCCACACTGTCGGAAGGGAAAAAGAGCCATTGAGTTAGTCCATTTTCTTTCATCTGCTAGGCAGGGTTGCTGTGGGAGGGTGCCATTGAGGAGAGGAACTTGAGATGCAGTGACGGATCCTATGCATGCGCCGGCGCCGCATCCCCGGGGATGCGGGGGTGCGGGGAGCGGGACCATGAGACAAGTCTCTCGCGGCGGAAGCTACAAACACGGGTGACTTGCCAAGTCCAAGAGCCGATAGAAGACTCTAGAGCGGGCACGGAGCGGTACCGGAAGGAGGGGGGGTGGGACAGAAAATCAATATAAGATGGCACATCACTTACTCTGCTTGAGCTTGAACTCCTCGACACGCTGCTCATCGGGGGTGATAGTGGCGCACTTGACACCGACCGAGTACTTCTTGATAGCCTCGGCGGCGTCGAGGGTGACCTTGTCGTTGGTCTCGTCGCGGTAGGGCAGGCCGAGGTCGTAATACTTAAGGTCGATATCGAGGTAGGGGTGGATGAACTTGTCCTTGATGGTCTGCCAGATGATGCGGGTCATCTCGTCGCCGTCGAGCTCGACGACGGGGTTCTTGACCTTGATCTTGGCGGCAGCGGCCATGGTGCGGGCAAAGTTGAACGAGGCCGAGGAGGAGAAGGGGGCGGAAGACTGGGGGACGACGAAGGAGGGCCGGAGGGCAAAGGTCGCGGGGCGGCGGAGGAAGCGGGCTGCGTTCATGATGGGCGGTTGTGAGGCGACGGCTCGCGGCAGGATAGAGATATGAAGGTTTCTTTTCGGCTTTTCGGTCGGGAGAGTGGCGGCCGGGGGGGCGGGGGTTTCTTGGGCCGCGGTTACTTGGACCCGGGTCTTATGATCCGGTAATGAGCGTCGGGTGGTGGCGGCAGCGGCAGCGGCAGCAGCAGCAGAACCAGATGCAACGGCAAGATGACTGGCTTGCTGCAGGCTGTCAAGAGTGCAGAATGTACGAGCGGATGAGGCGCTTGACAGCTAAGCTACGAACAAGGTGCTGACGATCGCGAAGCTACGAGGTGGCACTAAGGATGCTGTTGGTTGGAGAAGTAGGAGGAGTATGAGGAAACGTTTGCTTGCAAAGGTAGACAGACAGCAAAGCCGGATGGGAAGAATGATGGGGGAGGGAAAGAGGTGAGATGGCCGGTTGCAATTGAGACTTTGTCAAAGCAAGCAGGCAGGAAAAAGCAGTAGAAAAACGTAGCAGCAGAGGGAGCGGGATGGCAGCCGAGCCGAGATCGTCACAGGTGTGCCTTCCGGGGACCGGTGTGTGTGCGTGTGTGTGAGAGGTAGAGGTACTACAACAGCTCTGTTTTTGCGGGTATCTCGTCCCCGGTCTGTCACTCTTCGTTGGTCGCAAGGTCACGGCTTGTAAGTAGCAAGACTCATGAAAACAGCCAAAAGGCATGGATAGCATCGGCCCCCGGCCAGTCTTGCCTCAAGGGGCTGTGGTTCCAGTCCCTGCTCCCCCGTCTCGGACCTCTTCTCGGCCTTTGCGCTCCTCGGGCATCAGAATTCTGACTCTGATGAGTCCTTTTCGTGATCCTATATCGGCGAGCTCTAGGCATTTTTCAGTTCTTGCTGGACCTTTGGAGCCAAAGAAGGTTTTTGCGACATTTTCCTCCTTGGATTCGCGACGCTAGGAAGAAGTAGAGACTCAGTCAATGGAAAGCTACAAATACGCGCGCATGTCCTCAGCGCTGCCAGTCGCATGACAAAAAAACAAAAAAATAAAAAAGTCGTCAGACGCAAATATTCTGCAACAACTTTTTCGCTGCTTTCTGCAGGTAGCAGCGGCCGGTTTCTTCAGCTTGTCTCAGAACCATTGGCCTCGGCCCTTCTCTGCTGTTTGCGGACCAATGCCAATTCGTCCTCTGGTCTGAGATGAGCGTGATTGGAAGGGTTGCCAGGCCTCTGTCTCTCTCTCTCTCTCTGTCTCCTGCCTCACCAAGAATACAGAAGCCACCCCCCTTGTCGCGGATTTGTCCTGTCTTTCCTCCTTTCCGAATCCCATGTCTCCCACCCCACATGTTGCCAGAGCTTCGTGCGGGGAAAGCAAAGAGACGGAACAGCATCCAAGGTCGGTCACCAGACGATTTTGCGCACAGCCGACTGTTTCGTCTGTTATCAATTGCTTGCTTGCTGCTACTCATTTGGCTAGCCGTGTTGGATGGGGAAGTCCATGCTGCAATTTCAAATTTCAGACGAATGTAATTCGATCTCATCAAGTCTGGGGATGTAAAATAGGCGTTTTCTCGGCATCGTGTCACTCGCATGTCGCGTGCGGAGTTTCCAATTGCCCGGGGCCGCCCCAAATGCTGAAAGCTCGCGGCGGACTCAAACATGTTGGCCAGGAAAATTTGATATTAATTTATTCGGATCATGGTGTACACTTGTGACAAGACCTCAAACTTCTCAAAGCCCTCTTCCTCGCATTAAATGACCCCTGTGATAGCTTCAAACTTTTTGCTCTCAACCGAGCCCCACTATGACTGCTTTTCCTTGCATACAACGGAGATGGACCGCTCCGATCTCGGTCGAACTAGGCCCGCAGACTCGACCCTCCGCGATAAGATCACAACGACCACCGAAGGAAGCACCGAGGAGTGGAACCTCTCATATTGTGTCAGCCGGCACTCGCATCCACCTCGATTTCTCAAGAAACTTTTTTTCTCTCGAGTCACGTGCCTTTCAGCTTTCCCCGGTGGCGTCCTGTCGAGCTGACAGACAGACAGCCGGACATGCACGGTATCATTCCGTCCTCGCGACCCGCGGCAGCTCGTGCATGTATGACCGACCTCAAGACCCGAAATACCCTGGCCTCCTCCGTGTCCACGACCAGTGGCCACAAGCAAAGATATGCGCAAACAAAAAGTGCCAGGGCATGTAGTGTAAGTAACCTGCAAAAGTCCGCCCCCCCCCCTGCCTGACAGGAAGGAAGCCTGCAATGCAACGGCATGTGGTCCTTTTTTTGCATATATTTTCCTGCTTGTCAGATATCGATAGTTGACAGCACAATGCCTCTTCTGCCTCAGCTGAAAAAAGCCTTCGTCTTCGTCAGGCTTGGCTTTCCTTTTTGGTCCCCGTTCTCCTGCTACCTGGCATTACCTATCTAGTGTTAGCCGGCCCTTTTCTTCTGTGTCTCGGACGAGAGGATACACAGGCCCCCGGTAGCAACCGAGGACTGCGGCGGCTTTTGCTGCCGCTGCCATTGCCACTGCCCAGCCGTTTGTCTCAGTTGCATCTCACCATGTCTCACTTCTCAACCTCTTCAGCCCTATCCCATGAGGTCCCTATCAACTTCCAAGCGTTTCACGCTCCTCTTCCCCTCTCATCTCACCTTTTTTTTTTTTTTTTTTTTTTCCCTTTCCATTTTCTTCTTCTCTCCGGACCGTACGCCCCACAAAAAGACCACAAAAGGCGGCGTTCGGTTACGGTCGATCGGATAGTCGGTCAAGTGTCTAACACCACACATATGATCCTGTCGTCCGTCATCCTTCCTACCTGCAACCACAAGGAGGATCGTCACTGCCATTTTCCGATCCAACTCTGTTACCTTTTTGTATTCCAATCCCAGCACGATGTTACGCTGTCTTGTGCTGCGTGGCCAAAGGAATCTATTCAACTCCTAGCAAGATACCGTGAACCCCCCTCCACTCCTCTTGCGTTTGGGCTATTGCAAAAGTTCCCCCTTCCTCCCGACACGAAGCTGCCCTACTGCTAGTAAACGACAGTGACGATAATGATGATGATGATGATGATGATGCAGGTCGCCGATGACTCACCCAAGACAAAGACAAGCTATAACGAAAACAAAAAGGCAGATCCTGGGTGATAAAACACGAAGCTAATGCACAGCAATCCCACAACGTTAGCTCGCCTCGACCCTTACCTTGCGCTCCTCCCCCAATCCCCCGATGCGAAACCCGTACCCGTATCGGCCACGGAATGCCCATGCCATCATTGGCGCTAAACGACATAGTACCAGTAAACAGCGGAGTTAATGTAGAAAACCGAGGCCAAAATTAGGTATCAAGTATGGATAGCAAGCAAGAGCTTCTTCTTCTGATTGATTCAATTCTCCTCTCCTGACACCATACCGGCAACCATGGAACCAAGTAAGTCATGTTGTGGCCTGCTCGCTTGCATTCCTGCTGCATTCTTGCATGGCGGAAAAAAACGATGCTCCTCATTTTCACTGGTAGAATCAAGTTGCTCATACCACCGCCTCATCAACTCGAGCAAGAGAAGTCTTGGCGTGCCTCTCTATGCCCACGCCTCTAATCCGCATAAACGCTTCAAGACCAATTCACCTAAGTTTTCTCGTAGCTATGCCCATACCCCATTCTTCTCCCTCCCTCTCTCTGCCTCTCTGTCTCTCCCAATATGCCTGCCCAACCTCGAGTTTTGACTACGCCGTACACGTAGACAGCATGCCGCAGCCGGTAATATTGAAATATTACGCGTTTATGACTCCCGCCCGACGCGCGCAAAACGTACCCATCTTACAGGCGTTTCGGCAGTGGCCAGGCCAAGCCAGGCCATTCACTTCTGGCTGTGATGGTGTTTTCCCCTTTGGTCTATGGACGTCGGGGGTAATTGAACAGATGCAGCGCTAGTGCGATAAAAAAAATCGATAATCCTCAAGTCGTTGCTGAGGTTTGATTTCGTAGTCTCATTTGATTGACTGAGGCATACTTGTTAGTCCTAGGACAGAACAATTGACCACGAAAGGTAAAATAATATTGACAGTTAAAATAACTATTATGACATTTCCGTGAGCTGACGGAAAACGAAAAGAGATATGTAATGAAAAAAAAAAAAAAAAAAAAAAAAAAGGCCTGAGGTAGTCCACGGTAGAAAGGACCATGGTACTCCCCGACTCATCCATGCCCGCGCTTGGAGTGTATATGTGCGCATGTGTATGTACGTCCGTTCCACCGTCAGCGTATGTACGGTAATCTGTCGATTCTAAGCCACCACCACCCGAACCCCCCCACCATGCCACCTCCCATACCATCCACCCCCCCCCCCCCCCCCCCCCCCCTCCCCCCCCCCCCCCCCCCCCCCCCCCCCGCCTCGCCCCCCTCCCCCCGACTGCCCCCCCCCCCCCCCCACCCCCCACGCACCCACCACACGTCGGCCTCCCCCCCCACGGTCTCCCCTCCCTCCCCCTCACTCTCACCTTCTCACCCTCCCCCCTCCGCCTGCGCGGCCTGCCCTGCCCCTGCACGAAGGCATGGCACAACTCCTACGGACTGCCTCGTCCGCCCACAGCCGTCCCAAGCATGCGACAGCAACAGCCGGTCGATTCCCTACGCAATAATGCCCACTGTTTCG